CTGAGAGAGGATCAATTTAAATTTTATTTAGTCATAGATGCAGAATAGATGACAAAAATTTATAATCCAACTCAAAAAAGAAAATTATAAGATTTGAAATAAATTTAAGAACTTTCGAAATTCAATATTAGTTTTACAAATATTTTGATGAAATCATATCTCCCTTCATTTAAAAGGATTCCAAGAGGAAAAAAAGTGTTTCAGAAATTTCATTTGGTGAAAGAGCTGAAGGTTTAGTGAGTGATGACTTTACAGAGGCGATTCAAGATTATTTATCGAGAAAACCAAATTTATAGGAACTTGTAGAGTGGTTGAATATTATATAACTCAATTGAAATTGTATATTTTTCATTAAATAAATTTTTATTAATGCTCAACTCTTCAGAATAGGCTGCCACCTCAACTTTAAATGATAAATTGGAGGATCTAAAAAAAATAATGAAGCAATACTAAAAGTATACATCCGATTCATAAAATGAATTTGAGTAACATTTTAAGAAATATGGACCATTCAATAAATAATACTCTCAGTAGATTTCATTAACAGTTAATGATCCAATTAGTTTAGGTATTTTACTATATTTATATCAAGGCTAAAATTTGATGGAATTCATTTAGCTCTTTGAATTAATCTCAAAAACTACTCTTTCACAATTTTCAGAATTTTCGTAATCCTTTTCTTAAAGTATTGAGCAATATAATGAGAAAATGAATATTTTCACCAAAATAATAACAGATGGTAATTTCTAATAATCTTAATAACTTGCTCAACATAGATAAAATTGGAAAAAAGCCAAAGATAAATATGATAAACTATGCAAAGAGATAGAAGTGACATTGAGTTCAAGTAAGAAGAATTCAGGAGATGCCTTAACTGGATATGATCTCAACATATCCCAAAAAAACGATTAGAAATTGAAGGAATTAGTTAAACAAGTCGATCCTGCAGAATAGCAATATAAGGATGCTTTTGATATTTTGACAATCAAAACAAAGGAATTTAATTAAGCTATCGATGATTCTAGATAGCAATTGATCCAAGCTCATTAATTAACCTATTAAAGATTTGTAGAAATTGCAATTAAACTTGATTAACACAAGTTATCAGCAAATTGTTAAATCAAAGCTTAGATTGATGAAAAATAAGAAAAGATTTTAACTATGCCAAAATACGAATACGAAATGGAAGATCGAATTATTACATCTAAATATGAATAGGATAATTAATTTAGATACTTAAATATCATGAACAAAATAATTGAAAAAAAACCAATAACTGATGCTGAATATACAATGTTTCCAGATATATTACACAAACATATTGATGCTCAATTGAATTTTATCAATGAAAGACTCAAAAATCAAAAGGCACTACCAAGTTATCTAGTGGAAATATCCAATCAAATGGATGCAGTCTCAAAAAATTTATAAAAGTCAATAAAATCAACATTATAATTTATTTAAGTAATAATTTATTCATCTTTTTTAGGATAAATCAGACAAAGATAAATCAAACTTCATCAAACCAATTCTTTAAGTTTAAGAATTATTAGTTAAATAAAATGATTAATATTCCAAAAAGTATTCATCTTAATCATAATTTATTTAATTGAAAGCTTAAGGCTTAGATTAATTGATCAAGGAACAAAAGACTTAAGAAAAAAGCTTTCTAAACATGTACCAAAAGATGTTAAAAGATTTTTAAGGCTTTAAGTAATAAATGCTAGAAAATGAGTCAAAACCATTAGTAAAAGATAATTTGCTTTAATAATTAAAGAAATCTATTTAAGAGAATTGTGCTGTTATTAAATACTCTATTGATTCGATTAGAGCAAATGAATTCCAAAGATCAAGTCATTTTATTTAAACTATAGAGTAAATTATTAGTCACTATGCTACATTTATGGAAGAAATTATAACTTATATAAAACAATAGGATGAAACTCTATCTTAAATTTAGGAGAAGATTGGATAAATTGACTATGGAACAATTATTAACACCAAGCTTGATTAAATAGATTTGAAATTCTAAAAGAGCTTCGAAATGACTGATGAAATCAAATCTAAAATAGAAACAGCTAATTTACTATAATAATAGGAAGAGAGTGAAAGTGATGACATCAATTTAGAGGAAGGTTCTGTTAAGGTTTCTTAAAAACTTATTGAAAAGTTTAGAATTTTAGATGGAGACAAATGCATTGCCAGTTATGCATGTGCATTCGATAATAAAATTCTATTGTAGGGAAGAATGTACATTTTTTCATCTAAAGTTTGTTTTCACTCATATTTTAATGGAAAAGTATATAATTTAATTTAATAAGACTCTCTTTGGGACTACTGCTTTAGGCATTCCATCAATTGATATATAAAGTATAAGAAGAACTAAAGCTTATATGGTAGATGCAGCTCTTGAGTTTAAAACATCGAAAGGAACCTTAGTCTTTGCAAGTTTAGCGAATAGAGACAGAACATTGGGAAGTTTGAAACAGGTAAAAGGTTTAGAGTAAGGAATTATTGAAGAAAAAACAGAAAATGACCCAGAAAGAAATATATAATCACCTATTTTAGAAACATAACTATTAGCAAAACCTTAAGAAAAATAATCAGGAATGAGAAGTCCTTCTCCAAAGCCTTAAACCAGTTTTACAGAAGCTTTAAACTTAAAGAATTTAGAATAATCAAATGATAAATTATAATAAATTGATAAGAGCCCTAAAAGTTAAATTGTCTAATAATAATAATAATAATAATAATAATAATAATAATAACCTACAATTTAATTATAGTAAATTCCATAAATAATAATTAATGAGCCAACCTAACAGATATAAGAAAAGAAGTCTTCTCCTGAATCTTCTTCCTAATAAAAATAAAATTAAACTACAAATTCACAAGTAACAACAGAAAAAAAATAACAATAATCTGAAAGTTAAGAATAATCTAGTCCTGCTTTACCCAAAGTTTCTCAATTTGAGGTTGAAAAAAATAATAGTCTATATAATGAAATAATGATTTAAAATAAATAGAATAGATTCATGAATTAGCCTAACATTTCAAAGTTCAAAACTTAATTGAAGGTGACAGTCAGAGAGTTTATTGATTTCTTTTTATTAGATACTCCTTATGAAAATTGTCTTTCGTTTCCTCATTATTATTAACAAGTGTTATGTTAGGATAAGGAAGTTGAATTTAAAAAATATTAACCATAACCCTAAATTGGATAGGTTTCAAAAAGAACAATTAATTTTATTCACCCAGTTAAAGAAAAGCAAATGTTTGCACCAGATGTAGTTCATTGTTTTGCCGAAGACATTCTATATTATTTTAATCAGGATGAAATTTTGATAGAAAAAGAAGTCAAATTTGCTAAAATACCTTATGCAGACAGTTTTTGTTGCAGAGTGTTTTGGCATATTCATTAAATCGAGAATGGATGTCAAGTTAATTATGGATTTTATATTCATTTTATGAAATCAACAGTTTTTAAAAGTAAAATTGAAAGTGGAAGCAAAAAAGAAAACACAGAAGTTTGGGAGAAATGCTTGAAATAAATATACGAAGAAGGGCAAAACAAGATAATAGCTAAAAGAATATAGAGTGAGAGATAACAACCCAAAACTGAAGTTGAAACGTTGTAATCAGCAGTACCACAAGTTGAAAATGTTATTTAATAAAGGGAAAAATATGAGACATAATAGATAAATTTGGAGGAATTGTAGCAAGAATCGTAAATGTTGCTAACAAATAATTAAGCTAAACAATAAAATTAAGAATTACTAATTGATAACAAATTTAAGGATGATATTATAGATAAGTAGTAAATATTATCTGGCTAAAAAGAGTTAAATTCAAAGTTAGATAAATTGATTCAATTATCCTATGCGCTAATTGGTATTTTAATAATCAACGTTTTGCTTACAATAGGAAAATGAATTATTGAATAACAAATATATATATAATAAATTAGAATCTTTTAAAAATTAAGGATTTTTTATAAACCTAGCTCAGAAAATATAACAAATCAAATAAATATTAAAATTTAAGCTTTGATAACACTTCAGGGTGAAAATCTGGTCATTTCATTTTTATTATAATTATGGCGAAAAAAAAAGATTTTAAATTAATCTATTATGTGTTTACCATCTTTAAGACATAATAAATTCCAAATTAATAAAAAGTAATTTTATTAAATTAGTTTTCTTATGGAAAATATAATTATTATTATATCGTCTTTATCAGGTGAAAAATTGAAACAACAAGTACCTGTGTAGACAAAAATAATAGAAATTAAAGCCATTATTGCTGAAAGGAAAGGATTGCCAATTTAAGCGATTTTATTAAAATTTAATGCAAAGGATTTGGATGACTAAAAAACTATTCAAGAATGCAATATAAGAAATGGAGATAGTATAATATTGATGAAGAAAATTGTAAATTAAAACCCTGGCAATACTCAAGATCTCAAAACAACAAAAGTTTAAAAAAATGAAGAATAATATAAAGAATTACTAGATTTTGGATACACAGAAAAAGATGTCATTGAAACTTTGAAAATGACTAATAATAATTATTAAGAAGCCTTAATTATATTATCAAATAAAAACACCCAAAATATTGAAGAAGAAATTTAATTTAAAATTCCAACCTAAAAAGAACAATACTAGGCTTTGCTTTCAGAATAAATTGTTCATGAATTAAGAGAGAGAGTGTCTAATCAGCATGAGTGGAATAGAACCATAGAGACTATTAAATCATAAAATTTGTAATTATCAGTTCTTATTTAACAAAATTAAGATCAATTTAGGCATTTGTAATAATAGCATGTTATTGAGAATATTATCAACATTGAGGAGGAAGATTTAAAAATGTTGATATAATTAAGAGACTTTAAAAAAAATCTAGATGACAAATCTATACTCAAAATATACTTATAAAATGACAGAGATCTCTTTTCAACAATGCAAGAATTAGAAAATTTGTAAGAGTGATAAGCAATAATATCAATTATTATTCACTAATCTACCATTCTCAAATATACACTCTCTTTTGACACCATCCTCTACAATAAAGCCTTTACCATGTTGTTTTCCTTGATTCCATCCTCCGATATACACTTTTCCGTTTTCCCATGTGAATTATCCTTATCCATGCTTTTTATCATTTTCATATTCTCCTACATAATGCTTTCCATCAGGCCAAAACATTTCTCCTTTTCCTATAAACTATTTAATGAATAAGATTTACCATTCATTTAATTATCCTTCCACTATCCTTTATAATACTTTCCTTCTTACCAATAAAATTCTCCATTGCCACAAGCCTAATTATTAACAAACTCTCCATCATATCGACTACCATCTTCAAAAACAATCTTCCCTCTTCCATGTTTTTTTCCTTTTACATATTAACCCTATATATCTAATAATACTTAATTAAAAAACTTCATATTTGATTTATTAAGGCCATTCTTCTATTCCATCACCATGTTGCAGATCATCCTTCCATTATCCAGTATAAGTACTTTGATTAGTCTATTTGAAAATTCCGAAACCATTCGCTAAATCATTAGCCCACTCCCCTTCATAAATATCACCATTAGGGTGTATAATTTAACCTTTTCCATGCATTTAATCATTTTGGAACTAACCTGTATAAACTGTATTATCAATCCAAGTCTATAGTTTAAATTTTCTGGTACATAAATTCCTTATCCATGTCTCATTCCATTTAACCACTCTCCTTCATAATATCCCATATTCTTCATTTACATTTTATGGAACTTTGTTAGTACAGATGCATTTTTGACTAACTCTTCATCATCTGGATTCAAAGGAACGGAATCTTAAATAAATTCATTTATACTCACCAGTATTTCTAACTACATTTTATTTAGATGGGAGTTTTTAAGCAGGTTTTAGTTAAATTTCTGATTCACCTTGAGAAGTTTGATGGCAATTTTAACATGCAGATCCCATCTTAATCTTATTATTATTATTATTGAATATTGATAATAAGTTTTTCAATAATTATTTTCTTCCTCACAAATTTAATCATCGTTTAATTTATGAATTATTAATATATATCAATCATTATTCTTTTTCTTAACCTTTATACTCCTTCACCTTTTTAGCTAAAGCTTCTGACAATAAAGAAAGCACACTAATTTCATAATCAATTTGAGTGACCTTTTTATTTTAAGTCTACTTTTTCAACTCCTCATTCTATTTTTTTAATTATTGGTTATGCTCTTAAAATTACTTAATCTTATCTGTTAACAATGAAATTTATTAAGACTGTTAAAGTTGGGATTCGAATTTGCTTTTCTAATTCTTACTTTCTTCTTCCATTTCCCTTTCATTGAGTTTAGCTTATAATTCTTTTATTTTTTCTTCCAATTTATGGTTTTCCTTTATATAATACTCTCTTTCAAAATTTTCACTTTTCATATTTGCAGATAACTTCATTTCTTATGACAATTATTAATTGGGGTTACTAATCACTTTAGGCATTTCTTCATCATGCAAGGTCTGTAGTAAATCTTAAAGTTCTCGAATTTTTTATCCATACTCAGTTTCCATAATTTTAATTTATTCTTATGATCTTTCGAATCTTGCCTACTTTTATTGCAACTCTAGTTCTAAATTCAATTTGGATTCTTTCAACTCCGATTATTACAATAATAACTCCTTAATATTTTATTACAAAATAGTTATTTCTTTTTCATATCTTTCTTTTCCTTTTTAATATACATCTTTGTCTAACTCCCTTCTTTCTTGTAGCTAATTAATATTTTCTAATCGCTTACACTTTCAATTTTTTATTCCAATTTTTCATTATCTTACAATTTAAATTTGTATTACTAATATTCTTCTTTAAGCTAAATAAATTAGGCTTCCTTCCTCTTGAAATCTTCAATTATCAATTCATATTAAGCCAATTTGTGTTCTTGTTCCAAACACTTTTAATGAATTTTCTCACTTTCCTTATACTCATGTTAAAAGTCCATCTTCTCCTCCAAACCTTAATATAATTAGTAATGCTTACATTTTTCTAAATGGCATTTAGATTCTGTTAGTGCCCTGATTTCCATATCCCTATTTTCTAATTAGGCTAATGCATCATCTAGGGCACTTTTCAATGTTTTCTTTTTCTCTTCAGATTCATTTAATTATTTTTTAAGTTCTGTATTATAAGATTCAATTTCATCCATTTTTTGGACTAAATTTTATATGTAGTTTTCCTCTTGCCATTCATTCGTTTGAATTTCTTCTGACTTTGATTTATATTATTTATAATACTTCATCTAGGTGATTTTTGAGAAAATGCATTAAAGTTTCTTAATCTTTCTCCTCCAACATTAAGATAGGTTCAATAAATTTTCCCCTTATATTTGAAGACAGGATGACTTTCATTATCAATTCAAATAATGCCAAAATCTATTACCTATTCTACTTCACAGTGATTTCGAAAACATCAATTTCTATATAATCAGGTGGTTTGCATTGAATATTGGTTCGATACTATTAAACCTTTTAAAGCATATCAATCAAATGGCCTTGAACCTTCTAAACATCAGTATCAACCTTTATTTTTTTTGCACTCGCCAAAGAAAAGAATGTAGGATCAACTAAATTCAACAACTAACTAAATGCGCATCCTTCGATATAATTGCATGCTTACCATCAGCCAAACTTTCAAAAGACTAAATATTCAATTACTAATATTTGTTAAGCCATTAAACAATAGCATTCTCTAAACTCATGTTTTAATTAATGACTTAATATTAAATTTTGATAAAGAAAGGAAAATTATAATATTAATGATAATTATGATTATTGTGATAAAAAATTCGAAAGTGGAAAGATTCCAATAAACTTTCTTACCTATTTGATTTACACGAGCAAGTGGATGTTTGCTTAAAAATAATAATCATGACGTTATTAACAAAATTATTTAAAAGAAATTCAGTTTAAACATGATTGGCAGGTAATCTAGAATTGAAATTCTAAATTTAAGAATCTTTCAACAATTAATATATTTGGCAGCATTTTTAAATAAAAATTGCATTTTTTATGAACCTAAATTATTTGTAATAATGAAATAATTCTATAAGTTTTTAATTAATATTATAAATTCTACATAAGAATGCATGAATGAAATTTTGTTTAACATATATGTCGTTATTTAAATAATACAAATAATATTTGGAAGTGAATAGATATCTTAGATTCATATAAGGATTTATTGATTATATTTTATTAGTAAGGAAAAAGATTCTTAGATGATTTTTTTAATTTGTATAAGCAATTAAGTATTTGATAATTATTTTTAATGGAATAAATCGTCTGGCAAGTTAAGTATCCACCAACAGCTGGTACAGAAAGAGGAAGACCTTCAAGAATTGATTCAAGTTCAAAATACTTGGTTTATTGCATTTCAAATAGTGTTATTGTAAGACATTTAGAGGATCTAAACAAATATTCTGTATTTGATTAACATAAGTTTGACACAACAGCAGTCGCTATTTCACCCAATGGAAATTTATGCTGTTCAGGAGATTCAAAGGGATCCATAATGGTTTGGGAATTAAACATTCAGGTAACTTGATGAAAGTAGTTTAGCCTCATCCAGTATTTAGGTAATATGAAGATGTTTTGGGAGGTGCTATAAAAGATATCTGTTGGACAGGAGATGGTGAAAGGTTAGCAATAGTTGGAGAAGGCAAAACATATTTTGGCAGAACTATTCTTCTTGACACTGGTAGCAGTGTAGGAGAAATTAGTGGAGTATCTTTGACCGTAAATGCTTGTGCAATGAGACCCTAGAGACCATTCAGATTGGCTTTAGGAGGGGATGAAACTTCAATATGTTGGTTTGAAGGGCCTCCATTTAAATTTAAGAAGTCGACGAAATAACATAATAATAGCATCTTCTCAATTAAATATAATTAAAGTGGCGATCATTTTGTTTCAGTTGGAGCTGATAAAAAGATCTACATATATGAAGGAAAGACAGGAGAAGTTGTGAAGGAGATAACAACAGATAGTCCTCACACTAGAAGCATCACAGGTGTAAGTTGGGTTAATGATACAACATTTGTAACTTCATCAAATGATACTACATTGAAAGTTTGGAACTTTGATGGACTATTAAAAACACTCAAAATTCCAAACGCATAAGAAATTGATGATATGCAAGTAGGAGTGACTGTAAGTGGGAAAGTAGCATACTCTCTATCTTTGACTGGTGCATTGAATGTTTGGAATGATGTACTAAACATTGAAGAAGGACCAACAAAAAGGTTGTTTGGACATAATGCTTTAGTTGGTTAGATTGCTGTATATGGAGATAAGCTTATAACAGGTGACAACAATGGAAGATTATGTAATCATTTAATTCATATTTAAAGTGATTTGGGAGAATGGAAATTCAATAAGGCCAACAGGAGTACATCATGCTAAGTAAGTGATCTCACTTTCAATTTCACAAAATGTATTATACTCATTAGGAGGGGAATAAATTAAATTGACTAATTTAGAAACCAATACAATTGAGAAAACTACTGATTGCAAAGGATTGACATTAAAATTATAGGCAAACTTATCTAATCCTAATGTTTGCTATTTGCTTATGGAGAATGGACTCATATTAGAATTTACTAATTTAGAATTGACTAGAGAATACTAGTTGGGCTATGAAGTGAGCAGTTTTTTATTGGCTGAATCAGTGTTTCTGGTTGGCGATCTTAAGGGAAAGATTCATGTTGTTAGCCTTGAAAGTGGGGCTGAAGTACAAACATTCTAATTGCAATAAACTAAAATAACAGCCATGGCCTTATAGGGTGATAGATTCTTATGCGGTGATACAACTGGTAAAATGAAACTTATTGATTACAAATAAAATTAAGTATTATATGGGGATAGATGGACTCATCACACTACTATTATTTCATCTTTAAGTTTTACAAATTCAGGTAAATTTGCAGTATCTACTGGGTATGATAATAAAATTATGGTTTGGAATTTGTCAGATGGTTAGAGAGTTCTTGAAAGAATTGGTATACTTTAAAATATTATTTAGATGCTCATAAAAGAGGAGTCTTAACAGCTATTATCACTTCGGATAATAAAGTAATAAGTAGTGGAGGGGATAACTCTTTTAAAGAATGGGTGCTAAATTTGGAATGAGTAATATTATAAAAATAATCAAAATTCTGAAGCATTCCTCTAATATATATATTTATGTAAATATCATTAAATTGATATTCATAAAGAAAAATAATGTTAAAGAAAGATAAAAATATTTTAATATCATTAATTCAAATTTGCAATGATCCTTGAAGATTCTTCTTTTCCCTACTACAATTTCTTCTTTTTATTATTGGATTATTATTGATCATAAATCTCGATTCATTACTCAAACAGTCTGATTGTATTAATTTTTCTATCTAATCTAAATGATTTCTTTGATTTTCTTTTGGTTTCTACACAGAACATCCCATCCGCAATATTTATCTTGAAAATTATTAAAAAATAACTAAAATAAAAACTTTCGATTAAACTTTAAATCCCCAAGATTTTCTCACAAAAATTTAAATAAAAAAACTACATACACTAATACTGCATCTATTTTATTGAATAGTTTTGTTCTTTCTTAGTTTATATATAAAATAACTCCTTCAAACAGTTATTTTAGTTAAATTATTTATAAAAAGGGTCACAATAATCCAAACATATTTGCAATTTACGATTCTTAGGAATGATAAAAATACTAACTAAAATAAAACTAAAATTAAGATTTATTATAAAAAACAGATTGATTTATTATATTGTATAATTATACTCATTAGAATAAGTATAAACTTCTGATATATAATTACTATTTATATTAAATTCACTAGATTTTAATTTGTAATAATACAATTCTAGAATAATCATGGCAATCAATCAAAAACTGCTGAATTAATAGAGAAATTAATTGAAATATTCTTATTCTCTCTTAAACAAAGCGAATTCTTGGAATATTGATTTTGAAAAGTGCTTACTCTATTCAAATTAGAAAAATTTATATCTTTTCGTTGCATAAAATAGAATTATATAAATTTAATTAATGAGTATGCCATTATCAAAATTTCCATCGATTGAAATCATTAAAGTAGCAGGATCGGGTACTTTTGGTAATTATTTTGACCATATGTAAAGGATATGTCTTTGAAGCTTATGATCACAATACAAAATAGAAAGTTGCTCTTAAAAGAATTGAGAAGGTTGGAAATCTGTTAAGTAGAGAATATGAGATACTATTTGAAGTTAAAGAATGTGATCATATTGTCAAAATACTTGTATTTTATTTTAGTAAGAGTAGGATTTTTTTTATTCCAGAACTGATGCGGGTAAATTAATTCAAAATATTGTGTTTGAATATATGGAGGATAATCTTGAAAACAGGATTTAAACATATATAAAATAAGGTAAGGTCTTCTCTGAATTGACTATAAAGTCATACATTTATCAAATTTTAAAAGGATTATAGTTTATTCATAAAAAGGGAATAGCTCATAGAGATTTAAAACCGTAAAAAATGATTGATAATTTTTATTAGAGAAAACATCCTTATCAATGACAAAGAAGTAGTTAAATTGTGCGATTTTGGAAGTTCTAAAATGATAAATACTCACGGTTAAAATACCCCATACATAGTGTCAAGATATTATCGTGCTCCTGAATTAATTTTATGTGTTACAAAGTATGATGTGTCTATTGACATTTGGGCTTTGGGTTGCATAATGGGGGAATTGGTTGTAAAAGAGGCTCTATTCAAAGGAAAAAGTGAAGGGGATTAATTGTTTGCAATTTTCAAAGTGATGGGGAGCTTCAATTAAAGTGAAATGGATTACTTTGCAAATAAAGTGCCTTTCGATCATAAAATATTTTTCAAAGAGTTGTAGAAGTATAAAAAATAGAATTTGAAAGAGAAATTCAATTAAATGAAAGACTTGGACAACTTCTTGGATTTGCTTAAGTAAGATTATTCATCATATTAAGTTAAATGTTGCAGTACAACCCAGAGAAAAGAATCAGTGCAAGTGATGCTTTGAAGCATCCGTTTTTTAAAGATGTAGCGGATTAATGATTATATATGAAGAATAAATTATTTACTATATATTTAATGTGAATCATTTATCTTAAGCTTCTCTGCATCCAACAATTTTTTCCTCTCCCATGGCTGAAAGAACGGATATCAACAAATCCCTTTGATATTTATGAATTCATTACTTGCCGGCTTCAAATTAGTCTCTGACTTCCTTAACCAAATTGAAGTCATCTTCAGTTTCTGGTAATTTGAGATCTTCTTTAGTTGATCCATCATCATTCATAAGAATGACAAATCCATCTCCTTAGATATCCATCAAAGTATATTCCTTTTTGGTGACAAATGGAACATCAACATTGTGAGAAGTTGGGGCTGAATCTTCGTAAGTTTTGTTTGTGAAAATATCCTTTCCAACGATGGAAGCCTAAAACATTCAACTAAATCATTACTTTAGCATGACCATGCTTTCCAGCTTTTGATGTAGACACATCAGTAATTTTGCATGGATGTCCTTTGAGCATAACGTAGCCACCCTTCTTTAATGAACCAGCACTTTCTGTGTAGGTGTGGGATGATCCGGCGTTTCCTTACTCAAATTGATTTTCGTCGTCAGACATTTAATTATATTTAAATTTTATTTTAAATTTTGGGATTTGTGAAATATATTATAAATCACAACTCATCAGAAAATAAATTCTTTAAATTATATTCATAAAAGTTAATTCTCCAAAATTTTAACTATAAAATTTTCATTATGCTCTACGCAAATCTAAGTGAGTCCTCATCTACTCTAGCCAACAATTGAATTCCAGATTCTCTATGATTTGCATTTCACGATGATTTCTATCTTCCTTGTAGCAAGCATATGGATATTTCCAATCACAATTAATCGTCGACTAAATATCTAATTAGGCACTAAGTTAGTAAATACTTTACTTATATTCAGTTAAAGCTATTTGATCTTATTGAATGTAATTAGAATTCTTCTGATTAATTAAATCTATCCACTAATTATGTTTATTGCGTTATAATAAAGATCGATATGAAGTTTATTTAGATTATTAATGTAATATAGATTACTATTACTTTATCAACTCAGATTGCTACTCAGTATTTCTAATTGTAAAGTCAGTTGGAGTATGCAAAGATGTACTAGGAGTCTTTTTGCTATTATCCTTCATTTATTTTTTAGGAGATTTATGAGTTAGACCTGCTAAGAAATTTTTCAAAGACACATTTTATGGAATCACAACTGAGGTACTCGCACAAGATGATTTCAACTTTAGATTGTTTATCAGATTTTTGACATCTTTTCTTTATTGAGGACAATAAAATTGTTTTTGTTGTGTATCATATCTATCACATATCTAATTAATTGTTTATTTATTGAATGAAGAGGTTCTCTTCTTCTCAGCTCCTTTATTCATTAAGTTAACAATATTATTTTTAATATAATTCTGGGTTTATAATTAATTACTAAATAGATCAAACATAGTGACAAATTATAGATTCAAAATTTATAGTAGATACATAAATTTCTCATATTACATTCCACGCATTCCTACCCTACTTATTTAAAATGTGAGAAGAGGCTCCAGAAAACATGAGCATGTCAGCTATATCAAAATGAGAATATGCTATAGCCAAATGCAAGGGGGTGTTTCCATCATCCTTTTTTAGTAAAAAAATACATTTTATATGTTGATATCTGCTCCTCTCTTTATCAGTTCTTTGACAATATCCTTATTTCCACTTTGAGTGGCTAAAGTTAAGAATGTTTCATTTTTTTAGAATCTGTAATCAGTATACATTTCTGGCAGCTATTTAAAGTTTTCCAAAAACTAATGTCTTAAGGTTTTTATTTACTTCCTAATAATTATTATCCTCTATAGCAAACTTTACTTGATACTTTTGATCATATTTCTGCCTTCTCGTTTGTTCCTCTGCATGGCTTCTCATTCTCAATGAGTGCTATTGCATACTTGATATCTAAAGAGATAATATATAAAAATATAAGTATTTACTTTCTATTCAAAGATCTTATTGATTAAATTTTCTGATTTTGTTTTATGATGCTTGATTTTTTTATCGTTCTCTACTTCAAGATTTTATGGTTAAATTTTTGCTTACTGCTTTTAAGTATCTACTTCTAATATCTTCTGTGAGCTGATCTCTAATTTGCTATTTGAAGATTTAATGGATGAAGTTTCACTTAAATCTGCATTTGATTTACTTTTTTGTATTATTTTTGTTCCTGAAACGTTGACTGATTATTACGATTGGTTGGTGGGTTTTGTTAAAAATTAGGTAGTAGATTGTGTTATAATGTTATTTTGAGTTTATTAATTAGTATGTTAATTGGTTAGTTAATTAGAGTATTGCATCGTTAATCTTGAATTGCTTTGATCTGGTGAATTACTGGTTTATTTTGTTCTTAAATTTGGTTGAATATTTATTGTTTATGTTTGATTTTTTTTTAGTTATTTTTTATTAAGTATATTTTTTTTAATGCTAACTATTTATCTAATCTATTATTCACCTTTAGCACTTTATTAATTGGTTACTTATTATTATTGTTATTAATGCTACTAATTGTTTTGTTGTTACGACTTTTAACTTTTTTATTAATTCTCTACTTCTTTTAATTTTGGAATTTCAGGTAGATTTTATAAAGTCTCTATTAAATCCTGGTGTTCTATATCGATAACCTTTTCCTTATCTTGATATCTCCCAATTAATATTTAGTCGTATCTGATAGCTAATTAATCTATTACTCTCCTTTTTAAAAATGATTTATCATAATATTTTTCCAATTATTTATAAGCCCAACCATCATTATCAGTATTAATAGAATCTAAAACTTAATTTATAGGTTTAGCTTGCTAAGGAAACGTTAATAATTAGTTTTTCGTGTTTTGATCTAGCGTACTTAAAATGCAAACAAGATCAAGTGGTTATAAAAAATGATTTTTGGCTTTCTTAATAACAGTCAACTACCCAGTTGATATGGCTGATATAAACTTAAACATAAAAAATTACATCTAAAATTTTTTAAGTCATCCTCTATAAATATTGTTTCATCCTTTTCTTCTTCCAAATTGCTTAGCGACTTAATGATATTAAGCTTTTTACTTTCGTAGTCGTCTTATTATAATCCTGGCCTAAATTTATTTAAAATTAAACTTTAAATTGGTTCTTCTAAACGTAAATCCAAAGATAAACTTTAAACTGATTCACTTGAAGAAAATGTTTCAGTTGAACCAAAGTTAAAGTTTAAGGATAATTTTGGTTAGTAAATAATGAATTTAGGAATGTCTAAATTTTATTCTAATGTAGGTCCAATCTATTCTAATCCAGGTACTTCAGTTGCTTAAAAGTTTCTGAATATACAAAGATAAAATACATATTTGTTAACTTAATCAATTGTTGCTGGGAAGTAAAATAATCCTCAATTTCTTGGAGATTCATACCAACAAAAGTAGTTTTTCTGGGCAATTTATGCAATCTACCTTGATAATAAAGTCTGACATATAAATTAGACTTAAATAAATTAATATATTTATTTACTTTTGAGAATTCTTAATTAAAATCTAGATTATTGTTTTCTTCTATATTAGGAATGCTCTAGACACTTGATAATTCCTCTTTAATTATTTATTGAGAGACGGAATGCCTTAAATTAATATGTTTTTAAGAGTAGTGCGCAGATCCAGAATGTTAAAGTATTCTTTTCCCAGGAGAGCTAGCTTATTTAGGAGGAGATTATGCTTATTAAGCCTCTTCAATAATTTAATCTATTTAAATAAATTTCGGCCTGTTGAAAATTTGAATTTCATTTTCTAATTTATCGTTAGTTATAGTAATTGTAAATTAATCTTTGTTTAAATTGATATCTTAGGCAAGATGTTCATTACTACCTGATTAACCAAATTAACTTTTTTTATATTTAGATAGTAGTGAAAACCTCTAGGGTTACTCAATTTCTTTGCTGTTTTCGGTTGTAGCGAGAATCATTTTAATTTTCCTTTGAAATGCCTTATTTGTAGTATTTAATTTAGCTATTTATGAACTAACAATATTATTCATCTTATGAGCATGCTTAATATTTAATTAGTTGACAAATAACTTTTTCTTATAAGTTACTTATTTCTGTTGAAATTATTTTGCTTTATATAATATAAAGTTGCCAGCCTCAAAAGCATCACTTATTTTTTAGCGTTCTTCTTCATGCTTGAGGGTGAATTCAGGGGATATTATCACATTAAAGAGTGATTTAGGCTAAGATAGTTGTAGCAATGTTTACTTGTTTATTGATAAAAAGTGTGGAAACTTGAGATTAGACAGCATTTTTGAATTTGAGTCTAACAGAAAGTTTCTTCATCTTTTTTAACCCCTAAGGGACATCATCTTCTTCCTAAGAATCATCATCTTTATCTGATTCGTAGTCTTAGCCTTTTGATGAATGCTACTCTAATGGTTCTGTAATTTATATTATTGGGATTTAGAGCAATGGAGGTATCTCTGGCAATCTGGCACTATGTTAAGATTCAGTTTAAATTGAAGGCAAAGTACTTTTTCTGGATTCCATTTTTCTTAATTCCCTTGCCTTTTTTTATATAATCAAAAAAGGATGCTGTTCAGATTCAGTATACAATATCATCCTCTCTTATTTGAATCTTTTCTATTGATGTAAATTCTTTAAGTCTGAAGATAAACTTTTTATATGATGAGCTTATGGCTGTTATTTAGAAATATGTTGAGTCTATGTTTTTACTCGAACAGAATTCAAATTTATTGGTTTATTCACATTTTAAGGAGTTGTAATTGGTTTTGCTAAACTGTTTTATTTGTTCAAATTGGATGTCTGAGTCCTTGTTGATGATAAATATTCCGATGCCAAACTTGGTGTTGAAGTATGAGGTCCAAAATAGTTTCCGAATGCTCTATAGAATTTCTAGGTAAATAAATTGAATACTAAACCTTAGTCAAATAGGCTTGGTCAATATAATTTTAATTCATTTTTTATAATTAACAAGAAATAGAAATATTCATACACAAATTTGTAATTAATTAATATTGTTGAGAACAATTTGAGTAGTTAACAAAGTAATCAATAAATTATAACTAACAAATAAGATTGAATAAGTAAATATTTATGAGAATTTAATTTTCAATTTGACAATTGAATATCTATTTTACTATAGCTAACTACAATACTTTACTTCAGATATTGTTACTGTTTCTTTCGCAATTCAAATAATGATTATCATATATGCATATCAACAGATCATTGAATTCATTTATTCCTATAAGTTAAGATATATGATTTAAAAAATATGATAATAATGAAAAAAATGTAAAACAGATTTTGCTTATGCTTGAAAATGAATAATAACTTGTTTCTTAATTCCATTCTACCTCTATCTCAGAAATATTTCTAAACTAATTTTTTTGTATGCAAAATATTAATGTCGTAATTTTAAGTTGTTAATTCCATAATCAAATAGGAATCATCACTTAATGCCATTTAATTCTCTCACCAAGCAGGACGGAGAGGTGACTCTTCTAGCACATAATTCATCATTGTTATTCCTGGATTACCCATCATCCTAGCTATTTCCATCTCATGATTAAGCATCATAACATCCATGGGTGCCGTTTCAATAAATGGCTTTGTTAATTGTACAAACAATGAGTATTCTTGTAGTTCCGACGCATAATCATTTGACAAAAATGATAATTCCTCGTTCTACTCTAGTCTTAATAAAGGCCACTCATACCAATTTTACTCTTGCCTCTTAATGATGTTTATGCTTATGTACTGAGTATTGTTAGAATCAGAATCAAGATGACCACCTTCATGGTAATTTAATTAATAACTAATATAAATCCGTTTTTTTCTAGATAATATTTTTCAAAGTATCAAAATGGATAACTACTTTTTATAGTAATGTTTTCGATGTAGATATGGGTTGGAATTATTTCAAATTAAAAATGTTACAAATTTCATCTTAATATCTAATATCGGATTATTATTAAGAACAAGTATGTTTAAAAGTGATAGAAACTCTGTATTTGTAGTTAAAATGTGTTATCAATAATAAGATTAATTAAATTTTAAAAAAATGCATATGTTAAACTAATATTTTTAAGATTCTGTCAATTTACAATATTATATTTGCTAAAAACTTAGATATATTCTATTTAAGGGTTTGAATCACTTATATGGACTTCATGAATGATATTGTGTTATTAGAATATTTAGATTATTTATTGTAAATTATAATAAAATTGTAGATGAGCATTGGTTAATTTTGTAAAAGTATAGGTCAGTATCAAATAGATTTGACCTCATCGTTAGGGAAAGGGTCATTTGGAGAAGTGTACATAGGAAAGGATACTAAAACGTAGGAGATACTTGCAATAAAAGTTACTAGTTTAAAAGGGAATGAGAAGTAAATAGATTAAACCATAAAATTGTGTCAGAATGAATGTTAAATCATGCAGCGTTTGAATCATCCAAATTTAGTCAAATTTCATTAGCTCTAAAGAACTTAAAATAATGTATATTTCATGATGGAATATTGCGAAGGAGGGACCTTGAATTAATACATCGAAAGGAAGTGTAATAAAAGTTAGTTGAAATATTTGGCAGAAACAGAGGCCAGAATTATTTTGAGTCAAATTGTTAATGGATATTAAGAAATGTATAATTAGAATATTGTTCATCGTGATTTAAAGCCAAGCAATATTCTCATTAATAAAGGAGTGGCTAAGATTTCAGATTTCGGATTTAGTAAAATCCTAAACGATTTTGATAACTAGATACTAATGACTTTTGCAGGGACACCCTTATATATGTCTCCTTAAATTCTGACCTAATAATTGTCGAGACAATATTCTACAAAAACAGACATATGGTCTTTAGGAATTATATTTTATGAAGTCCTTTATGGATAGACCCCTTGGAAGGCGTCTTCAATAAATGAGCTTATGATGAAAATACAATCAGTCCCAATAAGATTTCCAGCGACTCCTCGAGTTTCAGATTAGATGAAATAAATAATATCAAAAATGTTGATAGTGGATGAAAAGGATAGAATGAGTTGGGATGAACTATTTTAATTATAAATCTAACACGATCAAGAATCATTACTGAATATAGGCAAAAGTGTTATAATGATAAATTAAGAAAAAGACATTTTGAAAAAAAAGAATCTAGAAAAAAATCTAAACAGAGGCATTGTTCAGAATATACAACATGGTAGATAACAATAAGAATAGATAGAGAAGGCTTATCCAAAAATAGATGATTACTCAAACAAATCTGGAACAACATAATATACCTAATCTCAGGATAAATCTTCGGTAAGTCCGTCTAGGAAGGAGAAGATATTTTCCTAAAAAGAAAAGTCTGTTTCTCCAATCAAAACCCTTGTGAATTTAAATCAGAATTAACATGTTTTGGGAAAAGAATAGCAATAATAGATTATAAATAATGCTATAATTAAGAAGATTTCAGATTGGATCACTTACAAAAAGAATAAATCAGAATTTTTGAATAAATTGTCTCAATAGTTGTTTGAGTAATGGTCTGCAGGTATAATAATGATATGTATTTATAGCTAAATTCTAATTGCATTAAAGCATCTATCTAGCCATTTGCTTTTTGTTGACAAAGTACTAAGTTTTGATTTTGTATAAGGTCTAAATCAGATTATAGAAAAGGATTCTAAATAAGTATATTCGTTAATAATAATATCTTAGTACAACCAAAAGGTTTACAGAGAAAGAATGGGCCATTTTTTGTTAAAGTAAAGACTACTTTGAATCATTAAAAATGATATAGAGAGATTATAGCTTAATAAAGGAATTTCTGATTGAATTGGTGAAAAAGACATAGGTAGCTCTCAGCGATACCTAAATAGAGGAAATGAAATTAATTAAAACGGTAGCAAATATGGAGTAGGTAGAGAAAAACAAATTTGATTACATTTTCTAAACTGGGTTATAGTATTATCTTAAAATTGTTTTGGATTAATTGCACAAAGAGAAGAATGATAGAGGCTTTTTGGAATTTGCTGTCCGCTTGAAGGATTGTTGCAGAATACATTACATTATAAATTTCCAAGAGGTAGATTTCTTCAAGTATGAGGATGATATCACAAATTCTTCGAACCAATAATTATTAGAGTAATTGCTAAAATGAGAATTTCCCTATTAAATATCTACCCTATAAAATTATTGTTTATAATAATATGATTTTATTTTTTTTACTTTCACTAGTTAGAAGTGGAGAAATCTCGCCATATCTTAGAAAACCAATAGAACCTTCGGTGAATAATGAACTGGAAATATCAGACTACGTCTTCACATATACCACTGCAACCGATATGTTCAAAGGTGATCAATTACTAATAAAATTTCCCACTTAATACACAAGTTTGGCAATAATCGACTATTAAATTACACTTTAGAAATGGAACCCAGATCTGCTAATATGGTAAACAATGACAGGAGGCAGCTGCACTTATATTCCTTCTGGCCCTAATAATCCTTCGCTTTTTAAAATAACCCTACCTGATGTTAAAGCAGGTAATTACAAACTAACAATACCCTCAATACCCAATCCAGCATATGGAGGGACAGGGAACTTCAAGATGGAAACTCGTAGAAATGATGTCTACAAAAAAGATGTGAATTTGATTGATTTTAATTATGCATTTGGAAAAGTGGGAATAGCGAAGGCAGCAACAGATTTAAGTGGAATAAGTACTACATATTTAGCATCTGGTGTAAACTTGATTAATAAAGTGACATTCACATTCTAAACAAATATCTTGATACCAAAGGATGGCAGACTGACTTTAGATTTGTCTAAATCAATTTTATCAATCTCAGATGATCAGTATTCCAGTACAACTACTTTAAAAGGGAACATCACAAGATAAGGAATGATGTTTTAAATAAATGGTTTTGAAGATAATTAAGCAGCAGCATCTTATGAGATTGCAATTTCAGGAATAGTAAATCCAAAATATTCAGGTATTCCTGGAGAATTTACATTAAGAACATGGACTAACAATACGAATACCATACTGAATCAAAAGAAGGCAGTCAATTTGCCATCAATCACTCCAGGAACATTGACAGATGTGACAGTATCTGCTCATTGTACATTGACTGGATAAACTGAAATTATTTCAGTAAACGACATCACAATATATTAAATTACATTTTCTTTAATAAATGCTGTAGAATCAACAGGCTAGATAATAATAAATTGGTTAAGTGGAGGCCTATTTGAATCGTGTTATGTAACTAATGGATTATATGATTAAAGTGAAAATGCGTAAGTTAAGTGCACTCAAAATGCCAATCAGTTTTTGATCTAGAATTTTAAAAGAGTTTAACCTAAAACCTAAATAGTAGTGTAATTCAAAGCAACCAATCCAGCCAGTGCTCCTTTGTCAAATTTAGAAATAAAGACCTATTAAGATTTAGCACAATTACAATTAGTAGATACATATGCAAGTGCAACTGGATTGACGTTGCAATCCTTTCCATAATTCGGTACATTTGATATCACTTTTCCAACACCTGATCATCAAAGAGCAGCTTAAACAGCTACTTGGGTTGTGAATTGGAAAAATGCAATAGTTCCTGCCACATCATATTAATTAAAACTAATATTTAGTACAAGTTTCTCCTTTAGTGGACTGTCTTGCACCGCTGTAAATGATGCAGCTGTGACTGACACTGGAACATGTTCTAGTAGTGGATCCACTCTGACATTCACTTTTGGAAATACTGCATTTTCATCGACAAATAATAACTAACTTACAATTGTAGGTGTGAAGCATCCCACAACTCCAGGGGAATATGTAGTTGCTGTAAACTTAATCTCAAATCTGAATGTTGTAGTTTCAAGGAGAACAGTTTATTTCTAGGTATTACCGTACAAATTAACTTCAATTCAATCCTTTCGATTGTCTCAAGATTAATTGATAAAGACCTTGATTTATTTTAAGTTTCCTGCTTTAAATGATATCCCGAGTTCAGAATGGCAATAGGATTTTAATATAATGACTTCTGAGATTTGGGTAGAATTTTAAACTGTGGATTCATTTCATCCAGCCCCTGCCAATTATTAATTTTTAACTGACTTGGGTACAGGTTTGACAGATCAAGCAAACTTTCCATGTTACGGTTATTCGAAATTATAACCTCTAAGTGGAAATTCAGAAATAAAATGTACATTAAATAAGCCAAGCGCTACACCTGATCCTGCAAGAGTTAAAGTTCATCATTTTAGAGCAGTGTTAAAGAATGAATAATTCGAGTTGCATCTACCGAATATTCAGAATCCAGAATGTGAATCATACTTGGTAACTGTTGATGATCTATGTCGATCGACTGCCTCAGTAACTATTAAGATTCTCCTAAAAAAGAACAGAAGATAATATATAATGTATCAAAATGATCCAACTGATGTTAATTTGATCTTCCCTGCTGTCCTACCTAAGATAGTAGTTAAGAACAAATACAATGACAACTTAGTAGGGGGACTGCCATCACAAGCCTCACCGAAGTTTGTGCCTACAACAATCAACCAATAGTCTAGCATTTAAATCAGATATGAGCCTGGATCCACTAAACCTCTAAAATCAGCAGTTGACACTTCTTAAGGCATTATATTTATCTTCCCGTAATTGCCAATAACAGATCCTTAAGCCTACATTGTAAACAAGAATGTTCAATGCAGTTTGGGATTGCTAACACAATTAAATTGTTATGCATATAGAGAAGTTGGGTGGGTGGTTGTTATTCCAACTGCATTGATGGACATACCAGGAGCAAGTGCTCTAGATGTAACATTTTATTTGAAAAATTTCATAAACCCTTATTATGCAGCTGATCCAATTGGGTACATTCAGATTATAACAATTAAAGACAATCAATAGTGGGAGCGCATGATCTTCCAAGATTTATCAAATTTTAGTCCTGGATCTGCAAAATCCGTTTAGGTAACATCTAGAAGATACGAAGCCAATATGATCGATGTAGAATACAATTGGTTGTTTTCATTCAATAATGACATACCTGCTGGCGGCAAAATCTATTTGATTTATGCAGTGAACTTTTATGATCATGGTGGTGTAGGGAGAACTATAGATTTCGAAGTCAAATAAGGATTAGAACCAGCCACCGATGAATTTTTAAGTAGCAAAAATACAAATATTTACATAATAGAAAAATTCAAACCTTACACCAAAGGAACTGTTATCAGTATAAAAATGACAGGAGTAAAAAACCCACCTAAGGCTGGATTGACAAATCTGTTTGGTGTATCCTCATTGACTTCAGATAATTACTATATTGATTCAACAACAGATGTTGCAGCCATGACGATTATTCAACAAGTACCCATAGGGGAAATAGTATTCAATCATTTTAGAATGTATCCAGATAATGGATCACCTCCAGATTCCATATTTCCAGCCACTTATGAAATCAGTTTTTATCCCACTCGTAATATCCCCAAAAACGGCGATATTTTTATCACCTTTCCTTAGGATTTTTAAGCCTCATCACAATGGGCTACTTTACCTAGTGACCCACTTGAGTCACTCTCCCACTCTTTTCTGGATACCATAACTGATGATTCAGACATTAGATGTTATGTTAGTGGATCTCTTAAAACAATGAAAGATTGTTCTATTGAGAATTTGACTGTCAGAATCACTCTTGATACAGAATTGAGAATTGAAGCAGGCATGGAGCCAGTCATAGTTACCATATTAAATGTTCGAAATTTCAATGAAGACAAAAACTCTGGAGTTATAGTTGTTCAGACTATCTATGATGCTGTTGTGTTAGATGATAGTGGTACCACTGAGACTAATAGGAAAGCCACAAGTGGTTTGAAAGCAACCTTCATGACAAATACCCAATATTCTCTTCTATACTATCCTCTAACTGAAGGTGTCCAAGCAACCTACGAATTAACTCTCAAACCCACATTAGACATTTAGGTCACTGCAACCATCGTAGTGGAATTTCCAGCTATGTTCCCTTATGGTTTAGGTGGAAGTGTAGGATGTGACATTCCATTGTTAAGCAAAGCAACTAATGATCCTATTTAATGCAGTGTCTCTGCATGGTAAATTACACTGTCTAATTTAAAGGCCTATGCTCCAACTGCAGATGGTTTTGTGGTGATAATCACTGGTGTTCGAAACCCTAATTAAATAGTCACCTCATCAACTAAATAGCTCAAGTAAGGCATCAGAGTGTACATCATGTCCAATGCAACACATGCCCAAGAATTCGTTTCGAATATGGGGGTTCTCTCATTTACTCCGGCTGCTTCCATACTACAATTACAACAATTGTACATCACATCCTCCAACACAAGGGATTATGCTGATTACACTCTTGAATTACAGCCTGAAATCAATGGATCTCCAACTAAATTTAAGTTGGACTTCTAAAAGGGTTATTAAATAGCTTCTCTGTGGAGTGAAAAGAAATTGACTTTGGATGGTAACCCATTTGACGTTGAACCTTCAGGCAATAGTTTTAGTTTTGATACTACGTTCACTGCCGATATAACCAAAACCTTCTCAATTGTAGTCCAAAAACTACCAAATCCTTTGGATGAGGGTATTTGTCCAGGCTATCCAGATCTATCCCTTTATGATGGCACTACTAAATAAATCATCATGTAGACCTATTCGAATTTAATGCAACCCTCCACACCAGACTTTAAACATGCAGGTAAATTGATTATAATTGATGATGATGATCCCAACCATTATATCGAAGCTGGAACATATACCAATAACATTACATTGTCTTTGTACCCAGTAGAAGCTGCATCACAAACGATGGAGATATCGCCATTGTTTGATGAGGCTTTCAAGGATATATTGACAATAACTCCAATGCTAATAGATGCTGGTTAGAAGACTGGATAATTTAGAATTGGGGTGGATACTTCAATTGCTGTTTTGAGAGTGGTCATAAAATTCACCCATGAAATTAGTGATTACATCCCAGTTCGACCTATTTATTTATGGATCTAAAGATACAAAAGTACAATTACATATTAACTTAGATATTTCAATAAGTGTGAGCGATGTATTTTAGGTTCCAGCTGGAGGCAGAAGCAGTGTGTAAACTGTGGAAATGTCATATGGATCATATAAACCTATTATATTCTCATTCTATCTCTTGAATAACCAACCAAAATACTCAGCAGTCTATCCAAAAACAATTACTCTGAGTGATGGTCAAAAGACTGGCTAGTTCTGGGTTTCATGTGGAATGAATACGGAAGGTGCAAATGGATAGTTATTGACAATAATATCTGGAGATGACAAACCAACATTCTAAGTAGCCAATAGAGTCAGAAACTTTAGTGTGATCAATCCTGACTTAAACATTCCCTTCATAGTCATTAAATAGATTATGCTTGCTGCAGATTCCTTGGTTTAAGTTCGCATAGTCACGAATGAACCATGCACAATCTATTTTGCAGTTGTTCCCACTTTTATTAGAGAGATAACCTTACAGTAAATTAAAAATAAAATATTGCCCTATGATTACTTTAATTATCCATTTATCTTTGGCGAATATGTTTATGATTCACCAACCTATGAATATCAAATACTTGTAGATTCATTACAAGTTTCAACAGCCTATTAATTTGTGGCCTTTGTTGAAGACTACTCTGGAAATCTCGCAGATGCTCCTGCCATTCTATAATTCAACACTACTAACTACACAGATCCTCATTTAGATTCACTCTCACTCACATCAAGTCCGACAGTCATTGCAGATACTAACACTTCATTAACATTGTCAGGTCTCTCAGGCAAAATTCATGCAATAGCCCTTAAAAACCCATCTTATATATATTAAAACCATTTTGCAGCAGACTCTTCAGTGTTAAGAAGCAGAAGAATTTTATAAGATTCAACTACAACGGATACAACTTCAACTGATACAACTACTAATACTACTGACACAACTACAACTGATACAAATACTACTGATACAACTAATTCCACCAATACTAATGATACGACAACAGACACTGATAATAATAGCAATTCAACTGGCATAGGTGTCATAAAATCAGATCCATATGTCCCTGATGCTAGTGATTACACCTGTAAAGTCTTGAGTATCAACTATCTCACCCAAATTTGTGAACCAGTAGCCGATCGTAAAGCCAACTTTACCAGAATCGATTATTATGCTTAATGTTTACTATTCTATTTAATTTTAGAACTTATTATACCCCCAACAGGCAAACAAATTTCAAGAGGAGAGAATCACGAAGGAATACTAGTAGAACATTATACGACTTCTTCTGTATACTCTATTTTTAATATTCATAGGATGGAACTATTAAATTTGCTAATCTAGTCCCAGATAGTGATTACTTCATCTTCATCATTCAAGAATCAAATTCATAATTTTCATCTAAACCGCTTATGGTAAAAGGGACTACAAGAACCTTATTTGAACTCTACATCCTGAAACTGCTAGTACCAGTATTAATATATATTTTAATTTGATCACATAGCATTATTATTTATATTTTAATCTCTTTTTAAATAGGAGATTATATATTAAAATATAATGATTATATTCATCTGTTAATTTTATCATTAGTTTAGCTTAGTTTAATAATTATGGTTTTTTTTAAGATATACATACTTATTTTGAATTATTGATGCAATCTTAATATTTCTTAACTAAGTAATTAGTTTAATTCATTAATATGTTTCAATGTTGAAATCACAAATTAATAATTATTCTAAATGTATAAGGATGATGTTTACTAAAAGATTAGTTTTATTCTTAGTTATAATTATTATATAAAAATGGCAATTAAATTTATTACTTTACAATAAAAATGTACAATTAAATTTTTAATCATTGATTTCCAACATGAGAACACCAATATATATAAAAGATTATCCCACTTAGATTCATAAATTAAATGAATAGTATGTTATTCGGAATATACAAATTCTGAAATTAGAAATGAAAATGTAATATAAAAGTTTAATCAATGATTAACATTGGTTTTTAAACAATATTTCTAAAACTTAAATTCATAAAAAATGAATCTTTTATAATGATTTTGTTTACTGTTAGAAGGAAGATATCATTCTATTGAGGAATCAAAGGATAAGATTAGGCTTAAGTCTCAGATTAAAATTTTTTAAAAGAGTAATTAAGTTGAATTATGAAAATGCTATGTATTAGGTTCATAATTACAAAAATTAGTTTTAGATATTATATTAACTTGCAACCAATTATTCATTTTAGATTTCATTCACGAATTTTGGTGATCATCCATAGTAGGTTCTTCGAATAATAGGTAATATAGGTTTATTTTATAATGTGAAGTGTGTAGCTTTTTGTTATTTAATTAGTTAATCCAATTTGAATATTTAGTTTCTAACATAATTTTTATATTTTATTAATTTTGATGGACAAAGAACAAGCGTTGCCAACCCTGTAATAGTAAGAGAAGGAGCTTGAAAAGAAGCGTACAAAACAAGGCTTGGATTTGCATTTCAAATTATTTAATGATCTCTTGAAATTAAAATATGCCTCATACACAAAGACAGCATTAATGCTAATTATAGCATTTATCCATCACTTTCTGACATAAATAAGATAGTACTTAAATAACTATTTTCAGATACAAGAGCTTAATAAACATTCACTATTAAACTGAATCGACGATCCTTGATTAAATGATTGACTTTTGCACTTATTTCGACATCCAGGGCTTATTGAGACAGGATATTACAATAAACTACATAATGTTGTCAGTTTTTTTATTAGCCACAATAGGAAATACTATTCTCTACTTCATCCTTTATATATTATAAGGAGATGATTATAGAGTTCGTAAGAGATTTTTGGGGAAGGTAATTTGATAAGTTTGTATGTAGAAATTCGTACAATTGTCAGAATGGTATGTGTGGTTATTACATTATCCAGCAATGGTTGTGTTTTTTGAGAATATGGTTTGTGGACCTACAATAGACTGTACAAAATCGTCAGTAAGAGATATTATGATATCTCTGTCTGTGATAGGGTAATTTGGATGAATTAAGTCTTAGGGTGTTTTTTGGAACATTAAACAATTGTTTCTTGAGTGTCTTTTTTCATAACAACATCAATTAGAAGAAGGACTGTTTTAATACTGAGAACTCACTTTATCTGGTAGCCTTTCAAATATTCCGTACGATTCAGGCATTTCTCTTAACTTTCAAGTTCATATATAAATTATTTTCATAGTTCAAGTGAATATGCATTTGTTTGGGTGATGCTCATTGTAATATTTTTTGGGTATAGTTATTTTTTGATGAATTGTCTATTCTTTAGTGGTTACATGGCATTTGCAACAACTTCGGTTAGGAACACATTTTAAATCTTATTGATAATTATGGTTTCAACTAGTTTTTCGATGATAGTAGATGAGTTGTATAGGTATAATACAGCCAAACACTAATTTGAGAATTTTAGCATATTTTTTACTGTTTCTTTTATATTCCTTTGTTGTTGTTTTACTTATAATTTGAAGAATTCTAATTTTAAGGATATAAATTTTGAAAATGCAGAGGATAATCAGATAAACAAATAAATGTTCATAATGAGTACTCTTTTAGAAGTATCGAATTAGGATATCAATGTTGATTTATTCTTCAAGGGAATTCTCTAAAGACATATGGAAGTCGATTGTAGACACACAGTAATACAAGGAGAAGGTAGATGTTTTTGTAAGAAGAAAAAGATATTTGATTCTAAGAAGAAGAAAGAAGTAATTTTGGATGATTGGTTGATTCATAAAAACATATTTGTTAAATTCCTAATGAAATCATGGATTGAAATTAAATTAAATCAGAATCCTAATTCGGTTGAATTGTTGATACTGTATGCTAGATTTATGTTTTATAAGTTCCAAAATCATTAAGTTTCATTGCACATATTATCAGAATTAGAAAAGCGTTTTCTCTTCATAATCAATAGATATAAAGCATATCAGTTGAAGACTTAGATTATGAAATATGTTAAGCATAGAAATTAATAAAGTTATCGAGAAAAATTAGAGACCCAGAATGCACTATATATTGAGGATATAATAGACACAATAAAGAAGAATATTAACAATATAATGATTCAGAATTGTGTATTTTGGAAATGTTTATAGAAAGAAGTTATTGATTTGGAAGAATTGGATGAATTACTTAAGAATCAATTTGATAAAATAGAGTCTACGAATCAGTTGTGGGTCTAAATACAAAATTATCTTGACTTTAAAAAGAAGTGGAAATTCTATTATGCTTGGTTTACTCTCTATATTGAGAATAAGAAACTGAAGAATAAAATATTGGATAACTTTTAGGGACTGTCTGTTAATGAGAATGATATTTTCTCTGAGGAACTTCAAGAAAACAATTTGGAAGAAGACATAGCTAGCATTAAATCTGATCAAGAACAAAAAATAGATATGGATAAAATTGATATCAAGAGCAAGCGCATAGTATTTGATAAAAAAGCATGTATAATCTAAACCAGTGATGATCCAGATGCCATCATTATTAAAGTGAATAAATAATTCACTAAGATCTTTGGATATACAAAAGAAGAAGTTTCTATGAAATTCCCAATTGCATAATTGATGCCTGATATCTATTCAAAAGTGCATCCATCTTTATTAAATGATTACAGATTGACTGGAAAAGGACATTCCCTATATTCCCAAAGAAAGGTGTATTGTATACATAAAACTGGATATATGTTTACAGCATAGAAGTTCTTGAAATTGTATGTGGATTTGAATGGATGTTCTTAGTTTGTTGTAATGTTAAGACCTACAGATATCAACAATGAAAAAAAACATGATGTGATAATCTTGAATTCAGACTGGGAAATCAATGGAATGACTCCAAATGTTATTCAATCATTACAAATTGATTAGGATTTATTCCAAAAATAAAAAGTATAAACACTGGTTAATTTACTACTATTTGCACCTAAATTAATATAATTTAGCAGAGCCTGTTCATTAATAAACGAATAAACTGATTTAGAATTATTTGGTATGTAAAAAATTAAGAAAAGACGAGAGTAGACAATTAAATCAATTAAATCAAATATGCTATAGGACAAAATCAAAATTTAAGTAAATATGGCTCATTCAGGATCAAGTAATTAAGGAATTCCTAAAAGTGCCAATGCCATATCCTCAGATGATTAACAATCTAATTATCATTAAATGCAATCATTAGAAGTGCCTGAAGATAAATAGTTCTTTCAATATGCTAGTAGTGTTAGTGATAAAAACGAGGCTCAAGATTTCAAGCATCAAATTGATTAGTATTCAGAAATGCAAAATAATATGAATGAATAATTGAATAAAAAGGTAGATGAATAAATCAAACAAATGTAAGAGACCTAATATCAAAATAATTATAAAAGAATTCAAACCAAATTCGATAATAATCAAGGAGACGCTAGTGATGATAATCTTAGTAGAGATGAAATTATCAAAATGAAAGGATAATTTATATTAGAAGGCAAAGTAAATAATGGAGAACCCATTACTTTTCATATGAAACTATCTGATCAATTTATGACAGCTTGTAAACATTATTCTGATTCCAAATATAAGTTATATTAAATTAAAAAGTAACAAGATGATGTAAAATATATCAATATTTTAGCATGTAAAATAAGAAGAAAAGCAAGATCAAGAAAAAGAAAATAAAAAATCCAAGGTTAACGAATCCAAGCAATTAGTCAAATAGGGAACTTAACAAAGAGAATTCAAAAAGAAAGCTCGTTTGATGTTTTAAAAAGCAGCAGAAAGAAGAAAAAATGATGAAGACAGAAGTTATTATGAATTGATCAAAGAAATATATAGGGATATATTGAAAAACCAAACCAAAGTTAAATCTTATAAAATCATTTGCACTATGTCATTTTACAAAATTAGAGATGAGAGAATTGGCATTATGAAAGTTACCAATATTCAAGAGATCTTAAAAAATAAAATAAGACCTGCTGCCAAAAAACAATCACAAATGTTGCAAAAAGGCTATTCAAGGGGTATTTTGAATTATTATATTCTAGACTTGTCTCATTTGCGCAGTATCTAAAATATTGATGGACCAAAATATATGACAATGACTAGTGATGGAGAAAGTAAAATAATATCTCCTCCCTTACCATATTCTACATAACCAAATTCTAAGAGTAATATCAAAATTAATAATAATAAATCTCATGGACTTGGGTATCAATTATAAAAAGAGGATAACTTAGAAGACCCAGATGATAAAGATGCTTTAGTCAATTATAAAGGTTAACCTAAAATGATTAATTGGGAAACTTTTTAGAATTAATTTAAAATGTAATAAGGCACACAAAGTTTTTCTCTTAATGTTCTTGACAATATTTTTAGAAAAGAAGACAATAACAAACCAAGAAAATTCTTAGTGAAAATATCATATTTGAGTTGGTTTCTCAGATTCATGTACATCACCATTTTGACCTTGAATCTAATCACGTACTTTCTTAAACCTTACACTGTAATTATTCTATTATTTATATATATTAGGATTTCATACCAATTAAGAATCAATCTTCTAGAATATTTCAACTTTCTTAAATGCAAACATATTTAATTGAAGCATATGACACAGTAATGGATATCCTGTTATATAAAGATGCTGATTTTACTACCTTATTAGTAAATGGAGTTGCTCTATAAACATAAGAGGAATTCTTTTCTTATCAAACAAAATAAATTGATTCTGGATATGAGTTTATCAAATAGCAAATGAATGATCTAGATTAATAAGACACATTTTTAGATGACACCATATTCTTTAGTAATTCTGTTATTGATGAAACTATTTTTGATATCTAAAGTGTTCCTATAACTCTAGATTATAAAGATGCTTTTACTAAGGTTATTTTGGTAGAACATCAGATATCCATCATGACAGCAGAACAATTAATTTAATTGACTGACAGCAACTCTCTTGTGAAATACATTAGGAAGGTCACGATACCTACTATATACGAAGAGCTAAACACTGCTATCATAATACTCTAAGAAATGTTGAATGATAAATCGAACTCTATGTCCAACTTTGTAATTACTGTACTAATTATGGAATCATGCATATTTATTATTGGCTTTTTTGGATTGTTATTGATTATAGTGTGGATATGTCAAACTTTTAAGGCTGTATTAAAAATGTTTATAATGATTAAGAAGAATGATCTCAATAAAATTGTCAAATAGTAATAATTTGTGTAGACTTAATTTCAGTATATTTTGGCAAAAGATGATGAGATATCAGGAATTAATCCTCAGTATGAGAAAAAATGTATAATTAATAACAAAACTAATTACTAATAATAACAGAATTTTTTGTTGATCAATGAAATTGAAGATTAAAATATTATGAAAAGAAAAGAAAAAAAAATTCTAGAAAAACAGTTACTTAGAAAACTCACAATTAAAATGTCTTTTATTTACATCTTATTTGTTGTGGTTTCTTCATCAGCTTCCTTATTATTCTTTATGACATTAAGTGACTCATCAAAAAAAATAACTTAGGTAATTTCTATTGGCTAAAATTCTATATTTGATTTTAGTGATAGTTAACTATTATTAGTTTCTGTAAAGGAAAGATTCTTTAACACTGAGGAGTATGACTCATAATGTTTACCTACTATTAAAGACATTTTAGAATCATAAGTTTCAGATATCAATGTGGCCCCATCAATAGATAATCCAAATTATGGTAGCTATTATGATAGTTTCCAATCAATTTATTTCAATAATCTATGTTTATACCTTTATGAAAATGCTTTCCTTGATGATGTAGCGTACAAAGATTGTGAAACTATGTTGAATGGAAAATTAAAGCAAGGAATAGTCGCTTTTAATCAACTATATTCTTCAGTAACTCAGGGTATTTTATAATTTATGAATTTTAGATTATGTTTTGAACAAAGAATCAAGATTTGGTTAAATTAATTTAGAATCTATTTGGCAGTATAATGTAGCTATAGATTATATAAAATCGGCATTCAAAGTGCTTTTGACTAGTTGGTCTAATGATTTGGGATCTCTAATCGATGAGGACTATACTTTAATATTGGTGTTGTTAATAGTGATGGTAGTGTTTTAATTTTTAGTGTTTATAATTGTAGCAGAGATGTACTTAGTTAATTAATTAAATAAAACATTTTAGTTTTACAGAAAGATTTATAAATCCTACATGCCTAATGATATAATTCAAAAAGAGAAGATCATAAGGGCTTCACTAATCAAATACAATATAATAAAACGATGACTAATATTATTATTATTTTATTTATCACCTAAAACCTCCATCCTCAACTTATTAAATTGGTTGCATTCCCTCTTTGATCTTATTCAAGACATTCAATTTCCATTTGTCTAGAGGTATAATCTTATTGAAATCAAAACTGTTATTAATATATTATAATTACCATTCATCTGAAAACATCTACACATTATTATTGTCAACAGCCTTAATTAGATTAACAACAAATTTATATTATCTGGCTGAAGCGAAACTAGGATCTTTATCTAAGTATCTCTCAAGGGCAATTCCACATCCAACTGAATCCTATTTTAATTCATTTTTGATATATTTACATTGTTGCATAAATAAAGTAAACACGATTTAAAATATAGTTCTTTGGCACTTGGAGCTGTTAATTTGTTTTCCATGTATTTGTCACCAATTTCTTCAAAAATCTAATTAATAAAACCCAGTAAAACCTTAATGGCAGCGATCAAATCACCAGTGGCATTTAACGTTGACAGCTCTGCAACCTTTAATCTCATTTAATGATATTCGGATGTTCGTTTCCCATCTGCCTAAAATAGATCTGCAGCTTCTTGATAAGCTTTGACTGCTAGATGGAATTCAAACTCGGATTCATAAATTTAAGCAATTTCCTTCTTGTACCTTGATGCATTGTCTAACCTATTCTCATTAGCATAATGTTCTATTGCTTTCTCGTACAATTAGATTGATTCTATACTCAAATTATGTTAGTATACCAGCTTTATTGACATTACTTATTGCTTTGGCTGCTTCAATATAAAAATCACCAGTTTCCCCAGATTTCAGAGTTTAATCACATGTTATACAACGCTAATATGCTTCACATGCTTTTTCCCATTTTTTGCCCAATTTATATTGTGTTGCTGCTGACTTATACAATTCAAGAGCCTTTTCTGCTCTTTCTCCTTTTGATCCAAAAATATTACCAAAAGTTGAGCCTTCATTTATGTCAAATAGCTACCTTTAAGCGCTTTGTCTCCTTTCATCATAAATTCATCACCTTTTAGTACATAATTAGAATCCATATATTTTTAAATGAAATAATAATGGAATGATATTAACGAAGATGTTAACATGATTACTATACTAAAATCAAAATTTAAACAGACCAGTCCTACTCAAATCTGTATTGACATTTAATACTAATGAGATTACTAGTCCTACGATCATGAAGGATTGTTGCTTAAAGACAAGATAGTCTACAAAGGAATACTTCGGAATTACACTTTTGTCTTATAACGAAAAGACAAGAGTGAATTCATACTAGACTTTAATCAATACCCTATTTGTATTTCTTATACTGATATTTTAGAATTATCCATACTTTCCAATGATGTCTTTTAATTATCGGTTTTAAGTTATTAGTTTTAGTTCCAATCTCTCACAAATAGCAAACAATGGATTCTCTCACTCAACTACTATATTAACACATCCAAACCTTACTGTTTTCAAACCCCTTAGCCTAATTTCTTCCTTTAGCATACAATCCCCTTTGATATTTTTGAAAAGAGAGCTGAGTCCTTGGATTTACTGCTTTTTAAAAATAAATCTATTGCTTGCTAGCTCTAAAGATTGATAACCAATAGTGAATATGGTAAACACCAATAAAATTATTTAGATCATGTTGCTCTACTTTTAAGAAATAATAAAAATGTTCTTCATGTATTTGAAGCCAATAGCGACGACGGTGTTTGCATATACACTTGGGATGCTCTGATGTAGAGTAATTTTAAAGATTACGTAACACAAATTAGTTTTAGATAATTATACACTAAAAGGGATATGACATTGCTCTTAAAATTGTAGGATTTCGTTTATAAGAATCATGGCAAAAAATATTCAGCCAACATAATGAAGCTTTGTAAGAAAAGATCAATTACAGGAGTAGAGAAGGAAAACTATTTTTGCTCAGAATTAATCGCTGCTTGTTATAAACATATAGGAATTATGGAAAACGATATATCATCATGTTAATTTTGGCCCAGTATTTACTGTATTTAATTAATTAGAGGACTTTGCAGGCAATATAAAATTAACCAACGCTTAATTAAGTCACGAGATTATTATTTTTTAATGATTTTCACACTATTATTTGAATAATAATATTAATTTATCAACTATTTCATTTTTCACTTGTTAAATAATACATTTTTTTCAGCAAAATGTATTTTATAAACAACATCTCTAAAATGTTAATTTTTAATTCTAAAATTATATTTACAATTTTTTAAATTACTAATTTAAATCTTCTGGTTTGATATAATAGATACCATATAATTGTGAAAAAACTCAAAATTATGGAAAATTCGGTCAACTTGAATTAGCTACTATATCAATCTGAAAATGACAATTCTGTAAGAGATTAAAAATTAACATTAAAATTTCGAAACATAAATTCTACAATGTAAGAGACTTTTTTATATTGACTTATTTAATTAAATCTAGATCAATAATAGAGTAACTGAGTCGTATTTATGATAATTATACAGATATTTTATAGGATTAATAATTTTAATAAGATAGATTATCATTATTTTGCATTAATTAAATGGAGTAAATGAACAAGTACACATTAAAATTTAAAGCAAAAGAAATCGAAGAAAGATATTAGGCTTAGTCATAGTCAAAATAACTAAAGCCCTTATTTTATGGTTTGCTTATTATGGCAATGTCTTTGAATATTTTTTAACTGGCCATAAATGCATAAAGGGACAATTTAGTGATCCCCTATATAAATATGGGATTTATCATTATATGTTTAGTTGGCTTATACGTAATGTACAAGATGGAAGGTTTAACAGCAAAGATTATTACTATTACTAATGCTTATTCTTTGTCATTATAATACAATTTTTCTGCTAATACTCAAGGTTAGGAATACTATTTATACGGCTGTAACTTCTCGCTGATATAGGCTGTGATATACTTTTCAACTGATTTTCATTTAAGTTGTCCCTCTCTCTTACTGCACATAATTTTCCGATAAACATCAACAATTTTATTAACAAATAAAATAGATATTTAGAGTTTGTCACTATCTATGGCCACAGCAATTTTAATTACATGTGTTCTCTATATGTGTAACAAAGCTTATAGAATACAATTTTTAATGAACTATTAATAAGATACTATTAATAATTAATTACATAAATTAATAAATAAACCTTTCTCTAAGATATGGTTCAATGAAAAGAAACTACAAATTGATGTTTAAACAACTGCTTTCCATGAAGAATTTGAATAATATACAAGTGAATTGTGTACTGGATGCAATATCAGAAGTTTTATTAGAAATTGTGAAATAAATAATATGACCCTAGAACAAGCATTAATAAGCGGCTAGGTTAAATTTTACGAAACTTTTGAAGTTAAATTATAAAGAAAGAAAATTAAGATACGATTATGTTAATATAATATAGATAATAGTATTATACTCATTTAAGAAAGTGTTTAAAAAGATCCCATTTAATATAAAAAGGTTTCAAAAAGTTTCTAGTAATCTCTATTCAAATAATTTACTGCCATGAGAAAGACTCCGTAAAATTAGCAGTTCAAGTTTGGAACTCTCTCAATTTTAATGTTAAGATAATTTTAAATAAAAACAATTAACATAAGGAAATTGATTAGGCATTTAATGTCTATCTATTTGACAACTAAGAAGGTAAAATTAAATTTTAATGGAGATTATACAATAAAGATAAGAACATATGGACATTTAATTAAAATATTCTTAATATAAGTTTTTTGTATTTTATAGGATTTAGAATATTAATAAAACTATTTAGAAGAAATTAATATTTTGAATTTGGAAACATACCTGCAAATTAAATTAACAATAATGGACTAATTTCCTTTTTATCCACTTTATTTGAGAAACTATTTTATTGAACAGACAGCCCCTTATTTGCTTTTAAATCCACTAACCTACAATTTGGAATTTTAATTTAGCAAAATATTGCCATATAATGATGTCAATGTAGACTGTTGATTTATTAGTTAAAAATTAAATAAATATTCACTTATATCTATTTTATATCATATAATCTTTCTTTAGAAAATTATAGCCATGATACTATTAGCTATCATTTTACTGAATAATGTAATATTTTATTAGATTTCTAAATACTAGCAGTAAATTTCTTTAACTTCGTTAAGTGCAAATATCATAAATTCTGCAGTGTTTATAAATCATAAATTAATAATAACTTATATTTTAGTATTTAGTAAAATGTACTGTTATCTTAAACTTATTGATTAAAATTTTGTTTAATTATAACTATAATCGACATTAATAATAAAGAGGAATTGTTAGATATTTATTGATAATATTATAATTATCTAATGTTGTTTATTATAATATTAATAGAAGAAAATGCAAATATTTTTATCTTTAATGGATAGTGAATAACACAACTATATATTTATACAAACGGATTTGTTATTTATTGAGTGTAACAATACTTAAGAATGGTACTCAACACATTTGATAAAGTGCATTTATTATAAAAATATATTGATATATATCAAATATAAATTTTAACGTAATATATATCAAATTGATGTTGTTTTTTAATAGTATGAAATATTTGGTATGAATTTTGATTAGAGTAGAGAATAATTAATATATAATTATAATATATGAATAATTAGCCTGTTTATATGTCTGCTGAGCAAATCAACGCTTTATTCCAAAGGGACTCGACTTTTGAGATGAGAGATGATAGAATTAATTCATTTTAGAACGATTTCAAAAAAAATGAAGTATGGGATTTTAAGTTAGTTAAGAATTTGAAGTCTGAAAGTGTTGAATGCGAAGAGAACAGACCAACAAATTAGAGCGAGAGCATGATGATGAGTAAGTATTATTTGGTCTAAGGTTTAAAGTAACTAGGGAGGAGTACCAGGGTTTATAGTAAGAATACGACAGACGCAAAGATATGGAAGAGAAATATAAAGAAGATATCAATAGATTAATGAGGGAACTTAAACAAAAGTGCAGCGAATTGGATTATATGAAAAGAGAACATGAGATTTTTTTGGAACAGAATCAAAGAAGAGAATGTATCCTTTATTAATAAATGAACAGCAACACTTTAGAATCTGAGACAGTAGATTCAAGAAGCCAATAATAGAGAGTAGAAGGCTGTTATTGAATTAGGGGAGTTGTATGAATAGAATATGTAAGTGAAACAACAATTGGAGATTGTCCAATAGAAGTATAACAATTTATAAAAGCAACACAAATTTGAAATTGATAGAAAGGATAAACAAATCGATTAATTTAAAATTCAAATCATGCAACTCAATGAGGACAATGAAAGACTAAAGGCGGAACACCCTACAGGATTTCTCAATCTCGATTCTCAGAGAGTTTCATAAGACAAAACCCAAAATCAATGGGCATAATTTAATTCGAGTGCTTACAAAAGCAGTATTTAATTTTAAAAGGAAAAACCAGTTACTCAAATTTAGTTTAAGAGCAATTACGACTCCAAAGTTATTTTCGGAAAGAAGTCTCAAAATACATTAAAATACCAATAGTCACAATAAGATTTGTAGCCCAAAGGATTGTGAGTCAAAATATTATATATAAATTTATATTTTAATGGCTCCCAACAACAATATTTTTATGTTGTATAATTCATAAAATGCTTATCTAATAAATAACTCGAATTTTTAACATACGATATATAGACTTATTTAAGAAGTCTAAAGAAATCCTATGCTGGAATAAATTTAACTCTATTATAAAGCAAATACTTAGATATTATTCAATTTGATTTTTCTTATTTGGGTTTTGTTTCTACTGTTGATATTATTCCAAATTCTACTGAAGAAGCGCCTTTTTTGGATTCGAACGACTCATCAACTTGTTCAATATTAAAAAAATCAAGTCTGTTTGAAACCAATTTAAATGGAAAAGAGTTTTCACACTTTTTTTAGAATGCCTTAAATAATCCATCTAATTACACTTGATAATCTAAAGGAGAATCCATCGAAGAATTGATTTTCTATAAATGAAAAGATTGTAGCTCCTACTAAATCTAATCTTGGAAATACTATAAGATTCATAATCAAAAAGAAAAGAGCAGGTAGATACTTCTGTTGGAAGTTCAAAGAAAAACATAAGAATTTTTATGTTTCCTCATCATCATTTAATGCTCTAATTTAATTTTACACTATATTACCTTCTCATCTAATAAATAAATGACAAATTCCAAAAGCCAAATGAATTTGCAATAAGCATCTCGTCATCCAAATAAGAAAACCCAAAGCAAAAAGTTACAAAAATGATCTAAATATAAATCAACTTTCTAACTTACTTGGATGATTAGATTTTTGATAAATAAATCTAAAAAAAATTGGACAGAGCCAACTTTTTTTTCTGTTTATATAGCAAAATACAAGAATCCCAATAAGCTTATAGCGAGGTTCAAAATATTGCCTAATTCCTTTATATTCATAAATTACCATGAAAAAATTAAGGAATGAGAATCCTCCAAAGTTAATATTACAAAATAGTTTTCTTTGGTATATTCATAAATAATTTATAATAGTATTCTTCATAGTAGTAGTCTATCAAGTAGCATATTATGCTTATAAATAACACAAACTTAGTCCCAAAGGAAATACTATTCCATATAGTTTTTAGATTATCAATTAAAGTCATTGTATTTATTTTAATAATTAATATATAATTTAATAGCCCATCATTGGGATTTGATGCTGAATGCATATATGTCAAGAATGTCACATAATTAGTAAACGATACTTGTTACACAATGTAAATATGATAAACCTGAGAATACTAATAAGGCAAAGATCAATTTGACCTCATCAATATAGCAGAGACCATCATGAGTAAAAAATTAGCTCATCAAATTCAACATAATCGACCCCAGAGTCAGAGCCCAGGAGAATGAAAATTAACTGAAAGTCTATATAATTTATAAACCATAATTACGTCTTTAGTGATGATTGCCAATTACCATAGATTAATCATTTTTGACCATTATAATCCAATAGTTAGAACATAAATATGGAACCATCTTGATAACACAGAAGTTGGTGATAGATAGATTAAACTGATGAATGTTATCATTAAAGTAATAGGTAATGAGAGACTCTTTACAATTTTCAAAATATTCCAATTCATCTTCTTGAACACAGGATAACAAAATTAAATGATGGTAGCAATACATCCAAAAATTGTAATTGCAAGTAAGACTGTGTTATATTGAATTGAAATTGTGTTTGTAAGTTAAATTTCATTTAGCCAAAATTATGACGACATGACTGCAGTTAATACAAAAAAGAATTATAGTGTTGGCAATCCTTCATCAACTCCATTAATTACTCCTAATTAAAATACTCCTGTGTGTTGTTGACAATAAACCCCAAAGTAAAATCCTAAAAAACTTACTCCTATTGCGGTTAGCATATTGAATGGAGTGAATGCAATTTTGAAAGCATTAATATACAATAATGCTGCAATCCAAGTAGCAGTACAGTCGCTGCCATGATCCATTAACATTCCCAAAGCAGTAGATTATTTTGTTCTTCTTGCTTGTTTTCCATCAGCATTATCTAGTGTTTAATATACAAAAATTGTCCATGCTGTATACAAACTTGCCCACTAAGGCAAATCTTAATCGAACATGGGATTCAAAATGAATATCAAAGCAAAAGATGTTAGTAAATTGCAGAATCCTGTTATGGTGATAAGATTTGGAGCAACTGTTGTGGGTAATTAGTCAACCTGAAATGCATTAATAGTATCATTACCACCCATTAAGCCATATCCCCCAGAAACCAATTATATAAAATTGAAAGATTTTGGCCACTGTATTTAAATCTTCTCAAATTTTCATAATGCTATGGACTCACATAGTTTTTCAATAGCATTTTAATTAAATAATTAATTAATTACTACCATAAAATTAAATTAAAAATCAATAATTAGTCATTAATTAACCAAAACCTACATTAAGAATTAGAATAATAAACTAATTTAATAAAGATATTTTTGATTTATAGTACTAGTTTGAAATAATGCAAATCATTTAGTCAGTAATTTTTCAATTTCTTCATAATGATTGTACATTTCCCAATAAGTTATAAATCCTTTTCCAAATAGATCAATTTCATGATAGAGACTAAAATTAAAATGATAATTATTTACATTTCTCCCTATATTCTATCATTCATTTCATTGATAAAATTGTCCATATTCACATTTCCATTAAGTTGATTGAACAATTCCTTGATTGGATTAGGGTGTGGTTCCTTTTATAAACAGGTTTCTTTTAGGGTCTCTCCTAAATCTTCTAAACTAATCCATCCATCTTCATCAGTGTCTGCCAATTTAAACAAAGAATCTAGATCCAATTAAGCATTTGGAATTGCTATCTTTGCATTTTCCATAAGCTAATATAAATTTAACCTTTTAGTAAATCTATGATGAACTAAATAGGTGAATAATTCTTCAGCAGTCACACCTCTGATTTCTAAACTCTTTACAAGTTGAGAAGGTTCAGTCTTAAGAGTTGTTAAATTTTATTTTGACTGTTCTGACTCAATTTACAATTGTGATTCATATTCATACACATTATCTTCTTTTACATGATAAGTAGGCTATTAAGGAGTGAGTATATTTCTCCAGTCTGTAAATAAATTTTAATATTCTGCATTTACCATTTATTTATAATTTAGACTAATTAATTAAGGAATTATGTAAGTCTCCTTTGAAACATAATGTTTATCTTATTGAATATATTGCTATATTTCTGCTGCATTATATTGCAAGATGCATTCACTTCTCTAATCACTTTAATTGAGAGGGGCTTAAGAAACAATGGTTTAGAATTCCATTTTGACAGGGGTCAAATCATCAAAAAATGGATCGACAACTGAATTCGCTGTATTAAATACAATTTGTTATTCTTATGGTTTGACTTCTTATATTTCATCAAGTATCTTAAATTCTTCATTTTCCTTTTGTTCTATTTGACTATCCAATTTTTCTTGCTTCTTGAAGGATTCCATTTTTTTGTGTGATTAATCTTCCTTTTATTTCTTCCTAAAATCTAGATTGGATCGACTCGGTGATTTAATTGAAGGGTTTGAACTCATAGATGTATTCCATTCACATCTTTCTTTTGATTTGACTTTTCTCAAAATAAGAGGAGCGCCTTGTACTTTTTCTGGAGATCCTTTTTTATCTTTAAGGAACTTTCTTAATTCTTATTGTAAATCGTTGAGATCATTTCTCCTTTTGTGTTTAGCAACTAGTTCGATGAGCCTCACATTTTCATCCTTTACCATTTACCTCAATTATAAGCGATCCTCCTTCATAATTTCTAGACTAATAAGCAATTATTCATACTTGTACATTTCTCAATCACTTATATCGTTTCCAATTATTCATTTTTCCTTGACTTATTCGAGACTTTGAGCATGTTTAACGGATAATTAATATATAAAAAGCTAAATAAAAAATTAAACTATTCCAAATAATTGTTATCTAAGTCATATTATTTATATTTCCCTCAAAAATCTTTATATAAAGAATCACATTAATCCTTTTGTTTAACCTTTATTTTATAAACACCTCATATTTTATAATAGAGTATATCTATCATTTCTTATAATTATAAAAGTGCATTAACATATTAATAATAGCTTGTGCAATTATATATTATAAAGGGAGAGATTGAACATTTACTAAACCAACTCTTGAATACCATAATTAATAATTCAAATTAATTATTGAATATCTATAGATTAAAATCACTTTTTTGTTTTCTTTTATGGTTTTGGAGATTCATCTTCACTTTCCTCTTCGTCATCCTCTTCATTTTCATTAAACTCAGAATCACTTCCATGACCATCTTCATCTCCTCCCTCTTCCTACTATTAATCAAGTATTTTACATCACTGTATTCAATTTCTTCTCCCTCCTGATTTTTATTGTCCAATACTTATAAATTAGGTAACATTTAAAAGATTTTTTAATGATATCCTGTTTGCTATTCCACTTTGTTGTCAGATAAATCCAATTGTTTTAATTAAGGTAGGTTTGAAAGTACACGCAATTCCTATATTAAATCTAAATTCATACTTCGAATGATTTGATCTGGTTATCCGCTAAAGATAAGCAGACTAATTTTTTAAAATTCTCACTAATATAATTTAATGCTTTGGAATCTAGACTGTTAGCCTCCAAAATTAACACTTCTAATGAATCCATCTTTGGTAAGCCTTCTATAGTTTTGAGTCCACAACCTGTGATTGCAAGGCTTTATAATTTTGGGTGTTTTTTCAAATTTTCTGTAATCTCTGGTGTAATTTACTCTATTCTAATTTCTGATATATCTAATTCTTCTAATTATCCCTATTCCTCCGCTTGCTTGTTAATTTGATTTATAAAAAGTTCTGCCATATTAATTAATAAAATTTGTTAAATCAAAATATCTAAAGTACATATATTAGCCAATTAAAATCATTTTTGAAATACTCATTATTTGATTCAGATTATTAATACTCTTTCTAAACAATATTAGTCTTTTGCTATTTCATTATACATAAAATATTATTAGTCAACTTCAATCAAATTATAAGATTTATTTAAATAACATAACCTAAACCTCTCAAAAGTATACTTAACTAGTCACTGATCAAATTATATAATAATAATGAAAAATTAAGTGATTTATATTGTATACATATAAAAATTATTATTGGAAACCATCAACAATTATTAATTCTCTACTTCTTTTTAGCTTTGTTAAAACTATTATTCAAACTTGAACTAGTTTGCTGAAGTAAAGGAGCTTAAAATATATCTAAATTATTAATAAAATTACAACCTTTATCAGATTTTTTCGTATCTTAAAAAAGTGATAGAACATCATTCTTTAAAAACATAGATTTATTGCTTAAATCATTTTATTATTATTATTAAAAAGGATTAGATTAAAATACATTTAAACTTGAAATTTAATTCTATGTCTGCCTCTATTAAGTAAAATGATTTTAAAGTTAAAAGCTTTGCTATTATATCAATTATTATGAATAATGCTATTATTACTATTATTATTACTATTAAAATAGAGTATTTTATTAAGTCAGCTATTACTAATAACTTAGTTATACAGCCTCAAAATCTTTCTACTTATTTTAAATAACCTAATTAAGTTAAGGAGAAGCTTATTCGATGATTTCCATTTATTTATTTGTAGAATATTAAAGTATTTTTGCATTCTCGAAATTGTGAACACTTTATAATAAATTTTAAGTGTTCTATTTATCCTAAGGTTTATTCACAATTTATTAAGGTTATTATGCTGATATTTTGAATAAATCCATTATAGGTTAATTTTAATTTTATGGTTAGCATTATTTATTTTGATTGGATTGTGAACAAGCTTAAAAATATAGATTTATTTGATCGGAACTGATGTTAGAACTTTGAACCAAAAATGGATTTGATTCTTTTATTGATTTATCATTTTTCTCAACTGTTTACTTGTTTTAATTATTCAAAAAGCTAACTTGCAGTATATTTTTTTAAATATCTTGACTTTACTATGACTAAAGATCTTGAATTTTTGATATATTATCAGACATATGTTCCTATTTTTCATTTTGACTTATCAAATTTTGGTTCAAAAATTAATCCTGTTGTGGAAATAATCCTTGGCCTTCCTATTTATCTTTTGGGGTAGAATTTTCTTAAGACGAATTCTATAATTTGTTCTATTCTATATTTAATACTTCTTATAATTGATTATCTTTCTTCTAGTTTAAAGAGAAATCAGATTATTTCTAATATAATACTATAAAGTTTACTTGATTTACATTTTAGATATTTTTCGGCTCTAAATCTTAATTTTACTAAGAATTCGAAGCTTTTTTATTTTTATCCAAGTCATCTACATTCTCTTATACTGCTTATTAAAAAAAACCACTCTTAAAACTTTAGATTGTTTCATTTCCCTCTTCTTTTGAGTTTGTTCCAGTTGAACTTGAAAATTAATTATTGTTATTTAGATCATCTTTAAGGCGATCATTGTTTGAGGGGCTTAGGGCAGCAGATGAAGAACCTTTTAATGCCTTGAGAAATGAATCACATTTCAAGTTCTTATTCTCATTATTTTGGATTACTAATTAATTCTCAAGTATTTTCACTGGAGATAAATAATCACTAGTTTCAGCTTTTTATTATTTGAGTGGTATACTACTTTCTGTAAAACTATCAAACTATTTCAATCTTTTATTGGAGTAATTTGAATAATATTCAGATGAATTTTCTAATTTTTGGTGTTTATTTTACTTAAAATTTTGTTTATTTAGATTAAACTCTAACTATTTTGGATTTTCTAATGTTATTATTAACAAACATTACCTTCCATTTTTCGACTTTTGTAAATTTTTGAGTCTACTTTTTTAAACTTCTATTGTTTTTTTGCATTTGTAGTTTTGCACTACAAATCACTTGGTTTATTACTTATATCAGTTTACGTTTCTTATGAATATTTTTTAGCAGAATCGCCCTCTTCTTTTAGATATTATTCAAAGGGAAATATGGATTTGCGTTTTAGTACTGTACCATCTTCCTTATTTGGTAGAATTCGATCTATAAGAACAAGATTATTTTTAAATTAATTAGATAGTTCTTATTCTAAATTTTAATCGTCAAATGATTGTATCCGTTAGATTATACTTTATGAGTTGATTGTTGTTTGAAATAAACCTTAAATCTTGTTTTTTATTTTAGTTATGATGCCTGGTTTCATGTTTTTAGAGGAACCAAAAGGGTTATAACTCGAAATACTCGTTCTTCTATTTCCAAACAGAAATTTATGCATAATTAAATAAATAATATATTTAAATTAATAAGATTATCTAGATGACAAAATATTTAAATGTTTTAATATTAACTAATATAATCATTCATATATATTATTAGTAGTAATACAACTTATCTCCTTGAATTATAATAATAAACTCAATTATTTTTTAATTTACTCTTATTTACATCATTTGAATAATTTATGAAAACAATCGCATATTATGTTTAATTATAATAGATCTGAGATCATAATTACTAAAATCATTTTATTTTATTTTAAGAACTTTTAATCAATTACCAATCAATTCTAGTCATTTTCTAAAGAGAGAATCAGTCTAATTCTTATAATTTATGCAATTGTTTTAAAAAAAGCGCAATACATCAAATTATGGTTTTCCTTTTTATGTTATAATTTATAGGAAGTTAAGAATTTTATTGATAAATAATTTATTAAAATGTAATTAAAACTAATATACTTTAATAGTGACCATTTGCTTTTCTATATTATTTCAATAACTCTTCAATAGAAAATAAAATATACTAGGAGTAGGCTAATTATAAAAATAATAAAACTAGATAATTTAAATGTATTTCAATTAAGAATTATTTAAAAAAGTTGAAAACCCTCTTAGGGACACGCAAAAACATAAGAAAATTGTGATTATGAGGTATTACTACNTTTGAATAATATTCAGATGAATTTTCTAATTTTTGGTGTTTATTTTACTTAAAATTTTGTTTATTTAGATTAAACTCTAACTATTTTGGATTTTCTAATGTTATTATTAACAAACATTACCTTCCATTTTTCGACTTTTGTAAATTTTTGAGTCTACTTTTTTAAACTTCTATTGTTTTTTTGCATTTGTAGTTTTGCACTACAAATCACTTGGTTTATTACTTATATCAGTTTACGTTTCTTATGAATATTTTTTAGCAGAATCGCCCTCTTCTTTTAGATATTATTCAAAGGGAAATATGGATTTGCGTTTTAGTACTGTACCATCTTCCTTATTTGGTAGAATTCGATCTATAAGAACAAGATTATTTTTAAATTAATTAGATAGTTCTTATTCTAAATTTTAATCGTCAAATGATTGTATCCGTTAGATTATACTTTATGAGTTGATTGTTGTTTGAAATAAACCTTAAATCTTGTTTTTTATTTTAGTTATGATGCCTGGTTTCATGTTTTTAGAGGAACCAAAAGGGTTATAACTCGAAATACTCGTTCTTCTATTTCCAAACAGAAATTTATGCATAATTAAATAAATAATATATTTAAATTAATAAGATTATCTAGATGACAAAATATTTAAATGTTTTAATATTAACTAATATAATCATTCATATATATTATTAGTAGTAATACAACTTATCTCCTTGAATTATAATAATAAACTCAATTATTTTTTAATTTACTCTTATTTACATCATTTGAATAATTTATGAAAACAATCGCATATTATGTTTAATTATAATAGATCTGAGATCATAATTACTAAAATCATTTTATTTTATTTTAAGAACTTTTAATCAATTACCAATCAATTCTAGTCATTTTCTAAAGAGAGAATCAGTCTAATTCTTATAATTTATGCAATTGTTTTAAAAAAAGCGCAATACATCAAATTATGGTTTTCCTTTTTATGTTATAATTTATAGGAAGTTAAGAATTTTATTGATAAATAATTTATTAAAATGTAATTAAAACTAATATACTTTAATAGTGACCATTTGCTTTTCTATATTATTTCAATAACTCTTCAATAGAAAATAAAATATACTAGGAGTAGGCTAATTATAAAAATAATAAAACTAGATAATTTAAATGTATTTCAATTAAGAATTATTTAAAAAAGTTGAAAACCCTCTTAGGGACACGCAAAAACATAAGAAAATTGTGATTATGAGGTATTACTACAAATAAACAATTTACTATTTTAATTATCCTTAAAAAGCTAATTATTGTACTGTAAAATTATCGATATGATTTAATAGTTAATACATGGATACTTATAACATAGTGATTTCATTTAAATTTCGCTATTTAACAGGAATACAATTAATATTGTAAGAATTTTTCAAAGCAGATTAATTTATTTTTTCCATCAAATTTATCTATGCAAGGGAATGAATTACAAATAGGATAACGTATAATAAGATATAATCAATAATTAAATTAGATTACTCAAATTTTCAGTTAAATATCAAAATCATTATACTTTAAGTAAACCAGGCATAAATAATTTAAGATGATTAGAAAAATATTCTTAATTAAAAAATTAAAAATTTAATTTCTTTTTGATTTATTTGATGATATGAACCCAACTTTGATTAACTTATCGAATGTTTAAATATTATTTTTGATTAGAATACTTTTTTAAGGATTCTAAAGAAAACAAGTTTGACAAAAATTAAAATTAAAATTTAATTACAATTAAGATTTGAAAAAAAAATTTATCTTCAATGTTAGATTGAAAGTAAATGTTTGTCAATAGAGCATAATTTATATAATTAGTATAAGAAGGAAAAAAAGTTGTTATTTATTATGAATTGTTATTATAATGTCTCTCAACAATTGGCAAGAGTATGCGGTTATTTTATAATAATTAAGTAAATAATCATGAAACCTTGATTAAATGAGATTTATGTACAAGATAATTTTAAAATAATTTCCATAATTTTCTTTTCATTAATTTAGATCTCTATGCCTAATTTAAGTCAATTAATGTCTAAAATATTGACAAAATATATGGAGTATGATGATTCTGCTCTTGCATTACCTGAAAACTTAGTTAATATACTACATATTCACGCTTCTCTATTGAATATTTCTTACATATATTATCAGAACTAATCTTCTTGGCTTTATACTTTAGTAATATTAGCTAGGCCATCAGTTAAAATACAGATTTCCTATTTTTATATTTTTGGAATTAGTTATTTGTTGCTACATGTTTTATGCATAATAAAAACTAAATTACTGGGTAAGAGTATAGTTAGTCTAATTAATTGTTTAATGAAGGTTGGCCTACTGAATTTCGTAATCGAATAGTTTGAAGGCATATTTGGGTTTGTAATAGCTGGAATTATATTAGTTATGTAAATGTTCGAGATATTATTTATACAAGGAACTTTGGATATAAAAACAAAGAATTTTTAGCTTACTTAGATTACATTTTTCAGGGTAATAACTTTAATGATGAATATATTGCTGATGACATTTTATAAATTAAATTTCCAGCTTAGACACCTACAAATTATAGCTATATTAAATTCAACTACATAAGCTGTGGACCTTTTATTAATAAAAAATTAAAGAAGCCCACTAATTAGATTTATGATGATATCAATTTAATTAGTGACAATTTATGTTGGGGTAATGTAATTTATTCATTTTGAAAATTCCTTTACCCTTATTTTAGTACCTTTCTTTTTTAAAATTATATCACTATTAAGATTATCTGATTTAATCTATACAAAAGATCCTATAATTAATGCATCAATTTTAATGCAGGAAAGGAAGCTTTATGAAAGTTTTATTATTTTAAACAAATTAAAAGATCAAAACTTTATTAGATAAATAAAAAGAAATCAACTATTGAAGAAGTGCATTTACTAAATAAATTAAGAATTATAATAAAAAGTTAAAAGTCAAGAATTATTAGGAGTTGCTGCAAAATTAATCTAAAATGATATTAAGAATATAAAAATTTAGAATAAGGTATTAAATATAATTTAATGGAAAATAAAATTATTATAAAATTGGAAGACTAATGAATTTGATGAGATTTATAAATTTGTGAATAAAATGTTACAGCTAAAGCAAGAATTAGATGATTATTATTTAGCAGAACCTAATGGTATGGTCTAAGCTTTAATTTGTTTTTTTTATGCAGAAGTCTTAAATGATTTGTTAGAAGCTAATGAAATGATAATTCATGCCAAAAAGTCAGCCGATTTATACTTTGTAGAATATACAACTAACAAAAATATGTTTTATCTTACAACTAAATATGAAAATGGATAATTGTAAATGAGTAAAATATCAAGTAATGCTCCATCCTTCATATGTAATAAGAAATTACAGGATTTAATTCCATTAGGAGTACGTGAGTGGCATAATAAATTAGTAGATGAATTTATAATAACTGGGAAATCTAAATTTGTAAGATAATTGAATCAAAATTATGTAAATCATGGATCATCAATCGACACTGTAGATTTTGCAATTGATTTAACTTACTCAGATTAAGTAAATTTTATTTGTTTGATATCTCCAACTCTAGTAAAGAATACTACTTTGATTGTTGATGAAAAATATAATATAACCAGTTACACCAATCAATTTAAAGAGATTAAACAATATAAAGTTCTATTTTCTAGAGGATCTTCCATCATTAATATTTTCCCATAAATTCAAGAAATTAAATAATCCTGTTTCTTAGAAAATGTTCTTATTAATACAAAAAAACTATTACATCAAAGTGATGATTAAGAGGATATTAGATACTATTGCAATTTAGAAATAATTGTCAAACATTATTAAGATACAATGATATATATGATTGTAAAACTGGAAAACATCTAAATAATCTACTAAACCACAGGCAACTCCAGTAAAAAAGATACAATGTCAGATCAATCTTCCTCTGCAAATGAATTAAGTATTGCTGAAGAAAGACATCTGCTACTTAATTAGGTTACTAAATAGGATATTCCATTACTTGAATAGAATAATGAAATAAAAAGCTTCACATAGGTTAAGAGCCTTGTTGAAAAGAAAACCCTTAATGAAGAAGCGATTAAAAAGGTCTTCAATTTTGATACTATATAACAATAAGTAATTACATCCAGAGGAGAACCAGAATAACATCTATTAGTTGGTAAGAATAAAACTGATAGCAGAAAATGTTCAGTTAAATCTCTAACTTAAGGTGGAGAAGGTAAAGAATAACAACAGAAATAATAGGAAGCTAAAAAAGAAGAAATTTTTGATAGGGAAGATTAATCTTAAGTTTCGTCGATAAGAATGCTTAGAAATTCAAAATTTTATAGAAAATATGACCTTTATAATAAATTTAATAAGCATATGCCTTTAAAAAGATAGCACTAATTTTTAGTAATACTGTTTGTATTATGCATAATTATTTAAGGAGTATTCATCATTATAGTAATAATTTAATACTATTTTAGCAATTAACAAGTTTAAATTTAGTGTCATTTGCTATTGATATCAATTTGTTAGAAATTAAGAACCTTTTCTTTTAACCATTGGATATGTTTCTTGTTACAAGATGGAATTTGTGGACTTACAATTTCTAAAAGTCTAATGGCATTATAACTCAAGAAGAGTATAATTCAGTTTCATAATTTGCAACCTCTAATTTGGGACTTGGATTCGATTCTTTAAACTCAAACTTAAAATTAGTATTAAATCGCTAAGAGCTTCAAGGTTTATTACAAACAAAATATATAGAAGCTTATTCTTATCTTGATACCTATAAATCTGAATAGTATAACATGACTCTTAGAACAGCGATATCTGTTTTGTTAAATTTTTAATACATTTTGAAAATGAATTACATTTATGAAAAAACAGTTAAAGCTGACAGTCCTTAAATTTTTTATAGTTTTAAAAATTATCCTATAATGCGAGATATTATGACTTAATTGAATTCTGATATAATGGTTCAAACAATTGCAAGAGGATAAAATTTTTAGGATGAAATGAAAACTCTATTTATATTTTAGTAGATATTTTTAATATTAATGGTACTTTCTATTATTTATGCTAAAATCTATATCAATAAAAAACTTATGGTGTTTTTACATTTAAGCCAATATTCAGATAATGATGCAATCTAACAAGAGATTAAAAAATTTAAGGAACTATTTGATAAATTATCATCTGACAATGCTTATAAGTTTAACTATTCTCTTCAAATAACAGAGAAGGAATTTTAGTTCTTGGATTAAAAAGTAGAAAAAGAGAATAAAAATACCAAAAATTTAAGGAAGAAAAGAATATCTCCTTATAGATTTCTTCTCCTTCTAATTGTGTTTTATTCAATTCTTACTCTAAATAGCATAGTAAATTTTTACGAGTTTTCAAAGTATCTGAAAAAATACCCTGAAACTGCGTATTATAAAAAATAATTAGCCGATCTGGGTGGAGATATACCATTGATGTTCGCATAAAGGGAAGTTCTCTATGGTAGAAAAAACTATATGTATTTGGATGCTGCCTATTTCGATAGAATGTGGTATTACATTATGGAGTCCCTTAATAATACAAAATTATTTACTTCATAAGATCCAGATTTCGAATAGTAAATTATAATAACAATATTTTTAGAATGCTTGTGACTAATAGCTTTAATGACTTCTATGCTCAGATTTAACTTAGTGATTTATGTGACTATTTACCAGGAGACTTAAAGGTTAGAGCAGCAGAATTATGTCCTACCATAATGAACCAAAATATGAAACATGGTCTTAAAGCGATGTTGATATATATTCAAAACTTAATTGAGACTGATGTTGCAATCAACAATTTTACGTATAGAGCAGTGCCTACTTAAAATGAATTAGAAGGAGCATTTATGATATCTGAAGTGATAAATGTAATGAATTCTAATTTTTATAATGATTTAATTGATGTTACAAGCAAACTAGTAGATCAATAAGAAGTAAGCGATACTATTAATTAGGTTTTCAATATCTGCTACTTATTTATACTTTTCGTTGTTTTCTTGATAATTATAACTGAAGTCAAGAACAAAATATATGAAAACAGCAAGATCATAATTCATTTTGTTTATGTGATTCCTTCCCAAACAATATTCACAGATGATACATTTGAAAGAACACTTAGAACTTTAATCAATTTCTGATAATATTTCTATAAAATATTTATAGTAACTTTTATTAAATAATTAAAGAATAAACTTCTGATACTTTTATTATTATAATGTTGAAGAAGGGTTTCAAAATGAAATAAAAATAATGAATTATAATTTAACACTAGATAAATAAGTTTAATTAGAATCTGTGGGGGATTTGCAACTAGGAACTTATTTATTATTAGATGAATACCCTTGTAAAATCCTCAAACTTCAATTAGGAAGTCGTCATAGTAATTGTGCTTTAATAGAAGCATAAAATGTAATTCAAAATAAATTGTTATAATATAACGTCGGCTTCATGGAACATTGGAAATACCTTTAATTTAATTGGAGGATTATAATTTAATAGGAATATAAAATGATGATTTTTTAACCTTACTAAAGTCAGATGGTACAATTCGAGAAGATATGAGGATGCCCTAATTTAAGGAGTTAGCGAATAAAATAAAGATGTGGTTTGAAGAGGGAAAGTAATGCATTATTAATATTCTTAGAGATATCATAGTTTAGATTATAAAATATATGGGTAAAGAGGAAGTGACAGATGCAAGATGTGAGGAATGAATAATATTATATTTTTAATAGAAATTATTTGGCTGAGTTAAATTAAAATACAATTTCTAGAATATTAAAGATGTTACTAAAAGCGTGTATGGTGGCAATTACGTTATTCTTGACCTTATGCTAGGATGATTCAGAATATGAAGGGAATAGCAAACCTAGAAGGCAAACTTATGATGACCCAGTATCTGCAGTTATCTATTGAAAGGATCCATATAAAAATCTTATCCAATGGTTGAAAGATGGGAAGGCTGAGATTTCAAAGGTGTAAATTGAAGTGTAGAGCGAAGGTCATAGAACTTTAAGAGCAACTCAATTTATAAGATAAGGTGAATGGGTGTTGTTCATTCCACGCACACACTATTTATCATTGGACGAAGTGAAAAAGAGTTGTTTGATAAATAGAAAGATGATTTAAATCAATTATAAACCAAACAACATTCAAACTTATTTTGTTAATCATTTATTACAAGAAAATAGGAGGTTTTATCATAAAAATATGTATTAGAAAATATTCATTTTGGAAACCCTATATTGATGTATTACCAAAAGATGTGAGTGGATTTCCTACATATTTTGATGCCGAATAGGATGCATTATTGAAAGGTTCTCCTACTTTATTTACAGTGATAAACCAAAGGAAAGTATTCAAAGAGGAATATGAGAATTTGAAGGAAGCAGTAAAAGAGTTTTAGAAATATGGATATACTTATGATGATTTCATAAAATTCAGAATTCTGACAATATCTAGAAGTTTTACAGTACAAATTGGAGATAAAGAATAATAATAATTGCTAGTTCCATTGGCAGGTATAGAATTCTGAAATTATTAAGATTTCATTAATCATGATAATAATGGATTCTTGAAATATGGATATTCTAAAGATGCAGACGGATTCTTTATGTAGGCTGTTAGAAACATTTAGAAAGGAGAGGAATTGTTTTATAATTATGGTTAATGGTCCAATAAATATTTTTTTATGAATTATGGATTTGCAAGTTTGACTAATCCAATGAATTAATTTGATTTCGATATTTGTTTGAATAAAAGTGATAGATTGTTCAACCTTAAGATTTCATTAACTAAAGGAAATATGTGTTGGGGAAATAGATTAGTGAATGAAACTGATCATGACACATTTAGGTAATCGTTGGCAACTGTCAGATTTACTTAAATATCTAAATTAGATGACTTTTTGTAATTGGAAGAAGATGTATAAAATTTTAAACAGTTTTGGCCAGGATGGCACACTACAGTAAAGACAATTGAATTAGAGAAGGCTACTTTCAAAGCATTAAAAGGAATATTAGTATCAGAATTAGGAAATTTTGCTAGTACAATAGAGGATGATGAAAGGAGGTTAAATGATCCATAAACTCCTGAATATAGGAAACATATTATAATGTTAACAATGAGAGAAAAATAAATAATTAAAAAGAACATCGATGTTTGTGATTTAATGCTATAAGTGATAGATAAGAGTTCTGAAGTAACTTTTATTATTATTATTTAATAGGAACTTAAAAATTTAATGAAATATTATCATTATCGAGAAATTACAAAATATGTTAATAGCTAAATCATTCCTATGAAACTTGAGTAAGAAGGCTTAGCATGATAATAATTATATTATTGGTAGTGTAAACATAATATCAATATTCTTAATCTGGTGGTTACAATTCGTATTTTTAGAAACCAGGGAATAGCAAATCATCTAAGTCATCTTCTAATTAAGATGGTTGTTCCTATTTTCTCTTTTATGCAACTGGAGGTTGTATAACATATGGTTAAGGTTATTTATTTTGAGTGGTAGTCAATAATGGTGAAGATTTGCGATCAGTAGAAATTTTTTGAGCTTATTATTATTAATTTTGCAACTCCTTTGTTCTTTAATGCAATTCTTGAATGTAATCTTTCTATCTTGTTTTCTTCCTGTCACTCATTATATCGATATTTTAATCTTAGTCAGATTTCTTCTTTACATCTAAAAAGAATTCTGTTTTAAATTCGTTGAAATTTATACGACTACAATGAACTCTAAGAATATTTCAATTATTACTTTGACATTCTATCTAAACATCCTTTTAAATCATACTGTTCAAATTAACCTCCTAATTCATTCATGTAAATTACTAAATCTTGAATAGTAATATATCCCTTCATTCCAATATCTAACTATTTGAATAGGGCTAGTAGGGTATCTTTGGTTCCAATAACTTCTTTTATGAAATTGAGGTTTCTCTCTAATTGCAATTGTAGTTGCATGATTTCACAAATATATTCCCTTTAAGCTACTGAAAGAAACTAAGGAATATTCTATTTTAATGGATGATGCATATAATGCATGGCTCCTAATTGCATAAATTGTTATGAATCATCTGGACCTAAGAGCATATACTTGAATTCAACAGAAGAGATTTGATTGTCATCATTGCCTCCATATCGTAGGAACATTTAACTCAATTCAATAGAATTGAGTATGATGTCCAATTTTTACAACCCTAACTGAAACTCATTATAGTCTATTGTTCCATTCTTTTTAGAATCAAAGAAATCAAAAAGCAATTTGACATTGAATCTCTAATCTTGTTTCAACATCCTCTGTAATTTCCACACTTTCTTATCAATAATAGAGCATTCAGCCATGTATTTTGCAAAAGCCACTTCCTCAAAATTTTAAGTAGATCTAGGCAAATTTCTAATAAACTATAGTACATATTCCTCATATCCATCATCGTACCCTTGATTATTTGAGTTAATATTTACTTTCGTGAGGCATGAATGGAATATTGCTGGGATCGTTAGGATCAAAATATTATTATGGTTATCCCATTTTGACTGGATAAGGAGGTTATTCATAATATGCTATTATTTAATTAATAATAATACTATAATTTAGAGGTCGCACATCATTCAAATATGTTCGATTCTGCAATTGACTTTGGTAAGGATCATAATATTGGTAATCTGCATAATCATCTCGAGTTTCTGTCAAAAATCCACTGTTTCGATATGTTTTGTCGTATTACTACCCATGAGTATATGGCTGTTAATAGGGGTCAGGATTATGATAATACATAATATGAATAATTATAAATTATAAAAAGTCTTATTCAAAAAGGTCAATAAAGGTGTTATAGTTGAAGAACATCTCCTCGTTAAATCGTTGATAGATAAATAATGTTATGTCCTAAAAAGAACCGATATTAGCAAAATTAATGTCGAAAGATTGAATGAAATTGAAAATCACCTCAAAAAACTGATCAATGTCAAGCATCCAAGTTTAACTAAAATTAAAGAATACTTCATTGAATCTTAATATCTTGTTTAAGTCTTAGAATATTGTGGAGGTAGTTATTCCTAATAATTTAGAATAAATTTTAAATGAAAGACTAAACAAATAAGTCTCAGTTAATTTAGTATGTCAATATTTGCTTTAATTGTTATTTGCATTAAATTACTTAGAAATGCAACAGATTAATGTCTCATTAGATTTAGACACAATCTTTTTAAATTCCTTTGGATCACTAAGGATATAATTTGATTTGCTTTCCCACAAAAATTGGAAAGAAGAAGTTAAATATCTACAGTAGGTTCTAAAGAAAACTAATTTGGACTGGGAATCTCAAAAATCACATGAACTAACCTAGATCCTTAAATCACTTATGCAACCTAATCCACCAAGTGTTTAATAAATGATTAATCATCCTTATTTACTAAAAGCTATGTTTGATTTTTGCAAATAATAAGATCTAGAAGCTTAAGCTTAATTGAATTAAGAAAAATTAATCAAAGAGCAAACCAATAATAAAAGAGTAGGGAGAGCCTCCACTTCTGTTAATTAAAATCGATAAAAAATAACCTAATAATCTCCTAATTAAAGGAAGAATTCAAAAGATAGACCTTAAACCCATTAATAATAAAAAAAGAAACCAGAATAATAATAGATTAAATAATAACCAATTAGAAATTAAATACCTCCGAAACCTATCAGGTAGAGAAATAACTCTTAAGAAACTGTGACTAATGAGTCTGTTCTAAATCAAGATTTACTTATGACTAAAGGAAAAGAGGAATTACAGGAATTATTAAAACTCTACAAAGACTAACTTAAAGAAAGTAGCAAACAATATAATCCTTGGCTGAATATGTCTGAAATTAAGGAAATCACTGAATATGATACAACTACTAATCTAAATCAACAGTCATGAAATTTATATAAAATTATATAATTATTATTTATTTCAAATATTTTAATGAAACTTATCATTATTATTCCAGAAATAATATAAATTTTATCTATTAAATTAACAATAATCATAGATCAATATGCACAATCAGATAACAATTTCTGAGATTATATTTGTAGAACTCACATTCAACACAACTTTTTTATTTTATAATATACATATTATGTTTATAATTCCACAATTATAAAATGGATTATAAATATAAAACATTAATACACGAATGAATTGAGATTTGACTTGATTCCACTTTAGGAATAAATAGAATTAATGAAATCAATAACTAATTATAGTCATATAAAAAAAGAGTTCAATAGTCAATCAATCATTGTGATTCTGTTAATTTTATATATTGCCCTTTTACATAACTTGTTATCGCTGAGGAGAAAAAATTGATAGCAATGCATAAGCACCAAAAAGTAGGAGCATCATGAATGCTAGTCCTTGTGTTGATGTGATATTGGATGAAGTAGGATTGTGATTTGCTATTGGAATAATCAAAAAATAATTACTCAAGCTGCCATTTTCATTTAATTATCCATTCAAATTCCCTAAAGATTGGAATATTTGATTTGCATGATTAACTATTAATTCACATAAATCGTCGTTCATTTCAAAAAAATAATAATAAATAATAAATAAATTCCAGAAAACAGAAAAGTTCTTATAGCATAAAATACGTAATATAATTTATTAAATTATATTTTTATATTTATTAATCAAGCTTTATGATAATATAGATTAATGGCGAGATAAAAAAATAATGTTAGTAGATCTTAAATTAAAGAATTAGAAGTGAGTAATTCTATCAAAAATTATTTATAATAGGCGTATAGAACTTGTATCAAGCCATAAAAATTATTCACTCCTTTTATAATATATACTTAAATCATAAAAAACGAAAGGGTTGGAAATTAAAATTAAGAATATTATGTATTGATCATTTTGCTTGACTAAGATAAAAATATAAAAATCATGTTTATATATAAATAGATATTTGAAATAAACTATTGTTAATTAAGAATAAACATTAAAAATAATATGAAAGCACAGGTCATATAACCTCATAAAGTCAAAAGTTGATTTTAATCAATGAAAAACATCAAAAATTAGTGAAATAAATAAATAAATTTCAAGGCTGCAAATTAATAAAATCAAAGAAAATTATTTAGATATTAATTTTCTATTCTAATCAATTTAATCTATTTTTTTGGGGTAATAAGCAATCAAAATTTGGTTCTCTTTGAAAATATATGAAAATCTCATTTCACATTCTTTCCTATTTTTAGACTTTCTTCCTACTCAAAATTCTTTAATTCTTCACTTTAATCCACTTCAGAATCAAAGAATTTACTTAATAAATGATTTTATTAGAATTATTGGATGTAATATCATTAATTAAAGAAATCTAAAATGGAAGAGAAAGTGTACATATCAGAAGAAGGAATGAGATAACTATTAAAGGAATTTGATGCCAAAGACCCACTTAAAAATGTCTTATGGACTACAAATTATAGAATGGAATTACCAATAAGAGTAAAAAAATAAGGTCCAGGAAGTGAAATACCAATTACTCTTCCAGAACAATTTAAAAATGATTGCACTTAATTTGCCTAAAAGCCTGCCTTAAGTGTCAAGAGGAATAATAAATGGTAATGAAAATATTGAATAAATAGGATTACAAGAACATATGAGGAATATTATAATGAATCAATGTAATTTGCAAAGGCTTTGATTGCTTATGGAGTAACAGAAATGAGTGCAGTAAACATAATAGGTTTCAATGCTCCTGAATGGCACATATCTTTTATGGGAAGCATTCATGCTCACAATTTACCTGTTGGAATTTATACTACGTAAGATATAAAATTAATACGTATTTTAGAAATAATCCAGATGCATGTTTCTATGTCTCTGATCATTCTGAATGTGAATTAGTAGTAGCAGATACTAAAGAATAATTACGCAAGTATTTGAAAATTTGGGATAAATTGCCTCGTCTTAAAGGAGTTGTATTGTACAATGATGATATTCCAACCTCTGAAATCCCTGAATAAAGAAGATCATAAGTATTCAAATGGAAAGATTTTATTGAAATGGGCAAAAAAGCAGATTTAATGGGTTCAGTTTTAGAAAGAGTATCAAAATTAAGACCTGGAAATTGTGTGACATTAATTTATACATCAGGAACAACAGGCAATCCAAAGGGAGTTATGTTATCACATGATAATTATGTGTTTACAATTACTTAACAAAAGAGAAAGTATGTGATGTAAGGCAATGGTGAAATGAGATTGGTAAGTTATTTGCCTTTAAGTCATGTCGTAGCATAATTGATAGATATAATTGGTTTTGCTAGATGGGGAGCACATTTATACTTTGCAAATCCAGATGCTCTATAGGGTTCCCTTATTAATACTCTTAAGGAGGTCAGACCTACTCTATTCTTTAGTGTACCTAGAGTTTGGGAAAAGATTTATGATCAAATGTAATAAATAGCAAAATCAAATGGGGCTATTAAAACTAAAATAGCTAATTGGGCCAAATCAATAGGTAAAGAAGGTACCTTTGCATAAACTCATGGTCTCAAACCTCCTCTTTGTTTTGGATTGGCAGATAAATTAGTGTATGCAAATGTTAAAAAAGCTTTGGGATTAGATTAAGCTCAATATATGATATTTGGGGCAGCTCCATTATCCCCTATCATTAGAGAATATTTCTTAACTTTGAATATGTATTTGATCAACGGGTATGGTATGAGTGAATGTGGAGGAGTGTAAAATATGGCAGATCCTTTTCACTTTGATAAATTTGATGAATTATTCATTAATAGTACTGGTAAGCCAATGGAAGGAACTGAATTAAGAATAGATAATCCAGATAAAGATGGAAATGGAGAAATCTGCTATAGAGGTAGACACATCTTTATGGGTTACTTTAAGGATGAAGATTCAACTAGGAATACAATTGATAGTAATAGATGGTTACATTCAGGAGATGTTGGTAAAATTGATAAGAATGGTAACTTGATGATAACTGGAAGAATTAAGGAATTGATCATTACAGCAGGAGGTGAAAATGTAGCTCCAGTTTTAATTGAGGATGAGGTGAAAAAGAATATTAAGATTGTCTCAAATTGTATGGTTATCGGAGATAAGAGAAAATATTTATCCATTTTATTAACATTGAAACATTAATTAACACCTGATGGATAGTAATTATATTAATATAAACTAGGCCAACTGATAAATTGAATGAGGATGTCATTTCTGTATTCAAGAGTCTTGGTTCTTCAGCCACTACATTTGAGGAAGCCAAAAATGATAAAGCTATCACTAACTATCTCTAGTAATTGATTGACGAAACCAATACGAAGTAATGAATGATTTAATAATTCAAGGGTTATTTCTAAAGCTCAGTACATTAGAAAATGGACTCTGATTCCTGGGGACTTTAGTGTTGATGGAGGAGAACTGACACCAACTTTGAAATTGAAAAGAAGAGTAGTAGAGTAGAAGTGGCTTGGTGAAATTGAGAAAATGTACTAAGATGCCAAATTGTGAAAATATTAATAAAATATAAATAAAAGTTAAATGGATCAACCAAAAATAATAGTTGCAGTCAGAAAGCGTCCATTATCTAAGAAGGAAAGTAAAGAAGGCTAGAAAGATATTGTTGAGGTTTAAGGCAATACTGTAATTGTTAGAGAACCAAGGTATGATTAGTATAATCCTATTAGAGTGAAAGTGGATTTGACTAAATTCATTGAAGAATTCAATTTCACCTTTGATGCTGCCTTTGACCAATAATATACAAATGAAGATTTGTATTAGTAACTTGTAAAACCTATGGTACAAGCAGCGATAACCGGAACTAAAATTACTTGTTTTGCCTATGGCTAAACAGGCTCTGGTAAAACATATACAATGTTGGGGGATTATAATGTGGTAGGAATCTATACATTAGCAGCATATGATTTATTTTAGTTGATAACAAATTCCATTGTGTTGAGTGTTTCATTCTATGAAATTTATTGTTCTAAATTATTTGATTTGTTGAATGATCGAGTTTAACTAATAGCTCGAGAGGATGCAAAAGGTTAAGTCAATATAGCAGGCTTATCAGAGACAAAAGTGCACAGCGTGTAGGAATTTTAAAAAACTGTAGAAATGGGAATCAAGAGTAGAGTTACAGGATAAAATAGTGTTAATTAAGATTCATCCAGATCTCATGCAATTCTACAGATAAACTTGAGACAGCATAACAAAATCATTGGAAAATTGTCATTTATTGATTTAGCAGGTAGTGAAAGAGGTGCTGATGTAGTTGAATATCATAAACAAACTAGAATAGATGGAGCTGAAATTAATAAGTCATTATTGGCTTTAAAAGAATGCATTAGAGCTCTAGATTTAAATAAAAATCATACACCCTTTAGAGGATCCAAATTGACTTAAGTGCTTAAGGATTCATTTACTGGAAATTGTAGAACTCTCATGATCGGTACTATCTCACCTTGTCATAAAGATGCAGAACATAGTCTTAACACTCTAAGATATGCAGATAGAGTATTTTGATATCTTACTATTTTGTAGGTTAAGGAATTAAAAGCTCCTTAAGCATCCAGCAGTGTTGATTAATTAACAAGAGAATTAATGTTACCAAGATAATACATCATGAATAACTATTTATTCGAAAGTCCTTAGGCTGTTAAATCTAATTCACCTCCTAAATTGTTTGATCATGATAATGGAGATTAATATGAAGATGAAGTTTAAATGAAACCTAATCGAAATAGTAATCTTAAGGATAAATACGATGAACTCATTTAACAAATTTTAGATGAAGAAAGAGCTCTTAAAAAGGCACATAGAGATCATATTGATGATTTGATTGAGTTGGTTAATGATGAAATGAAATTATTATAAGCTGTTGATCAACCTAATTCAGATATTGAAGAATATGTTGATGGTCTTGATCATGTGTTAATGTTGAAAATCGAAAAGATTATGAGGTAGATTTATTAATTAATTATTCCTTAGATTACGAAAGAAGTTACAATAATTCAAGTAGCATTTGATGGATGAATAAGATTTAGCCCATTAATGCCAAACTCATTTCTATCAGAAACCACACTAAAACTGATTATATAATTATATATATTATAATTACATGGAAAATAACCAAGAACCAGCACCACCAAGTCATTTCTAAATTTGGTAGTTTACTTTATTTATATAGGCTAACATTTATTGAAATGATAGCTGTGTTAGTTTGCCTTGCTAGTAACATGGTCAAATTGCATAGTATGAAAAATAAAAATCTGAAATTTTGGTTTCTGGTGAGTGTGAGTGCATCGAGTGCCTTCAGGGGTATGAGTCTCCTTCTAATAATGGAATAGCCATAAGGCATATGGTTAGACTTTCTATACACAGCACCAATCCTATTTTGGATCCAATCCTACATCATATTCATTGGACATCTAGCCATTTGTATGAGTGTTCTTGCTAACAAGGATACTAATATCATACAGTACTCCATATACTATAGTCCTGTTTGTCTAGGTAAGTTGTTTATAGACACTTAGTCTTATCTTATGTTTACTTCTTAATCAAGGATGGATTCTTGGAAAGAGTATTAATTCTTTAATTTTTACTCTATGGCGCACTTATTATAGGATGTTTATACTTTAGCAATAAGTTATTTTCTGATGTACTAAAACCTAACTATTGCAGCTAGAAGATGATGATTGGATAATCCCTTTCCTCTCTTAAGTCAACAAATTGATCTAAACAATATCAATAAGTTTGGCACTCAGATTGCTGATATTTTTTCTAATCTTTGCCAATTATGTTTAATTGAACATAGATTTAATTCTTATAGTATTTTTTCTATTTCATTACAAATTTAGGAAGTATTTATGGGTGAACTAGTTCCATATTATGCTTTGACATTTTTCAAAATACCCCCTCCTAAACATGACAATGATTCCAGAGCAGGAACTCAGATGGAATTATAAAACTTAGAAGGTCCGCTAATGAAATGAAAAACATTATATTTTATATTTAGTTTAACAATATTAATCTTCACTCCCTTGAAATAATATTTTTTATTAAAATATGTTACTCATAGTTGCAATTGTGTTTAATCAATTTATTTTTGAATTACCAATTTAAAGAAATTCAACACAAGATGATTTTCTTCATTAAACCATTCAAATATTCAAGTATAACCTATTTGAAATAACTAAATAAATATGTTTAAAATCTTATTTGACCAATCAATAGTGTTAATTAAAATTATGAAGTAATTTAAATTCCACCCAAATGCTAATTAACGATATTTATAATTATAATATTTGAAAATCAAATGTCAACTACAACTACTCAAACGACTTCAAAAAATGAATTAGTTAAGTGGATAAATGAAACATTTAAAGTAATCAATTAAATTTCTATCAAATTAGTTAACCATAACTCAACTAGAAACCCTTGGTACTGGTTGCACATTTTGTTAGATATTTGAATATTTATATCCAAATTCAATTCAAGGAAATAAAATCATCTGGAAAGCTAACAAAGAGAATGATTATATAAAGAATTTCAAGACCTTAGCAGATGCTTTTACAAAAAACAACATTTAAAAATAATTAGATGTATACTGTTTATTTTATTTTAGATCTAATAACTATCAAAAGCTAAGTATTAAGACATTTTAGATTTGGCACAATTCTTGAAATAAAAATTTGATAAGTAAACAGAAAAGAGAGAAAATTATGATCCAATTGAATTTAGAAAAGTAGAAGAAAGAAAAGTCTTTACTCCAACCAATAGAAAAACTGTATCAACTCTTAAAGATAAAACAAATAATGAAAACACAACAACATCTACTCATTCTTTGTTAGTTAAAAGACCACTTTCAAAAACCTCCTCTTGNTGTTTACTTCTTAATCAAGGATGGATTCTTGGAAAGAGTATTAATTCTTTAATTTTTACTCTATGGCGCACTTATTATAGGATGTTTATACTTTAGCAATAAGTTATTTTCTGATGTACTAAAACCTAACTATTGCAGCTAGAAGATGATGATTGGATAATCCCTTTCCTCTCTTAAGTCAACAAATTGATCTAAACAATATCAATAAGTTTGGCACTCAGATTGCTGATATTTTTTCTAATCTTTGCCAATTATGTTTAATTGAACATAGATTTAATTCTTATAGTATTTTTTCTATTTCATTACAAATTTAGGAAGTATTTATGGGTGAACTAGTTCCATATTATGCTTTGACATTTTTCAAAATACCCCCTCCTAAACATGACAATGATTCCAGAGCAGGAACTCAGATGGAATTATAAAACTTAGAAGGTCCGCTAATGAAATGAAAAACATTATATTTTATATTTAGTTTAACAATATTAATCTTCACTCCCTTGAAATAATATTTTTTATTAAAATATGTTACTCATAGTTGCAATTGTGTTTAATCAATTTATTTTTGAATTACCAATTTAAAGAAATTCAACACAAGATGATTTTCTTCATTAAACCATTCAAATATTCAAGTATAACCTATTTGAAATAACTAAATAAATATGTTTAAAATCTTATTTGACCAATCAATAGTGTTAATTAAAATTATGAAGTAATTTAAATTCCACCCAAATGCTAATTAACGATATTTATAATTATAATATTTGAAAATCAAATGTCAACTACAACTACTCAAACGACTTCAAAAAATGAATTAGTTAAGTGGATAAATGAAACATTTAAAGTAATCAATTAAATTTCTATCAAATTAGTTAACCATAACTCAACTAGAAACCCTTGGTACTGGTTGCACATTTTGTTAGATATTTGAATATTTATATCCAAATTCAATTCAAGGAAATAAAATCATCTGGAAAGCTAACAAAGAGAATGATTATATAAAGAATTTCAAGACCTTAGCAGATGCTTTTACAAAAAACAACATTTAAAAATAATTAGATGTATACTGTTTATTTTATTTTAGATCTAATAACTATCAAAAGCTAAGTATTAAGACATTTTAGATTTGGCACAATTCTTGAAATAAAAATTTGATAAGTAAACAGAAAAGAGAGAAAATTATGATCCAATTGAATTTAGAAAAGTAGAAGAAAGAAAAGTCTTTACTCCAACCAATAGAAAAACTGTATCAACTCTTAAAGATAAAACAAATAATGAAAACACAACAACATCTACTCATTCTTTGTTAGTTAAAAGACCACTTTCAAAAACCTCCTCTTGGAAAACTACAAAACCAACATTCACTAAAACACCTGAACTTAGTTCAATTACTGAAATTATCAATAATGCAGAAGATGATGAGGCAACAAAAGTTAAAAAGATCAAGTCACTATTCATTTGAATTAAAATTAAAATAAAACAATCATAAGTTCATATAATAATATAAATATTAATGCTAAACTTTTAGTCTTATTTATTTTTTTGATTATTTGATTATTAGGAAAGCAAATATAAATAATTAAGATATAACTATTATTTATAACCTACTTTAGTTTATCAAAATAAAATACATTAAATCTTAGTCTTCGATATAAAATATTACATTAAAAAAATCTATCCATAATTGATATAATTGTAAATATATTTATTTTAAATCATTATTTGTGTTTCTTGGCATGATTCTCAACTAGATCATAAGCTTATTAGACAGTTTTAATTTCAGAAATTCTAAATGATTTTATTAATAATTATTACCTTTTACCTTTTCTGACAGCATAAGCAGCATCGTATTATTCTTTGTATTCTCTAGTTTGAATGAGTAACTGTTCAGTGAGACTAAGATCCCTATTGATAATAGTTAATCTTTTTTCCAAAAGAACCTTATAAATAGATTTGGAATTATACCTTATCGTTAGTTCTTTTCTTGATCAATTGGGAAGTGACTTCAAAATCCTTAGAAAATCTTTCTCTCAATTCAGCAACTTCTTAGATAGCTGTTTAGAAAGTAATCTTAATTTAATGGACATATTACTTGACTTTATGTTTCTTATTCATCTTCTTATTGCATTAAAGCAATGACAGCATTTCTTATATGTTCCAATTTATCAATAATTCTTTTTACTGTTGAAACATCGAATTTAGTAGTTAATGCAACCATAATAGCAACTGGATGATTATATCCTAATTCTCTTTTGATTTTTTCAACAATTTCAAATTATTCGGTTTGCAATAATGATTTTCCTTCTTAATCAAAAACAGCAACTTATAATTTAGGAATGATTTCATTCAAGGCAGCCAACACTTTGCTATTATTTTCTTGCCTGGCTTAATATGAGGCAGCTTCTTAAGCTCTAGTTTATCTTAATTATTCTTCTTTTCCATTTAGAATATTTAATTATTCAGTGAGTGCATCTAATTATAATTGTAATCCAACAAGGATTTGATTTAATTCACTTAATTAATTATTTTTATCTTGTCTCTCTTTTGTAAGATTTCTTAAAACAATAATCAACCATTCAATGTCTAATCCTAAAGTTGTTGTTCTCTAATATTATTAATCTCTCTAAAATTACATGGGCGTATTCAAGATCATCATTAAGTTGATCTCTCTTCATTTGCTCTAATAAATCTCCAACCAATGAAACAACTTCAGAAACCTTTCCTCCTTAACTGAGTTCCAAATCGAGTAAAAATGTAAATTCAGTGTGCTCTGTTTTTATTGCTTTAATTTCCTTAAGCAAAATTGGTACTCCTGATTCCAACTCTACTGCCGTGATTCCAAACACCAACAATCCTAATATGAGTATGGCTTTCATTATATTATTAATAATTAATAAAAACGGAATTTAATTATATAAATAATTAGAAAGCGTTGTCAATTTACTTCTCCTAAGATCTATTCGCATAGAGTACATTGATGTACTTATCGCTTACAAAAATTCATACAGAAGGGTATGAAACAACAACTAATTAAGAACCAATCATTAAAATAATACCCATAAAATAATCCTTAAGCGCACATTAATATACATAAACTAATAGAAAGACATCCAGAAACATATGTTAACTTAGTTTATATCATGCCTTTACACTCAGGACATCTAATATTAAATTATAAGGAGGTACATGCTCTTTATCAAATTCTCCTAAAAATATAAGTCTTTTATCTTACCAAAATTCTTATATTATAAAGCACTTGGATCCTAGATGGTAGGTATTGCAGGTATATATTATGGAATATTCCCTTATTAAACAAAAATTCAGTTGATTGTTCTACCAATGTGTTGCTTGTATCGGTTATCCTATTTATATTGCCTACAGATTACCATCTGGAGGAGGATAACTATGCAGCCTGATGGCATACTTACTTAAAATTACTATCAAGTTTATCAATATCAGGTTACTCACTCATAATAACAAAATTTATCTAATAATCAATTTTATTAATTCTTGTTTTTAATATTTTCCATTCTCAAAAAATATAATAAGATTGACCAAATTATCAAAATTTTCATAGTGGAAATAAATCGCGTGTAATTTTTCTTAATAACCTTAACTAAATTAAATCAAACTAATCTTTGCGTTCAATAATAAATACCCTGTATTATAATCATGAGTAAGTTGATTATTATAAATAGAAAATATGAATTCTCAAATTCCTATGTGCTTCATTGAAGAATATTTTTATTTCTATTAGAAGCTTATCAGTATGTATAAATAATAAATAAAATATAAGAATAATTTAAGTATTTGATTTTATAGGATTTCCTTTATAAAATTATATTATTTATAAATGAGTGAAAGTTAATAAGATGATCAAATTAGCCCTTTGGATTTCGGAAAATACCATACTGAACCGTAGAGAGATCATCGAGAGATAAAATATATGCCCACAAAACTCAGTGAGCCTAGAGGGAGTCAATAGTATCCCTAACATGTTGCTGTGGTTATAGATGATGATACAACCTCAAATAATGAATCAAGGTGGTATGCTAAGAATAATTAATATAAATAACTGATTGGAAATGAGAGAACTGGCTTTGTTAAAAAAGTAAAAATATTTATATCAATAGGTCTATTCAATTATGATAATTTAATTGCTTATAACTATGATAATGTGCATTATATCATATGTTTCAATCGATTATAGAATGTTCTAATTACAAAATAGTGGTTATGCATATTTGGCTTTAGGAATTGCTATCTTTATAGAAGTCATTCTCTTTTGCATACCTAAGTTTGCCTGGAGAGTACCCTATAATTATCTTCTTTTATTGATCTTCACAGTTTGTGAAGGATATCTGATTTCTAATTTATGCAGTTATGTATTTGATGAATATAGTGAAAATGGTGGTAAACTGATATTCTTTATATAAGGTTACATTGTATTGATGGCTGCCAGTTTGTCCTTAGCAGCAGTAATAGGATTAACTTTTTATGCTTGCAAGACCAAATCTGACTTCACAACAAAAGGAGCTTTACTGTTTATGTGCACTACCTCTTTGTTGTTATTTGGGATAATGGCAGGAATTTACTACTAAAATGTCATTAATCTTCTCTATTCGTTGATCTGCAGTCTTCTTTTTGGAGCCTATTTAATATACGACACACAATTAATTTTAGGTGGAAGTGTAATATATATATCATTTTATAGACTCATAAATTATCTATTGATGATTATATAATTGGATCAATGATTATTTACATTGACATCGTCTACTTATTTGCACACATTTTAATGGTATTGATAGCATGTCTTAGATGAAGTTAAATTTGTTTTTAAATTTACATAAATATATTTAATTACTCATCTTCTATAAGGAGCCAAACTGCTTCTTCTAACTTCTTCCACTTCTTTTTCCTTCTCTTAAACTCTGGCTCTGAGACTTTCAATCTCTGCTGATTACATCTAAATTTAGAATGATAAAAATACAACAAAATGGAATAGGAGATCTTAAATTTTCCTTGTTTACGCTCCACCATCTGCATATTATAGTCTCCATTACTTGAGTTCAGCTTCATTGACATCTATGATTCCTTATAATCTATCAATTTCATTAGACAAGACTCTAATCTAAAATGATATTGGATAATTCTTACATTTTCTTCATATTATTTTAACTAAATTATTTATTATTCCAATTAATAGCATTTCTTCTTTAATTAATCGATTTCATCTTATCTGTTCATTAATAATTAATTCAATCTTTCAATTTCGGTGGATAACATAGCACATCTATTCTCTAATTCAATATATTTAGATTTGTATAACTCTAAGGAATTGTATTTTTGTTTTAAGTCATCATATTATCTTTAAAGTAAATTATACTAAGACTCTAATCTCTCTTTTTCCTTCCTTAATTCATCTGATTCTGAAAATGCTTTTCTTAATTGTTAATTAACTCTTTCCAATTCTTGATTACTAATTTAGATCTTGTTTTCATATCTTTAAATTTGAGTTCTATAATCATCAATCTCTCCATTTCTCAATCTCAATTGTTCATTCAATCTTTAATTCTCAGTAGTCAAACTTATAATTTTTTATTCTAGAATTTGACAATTATCTTAATATATTTTCAAACTTGCTATTTAGTTTTCCAATCCTTGTCTTTTCACCTTTTCTTCATCTTGTAATTTTTGTAATAGGTTATTTCTATCCAATGCTTTATATAATTAATCATCCTTAATCTTTAATTAACTTTGATAATGTGATATTTGATTAGTCAATTATTCATTTTCATCAAAAATCTCCGCTTAAACTTATGTTAATCTATCAATTTCAGAACAATGCAATATAATTCTTATTAATGATTACTTCCACTTATCCTCAACTATTCTATTAGTTTGACTCAATTCAGAGTAAGCCTATTCTAATCTTCTATATTTAGACATCCACTCTTCAGCTTCTGTCGATTTCAATCCCATACTCTATTTCAGTTTTTAGATATCGTTCATCATCTATCTCCTTTAGTCATCAAATTCTTAAGATTTCTATGAAAATAACATCTTCTATCTTTCTAGTTCTTATGAAATCATAGCAATGGTATTTTCATATTCGACTAATTTCTTATTCTTCATTAATGATTCTTATAAATCATATTCAATATTGGTATATTTTCTTTTCCATTCTTCAATCTACTTTTACAAGGATTAATTAATTTATTCTTGATTATTAATCTCTTTTTGCAACTAATTTTGATTTATTTATAAATTTTATAACTCTAATTATTTCTATCTCAATTATTCTTACATTCTATCGATTTCTTAAGTTAAACAACTTAATTTACTTTTAATATCATTATATTAAATTGATTTATTTTTAAATTCTTATTCATAGTGTTAACATTTTTATTTCCACTCTTCTAATTCATGAATTTTCTATCTTAAAATATTGTTTAGTCTTTCTATTTCAGATGTTAACAATTCAATTCTACTAATGAGTTCTTGATTTCCTTGTTCTAGATTATGATTTGATTGTTGTAATTGATAGTTTTTCATCTTTTAATCTTCCAAATTATTACTCAATTGCTAAAACATATCAATTTGATCTTTTAATTGCATTTACAATTAATCTAATTTATGTAATTTCTATTTCATTTCTTTGCATTGATTATCTGAATCAAAATATTTCTATCTCCATTCTTCTCCTTATTTTATTTTTTCTCTCAAGACTTAATTTAATCTATCAATTTCTCCTTACAGAAGAACAATTTTGTTTTACATTTAATCTATAATTTAGTCCTAATCCTTGTATTTGATTAATTCATTTTAGGTCATAACGAATGCTTAATTGAGTTAATCATAGTCTTTCTACTTTTTATCAAATTAATTTTATAATGATCTAAGTTCAGATCTCCATTTTTCAGATTCTTAAGCCATGTTATTATAACGTGCTTTATTCATTTCCAATTCTTCTAATTTCTATTTCAACAAATTGTTTAATCTCTCAGTTTCACAAACTAACATTCCTATTTTATTTTCCAATTAGACTATTTTTTCTTCCTATTGCTTGTACTATTAAAATTCAGCCTCATATTAATTCAACTCTACTTAATAATACTCTACAGCCTATTATTTACTCAACAATTGTTCTCTTAGTTTTTATACCTCATTTTCCTAAAGATATTTAAGCATTCATAATACATTAGTCTGTTTTTATGCGAATAATTAATTCTTCAAATCATCTATTTCCTTTTATTATTTTGAATTTCCAACCAAAAGTTATTGTTTCAATTACTCATTTTCATTTCTGTATTTATCCTCATTAGTAAAAAATCTGATTTTCCAATTCTCAATCTCCTCTGTATACTATGTAGTAGTAATTTCGATCTCTTATCTTAAACCATTAAATACTGATTTTACCTATACATACTCTCCTAATATTGCATCTGCATAAGTCTAGCTTACAAATCTTCTATTTGTTTTTCATAACTATTTCTATCAAGCAATTTATCATCCATCTCCTTTATCCTATATTTGAGTTTATCATTTTCAGCTACGAATCTTTCAACTTCACAGGCCATCAAGAAACAAACAATATCAAGGTTTTTACCCAACTATTATCTAGGGGGAGGAGGGTTATTAATTTACGAGGAATAGATGCTATTTCCAGACCTATCCAGGATAAACACAATTAAATACATTGATCTTTTCATTTAAGAGGATCCTAAATTTTGTGTCACTGAAGTGCACTGTCTTACTGTACTAGTAATAACTTTTGAAGAAGATTATGATGTAAAATAATCTTTATTTTAGGTGACTGGTTCTAATGGAGATCTGCTATATGTATTCATTTTGAATTCAAATAATTATTAATAAAGATCGTTAATTTTATATTCACATAAAAACTCTCCAATCTCACTACTTTACAATTCTAACCAAATTGTAATTGTCTTCAATTCAAAGTTGCCTTCCCTTTTATCTAAAATTTCTCACCAAATTTCTAATTGTAAATATTATCTCAATACTATCTTACACTATTTGTATACAAATCGATCATCGAAGTTATTTTTCTATTTAGGGAATCTAGAATCTGAGAAGAAGTTCTCTTTTAAAATATTAATTTCTCAATATAAATACAAATAAAAAAATCCTTTAGAATAGATATCTAATTTAAATTTCAAAGGTATCTGAGTAATTACAATACATCATTTCTTATTGAGGCAAATTAGGATTATTTATAAACTTTCATTTATTATATTTTATTGGTTGTTATAAATTAAATGCTTAAACCGAAAACAAGCAACCCAAATAGTATTACATTAATTAATTTAGACAAGATTACTGGATGTAAGGTTGAAAGTTAAATAAAACCTAAGATGACTGTTAATGAAACCAGGCAATTAGGACATACAGAATCTGATTAACAAGATTTTCTAATGGCAAGCAAATTAAACCCTAGTCAAATAGTTACACCAAACAAAATAAAAAAGAAGAAAAAGAAAAAATCTAAGAAATCTTCTTAGAAATCTAAAACTGAAATACAAAAAAGTGGACTTAAAACAAAAAAGTCTATTTCGTAAGTATTTCCATGGGGAGTTAATCAGCAGAGACTAAGGAATTACATTTTATCTGAATAAGAGAAATATTATAATGCTATGTAACGTCGAAATACAAGAACAACTGTTGACCTCAAAGATAGGAGATAATAAATTGGTACATCCTTTTTAAACCAATTTGCAGAAAAGAATCTTAAATCAATAATCAAAAGTAATATTATTTATTAAGCTAGAGAAAAAGTCCTTCCACGATGAGAGTCAACCTAAATAAAAATTAAAAATATCAACTACCTTGCAAAAATAATATAAATAACTTCTAAAGAAACCTAAAAACTTGAATATTCTACCAAATCGACTGAAAATAAGTTCTATTCATTACCCTAGTCCTGCATAAAAAATATAGAGGAGAAATAGAAGTCTATCACAAGGTTAGCATAATAAATAGATTCTAAACAATAGGATTAGAACAGGTTCTCTTCATGAAAAGACTGGAACCTTATTTGAAGTGACAACCTAAAAATTAAAATTCAAGAAACCAGAGAAAAAAAAAAAGATAGTTATATAATATTAGAATATTGAGGAGAATTTTCTAATTAATAATAATTAAGGTATCAATTAATAAAAAAATGAATCAAAACCCCATTCCTCATTATACAAACTAATGAGCAATTCCAGCAGCAATAACATGCCTAACGATAGCGATATATAATAGAATATTTAAAACATAGATGATAGCTTTTACAGTTAAAAAAACATTAATGATACTCATTCTGAAGAAAATGATGAAACCAAAAAAATTAAAGGGACAAATTACTTTTAAATGAGAAAATGTTCAATTCCTGAAATAACTGAAGAAGAAAATTATTTCAAAAAAGCTAATTGTTACAAGGTGACTTTGGTTTAGAGCGATTTCACAGTTGAGAATTAAGCTGCTTTAATCATTTAAAAAATGTGGAGAGGATATAAATTAAGACGAATGCAATTAAAAAATAAATCCTAAGAAAAGAAAGATATCTCTAAAACTAAGGATAGCTTAAATTTAAAAAGTTTAACCAAATCCCAGATTAATAAATTAATCAAATTTGGATTTCTGAAAAAAAATTCAATTGATAATTCTCAGTTTGTTGATGAATCTAGCATTTTAAGTCATTCAAGACCTAATTCTTAAATGGATTATTAAAAAGAAACAAAAAAGTAGATAGAACCTAATTAATATCAAAAGTTTATAGAAAATTTTTAAGCTGATATTGAATATAAACCTAACTTGGCTAACCAATTGAATTAAGTTTAAAATAAATTTAAAGATATTTAGTTGCAAATACTATCTGAGCACACTCCTGAAAAAATTAAAAAAACATTTTAGAATTCTCAAGAAGAACAAATCCAATCCTTTGGTAATTAAAAATCAAAAAAAATTAGTAAATTATCAATTGATGTTGAAGAATAAGAAGAAGAAAATAAAGTTGATATTGGAGAAATTAGATGCGCTTTTGGTTCAGAATCATTATTAAAGAGTCTATCATAAGAAGGGGAATAATCATTTTAACAGGATAAAGGAATATTTGAATAGACTTCATTCTAAGATTTTGTAATGAATAAATTTAAAGAGCTAATGCAGAGAGACAAGATGGATTAATTAATTGCTTTAAGAGAAGAAGCAGTTTAGTAAAGACAATAATAATCATTAAAATAGATTGACAAAGCCTTTTAGAATAATCAAATATCTCCTAGAACATTCGAACTTCAATAAAGGAAAATAGAAAAGTGGGTTAATAAATAAAAAACAGATTTAGAATAAAAAAAGCGAGAAATATTAAGAGGGTAACAAAGTGTATTTGATGCTATAGTGAAAACATAAAGAGACTTGCAATTTGTTAAATAAATGCTTTCATCATAAAACTCATAAACTTACATAAAAATAGTAGATTCTTTAAGTTAGGAATCTGCCAATTATTCTGAAAATAGTCTAAAGAGTTCAATTATCGATATTTAAATTTCCAATTCTTAGATGTTATAATATTAGCAAGATGATAAAAATAAGGTTTACGAAGATGTAGTAACAATATAGAGAAAAAGCAATAATATATTAGAAGAAAAGGAATTAGTTTGTGCTGAGCCTTTTAACTTAAAAAAGTTAGCCTAATCTCAATTTGTTAGAAATGTTGAACAGTTGAAATAACCTTAGAAGATATCGGATAAATGTGCTGATTCATACTCTATCTTGATTTCGAATATGCTGATATAAGAGGAAGTTAATTAGTTTTATACAGAAATGTTAAGAAATGGCATAGATTTATACGAGATAATAAGCAATTCCTAATTAAATCGTAGAGCATAGATTGCTTAGCCAAAAGAATCAAAGATGCAAGGGCTTAAAATAAATGTAGCATAAATTAAAGCGTATCTCAAATACTTAGAAGAGTACTTGATAGGTAATCAAATTTATTTAATATCATTAAGATAATGTAATGATTTAAATCTAGAGGGTAATAAATATACCTTTGGGTCCATCATCCTAAATTATGCTTAAGTTTCTTTAGCCAATTCGAGACTCGGCTGAGTCAGAATACGATTCAAATGGAGCATAGCATTAAATCATACTTAGTGTAGAGTTGTTTGGCAAATTTGAAAGATTTTTAATGGAATAGCGAATAATTAACCATTAAAATAAACTATTAATTGAATTAGAGCATATTCATAATAAAGCAATCTTTGATTCCTTAAATGAAGCACTTGATTAATTTAGACCATACGGTTTGAATGGTTAACCATTTCTATGGAAATCTGATCCAACAAGATTGAGAGCAAGGGAAGTACAATTGACCGATATTCCTGGAATCATTCGTAAAGCCTCAGAAAAAGTCATTGATTGGGTTCATTATATGACAGGGATCTTATTTGATAAAGAAGATTCGCCGTTTCCTAAATCCATGCAACTAGACCAAGAAACCATAGCATAGATAAGAGAGGACAGGCTGTATAGAATGTTAACATTAGATGTATAATTATATTTGTAACTTTTAGATTATTGATAATGAAGATAGATGGACAAATTATGATGAAGAAACTACTGAAATCTCTATTGATTTATCAGATCTGTTATTTGATTATCTAATTGAGGAAGTAGCATTTGAGATGTATAAAAAATGATGTTTTTGTTGAATATATTAAAATTCAGTTTTTTTTAATTTTTCATGTCTAATGTTTAATAACTTATAAAAGATTATTTCTAATTTGTTTGACGTCAATTTCATTTTATGTTCTAAATAAAAAATATAATGTACTGCAAGATTTGATTCAAATTGATGAAAATCAAACTGTAATTTAATAATACATTATCAAAGATACCTGTATTATTTGATAAATCTGTTAAGAAAGAATGGTCCTATCCTTTTTCCATGTAATCTAAGACCCACTCTTCTTATAATTCGGTAAAAATAATCTTATCGAATTCCTCCTCTGTGAATACATCTGCCGCACTATGATAGGCAAACTTTATTTCGCAAGGTAGCATTTCTAGTTAATCTTTAAGTTTGTTAATGAGATCTAGCATTTTAGTTTAAATTTCGATTAATTGTCTATTCTTTTGATCCTATTATGTGTTAGAAGTTGAAAATTAAGAGTTGGATATTTTAGTTTTTTTGTATCCCTAATATATTAACACAGCTTTAGCTATATTGGAATGATGTTATTCTAAAGAAAACCATTTTAAAATTTTGTCTGTATTGTCTTAGTCAAATTGAAGCAAACTAACTGGTTTCTCTCTACCTAAAACATCTATCTTTTCCATCACCTTCTTTAATGAAATTTTGAAAGAACTTAAAATGACTTTAACCAGTTCATTCTTAATCTAAGCCCAATGCTAGTACTTTCGTGGGTATTAATTTAAAAAATAGAACAAATGGCTAAACCTATTAACAACTAAAAAGTCTTCATAATTTGAGATGTAGATTGTTCTTGAATATTCTATTTATTACTCCTCCTACATTGGGAAAATAAGTTCAATTAAATTCTTTATATTTAAGAATAAATACTTTTCTAAATTAGTCATATTATTTAAATAAATTTAATATCCATCTAAATCCTTATACTTAAACTTATTTAATTTCTTGCAACTTTTCGCTTTAGATTAATTCTATCCTTTTTTAACTCTCCAGAACTACTTCAATCAATTGTTATAATGAACTATTGTTGTTCTTCTGATCAATTTCATTAAAATCCTCAACAATCATCTAGAGATTTCCAGAATGCAAATATTGCATAGACTCTAATAAACATATAACATCCTTTTCAAATGTTATATCCGACTACAACTACTATTTAATATACTCAACGTCTTAAGAAACCTTCTTCCTTTATAATTTTATGGCAATTTATTCTAATTAATGTGACTAACTAAAGAACTTTTCAATATTTATCTTTTTCAAGTTTTAACTCTCAATATCACTTAGTTGTAATTGTTGAGGCAAGTTAACAATAATTTCTTGAATTTTTAAGTCCATAGCTTATCTTTATTTTTAATAGCTTTCTTTAAATGTCAAATATTAAACATGTGCATCGATATCATGAATGTTTATATATGGTTCTACTTTTGGACTCAAAGAATTAATAAATTTCAGCTCTGTTTCAATTTTTTTCACAAACTTCTCTTTAAATTCACTTAATGTAGGATGTTGTTATTATACATTGTTTATTTTTACTAATAGTATTTTAAGAATGCATTTTGATTATTATACTTCTTAATATAGGTTTATAAGATGCTACCATTATTCTTTGGATATGGATTATTGTAAATTAAAGAAAATTTAATCGAAAAAGTCCTAAAAATTATTATTTTGATATTTTTTAAATTCATCTATTAATGGAAGTATGAAATTCACTGCTGCTTTCTAGGAATTAACTTAATTTTGAATTGTATCGATAAATAAACATGATTTTTAATAAATCTTATTCTTCATTGCAAAAAAGTATTTAGTCTAATCAAAGTGTACAAATTTAAGTTCGTCTTTTTGGCATTTAAATTAGTAATAGTTATCTTTGTAATTTTAAGGTTATTAATTTAAATAAAATATAAGATATTAATAATAATCAAAGCTATCATAATATTCTTATAACAAATCTTTTTGAATAGCAATTTTATCAATTGCTGCTAGCGATAGCCTATATTCTTAGATAATTAGCAAGTAGTTTGATAAACATATTTATATATCTTTTGAAACTCCCTTAAAATATATAGAGGAAACGCGTTATAAATTAATCATTTTTTATTAAAGCTCTTATTCTTATTAAGGAAAAGATTTAATTAATTATAACAATTTGGAGCAAATAGATTTATATTATTAATGATTTTGGTTGATATTTCCCAATCTAAATTATATTAATAATACTATTTTACCTTCTTTTTTCAGAAAGCGTTTATTCATATTCCTTAGCCATCAACTCAATATCCGAGAAATGCTTAAGGGATACAGATGTGAATTCAGCTTCACTCACAGCTTCTGATTCATCAAAAGGCTTATGTAATCTTTCATAAGCTGCCACAGAAACTACTGACATGAAATTAAATGCTTCATTAAATAAATCTCTTAATTCATCAGCTTTGGATTCAAATTGATTAAAAGCATATTTAATTTCTCTTTAAAATTTTTAGTAAGAAGTGCATTAATCATACTAATACAATGAAGTCTGAATATTTTTAAGTTATTAAGTAATATTTAATTTTTATTGTTTAATTCTACTATGCTTTTCAATAATTGTATGCACTGTTCGACCTTCCATTTTGATACGATCTCGAATATTTTCTGCATCAATTTCTAATTACTAATAATATTAAGGTTCAACATTTGATGAGATCAATCTTGAAGCTTATAGGTTTGATTAATTCATTGGCACTGTTGATCTAAATAATGTGAAGATGTTTTCTAAATTCTCTAATTAAACCTCTTTCAATAAACTTTGTTTTGCTGGGTCTTCTTAAGATATTTATTCATTTCTAATTTCACTTTTTATTTAACCTTCAATCTTTGAAGCAGGTTTTTATTACTCCATTTCTACAGGTGCAATATATGATAATTCAGGATCAATATTCAAGGAATTCACACTTAACTAAGGTTATTTTTAAGTAGGTAATTGCAATAGATTTTGAGTTTAATTCGATGGAGTGTTATCAAATATCCTCTTCTTTTAAGTCGATGAAACATTATTAATGTTACTTGTATTAACATAGATGTTTGACATATTTAATAATAAATTGTGAATAAAATTAATTATAAATTCATATCATCTTTTATATTTGATTATTATCTTCTAATTAATAAGGTAATGTTAGATAGAATCAATGAATGCTAGATATATAAAATTTTGAATAAACAAGACATAGAAGAATTTATATATTCTAATTTCTTCACATTTTTTATTGTTATCTGAAGTAAAAACCAGTACTATAATAATTATTTGTAGCTTTATATCATTATCTCTATCCTTTCAAGCCAAAATTGGAAACATATATGTTAAAAAATTAAAATCTTAATTCATTATTAAAAATAGAATGAGAGAAAAGTGGAGAAAAAAGAGAATGCGATGACTTAAGAGAAATAGACGTAAGGCACGTTAGTGATACAAAGGGAGTGATAAATGTCAATATGTTTAATCGAAAATCTAGTTTTTGAATTTTAGCAGTATTTTATAATTTTGAGATTTGTACCTTAAATATCAAATGAGTTATTTAATTTTATAAGGTTTGTGAGAATATTTCTGATCAGAATAAGAAATTTTCATTATTTATGTAATTAATTATTATTTAATTCGAATGGAACAAGAAGAAGTTTTAAGATAAATGCAATTTTACATCCTAAAAACTAAGAATTTAATAAGTGAGTGCTTAATAAAAGAATGTTTGGAATGTTAGATTGAACTATTAAATGATCTTGAAGGAAATAATTAATTTATTATCATTTGTTTATTTTACAAATACCAGAGATTAGTTAAAATATTAATGTGAAGATTTTATGCCTTTTACTGCTCTCAATGTCTTTATGATAATCCTAACACAAATCTTTTACTATGTCCTATAAAAATAAGTCAAACTAGTTATTTGAAGATTGACATGAAAAAGGCAGAATGATGTATGATAAATTATAATTTAAAAGGTTTCAATTAGGTATTGTGAATTTAATTTAAATTGTATCCAAACGCCGAAATTGTGCGATTTTCGATTTGACCTAATTAGAAAAAAGTAGTTGTAATGATAAATCTTGAAAAACTAGACTCTTTAAACAACAAGAAACACAATGTATAGAAAATGAATATGAAAAAAAATTGGATTCGATTGCATCTGTTAAAAGAGTATTAATAATTACTTTTTGAAGCTTGAATAATTAATAATTTCATTTATAATGTAAAATCTCATTACTTTCCGTATTCCTTTTAGGTCATCAGATTATAAAAGTCATCAAATGTTACAAATCCATCGTCATCCAAATCAGCCTAGATTATGATGAATAATAATACTTTCTTAAACATATGTTAAATTTCTTCATCTGTCATTTCTTCTCCTAAATCTTAAGCTACTCTTTTGAGTTCATCCCAAGTAATTCGACCTTTGATAGAGAATATATACTTTACCTTCTTTGTTCCAGTCATACAAATTGAACACCTTATGAATTTATTCTCGTGTATCTTTATCACTTACTTTTGCTGTTGCTAGATGTAAAAATTCTTCAAAATCAATTCCTCCAGAATTGTCAGTATCTAACTCTCCCAGCACTTAATAAATAAATTTATTATGATATGTTTTGATTCCAGATGCTTCAAAGGCTTCTCTCAATTCTTATGGATCGATTGCTCCTGACCCATCACCGTCGAAAATATCAAAGGCTTACTTAAAATTAAACCACGATTATACCTTAACTTCCAAGACTTCTTCCTTTGTCAAATGAGGAGGTTTGGCATAATCTTCAGCATTCAATTCTTTTTATTTAGGGGGTTGATGAGGTTGGGGATTTCGTTACGGTTAGTTACCTTTGGCTGGCTAAGGGGGAGGTTATTTTTATATGTTTTGTTATCTTGACATTGATAAAATAGATATTTATTTAAATAAAAGTATGTAATTTTCATTTTAGAATATTTACTAATTCATGATTTTCATCTTAAAATTGAAAGGATTCAAACATTTGTAATTCAGCATTTGTTTCCAAAAGTGAAATAAAAAAATATTCTTAGAATTCTTATTTCAAATGATTTAACTAGTTAATAATAAAGAAACATACAGAATGCCAAAAATTCAACAATTCAAGTCCATTTCGAATACATAGACAGACAACGATTGATGGATCAATACTTTAATTGTGTATTAATTAAACATTTTAACAAGTATAAGAAGTTTGGCTTTTAGAAAGATCTTCAAAATTCTAAGCGTTTTGAACAAAATGAGGATCTAAATATATGAGATAATCATGAATTCTTCCTACAATGTAAAAGGCTCTATTCGTAACTCCACCAATAATTCCTTAAAAGTAAGGCAAAGTCATTAGATGATTCAAGACCTCCAAATATTCCTTATCAACCTTTTGGAGGCCAATTCGAGCAGGAATAAAGATAGCAATTCCTTTATCATGTTATGAAATTAATTGATTGTTGTTTGTAATACATTCTTTTAACCATTCTTAATTACCTTTATCATAATTAAACATTTGTTGTATTGCATCCTATAGAATAAAGGCACATTAATAATTGATATAGATTTACATATTTAAAGAGTCTTATTATGAAAATTGAATTTACATTAGGAGTATTTGAACAAGTAGTATAAAGTTTCAAGTATTTCATTTGGTTTATACCAATCTCCGGGCTTCTTCTTAAATTCAATTTTTGCATGATAAACAATCTTTTGAATAGAAAATGGAGCATGATAATATTGGACCTGCTTCTTTTGATCTTACTCAATGAAATTGGTCAATTCATCATCATCATTATCTAAGAAATGTCTAATTAGAACTATTAATTATTCTGGCTAAGTGAAAGAATGATAATGTCTGATAACTTGAGCTAGGGCCATTTAAGCAACTCTAATCATACACCCCCAACCAGTATCCGAAGTGAGTGAACTGACTTCATAAATAAGTAAAATATAAACTTTAGAACTATGTAATTTTTTTCCGATAAGAAAACCAAATTATCTAGGAACAAATATTTTTCAATTTTTCTATTCTTTACTTAAAATAAATAACGGATATCTTACTTCTATGCTGACATCGTTTTTTATCGTTTCGTTCAAAATATAAATGACTTTATCATTTTATCTTAGCTATTTATCTATGTCATAAATGTATGAAGTTAAGTTAAATTTAACATTGTACCATCTGTCAAGCAAGGATCCACATAAGTTATACATATATTTATTAAATGTTATGAATAATACTTATTTCTTTATATTATTTATAAAAAAATGGCTAATCAGTTTATTGAATATACATCTTAAGAATTTTTGTAATTGCATTCTTACCTTTTAAACACAAATAACAATACCATTGAGTTAGAGAAAACTGTAATTTTTTCATAGATTATTTGCAGTTCAAGGAAATAGAAAGGGCTTGTACTACATTTTCAACATCTTTAAAAAAAATTGCGGAACGTCTCCATGAATTTGTGAGTAAAGGCACAGGCGATGATGACAATATCGAATGTGTTTACTAGTATTTGAGCAACTTTTTGCTGTAAAATTCATAATAGTGGCAATAAACAAGCGAAAATCTTAGAAGTGAAGTTTATATATTTTATTATCATGTCTTAGGTTCTTGAACCATATCAATTAATCATGAGCAATTATAGAAATATAAACTTAAAATTGTCTTCTGAGATGAAAGAATATATTGGAAATATCTAATCATTGAATAAGCAAATATCTGATTAATAAGAGGAATATATACGATTAATGTAAAATGCTGATAAAAGTTAATTACTAATGGAAAGAACAGTTGGAGAGATTGCAAAGGGAAACAAAGGCAAAGATGAATTAGTCAGAGCTTCAGAAAGATAAATAAAATTAAAAGAGATTGCCATAGAGGCTCAGGAAGATTATAAAAAGATCATAGAAAAAGGAAATAAAAAACTTTCAGATTTTGATGGAAAGATTAAAGATTGGTATTAATAAGTATTTTTAAATGATGAAAACAGGTAAAATTTGTGATTAATTATAGAATCAAGTTTTCAAAGTAAATTATGTTGTCATTAATGAAAAAGTTAACTAATGAGACTGTCTACTCAATATACCAGGATAAGTTAAATTAATTAGAGTTACGAGTTATTCAAAAGCAACCATTGGATCTTCAACACTAGATTTAAAGATTATTAAAAAAAAGTGGAAGTAATTCTTATATTTATTTAAGCTGAAACAGTGTATTTTTCATTATTTGATTAAATTAATTATGATTAAATAAAGAGAGGAGAATAAAAAAAAAATATGCAGTATGTTGGAAGCGAGTGGACTTTGATAGGTGAACAACTAACCGAAGAACAAGCTACAAAAATTTTGCAATTTATTAATGACCTTATGGAAAATTAAGAAACTTCAGATGACAGTGCCAACAATTCAAGAAATAGGTCATATTCTACATCTTCAACAAAGTCAAATTAATTTTTATCCCATGAGTATTTGGGGGTTAAATAATTAATGTCAAAATAATCAGCAAGATAATTCTTGAATAATTTATTATAAAAAGAGATTGAAAAGAGAAAGATCAAATAATTAAATTTATCTGAAGATTCATTTAATGAAGTTAGTTCTATTTTTAAGCATGTATTTTTAATTTTAGATGCTGAATTTGATGTAGAAGAATTCTATAATTTTTTATAATTATCATATAGGATTATAAAAGGAGACAACTCTCATCTGATCTCAAGTTTTTCAAAATTGGATATTTGGCAAAATAAATTGAAATGGAAATCTTTATATGAGCATATTAAATCTACTAAGTTTTAATAGAAGCAAATTTTAGATCAATAATTCAATATAGTTAAAAAAGGGTATGGATTGATCAGTAAGGGATTAAAAAAAATTACTGGTGTTGTTTAAGGACAACAATATTCAGAAAAAGAAAAATATCAATAACAAAAATACAGTGTATTACATGAGATTGCTACATTTCTAAGTGAATTGAATGTTTCTCCTTAATTAGGAACTGATGTGATTTTGGAACTTGCTTTTCATTCTGACATCAAATTGGAAAAGGTACAATTAGAAAAACTATTGCAAATTTTAGAGGAAAAAAATGCAATTACATTTAATTAAAAGTATTCTTCAGGTTTTGGAATTAAATAAAGAAAGGAAGATAAATATAAAAGACATGGATTATATAACCCTTAACTAAAATTGATTTACTCAATCAGATTATCTATTAAATATTTGTCATATAAAGATAGACCTTATCAATTATTACTAGTATCTAAGGCTTTTAAATTCCATTTAAGATTCGCTATAGAAAAATATTATATTATTCATAATAGTCTTCCATATATGGAACAAAACTAATATTATCGAGCATAAAATCTGAAGGTTTATCTCAGAACTGATCAAAATCACATGGATTATGCTCTCAAAAAGTCTGAAGCATAATAAGAGATATAATAATACGAAGAAATTATCGCTATGGACGTTTAAAGATCTTTACAGCTCCATTTTGAGAGGGTTCCTTCAAGCAAATTACAATCATTCCTCAGAACATATGCATTTCATAATAAGGAAGTCGGATATTGTTAAGGAATGAACTATATCGTTGGATATTTGTACTTAACATTTGAAGATGAGGAAGTAACTTATATAGTATTTGACTATATAATGAGAAACTATTTTTCTTAATATTTCGAAAATGAATTTGAAATGCTGGTATTTATTTAATATATTTCTATTAGAAGAAGGTATTCTACCAATATGAAAGATTGTTATTCTTATTTTTACCAAATTTATATCATCATTTTAAGAAAGTAATTACATTAATTATCAAAGTAAAAAGTTGATGCATCATACTATTTAACTGCTTGGTTTATTACTGTGTTCACTTAGGTATATTAGTTTACCTTGTAGTCAGCATTGTTAAATATCATATGGGATATATTTATTATTTAATAGTGGAAAGGTATTTTGTAGTGATTAGATTTTAGGATTTTACAAATGTGTCTTATTCTTATTATATTTCTACTAAAAAGAATTATTGCAATTAGAGTTTGATTAAATTCTTCATTTTTTGAGTGAAATTATCAAAAATGAATTATTTAGTCTTAAAACGGAATAATAAGTTTAAGAATACATTTGTACTAAGTTAAAAATACCATCAAAGGGTCTAAAAAGAATTATCACTAATTAATTCCATGTTACAAATAGTCTTTTGTAATAATTAGAATAAGAATTTAATTGTTTTTCTACAAACTTCGATTCATAATTAAAATAGTTTAAATACAAATGAAATATATTAGATTTATAAATTATCAATTTTATTTATTCTAAAACTAATGTTTAATGGACTGTTAGTAATCAATATCATAACCAATGTGTAAGCTTATTGTTTTATTTTTGAATCTATTCTAATAATAAATTTATTGAAAGAAAGATTATCACTTAAATCATATTAAAATTTGAAATATATAAAGATAATACAAAAATGTGTTAGTTAAAAACAAGTTTCCAATCTCCAAAAAAATAAATATTAAATATAGGAAATTTATTCAGGATCATTGAATCAAAAAGGAACAATTATTTCATATAATAATTATTAACACTTAAATCTAGTTTTTTTGTGTTGAATTTATATTATTAAAATATATGTTGAGAAATAGAATAAATAATAACCCTTATTAATGGAGATGGTTTTTAATTTTGAAGAAAGTAAAAGGAATTTAAGAATGTTCGATAAAAAATAATATAATAAATAAAAATGAATTATTAATTCGAAAATATATAAAAGGTTTAGGCAGCAAAGAAAATTTGGGCCTTTTGTAAATATTAGAGTCTTTTGAATCAGAGGATATAAGAATTGATATAAGGATTGGATCCAAAGATTCAAACTGTATTACAGTTGAAAGAGAAAAGACAACTAATAGGAATATCAAATCAATAATTCACAAAAGCATGTACCAAAGCTTTAGAAAATCAAGCAAACCTTTTAAAACCCTTATTCTTGTTGAATATGAGAAATATTCTCAATAATTAGAAGTATCTAATTGATATTATTTAAATAATTCACTATTCGACATATAATGAAGAAACTAATTATGTTGAGGATGCTATGATTAATCCAAAAAAAATAAAAGAATAGAGATAGGTAAAGTTATAACATAAATTTAGTTATATAAAATATTAGAATTGATATTTGTGATATTATAAAATTAATAAAGAGAAACAACCAAATATTAAATTTTGATATGTTTAGATTCTATATTAAAATCTTTGATGAAATGCTCATAAACTAATCCTGAAATATTGTTATAATTAATAAAGTTTTAAAAATATAACAGGAGTATTTCATATAAAAAGTCTTACGAAGGAATTGGTCAATTTATATAAGCAATAACATCATTTGATTGTAAATTAAAACCAAATTTGTAATCGGAAGTAATAGACTTTACTTTGAATAATGTATTACAATAATTAGATTGTGTAATTTGTTACAATGTTATGAAAGATCCTGTGTCAATGAAATGTGGGCATAGTTTTTGTAAGGAATGTAGGGCTTAAGATCAAAATAACTCTCGGAAATGTCCAATTTGTAGGTATGAATACTGAAAAATTTAGAGTGGAATAGGTAGATGAGATTTATCTAAGTGAAAATAACAAATTCTTAGCAAAGTTGATACAACTGAGATCAAATTTTGAGAACTAACACAATTTACAGCAGAATGAGTATTATTAAATTTACATAAAACCACAAAGCATAGAAAATTACGAATAAAAAATAGTCTTTAGAACATTGTAAGCTCTTAAGTACTTAATAGAAGAGGAAGTAGAGATTGATACAAAGAGATTTAAAACTTTATCAACTCTTTAGTTTTAAGAATTAATAAAATAACACCTTATTTTTATACTTATTGATAAAAATGAGAATGCATATTTGGTGAAAAATATTTTGACTCATATTAGCAAGAACAAAACAAGGATTAAAGTTTAATATTAAGAAAAAATAAAAATTGTACAATAACATTTTTTAGAAATTGCATTGAATTAAGAAAATGGAGAATACATTTTTGAATCACAATTTGCAACAGCAATTACAGATGAGGATGAATATATTGATTTAAATAACATCGAAAATCAAAAACAAATTAGTGCTTTGATAAATAGTATTAAAGAATTCTTCAATCAGGCATTTCTAAATTAACAGCAAGATTAAACATATCAAACAATATCTTCATTCTTGGCATAATCAGGTTTCTTAATGTTACACAATTCTGATATTATTAGCAACTATGACGATATGAGAAAATATTCATATCTAGTCCCGAATCTAATAAGAATACCTGAAAAGGAAAGACTGGAAATCTAATAGATGAATAATTTAATTAAAAGATTAGAATTGATTTTAAGGAGCTTAAATAGATTCAGATCTTGTTCAAATTTATTAATGATATTGTAAATTCATAGTGAAAATCATGGTCTAAGGAGGAATACAATTATTTTTACTATAGTATTTTTGGTTTTATCGTTTTTTTTGTAGTAGTGAATCATGATAAGTTTGTATCAAAATATCAATTATAATTATTCAAATATGAATCAATAATATCTGCAAGTTCCTATGTCCTAAAGTAGATAATCAATGACTTACGAAAAGTATTAATCTACTTCAGGAATAGTTGCAAGCACTGATAAGTAAATTAAAATGTTTAATTTAGACGTATTGCTGACAACAATTAGAGCGGAAGAAAAAGTACCCTTTTCGAAGATAAGTATCAAATTATTGAATATGTAGACGATATGAGGAATTACTTCAAGATAATAGAAAATTGAAAGAGGTGATTGAGCAATTGGATAAGGATAATTAGTAATTAAAGTAGATGTCAGGGGAGAGCTATAACCTAAAATAGAAATATATGATTGCATAAGCAGAATTGGAGGCTGCATAACAGGAGTTAGCCAAATTGAGATCTCAACTCTTGATGAGAAATTCATAAGATGCAGAATAATCGACTCTTGTGACTAGATACAAATAAGATGTATCTACATTGACTCAGCAACAGATATAATACTAGTAAGGTAAAATCTTATTAATTTTGAAGAAATATCTCAATTAAATGCTTTGCTAGAATAATAAAGGAAACAAGTAGAAGAATTCTTAAGATTAAAAAGTAAATATGAGTAGGATATCCAGACCTATAGAAGTAGGTCTTAGAATTTAGAGATAGAAATTAGGCAAGTGAAAGAGTAAAGGAACTCGACAACTTAAAATGAAATAGTAAGATTGACTTAGGAAATTGCAAGGTATCAATCTGAGGTTTAGGTTCAATCATCAGATAAAGAATTATATTAAAGAACAATATAGACTTTAAATGATAAAATTAAGGAGATGGATAATGACATTTAGATATTGATAGAAGCGCATAATTAGAATCAATATAAATTGGAATCTGCCATGGCTGAATCGAAGAGTAATATGTAGTATCAGATCGATTAATTAAAATAAGAAATGACATTTTATCAAACTTAATGTAGACAGTGGTAAGAAAAATGTTAAACTGCTGAAATGCAAAAGGAAGAAAGTGAAAGGAGAATTATTCAGATGGAAATTAGAATAAATGAAACTAAAAAATAAATTGAGTAATAATAGAATGATAAGGTGTAAAGAGAAAGTTATCAAATTCATGCAATTTAAAATGAATTAGAGAGTTGGAAATAAAAATATGTAACCTTAGAAATTAAGATGAAGGATTATGACAATTATAGATTGAAAATAATTCAATTGGAAGAATAATCAAATTTTTATAAAACTGAAAATGATTAAATGAAGGAGGAATTAGAAATCTTGATTGCTGAAATTAAATAATTATAAGAATAAAATAATGGATATCGCTTAAGTATTACTTAATTGGAAAGTCAAACAAGAAATAGTGTAGAAAATGATAGACATAAGTTATAAATTAGAAACTTAGAAAATACTGTAAATCAATTGAATCAATAGATAAATGCATATAAAATAGAAACCAAAGAACTTGAACAATAGGTGATTTATCATTAGAACAAGAATACCCATGTTGATTATTAGGTTAGAGAGAAAGATGAAACAATTTCAAAGCTTCAATACAAATTAAATAATATGGAAAAAGAACTTAGGGTTATCTTTGAGGAATAGTTAAAAATAGAGAAATAAGATTGGGATAGATAAAAGTAATAATACATAGATGATCAATTACAAAAGATAACAAAGAAATATGAATCTGAAATCTCTACTTTGAGGTAACATTTTTCCTCTTTAGAAATAGAGAATTAAACTATAACAAAATAATATGAAAGATTTAAAAAAGAAGGAGATTTGAGTTTTTAAAGATAATCAGAAAAAGAAAAAAGTAGAATTATTGAACTTGAAAGATAAATTTTATAATTAGAGAATTAATAATCTTTATAGAAGAAAGAATTTTCGTTGAAAATCGAGGAAGCCAATTAATAATCCAACCTCAAGGAGTATTATGAGGCTTAACTTAAGTAGATTAATGAGAAATTACAAAGAGAATAAAACTAAGTTAAATAATTGAATGATCAATTGTTAATCGAATAAAAAAAGAATATAGATTTAGAAACCAAATATTCTCGAGAAATAAGAGATATTAAATTATAATAAGAAAAAAGAATTGAAATTCAATCAAATACATAATTTTCATTAGAATGGGAAAATCATCAAAAAGACATGGAAAGGTTGAGAAGAGAATATCGATTGATTGAATAAGAATATTAAGAGATGGAAGTTCAAGTGAAATTATGGAAAGAAAAGTTTTATGATGAATAACAAAAGCATTAAGACATAAGGCAACAATTAATTGAAATAAGATCTTAATACGAATCTCATACAATTGTCAATACACAATCAGATTATGATAAATAAAGAATTCAAGAGCTTGAGATGGAAATAATTTAATTATCAGAATAGATAAGATTATTTTCAATTAGGGAAGAAAAATATAAAGAATAAATTACAACTTACTCCATGACAGTAGAAAAACAGAAATCTAATTTTGATGATTTGAAGAGAATTAAATAATTGGAGTATGAAATTGAATCTTTAAAGATTTAAAATAGAGATTTAGAAAGATAATTCCAGGATAAATCAATTGAGTATGAAAAATTGCTTAAAAAAAAATNTGATTAAATGAAGGAGGAATTAGAAATCTTGATTGCTGAAATTAAATAATTATAAGAATAAAATAATGGATATCGCTTAAGTATTACTTAATTGGAAAGTCAAACAAGAAATAGTGTAGAAAATGATAGACATAAGTTATAAATTAGAAACTTAGAAAATACTGTAAATCAATTGAATCAATAGATAAATGCATATAAAATAGAAACCAAAGAACTTGAACAATAGGTGATTTATCATTAGAACAAGAATACCCATGTTGATTATTAGGTTAGAGAGAAAGATGAAACAATTTCAAAGCTTCAATACAAATTAAATAATATGGAAAAAGAACTTAGGGTTATCTTTGAGGAATAGTTAAAAATAGAGAAATAAGATTGGGATAGATAAAAGTAATAATACATAGATGATCAATTACAAAAGATAACAAAGAAATATGAATCTGAAATCTCTACTTTGAGGTAACATTTTTCCTCTTTAGAAATAGAGAATTAAACTATAACAAAATAATATGAAAGATTTAAAAAAGAAGGAGATTTGAGTTTTTAAAGATAATCAGAAAAAGAAAAAAGTAGAATTATTGAACTTGAAAGATAAATTTTATAATTAGAGAATTAATAATCTTTATAGAAGAAAGAATTTTCGTTGAAAATCGAGGAAGCCAATTAATAATCCAACCTCAAGGAGTATTATGAGGCTTAACTTAAGTAGATTAATGAGAAATTACAAAGAGAATAAAACTAAGTTAAATAATTGAATGATCAATTGTTAATCGAATAAAAAAAGAATATAGATTTAGAAACCAAATATTCTCGAGAAATAAGAGATATTAAATTATAATAAGAAAAAAGAATTGAAATTCAATCAAATACATAATTTTCATTAGAATGGGAAAATCATCAAAAAGACATGGAAAGGTTGAGAAGAGAATATCGATTGATTGAATAAGAATATTAAGAGATGGAAGTTCAAGTGAAATTATGGAAAGAAAAGTTTTATGATGAATAACAAAAGCATTAAGACATAAGGCAACAATTAATTGAAATAAGATCTTAATACGAATCTCATACAATTGTCAATACACAATCAGATTATGATAAATAAAGAATTCAAGAGCTTGAGATGGAAATAATTTAATTATCAGAATAGATAAGATTATTTTCAATTAGGGAAGAAAAATATAAAGAATAAATTACAACTTACTCCATGACAGTAGAAAAACAGAAATCTAATTTTGATGATTTGAAGAGAATTAAATAATTGGAGTATGAAATTGAATCTTTAAAGATTTAAAATAGAGATTTAGAAAGATAATTCCAGGATAAATCAATTGAGTATGAAAAATTGCTTAAAAAAAAATAAGAAGTAAAACTTGAAACAATAGAAATTTCATCGTCATCTGATAAACTAAAAATTTAAGAATTAGAATCCTAAATACAATTATTAAAATTGTAGTTGTAATAATTAAACAGTTCTAAGTAAGAAGTGATAAGAGAGACAATAAGAGAAACAGTGCAAGTTAGAAGTTCGGAAGACATCAAAATGATTGCACAATTAGAGGAGGAATTATAATTATGGAAAACCAAATATTATGAATTAGATAGAAGAAAGAATTAAGTAGTTGTTGAAACTATCAGAGAGGTCTAATCCCTGGAGAGTGATAAGTAAAGAATATAAGAATTAGAATATTAGCTTCAAACCTTATCCTCAAAAAAATAAGAAGTAATTAGAGAATATGTAACGGAAACCATTGAAGTTCCATTAGAATCAGATAAATTAAGAATAAGAGAATTGGAAACTTAATTGAGTAATATTAGAAGGGATTATCAATTGTTAAGTTAAAAAAAATAGGAGGTTATTAAGGAAACAGTCACAGTTGAAGTTCCAAATTAAGCAGACAGATACAGAATCTAGCAATTAGAATCTCAATTATTATAAGTAAGATAAGAATTGTAAGTTGTAAGTCTCAAAAAGTAAGAAGTATAAAAAGAAATAGTGACAGAAAGGATTGAAGTTCCTATGGAATAGGACAGATTGAAGATTAATCAGTTATAAGAGCAATTGACAAGATTACAAAGAGATTATTAGATATTGAATCAAAAGAAATAAGAGGTAATAAAAGAAACAATAACTGTAGAGGTTTCTTCTTAAGCTGATAAATTGAAAATTTAGTAACTAGAATCCTAATTGTCTGAATTAAATACTCAGCTTTAAATAATAACATAAAAAAAATAGGAAGTGATACGAGAAATAATTACAGAAAGAGTTGAAGTATCTTCAGAAGCTGATAAATTTAGAATTAGACAACTTGAATAATAGATAGAAAGTTTAAATAGGAATTATGAAACATTGAACAAAAAGAAGTAAGAGGTAATAATAGAGAGAATTACAGTTGAAGTTCCTAGTTAGGCTGATAAATTGAAGATCCAATAGCTTGAAATATTAGTTACCTAATTAAGATAAGAACTGTAGATCTTGAGTTCAAGGAAATAGGAAGTTATTAAAGAGGTTGTAACAGAAAGAGTTGAGGTACCTTTATAAGTAGATAAATTAAGAATTTAACAATTAGAGTAACAATTGGATAGTGTTAAACTAGAATTATAAATTGTATCACAGAAAAAATAAGAAATTATAAGAGAGGTAGTGACTGAAAGAGTGGAAGTTAGTAGGGAGTCTGACAGAAAAAGAATCTTGGAATTAGAATCGGATTTATATAAATTGTAATAAGACTTTATAAATTTGAATAAAATCAAATCTGAAGTGGTAAAAGAGACTGTTACAGTTGAGGTACCATCATAAGTGGACAAATTTAGAATTTAATAATTAGAAACTTAATTGTCATAAGTTCGAAGCGAGTTGCAGATTGTATCAACAAAAAAGTAGGATGTCATTAGAGAGACAGTAACAGAAAGAATAGAAGTATCCTCAGAGTAGGATAAAATGAGAATTAGATAATTAGAATAATAATTAAATTAATTGTAATAAGACTATTTCACATTGAATTAGAAAAAATAGGAGAAAATAAAAGAAACTATCACTGTTGAAGTGCCATCTGAGACTGATAAATATAGAATAAGATAACTTGAATCCTAATTGTCATCCTTAAAAGAAGATTATAAAGGCATTCAAATTGAAAATCAGAATTTGAAAATTCAAAACAAAAGTCTTTAAACTACAAATTATGAATACTAAGATCAAGTGAGAATATTTTAGTCAAAATTGGATGAAAACTCAAAGTAGAGATCTATTGTTATTTAATTTGAGAGGAAGGAACAAGAATTGTTAGAATAGATTTAGAGTTTAGAGATTTAGAAAGTTAGAGAAATAAAGGAATTAAAAAATTAGATTGAATTTATGTAAAAGGAGAATTAAAAAATAAATGATATGATGAGAATTAAAGTTGAGGAGAGTGAATAGTGGAAAAGAAAATATTAAACAGTTTAAAGTGAAATGTCATCAAATTCAAGTGAAGCAGAATCTTTGAGAATGTAATTGAAATCCTTGGAGTAAAGTAGGGAAACAATTAAGTTAGAATTAGATAAAGTAAATAAAATGTACTTCTAAAGTTAAAATGAATATACTTAATATAAGTCAAAATGCAATGAGCTTGAATTAAGAATTAAATAGATCAGTAGAGAGAATCAGGAATATTAGGAGCGATATCAATAAATTGACTTTGAAAAAATTAGCAGGTTGGAATAAGAAAACAGAAGAAAAATAGATACTATATAACAATTAGAAGCTTAATTGAGAAATCAAGTTTCCATCAAAGATCTCTAAATTTAAATATCTAATAAAGATAAATAGATCTTTTAGTTATAAGAAAGCATTTCAGAATTGCAAGCTACTATTCGAACTCTGAGATTAGAAAATTAGTCTATATCTGAATAAACAAATAAATAACAAGTTATTGTTAGAGAAACATAAAAGTAATTTCATTTATATTGATTGATAGCAATTAAAAGATAGTGGAGCTAGAGACAAGAATATAGGGTTTAAATCAAGAAATCTAGAGGCAGATTCAAATGAAGGATTAGATTTAAATAAAGCATGATAAATTGATTGAGAGAGTAAGATTTGATTAATATTAAGGCCACTGAGTACGAATCAGAAATTAATATTCTTAGAAATGAGTTACAAAAAAAAAGATTTAGTTCAACGAATAACGGACCTATTGTTTCTAAAACATTTGAAATTCATAAAATAGGAGAAGTAGTAAATAATGGGACAGGATTAGTTTCAGGATTTAATTTAGAAGATACTAGGAAAATAAAATCAATAGTGAGCACCCAATAATATAAGTCTGATATATCAAATTCAGCATCTGCCGTTAAGGAATCTTAGTAATCAATGAAATCAAATTCGTAGGTCTAACCATTTAATCCTTTAAGAAGTGATGTATCTATATTTTATTTATATAGTTGATTAAATCAAAGGCATAATTGAATAGAATGGACGAAAAATCTTATCAATGAATTTTTATATTTAAACAATAATTATTTAATATTTAATTCTGAAAGCTTATCAATTTTTGTGTTGTTTTCTTATTACGAAAAACTCAATTATAATCAAACACAAATTGCATCTGATTGGTAGGTATTAATTTTTCATTTTTATTTGTAACTTATACAATCAATTTCAAGTTTATTTAATTCATAATAATTCAAAAAATAATTTAATAAGAGATTAGATTCCCCTTAACTAATAGACTCAAGAATAAATATTTATAAATAAATATAAAATTGTCATAAATTTTCTTCAGTTATTTTAAATTCTTTTGGAGCCTTATAATAATAGTACTGCTATTGTATTTAAGATTAATCTTTCTTCAAGGAACTTAATTCTTAATCGTAGACACTCAAACCCACTAACTAACTTTTTCTGAGTATTTTACTTTTAATCCGTTATAATCAGATACAGATCTACCCTTGTCATAACCATTTTTATTTTTGATATCAGAAATCAATTTCTGTGGATTTGGTATTTCTAATAATTCTCTACTTGGAATTTATTCTAATAGGTCTTATTTTAGTTATAATCTTTCCTATTCTTCTTTTTGGATAACTTTCTATGATATGAGTAGGTACTATTACTTAGGGCTAATATTGAGATCTTAATCTTTGATGCCATGTTATTACTGGGTTTTTTGATTCTTCTGGCTTTAACTCTTCAAACATTTCCAGAGAATCTAACCGAGATCTATATTCTAGTTATTCAATATAAGAAAATACAAGCTTATCTTTGGATTAAAGTGCTTGAAGTATTTTTCACACGAGAACTGATTTTAGTCGATAATTCATTCCACACTTACAATTATTTTTCATGCTTATTTAGTGCTCTTTCATGTTGAGTTTTCAATATTTTTTCTGTTAATGAGATTTTCTACAATTAATCTTAGGCATATTTTTCATTATTCTTAATTATCCTCTATATTTTTTCCATAGTTTATATTAACTCATATTTATCAAGTACATCAAAGTTAGCATCCCCAGTTTTTTATATTACATACTATTAATTTGTAATATTTTTTTTGCTTCTATAAGACGAATTCAGACTTGATGGTTCATTTGTATTGGCTAAAAGTATATGCAAATGTTATAACTTCTTTTAATCTTCTTTTGCATATTAGATAACTTTACAGGCTGACTAAAGCGAAGAGGCTTCTCAAGACCATTCAGTTATTTATTAAAGGTGTCCACTTTGCCAACTATTGATCTAGACAGAATTTCTTTAGCTGAGTTCTTCTGACTAAAGTCTAAAATTTGGTAATCTGGACTCTAAGCTAATTGATTTTAGAAATTTATACTTTGAAATATGTTACTAGAATGTAAGTCCTAATCTGCAAATGGCCAACTCATTTGGCTTTATTCTGCTACAACCTTTCTTAATAATAATGTATGCTTTCTTTTCATCCTTATTAATAAATATTTTTATAATATCAAGAGATATTTCTTATTATAATTCTTGGAAAAGGCTATAATTTATCATATTTAAAGGTCATAAATATTTAGTAAGATAAATTGAATTATCATTCTAAATATCAATAAATAATTTGTTGAATGTAAAAGAATAACACGTTTGATTACCCGAGCTATTACTAATAATCTTGTAAAAAATGTAGATAAGTCAGAGCTATTTTAATATAAATCTATAAAAGATTAGGAAACTCAAGTAATGTAATATATGGTCAAGAAATCTCATATAGTTATTATTCACTTATTAAAATCTTTTTTTTAAAATATAAATAAATGGTTAGCAGATTGAGAAAATGCAGAAAGATGAGAGGACATGTCTGCCATGGTTATGGTAGAGTTGGAAAACACAGAAAACATCCAAGTGGTAGAGGTGTATCAGGAGGTTTGACACATCATAGAATCAACTTCAATAAATATCATCCAGGATATTTCTAAAAAGTATCTAAATCAATTATAAATAGACTGGAATGAGACATTTCCATTTAAAGAAAAACACACTTCATAAGCCAGTTGTTAATATTGACAAATTGTGGTCTCTTGTTACAGACGAGACTAGAGAAAAATATTCCAAATCAAAAGATAAGGCTGCAGTCATTGATGTTACAAAGGCAGGCTATTTCAAGGTTTTGGGTAAAGGAAGATTACCAAATCAACCAGTTGTCGTCAAGGCCAAATTCTTTAGCAAAACTGCAGAGAGAAGAATCAAGGCTGTTGGTGGTGCATGTATACTTGTTGCCTGATACATTATATACATTAAAATAATATTTGTCAATGTCATTAGAATTATCTTTGAAGTGCTTCCATTCTTTTTATTTTTTATTTAAATTGTATTATTTAAGAAAATGGATTCAGATGCTATAATGAAAAAAATGGCAGTGATATTTGATGATCCTGAATAAAAACTACTTAACGAAATTTCTGAAATCAATAAGAATAGATATTAGAGTTAGATACAAAAATTGAATGAGCTTAAAGAGATATAGGAAGATTCAGATATTGAAATTCAAAAATAAAAAAAACTAATTGAATAATTGGAAAAATCATTGATCTTTGAATCAAACAAGTCTAAATAATATGATGAAACCTTGAAATAATTTGAAAGCGAAGGCAAGTCTTTATCAGATGAAAGTAAAAAATATATTATTCAAATTACACAACTAAGTGAGAAAGTTGAGATTATAAAGAAACAATATTCATAGGCATAAGAGAAATAAGATGCAATGGAGAGAGAATAACAATAACATTTAAAGGATCTCGAGAATTGGAGCAAGAATTCAAAGAATTTATAAAATGAAGTATAAAAGAAAGATTAAAAATAAATTAAATTGCTTGAAGAATTAGCTTAGGTTAAGATTTAACAACAAGAAGTCAAGTAAATAGAGTCAAATGATGATTTACAAAAATAATTAGATAAACTTTTAGCAGATAATAAAAGGTTATTAAAATAAAGATAAGAAGTAGTGGCTGTTTTCAAAAAGCAAGCAAAAATCATAGAAATCTTAAAAAAATAGAAGCTTCATTTATAGGCATCTACATCTCTTGATTTGACCGAATAAGATTTTGCTAAGATTGTTGATTTTAGTTTATGAAGTTTAATATTTCTACTTTTATGATTAAAATGAGTGTAAACGGAATTATTTACTAAATATTTGTATTATTTATGATGAAAATGAATATCATCTTCCAGACCAGGAGGCAACTTGCTTCTTGAAGATAATGATCACTTATTCAATAATGGCGTTTTCTTCATCTCTCTTAGCCTTTGCTTCAGCATAATCAGCTCTTTTTGATTCTAAATCGGCTTAAGCTTAATCAAGGGCATCTTATGATTCTTGTAAAATGATCTTGGATTTTGCTTATTAGGCAAGGGCTGCTTAAATTTACTTAAATTAATTATTTAAGGAATATTACAGTTGCTAATCTATCAGCATAGACTTATTTTCTTTCATATTCAACTTTTAAATTGGCAATTTCTGCTTCACTCAATGAAACCCATCCAGCCAATTCCCATGAGGCATTAATCTCATTGGTTTCAAGTGCTTCGAGGGAAGCTGCGAGATTAGCTTCAAGTCCTTCTAACACTGATAAGACTCTTTCAGCAAGGGTTGCTCCTCTACTGACTGAACCATCCTCTTAGTTGTTAGCTAATTATAAGAATGAATTGATTTCGTGTTCATTAAATGTATTGCTATATGATTTGAGCTTGTCAGCAACACTTTTGACTTGAGCCAACTCAAAGGAATCTCCATTAATAATATAACCTGCAACATCTTATTTAAGTAATCTCACAACTTCAAGAGCTTCTCTATTTTGTTTGATTGATCTAACAAAAAGTTGATTGCTTAAGCATTGTTAATCAAGTAAAACTTCGATTTTTCTAGCAATTTCATCTTGTCTTTGTTCATTCCATGCAAGATAATTTTTAGTGTCAGATAACTCTTATTCAAATTAGGCTCTGTTTTCAATTGATTATTGGAATAACTTTTGATTCAAGGACTTTATTTTAGTAAATTGTTCAATTGTTCTGAATATAATTATTAATGTCTTACTAAGCACCAACCCATTCGTCTGTTTCATTTTTTTAGTCAGCCGCAAATTAAGCATCCTTATTTGATTGTATTAAATCATTCAATAAACCAAAAACTGTATCAATAGCATCCATGGCCTTTGTACCAGTTTACAAAAAGGCCATGATTTGATCATGAGTAGAAGTGGCTGAGGCCAATGTTACTAATAATACTAGAGCAAGAGTCAATTTCATTAATATTATCAATAATTTTAATGCTCTTAAATAATGAATATAAGCTTAACCTACCCGTTTCCAGACAATATATAAAAAACGGGTATTAATATAAAAAATAAAATTAATAAACTTATCAAACTCTCTAATGCTTCTATTTAAAATTCTTTTCATGAATTACATGCCCCATTCAAAATTCATTGTGTTCAAATATTCATTTCTACTATAATCTTTTATTATTGTAATTTGATTTTTAATTTTATCCATCACTATATTTGTATGAGAAAAACAAATTTATATGTCATTTGAATGCTTTCCTATTATATTGATTCATTAGTTATGGAAAAATATAAAAATATTCTATTAAAAAGTAAAGAATTGCTATATTATTGACTAAAATTTAAGAGATCCATGATATTAATAGTTTCAAGCTACCCTTAAAGAAAAAATTGAATAGGAATATTAGATTTGAATATATATTTTAAATTTGCTATTAGAGAAATGCTTGTATATCAATGATTGATATTGCTAATGTATTGAATATATTGTCATAATTTTTGAAATTGATTAATTTATTATAAAATGTTTAAGAATTCAAATAAATTTAGTTATTCTAATTTAAACATAGTAATGCATACCCTGAGAGTTCTATTGGTATATTTTTGGCTGAAATGAAGTTATTTAGTAATTACAAATTTTTAGATAAAAAGGGTTTGTTAATTTATATAAAATATTAATGAATAAGTATGAAATCATGGGAGTTGTAGGGGAAGGAGCTTATGGCATTGTGTTAAAATGCAAAAACAAGGAAACTAATGAATGGGGTTTGTTATTTTAATTATATATTAAAGTGGCTATAAAAAAGTTTAAAGAAACAGAAGATGATGAAGCAGTGAAGAAAAGTATTTAAAGAGAAGTGAAAATGCTACGAATGTTGAAGCATCCTAATATCATTTAATTGAAGGAAGCATTCAAAAAGAAAGGCAAAATATTTCTTGTTTTTCAATTCGTTGATAGAAACCTATTAGAATTACTTGAGGAGAGGAAGACTCTAGACGTATGTTTATTGCATTTAACTTTAGTAAGAAAGCATCAAACGAGTGATATTTTAATTGGTTCTTGCTGTGCATGCTTGTCATTCTGTAGGAATTGTTCATAGAGATATTAAACCTGAGAATTTACTTATAGATAATGATCTAAATTTAAAGTTATGTGATTTTGGTTTTGCGAGAGTAATATAGATCTAAACTTTAGACAATACAAACTTAAGAATAATTGACTGATTATGTGGCTACAAGGTGGTATAGATCACCTGAATTACTGATATCTAATAATTACGGAAAGCAAGTAGATATATGGGCTATTGGTTGTATTATGGGAGAATTGATTGATGGTCAACCATTATTTCCAGGCGAAAATGAGATGGACTAATTATATCTGATATAGAAGATTATTGGACCATTAACTTAGGATTAGATGGAGAAATTTTAGAAGAATTAAAGATATATAGGAATGAAGTTTCCTGAAATAGTTAAATCAGAAACTATTGAGAAAAGATATGGTGGTAAAATGTGTAATAAAGGTTTGAATTTCTTAAAACAATGCTTGATAATGGATCCAAACAAGAGAATTACTTCTTTAGAGTGTTTAGAGCATCCATATCTATCTGAACTTTGGAGTAAAGAAAATGATGTTAGGCCTAAAAGTAATTTTTAGAGGAGGATAAGTTGTGAAAGAGATGATTCTAAGCCTAGCATACTTAATCAATACGATTTTGGCGAATAGAAACCAAAAAAGATTCAAGAGAAAGCCATTCCTTAAACTATTTAGAATTAATCATTTGTTTAAAAATAAGTATATAATTACAAAATTGGTGATGAGACTCCAGAAGTAACCAAGGAAGGAGATGATACAAAATCATAAATGCACAAAACATTTAATTAATCATTCAAAATCAAATTTAATGATACTCTTCCTTAAAGTAGATTAGGGTCAGAATAAGACAAGAGAATCAATAGAGTTATTGGTTTACCAGGTTTGAAGGAGGACCAAAAATAACAATACTAATAGTAATAATTACAATAATAATAACAACAGAATAATCATAATAAATCTCCAAACAAGAGAACCTCTATCCAGTAACCATCTTTTTACGTTTAGGTATTTATACAATCATATATGCAGGGATAATATAATTTGTAGCCTTAAAAGCTTAATCTAGTGTATAATGCTAATACTTATAATTATTCAATTAAGAAATCGTATATCTCAAAAAAATGATTATTTAAAATATTTATTGATATAAATTGTTTAATTTATTCATTTTAGCCATTTCTTTCAATAATATTATTTAAATAGTATATACATATAAATACATACTTTAGTTATTTTAAATAATTTAATTATAGGAGATATATAAACCCTTCATCTATTCAATTTCATGGATTAGTTTTATTATTTTAAAGTATTTATAACATTATTAAATAATGGAATCTATAAAATCGNAATTTACTTATAGATAATGATCTAAATTTAAAGTTATGTGATTTTGGTTTTGCGAGAGTAATATAGATCTAAACTTTAGACAATACAAACTTAAGAATAATTGACTGATTATGTGGCTACAAGGTGGTATAGATCACCTGAATTACTGATATCTAATAATTACGGAAAGCAAGTAGATATATGGGCTATTGGTTGTATTATGGGAGAATTGATTGATGGTCAACCATTATTTCCAGGCGAAAATGAGATGGACTAATTATATCTGATATAGAAGATTATTGGACCATTAACTTAGGATTAGATGGAGAAATTTTAGAAGAATTAAAGATATATAGGAATGAAGTTTCCTGAAATAGTTAAATCAGAAACTATTGAGAAAAGATATGGTGGTAAAATGTGTAATAAAGGTTTGAATTTCTTAAAACAATGCTTGATAATGGATCCAAACAAGAGAATTACTTCTTTAGAGTGTTTAGAGCATCCATATCTATCTGAACTTTGGAGTAAAGAAAATGATGTTAGGCCTAAAAGTAATTTTTAGAGGAGGATAAGTTGTGAAAGAGATGATTCTAAGCCTAGCATACTTAATCAATACGATTTTGGCGAATAGAAACCAAAAAAGATTCAAGAGAAAGCCATTCCTTAAACTATTTAGAATTAATCATTTGTTTAAAAATAAGTATATAATTACAAAATTGGTGATGAGACTCCAGAAGTAACCAAGGAAGGAGATGATACAAAATCATAAATGCACAAAACATTTAATTAATCATTCAAAATCAAATTTAATGATACTCTTCCTTAAAGTAGATTAGGGTCAGAATAAGACAAGAGAATCAATAGAGTTATTGGTTTACCAGGTTTGAAGGAGGACCAAAAATAACAATACTAATAGTAATAATTACAATAATAATAACAACAGAATAATCATAATAAATCTCCAAACAAGAGAACCTCTATCCAGTAACCATCTTTTTACGTTTAGGTATTTATACAATCATATATGCAGGGATAATATAATTTGTAGCCTTAAAAGCTTAATCTAGTGTATAATGCTAATACTTATAATTATTCAATTAAGAAATCGTATATCTCAAAAAAATGATTATTTAAAATATTTATTGATATAAATTGTTTAATTTATTCATTTTAGCCATTTCTTTCAATAATATTATTTAAATAGTATATACATATAAATACATACTTTAGTTATTTTAAATAATTTAATTATAGGAGATATATAAACCCTTCATCTATTCAATTTCATGGATTAGTTTTATTATTTTAAAGTATTTATAACATTATTAAATAATGGAATCTATAAAATCGGCGCTTATTGAAAGGAAATAGTTGGTTACAATTTTTATAATTCTAATAGGAATAAGAATTTCTTATTTATATAATGGATAAATTAGAGATTTTCAAAGGTACTCTAAGTTACAAATAAAGTTAAAGAGATAGAAATTTAAATTTATAAAATAGAGCTATAGTGTCTAAAATAATATGAGTAAATAGAATTTAATTCAAATTAGGAAGGAAATCCTTTTATTAAAATAAGTTAGGATGATTAATTTTACCAATAAATCCATCTTATTTCAACTAAACTTCGAGATAATATATGAAAAGTATAAAGATTTTCAGAAATAAATAGTTAGGATTGAAATATTACATATATATTAATTAAAATGTTCGTTAATAATTCTTGTCTGCCAAATAGTATGAATTGTATAATTGCGCCATTAAATGGAGTTGGTGGTGTGTATTTAGGAAATCTGGATGCCGCTTAGAATTCAGAGCTGTTATCAAAATATTAAATAGGGGCTGTTCTCTCAGTGATAGATTAATCAATTTAGATTAGAGGTGCTTAAAAATTGGTATGTGATATATAATATATAACCTAGTGGATAATGGCTGATGATTGTGAAGATTTCCCTTTGTATAAATATTTCGATCAGGCAATAAAATTCATTGATAACCATTCTCTTAAGACCAATATATTGATTCATTGCTATGCTGGAATTTCGCGATCTGCTGCTGTTTGTGCTGCATATATGATGCAAAAGTATAAATGGAATTTGAATTAAACTCTTCGACATATTTAGTAAAGGAGAAAATTCATAAATCCAAATCCAGGTTTCATGAAACAACTTTAAGATTATGAATAAAAAATAAAAAGCAAATAAATAAGAAAAAATAGTTCTGTTCTAATGGAATCCAATGAGAAATCTAGACATAGTTCTGTTGGATACGATGGAAATGTCTTAAATCTAAATGGAACCAATTCTATAAATAAATAAGTTCTAAATCAATCTATGTAATAGAATCAAAGAGATAGACTAAGTGATTTCAATGTAAAATTAAACTCATATATGCATTAATGGAAAATAAGAGAGAGAGCCCATTGAAACAATATTTTTATACTAATTTTATTTAATGACGCATTTTCATAATTTATTTTGAATTTCATTTTTTAATCCTACAATAATACGTATGATATTTAGATATTTAAATGAAATACAAGAATCTACATTAACAATTATAAGCTTAAATCAATCAGAATAGTTGTGAGTCGTCTTTTGTTTCACTTTTTCTAATTAATATGGGAGAATCAAGATTTGGTACATCACTAATGAACTTAGATCTGATTCCACATAGTATTTAACTATATTCATTGGAATCATCATCTGATGAAAGAATGTCAGCAAAAGGCACTTTTATTACCACTCTTTTTTCAATCTTCACTTTTTTTTTTAAGGGAATTTCTGATGTCTCTTTATCCTGGATTTTCTCTGCCTGTTTTTCTTTTTAAGAACATATTGAAGATTTGCGTCTGCTCATCAATATTTTATTTATATATTAATATGTTGTACTTATTTAAAAAATCATTTAAAATCACATTCAGACTAACATATCTTTAAAACCATTCTTACTTCATCCATTATATAAAATGATCCAATCACCAATATTGCCTAATCGATCTAACATACTTTATTCACTATATTCAAGGTAGTTTTTGAAATATCACCATCATATAAAACCTTGATATCATCAAAACCTAACAATTGTTTAATTTGAAATGCTCTATTAGTCTTAGCCTAAACCATGTAAACTTAATGACAATGTGATTTTAGCAGTTATAAACATGAAGTAATATCTTTATCATTAGAAGCTCCATATATACAAATAATCTATTAATCTTTTAACAAATCCAAGACACTTTTCTAATTCATATTAATTTATAATTACAATTGCTTATTCATTATGGCCAACGTCAAGATATAATTTAATATAGTTTCCTTATTCATTTTTTATGCTGAATTATTCAAGCCTACAAGGTTACTTAATTTTTAAGGCCTCCTCAAAGTTATTAAATGTGAATTCTCATATGAATAAAATTATTACTATATTTCTCCATTAGAATTTTTGATGAAGCGGCTACTATTGCATTGTTTTCATCATTAAAATCTTAGAATTCACCTTAAACTATTGTGAGATCTGCATTTTTTTCTTTTGCCTCATTAATGAAAATCTCATACGGCTAACTTTTTGGCCCTATAACAACAGGACAATTTTGCTTAATAATTCCAGCCTTCTCTTTGGCAATTAAGGCGAGGGTATTCCCAAGTATATGCATATGATCAAAGCCTATGGTTGTAATTATAGATATTAAAGGAGAAGTGATGATATTGGTTGAATCCATTCTTCCTCCTAAACCAGTTTCCCATGATACATATTTAAGATGCATATCATTAAAGTATTTTAATGCTAAACATGTCACATATTCAAAAAAAGTTAATTCAAGATTATTCCTTTCTGCCAAATTAAAAAAGTCATTTAAGTGTTCTTATACGTATTCTTCAGAAATCATTTAATTATTGACCTCATTTTTTTGATAAATGTACTTTAATTCTTTCTCTAAAACTTGAAATATGAGGGGAAGTAAAACAACCACATGATTCAATTGATTGCATTATTTTGCACATTTTAAGTGTTACAGAACCTTTTCCATTTGTTCCTGCTATATGTATGAATTATAGGTCTCTCTATGGATTTCCCAATAATTATGTCATTTTAATCATGTTTGTCAATGTCGCTCTATCTTTTCGAAATACAGACACTTTGTTAAGTTTTTATAATGCTTATTAGTATTTTTACATTAATAAAATAATACAATAACAATCATTTCGTCATGACTTTTGATGTCTAATTAAGGACATTTTATCATCAAGATCTTTAATTAAGGCTTGAATAAGAGTTAAGCTTTTGTTAAATCCAGCTGCATTGGCTCTTAAAGAATCGATTTTCGGCATCTTTACAATTTCTGGTGTTGTTGTGATATTTAGTTTTAAGCATTTGGCTGCAGTTAATTCATCTTCATTATCTAAGGATACTTAACTATTATTCACCTTTGAGAGTCTGTTTGAGACGTTCAATTTCTTCCTATGATTATGATTTAATAGCTTCCAAATCAGTATGGGCTAAAGCTAATTGTTCGAGAACCTTATCTAATTTCACTTCTAAGTCTTTATTTGCTTCTTCTAGCTGTCTTAATTTAATCAAAAACAATACCTAACTTTACTATTATTTAAATCTTAATCGACTTCTAGATCAATAATTTGCATTTTATAAGTTTAGAGAGTTTTTTACAAATCGGTGATTTGAGCCTCCTTTTTATTTATTTACTTTTCTAATTGATTTTAAATTTACTACAATTCATTCTAAAGAATATAAGATAATATATTTACTCTGGCCTTTTGGGTTTCTTCTTTTTGTTGCAGAAGAGAATTTTATGCTTAAGCAAGTTATTTACTTAAAGATTCTATACTCTTTTATTGTTAATCTTCCAATGCTTGACTTTCCTCAACAAACTAATTATATTCTTCTTCCATCTATTGATATTTTTAAGCCATCTCTTCATACAACTCTTTGTAGTTCATTTAATTACGAATAATTTATTTTTAGTATAATATTTAATTGACTCATTTAAAGCGTTTGCTTAACTTCTAAATTCCATATTTAACACTCAATAAAGGAGAAATCATGGCTAAATTGTAGAAGAGCATACGTCTTGAAGAAAATTGATTTTTCCTTTTGACGCTTTCTTTTATGAGATCCTTGATTCTATCTTAACTCATCATTTTTAATGTTCCCATATTGTCCTTTTCACCCAATATGATACTTAACAATTATCCAGGTATCATTGAACATAAGAACTCCCTAAATCAATACAGAACTGATTACAATGATTTTATGCTAGTATCAATTAAGACTTCCCCATCTTTTTAGATTTTAATCACATTATTGAGATCTCCAAGATTTGTAAGGTAGAGATCAGTTATATTTTTATAATTTCCTTTGAGTATGTTGAAGACTTTGTTTTAGTTTTCACCTCCCAGAGTAAATCTAATGTCACCATAATAGGATAAACTTATCACACTATAGAGTAACTCTTATAATGACATCGATGATTTGAAATCCATCAAAATAGCAACAGCTATAGCACTTTATAAGTTAGAAATGCATGCTCTTTCAAATCTTAAATCTTCAAATTCTTAAATAGTGACTATTGGTTTCTACATTCTCCCAGCAATAGATAGCCATTTCCAATTTTCTAGATCTTTGATTAATTCTTTAGTGGACACAACGCCATATTTCAATTTCAAATCTTGATATTAAACAAAGGGACTGAAATGGATAGGGAATATTTCAACATTCATCCTCTGTATGAATCTGCTTCCTAAATAATAGCTTAAACCACTATAATGCTATGGTAGTCATATATATACTGTTTAATTGATCTGAATATTCTGCTTATGCCATTCTTCCACATTATCTACCGCAATGATTAAGTCTATCATAGGCTTGTTTTTTGTATAATCATAATTGAATTAAGGTTGAACAGCTGATCCATAGGCAAATGACAAGTCACTTTATGGCAGAGTTTGAATGAATTATTTCAACAGATTCATTGGAATTTATTGCATATTTTTAAATAATACCAATAGTTGAATAATAACAATAATTAAATGAATAACATTTATATATATATATTATATTTGTCAAACTCCATTAATAAAGTTATCAATCATAAACCATGAGTTCTCCCTTTAATCTTATGGGACCATCTAATGATAAATAATATATTGAATTACATGTCCAGCACTTCTAATAACTTGGAATCGGAAATAATTGTACTCAACAATCCATCCTGCTAATTAATTTTGTAATTCTCCATCATTAGTGTTCAAATAAGGAGTCCATCCTTTTATTTCTTTGATTCCTGGTATTTATTTGATGCTTTCATAAGTCTCAACCATACTAACAGCTAAATCTTGATCACCAGAATATAGGAGAATTTAGATTCCGGCTTAAAATAATTCAGGTAAAATTAAATAGCTTCCCTCTGATTTAGAATATTAAAGATAAATAGGATCACTGCATCCTGACCAAACAGTGTTCTTATCTACATGAAGTGCCTCCTTATATTCATCAGTGTTTAACTTATTGGCTAAAGGTCCAAAGTCAATGCAAGGTGCACCAGAATCATCATCATCTTCAGTTAGTTTTAACCAAGGAGTGTATGAAAATCTGTGTTTGGATTCTCTCTACACTTTGTATTATTTCAAAGTACTGTCACCCCAACAATATGAATATACTCCATAAGGATTAATCTCTGCAATAGCACTATCTAGAGATTTCTGAGCCTATCTGCAACTAGCTGATTTTGGCTACAAAGCGCAATTGTGATTCAAAATAAACTAATTAGTATAATCAATGAATGATCTTCTAGCCAAGAACTTTATTGAAGTTTAACTTCTAAATTTCTCATCATTGATCAAAACACCATTTCCGATCAACACTCCCTTGAAATTGATCTTTTCCTTTTAATCTACTGTTTTTTCGCCTTCCAACAAAGCTTTGGCTGTGTAAGGAATGTACATTCCTAATAATTAATAACTTTCATACCTGCATATGATTCTCCAGCTATGTAGAAATCTCTACCTCTGTAATATGTGAATGTATCGAACCATTATCTGATGGCCTCATAGTTGAATCTACCAGTCTTTTCATCTGTGAATTTGTAGTTTTTGTCAGGAGTTGGCTATGAGAATCCGACACCAAATGGAGATTCCAATATTAATAAATGAGCATTTTTATTCCATGACCATGGATTTTATTTGTATTCGGTTTCTCCATTGTCAATTACAAATGGACCGATTTCTTGCATCAAACCCAATAATGATGAACATCCTGGACCACCATTAAGCCAGAGTATTACTGGTTAAGTTGCTACCTCAGCATCCTCTGTTTGGCTCTCTACGAATACATAATGCAAATTTCTAATGTAGAATCTATATAAACCTGTTTACTCCCTCGTCATTTAGCTCAATCAATCCTGACCACGTCTTGAATCTATATACTGGCCAATCTGGCCATTTAAATTCATCAGCCACAAAATCTATGCAAGAGACTGAAAGCAGTAGCGTAGCGAGCATCACAAATTTCATCATTAATTTCTAATTATTTATTAAATTATCTAGATTTGCCGATTTCTTAATTAAATAACCGGTGAAATTTTAATGCATATTGATAATTGTACATTAATAATGTCTAACATCAATAATTTGTACTCGCATGACAATTGTATCATAATGATAAGAGAATAATTTTATGATTATATTTACAACAATTCAAATTGTAATTATATATACCTTTGAGTTTAAGTATTTCTAATATAACTAATATTTCTTTATGATTTGTGATAGTTCATTTTTGTTATCAATATCAATAATAAGAAATAATTGAAAATGAATAAAATATATTTAATTTAATATGTAGTAAATCAGTAAGGAAAAGGAAAATCAAATCCAATAAGCTATGGACTTAGAAAAAGATGTAATAAGTACATTAGGCAAAGTGAGATAATATGAAGCTTCAATTAATTCACTCAAAAGAAACATATAGAAATGCAACATTACTTTGAAGGAATTAGGCAGTATTGATTAATAGAAGACATACTAACCTGTTGGTCGATGGTATCATAGTTTAAATTTATTTTTTTAGCTTTATTTTAAAACCCAAAGCAGATATTGTGAACGAAGTTAATGAAAATATCAAATCTCATGAGAAAGACATAGATGAATATGAAAAGGTTAGGTAGCATCTAATTACAAAAGGGAAGGAGAAAGAAACCTAATTGCAAGAAGCAATGAAATCATTAAAAATTTGAAATTTTAATATATTTTATGTTCTAAGATAATATTTGGGAATGTGTCTAATAAAATGGAATGCCAACTCCAAAAAGTGGACATTGTTGTTGTGTAGTAGCAAATAATTTTTATGTTTTTGGTGGACAATCAAACACTGAAATACTCAATGAATTTCATAGATTCAATCTAGAAGATAAAACTTGGAGTAAACTAAAGAGTGATTCATAACCAAATGGAAGAAGTTCAGCAGGAATGTGTGGTGTTGATGATATTAAAAAGCTATATTTATTTGGGGGTACCTTATTGATAGTGGAGAAGACCAGCAAGAAGTATTTTAATTATTCTATCCATTTAGTGATCTCTATGAATATGACATTCAAAAAAATAACTGGAGTATTGTGATGACCTAAACACCAGGTCCTTGTGAGAGGTATGGTCATTCGATGATAGTGTCAAATTAGTAATTAAGAATAATATTCTATTGTTTAGTTAGATATATATCTTTGGTGGTGTTCACTATGTAAAAGCATAAAATAGAATGAATCCTGAATTTTTGAATGATTTATGGGTGTTTTCTTTGATTGATAAAATTTGGAAGAAACTTGAAGTATAATCAAATTGATTACCAAGCTTAGGGCCTAAATTTAACCATAAGCTAGATACAGACACACAACTGCTGTTATTGGGAATGAACTATATATCATAGGTGGAACTACAAATTAAAATCGTTATGGATAGATAGTAAAGACTGATTTTACTAATATGTAATGGTCATACTTAGAGTTAGAGGCTCTTAAAAACAAATCAAAAAAAAACTTATTTAAAGGTAGATACGGACATGCTTGTTTTGTTATGGAAAACATGGTATACATTTACAGTGGTATGGATGATGGGTAGTGTGATGATGCATTATAATTAGATGTGATACAAAATAAATGGAAAAGTAAGAAGTTTAGAGGGAACATACCATCTCGGGAATTTTTTAGTTTTGCTTAGACATCAAATTAACTATTTATATTTGGAGGCAGAACCTAGTAGAATTAAAGATTAAATGATTTATATGTGTGGAATCACAACTTAAGATAAGAGGAATAGCAGTATTGTACATTAAGATAAGAGATGGTAATAATTATAATCTATTTAAAGCATTCTTTATTAGAAATTAATTAAAATTGCAGCGATTTTACAATCTTTACTAAGAGTAGTACTTAATATGCTTTGCATAAGTGTCTTCTAAAAGTTAGATGCCCAATTTTATTGTAGTTTGAAAATCTGCAATTTTCAGATATTCTAGTTTAAATTTTAATAAAATACATTTATAAAGCAGAATTAGCTTTGGATTTACTTAGTAAAGTTGAAATTAGAGAGGCCCTTTAATTTAGTGCTTTCGTTTAGGATGATTTATTTGCAACTGCCATTATTTAATATTTCCTGATTGATTGCAGAGGTCAAAGCGATTATGATTTTATTGAAAAGGAGTTGTAACAGATTTATAGTAAGGGCAATTCTAGTGCGCAAATAAATTTTCTATTAAAAAGTGTTTTGTAAATATTAGAATATAGAAAACAAAAATAATTTGTCAATTTATTTCAACAACAAAGAATAATATTTAACAATATTTCTCATTAAATAGTAATGAAATTTTATCAAGATATGAGAAAGTTATAGTATCATTCTGAAACTGATACAGTAATTACTGCATAGGATAAATAAATAAATGTACATTCATTTGTATTGGTTGCAAGATCAGAATACTTTAGAGAAATGATCCATTTTGAGAATGGAGTAATTCAGCAAATCTAGGTTGATTTTGACCCATAGATTTTATAAAATATTATCAACTATCTATATTGTGGTTACTAGGCTTTGTAAAGATAAAATGAAGGGAATTTTGATCATTTAATCAATGCATTCAAAGCATCTAGTTATTTCATGTTGAGTAACTAAACATTTCTATACTTGATCTAAGAAGGAATGGCTGAATTCATAAATAAAGACAATGTATTTGATTTGGCTGAATTAGCCGAACAATTGAATGCAATATATTTACTTTACGAATGTTGTACCTTTATTTCTGAAAACCTAAAAGGAGTATCTTTATCAGATTTGAGAAAATTATCAAAAGAAGTATTAATTCGTGTTCTTGAAGTAATAGGATAGAAATAATGAATATATAATTAACATTATCAAAATTTAAAGTTTCAGTATAAAGTGGGTTTCTACATTTCTTTATGGTACTAGATAAATAATAATAAATACAAAAAAGTCTGCAGTTTTTCTGGGGATTAGATTTCCATCCTTTCTGACTTATAGAACACTAGTTTTATTTTGCATCAAAGATTTAAGATTGTTGTACAATTACACTGCTTCTTCAATCTAGGCCTCGACGCATTTATTTTTAGAAAAACTTATCTAACTATTGTATGATTCTTTATGCTAATGGAACTAAATAAATGGATGAATTTACATAAGAAGTGCTATTATTTTTTGTAGAACTACACTCCACAGGAATTGAATTAAATTGGACTTTCAAAATAGATTTAACAGGAGTACTCTATTTCTTTTCATAGGTTGGAGTATCTTATTTAGATTGACTTCTATTAATTTAGATAATAGGTTTAGGTATTTTTCTTTCACTTTATACAATTTTGTTAGTCACATCTTTATTTTCAGATTCAACTGTATTTGTCTTGTTGATTGATTGATTGATTTTCTTTTCGGATGCACTCCTTAACTGTAAAAAATTGTATTGTGTCTTGGGAGGTTGAGGTAGTTTCTTCAAACTGGAGCTTCTTATGACTCCTTTGAAACACTCAGCCTTTTTAGTGTAAGAAGCATCAGAAATCCGAGATTCTTTACTTGAAGGTCTCTATCTTAATTCAAAGTATGCTTTTGATTATTATTGCTATGATGAGCTGGGTCTTGAATTAGATTTCGTAACTGATTCTTTAAGATTTCTTGGTTGTTAAGACAATTAAGATTTATTTAATAATTTCTCATTTTAAAAGTCTTTAGTTTCTCTAGTTAATCTTTAAATTTCTAGATCCAAATTACCTATATCTCTAAGCAACATCTTTTTGATACTAGGCTTTTGTGGCTTATCAATTAAAGGAGATTATTCAAGAGGAATTGGTTCAACAGGCTATTAGATTTGATATTCGATTTCTTATTCTGGAGGTGGAGTTGAATTTCGCATTGGTAATTCTTCTTTAACAAACTATAATTTTTTAGATGGCTTTTGAGATGGTTAAGATGATTGCTTTTTAGTAGGATTAAAAACAATGAATTCTTGTTGATTGGACTATTGTTATTATTATTTGGATTGCTTTTTATTCTTTTAAGTATTTGCATTTTGGTATTGTTCCTACAAATTACCCAATAACTATTATTTTCTTAAGTAAATTAGGATATGTACCTTAATTCGAATTGAGCCGCAGCTTCCTCTTCACTTAATTTACTATATCTACCTTATTCTGCCATTCAGTTAAATAAATTAATAAGTATATTGAGAGTGAATTAATTACAATCCGTTTTTATTATAATAAAAAAATGGTCAAACAATGCTATCTATTGATCACCTTATTGGTGATTGTCCATAGTCTGAATTATGGGACGGTTCTGATTCAAAATGAAGGGGGAGGACAAATTCAATCAAAAGTAATTCGTTTGATTAATCGAAGGAAATAATCTTCTCAAAACCGTTCTAGCAGATCCCTTAAGTTGCTATAGCACTTCTTAATGGTCGTGGAGACATTTTTGCAGAAATTCATGAGGTTAATCAAGAAGGTACTCAAGTATCTATTTAATAAAAGGATTCACATTATAAATGATGGCATCCGATGAGATTGAGGCAGAATTTGCCTATTTAGCCATAGAAAATGATGAGAACTATCAAATTGAATGTTTCAATCGTATTGCTGTTGGAAATGAGATTCAAATTCCTCTAATCATCTAGAGACCAACATTTATTGGTGTTCTAGCTACCAATACACATGCAAACAATTTCAATATTGGTAATTTATTGATGTAATTGGCAAAGATCTAATTGATGGCAATCTCATAGTTGATAATGATGGAAAATTGAACATGTGTATAATCATCACAAATGAAGAGCAACCATTCGATTTGATTGGTTATGAGAACTATCAAGAACAAGAAACAGCTGAATTTCATCCATTTAAAAAACAAAATGCCATGTAACTCTTAAATATTAATTCAGCTTAGGAGCTTAGTATAAGCACAACAATCCCTTGAAATCACACATCTAGATCAGCATAAATCCTTTGAAATTTGGCATCATCAATCTATTGAAATAATTAAGGATTCCTCAATTGAAGTATATCCAACTCATAGATCTTTGGAAGTTGTGAATGACGATTAACCAAATCAACCAGAATTCAAATAAGAGGAATCCTTAGAAATATTTAAATTGGAAAATAAAGACGCACAATCGCAGTCTGATTAAAAATTAATTGTTGAAGACATCCGTCTAGACAATCAAAATCTTGAATCTGAAAATACCCAACTCGAAGACATTAAATTGGATGATCAACCAATGGTTACTTAACAGTAAACAACTGTAGCTGTATCCGATTAATTAGAAGATATTAAATTAGATCTTGAACCTACTAAAGAAACTGAATAACCAGAGACTATCCCTATTGGTGATTAATAATAATAATAAGAAACTAGTTAATAATAATAACTTGAAGATGTGAAGTTAGAATCTGAAGATGCTGGAAGTAATTAAGAATCCTAATAACTTAACTTGACTAAAGAAGAAGAAATTCATTTAATAAAAAACTCAGAAGAATCATAAGATGCTAATATTGAATAGGTGCATGAATAAAAAGATCCATAAAATTAAAATGAGGATGTTTAGAATTTACAATCTAATGTTGCAAGTAATACTAGTGATTAAGTACTCTAATAAGAAGATGTCACATTTGATAATTAAGAATAAGCTGCTACAAATTAATAAGAGGAATCAAAATAAGAGTTCTAAATGGAAGATATTAAATTAGATAATACAGATATATCTTCGATTAATGTTGATGACATTCCTCAATAATAATAAGCTAAAGATATCTAAAATGATTAATTATCTGTTTCATCTGAAGTGAAACCAATTGAAGATACTTCCATTGCTGAAGATGTTGTTGTTCATGCAGATGAAGTGAAAATAGAAAATGTGAAAATCTCTGAATCAAATTTTGAGGATATCATCACATAGTAATAGACTTAAGAAGATAATACAGATAATACAGAATAATAAGTTTAAGAATAATAGGTTTAAGATGATATTCAAGAGAATAATGAAATCATTGGGCAATCTGAAGATGTTTCAGTTGATCCTGAAGCCTTCTAGGATCCATAATAAAAAATTACTTAAATAAATGATGATGATCTTCTTAAGCAAGAATCAGATATCGATGAAATGATTAGATATGCTTAAGAATTGAGAGAAGAAGCTAAACACTTAAAAAATAAAAAAAGAGGAGAATAACAATTAGAAAAAATGGATATTATGGAAAAAGCCTCTACTTTAGAGTAGGAAGTTAACTAGTTAGAAAATTAAAGTGAAGAACCTAAGGTTATTGAAGATTAAATAAGTTTGGATGTTAACTCTGCTTATGAGGATTAAAAGGATATATAAATTGAATAGCCATAGGAAGAACAACAACCTCCAGTCATTTATTTAAATGATGCTGGAGTCAACCCTGAGCAATAGTTAATAACATAAGAAATCAAGGATGATGATAAACTTATGATCACTGAAAACTAATTATAGGAAGAGGTTGAGAAAGAATTGTAGTCACAAGAGTAATAAGTGGAAAGCACATCTCAAATTGAAGAAGACGATGTCTAGATTGTTGATGCCTCTATTAAGTTAGATGAAGATCACTAAGATATGGAAGTATATGAATCAGGTCAAGTTGAACTCATTCCTGACGAAGTTTAACCTTAGGTTGAGGATGTCTAATAAATTGAATAACCTCAAGAATAAGTGGAAGTAGAAACTCCATAAGAAGATTAGGTTTAGGATTAAGAGTCAACAAAAGAAGAAGGGGCTATTGAAATAGGATTGACAACAGATGAAGGAGAAGCATTCATTAGAAAACCAAAGAAATCTGATTTCTTAAGGGAGAAATAAAGATTAAAAGATAAATTAACTAATGTAATTAGAGATTTTAAATTGGACACTGTTTAAAGTAATTCTTTGGATTCTGTAGTTGAAGCAGATAAATAATATTCTTTGATTATTGATCGATTAGATGTGCCTGAAAATAATGAATAAGTTATTGTGTTGAAGGATGAGGATTATGAATAAAATCAAGTTGAACCAGAACCAGAATAAGAAGTCAAATAACTTGGTGATTATTTGGAAGCAGTAGAACCAAATGTTGAAAATGTTAATTTTATCTATGATGATGAATAACAATAGGAATAATAAACAATAGAAATCGAAGATATCAAATTAAATGATGATAACACAGATGAAGAAACTAATTACAAAATCGTTGAAGCCAAAGATGATGATTTGGTAGATACCCCATTGGAATCTGTTGATGATTCACAATAATAATTATTATCAACTGAAGTTGCTGTTACTGCTGAAGAAACATCTGCTTCTAATATTGAAAGCTAGAGAGAGGATGAAGTTATTTCATTCGATGAATTCCAAAAAGAACTTGAAGTCTTGGCTAATACTATTGGTAATATCAAATAAGAAAATGAGGAATCTAAACAAACTAGTGACTATATTATTGTTAATGATAATAGTTAGGTCTATGAAGCCACTTATGATGAATAAAGCAATGAATTAACACAACAAGATGAACCTTAAGTTCAAGAAGATTAATAATAATATTATTAAGGATTTGAGGATGATCAAAATACTGAAACCGAAATCTAGTAATCTGATAATTAAGAATAATAATAGGAATAATAAGAGGTTGAATAAACATTTGATGCTCCAGAATAAGAAGCTCAAGATTAATCTTTTATGAATGAATAATAAGAATAAGAGGATGCTGCTTAACAAGTTGAAAGCTATGATGATGCTGAACCTCAAGATTAATATCTAACTATTGATAACCTTGTCAAGGATAATTCATCCTTTGGGGAATCTTATGAACAGCCACCCTAATATTATGATGAATCAGATAATCAATAAGTAGAATAATAGCCATAGAATGAAGATGGAAATACTTTAGAATCTGATTATGATATTTCTGAATAATAATCATAAAATTAACAATAATAGTAGAATGATTATGATTAATAAGAATAAGAATAAGAATAAGACTTTGTTGTTATGAAAGCAGATTAATTCATACCATAGGTATAAGATGAACCTCAGTAATAAGAATAATTAACTGATAACTAAAAAGAAGATGACATTTATTCAGAAACTCCTAGAGATGAAAATGAAATAGATATTATAGTAGATGTAGGAAATTTGTAAGATGATTAACAATAATTGAATGAGCAAGATTATGATTATGGTGACAATTTTGAAACTTAATAGCCAACACAAAATTAGGTTTAATAATCATCATAGAAATAACAACCATAATAATAATAACAACCATAGTAATAATAAACTTAATAATAATAATTATCAACAGATTCTATTTCTAATAAGAAAAATAAATAAAAAATCTAGCATTCAATTACTATTTCTCATAATCCTTAATAAGGCAATACTAAATAGAGTGAAAGATCTATCGAGGTTTAGCATGAAGATAAATCCCTAAAGATTGAACATTAAGTCAATTAAGATGAGTTAAAGAAAGACTTAAAGGAATAATTAAAATAGGAGCTTAAAGAAGAATTGAAATAAGAAATAAAGTAAGAAATCTAAGATTCTCATAATCGAAGAAAATCCCCAAGTCTTGTCATTGAGGAGAATGTTACCAAAGATCCAGAAAGACCTGCTCAAAAGGCAATAAACAATTTTAATAATTTACTTAATGATGTTGTAGATGACACCTTAAAGGAAGAAGGCAAAAAACACTATTAAAAATTACCAATTGTGGATGTTAAAAGAGATAGTTTTAATAAGGTGGAACCAAAAATTGAATAAGGAATTGATGACTTAAAGAAAGCATTAGGATTAAAAGGCGGTGTGGAAGTTGTTGATAATAGTGGTAAGAAACAAGTCATTAATGTTGACGATCTCAAAAAAGAGAGTGAGAAATTGTTAACTCGACCAGAAAGAGATAATAAAAAAGATAGTCCTTAATATGAGGAATACTTAAAAAAAGTGACTGAAAAGACTTCATAAAATAATGGTTAGATGAGTAATTATGAAGAATAGCATAATATGAGAAAATAGGAGATTTTAGAGAATATCAAGAGGGAGTTAGAAATAAAGAAGGGCCATATCACAGTTCCAAGTGATTCTCCTCAAGGTAATGGTATTAATTAAAGCCTTAGCAGAGTTATCACCTTATGAATTCGAGAGAGTCTATTTGGATTGGGAGAAAAATAAATAGGACATCATTCCAAGCATGCTCCAACATTCAATTGAGTAGCCTAGCATTTAGGAAACAAATTCTAATTCTGAATAAGTATCATATAAATCCACAGAGAGAATGTCTAAAAAAGAAGAAGTGGAAAAGGAGGTTTAAGAGTTACTATATGGAAACCAAAAGAATAGGAAATAGTAATCAAAATAATCTTCAAAGGGTAGTTTATTTATTATAATTTTGAAAGATTTTAAAGTGGAAGATTTGAAATACATAAAGGATGATCCACTTTTAGATGCTACTTATAGTGGATTTGTATAAGTGAAGGCAAATTTAAGAAAGAGATCACATTGATTAATATAAGTTTATAAATTAACAGAAAATAAAATGGAAAGAAAAAATCATTACTTCTTGGGCAAATCCCACTTCTTTCTTTAAGTAACAGGGTAGTGGTCATCAGTTATTTCTGAATTTTTGATCTTTTCTTGTAAGAACTGCATCAGGTCGAAGTGCTATTCATTTCGCATTTTAGCGAATTCTTCAAGTAGGTCACATAAGGATATATTTTTGAGTGTTTATGTTACACTTTATTTCTTTTAGCTTCTAGGTTTGGTAATAGAAGAAGGAATTGGAAGTCTTCTTCGGCAATGAGGACATTATTGATTCATCAGAAAAATAAATTAATTTCATTGTTTAATTGTTTCTTTAATTGATTATTCAAGTCCTTAAGTCACGTATGTCAACTTGGCATTAGATGGTAATTGCACACAATAGATGGTCACTGCAATCATGTTAGGGTTAAATCTGGGATAAAAAAAGGATTGCACTCCACAAGTCTTGCAAAAGTAATGCTTAGCCTAAATATCAAATTGAGTCACTCATACTTGTTTGGTATTGAATGTGTATAGACTCAGTTCTTCCATACTTGTGAGCATTTTAAATTTGGAATCTTGAATCAATACATGATGATTTTGTTTCATTTTGCAGATTGAACAATGACATCTGATTACTTCCATCTCCAGAGGTCCTGTAAATTGAAATTGCACCTTTTGACAATGGCAACTTCCTGAATATTAATATTCCATTTTCTTATTTTATTATATATGTAATCAGTGAGCTAAATTTCTAAATCTGATCCAACTCGTTATGGTGATTCATTTAAACCTACTGCAAAGAAAATGACTCATCGCTTGCTTTCACATTGTGATAGTGAGATGACACTTAAGAAAATGGACTTTACATTGGCAGGGAATGGTAAACATGTCCCAGATTATAACATCAAATAAAACTAAGTAGAGACAAAGCAAATAGAACCATTCAAAATCAAGGATTTCATACCATAAATCAACCCATCAATCAAGGGGGAATTGAGTCGTCTAAATAAGAACAACTTTTTAGACTTTCTCTTAATATAAAAAGCTGGCAAAGTAAATATGACTAATACATTATTGATAGTCAGGGGATCAGAAGTTCTTTGATCTATTGATTTAACAATACAACTTTGACCCTTTTAAAAAAACATTGAAGATGCAAGACAATAAATAATAAATTCAATATCTTCAAAAACGAGATGAAAGAGAAGAATAAATTGCTTTGCAAGTGAAGCAGTTTTATAAACATATGCAACACAAAAGAAGTGGCACAATCAATGATTAGCCTTTAGACCGAATGATCATAGAAAAAAATAATTATTTGATCCAAAAACTTCCACGCTTTAGAGCTAAATTAGAGGCTTTGTAAGGAAAAAATGATTATATATGATCAAATTATAGTAGAAGTAGTGTACTTATGAGTTGGGATGTAACCATGGTTTCGACGAATAATTTTTTCGATTTCAAATATCACATGTATGTCAGTTTTTCGAACCTTAGGTTTAGCATGATGAGGTTTCATTTTTATTAATGAGAGTTATGGCAAAAAATGTTTTTCATTTGAAGATTCCTTAATCTTTATGAATTTGTTGATATATTGTTATTTTACTGCTTGTCTTGGTGATAAACTATTTAATTTTAACTTAGGTAATTCACTTTTCTTTGCAGTTAATATCGCTTGTATTGTGTGATGAGTCTCTTTTATTTCTGTCTTTTCTTTATGTAATGGTACTGTAATCTAACTATGATATCGTGAACGAGGTCTATAGTCATCACTGCACCAAGGACTTAAGTCTTCATCAAAGTACATTTATTTATCAAATTATTAATATTTATGTCTGAAAATATTATATATTTATTTTCCCCATATTTGAAACACAACATAATTATAATGAAACTAATCAATAACTTATTATTATTCTAATTTTAGAAGAAAGGAGTATAACAATGTTATTAGTTATTAACAAATTTAACATTTTTGGTTAATATATGGATGCTTCTCCGATATCCTTAATTAGAAGAATAATGATTTGAATAATTTAAATTAAATACAATTTAATAGTTATTACCTTAGTCATATTGATTTTAACTATATAAGAACTTCATGTGAATCTAACTGAATTCGATTTTGTTAAATAATAGATTAAAATAGGAATATTATAATGAATTAGATTAATTTAAGAATATAGTTAGTGAAATCTCTGACTTTACATTATATTCAATATTTACATAAATTTAATATTTATATAACAGCAATATATTTTGAATAATGATAAGTTTAGATGAGATGGAGTCAGTTGCTAATTCATTTCGCAAAAAGCCAAAGAAAAATACATCTTTGTAAATACAAACAGATGATACTATGGCCATGTTAGAAATTTTAGAAGCGGATATGAATAAATTTAGAATTGAAAATTTAAGGCTTTAACAGCAGATAAAGTAATTGTAAGAGAGTTTAGTTCACTGTTCTGTCAATATTACGAATACATCTTCTAAATTTATGTTGCCAAGTGAATTTAAATTAAAATATGAAAATATGGTAAAGGAAACACTTCCATCAGCATTTGGTTTTCTTTTTGATTAGCCAAAAGTGCTAGTTTAAGTTGTTCAATAGAGTTGTCTCTTTTTAGAACAAGTGATTAGAGAAGAACTTAACAATAAGACTTCACAAGTTGCTTCAATACTTGGAATAAATTGTTAAGGATTATTCAGTCTTTTATAAAAGTTATATTAAGATAATTACTAAAGTGTTTTAGGATTCAATGAAACTACAATAAACAAATTAAAATCACATCTGAAATTGAATATCAAAAACATAGATGAATTTATCGAAGAGGATAATGATGATCTAATTGAATGGATGAAATAATATTGGCTATTGTTATCGTATATCATTCTGAGTGACTAGGAGATTAACATAGGTTTTAGTAGAGTGATCTATGAAATAGTGTCATATCAAAAGAATGAATATTATTGTGTAGATGGTTTTGGTAAGGAAGGAGCTAAAAGTTTGGTGATTCTCCCTCCAATTATGAGAAAGAATCAATCATTCAATGGAGTCAAGCATGCAGTGTTGATATTACCAAACCATTTCGATTGTTCGATATTTAATTAAGAGAGCAATTTATAGGATACTATTTAAGAGTTGAAGTCTTATAATTCACCAAAATAACTTACTATTCCTCAAGAGATTAAGGTTATTGAGGAGACTAAGAGAAGTAGTTTATAATATAGTGCAAGAGAGAACACCTTTTTAAGTCAGGGATCTGAAAAATTTGATACCTTTGAGGAATGCAGAATTAAACCATAACAAAAGTAACCATTAAAATCAATGAAGGAAACTCTTAATAAATTAAACTAATATAATAATAGCAGTAATAATTAATCATTCAAAGAGATTTCTAGACTGCTTAAGCAAGACTCGAAAGACAATAGCAAATTTAGGTAAATTATTACTCATATTTAGTTAGTTAAACTATATTTAAAATAAGATTAGCGATAAAAATTGGAGTAGGATTCTAGCTAACAAAAGAAATAAAGAAAACAACCAACATCTCAATCAATCTTAATAACAAACACCTTAATTAACTATACAATAATTTATAAAGAAGATTAAGATAGATTTCTCTCGTCCTCTGAAAAGTCGTCATGAAGAATCAAAATTCATTAAGTCACAATAGGATAGTTTCAGATAGAGAGCCCAGTCGAATGATGGAAAATTTGTTAAATATTATAATGATTCCTTTAATTAGAAGTTTAATAATTGATTTACTATTATAATTAATTATAACAGCTAAATGAATAGACCCAATAGTCAGACTAATGAGTACTTTAATTTAATTGAAAAATGCATATGTAGAATTTCTCCTTCTATCTTTAGAGATCCCCAAGGATGATCGACTCTATCTGAGATAGTGTGCATATTAAAACAATCCAGACATCATCTCAATCCTATTTCAATATAAAAGGAATAATGGTATAAATTCATAATCCATAGAGACCAAAGAAGAATGTATATGGATTTACGCAAATTCTTGTAATAAAACAAATAGGTCCGTATTCTCTAAAAGAAATAATAACAATCCAAAGAAAATTTGAGAAATGGATCTCCTAAAGCTAAAAGCAAATAATAGTCTAGATAAAATAGTATAAGAAAAAACAATCCCAGATCATTGAGCAAACAACTTTAATGTATCCACCCGACTGATAAATAATAACATATGATAATGTACATTAATATTAAGAAATTAGGACTACTCCACATAAATAATAATAAGATAGATTGTCTTAGAATTAAAAATTCCATACAAGTAGTGGAGGGTTCTTTAAAGAAGTTTAAAAATTTGATGAAACGATAAAGAAATCTCAAAGATAGAAAAAGTGGACTGAAGAAGAAATTGTGAGGAAGTATGCTGATCTATTCACAGCACCTGATTTTCTTAAGAAACATAGAGCAATATCATAGGACACAGATCCAGATAGTAAAGATTATAATTTTGCAATTTCTTGCTAGAGTTTCATTTGCTAGCCTAAATATTATGCTTTGCAAAAATTTAGTGCAGAACAAATATTTGGATTTATTTTTACTGAGACTTCCTTAGATAAAATAAGCAAGAATTTCTTTTAGTATAAAATGGAAGCATTTTACAATGAAATAGATGCTGAAATACCCGATCTATAAGAAATGTTTATTTTCATAGACAAAAACAATGATGGTTTTATTGATGTTAATGAAATGGGACAGTTTTTAGATTTTGTATGTTAAAAGGAGGATAGAAAAAGTTTCATGAAAGTAGATTCAAATAACTAAGGATATTTTACAGAGCATTAAATGCTTCAATAAACAAGAGATCGACAATTAACAAGAAAGTAGGAAATTTAAATTTATTTTAATAGCTACTTTTAAGAATTTGATATTGAATAGACTGGAAGGATAACTTATTGGGAATATTATCTAAGGTATTTATTTTTTATTTATTAGAAAAACTACTTAGCTCGGATAAAATTTAAATAAATTACTAAAATGAAATTATATATTATTAATTTTTCCGCAATTTTTTAATTTTAAATGTGTTTGGAAGAAGTTTAGGATGACAAGGGATTGGAGAAATTTTTGAAAATGGCTACTAAATAGTAAGTCAATTCATTAAGTCTAGTTATGAGACAAAATATGGGACCCCTTAAAAAAATTTGAGGGAAAAGGCGATGACTTTGTGGTTGGATTTACCATCATTTAAAGACAAAATGATAGTTATGGAGTTTATGTAAAGGAAAATCAACAGGATTGAATCCTCGTAGACAAAAATCACTTAGTTTTTTAAATCTCACTCCAAACCATCAGCAACCAAAATTTAGAAATAGTTTGATTTAGGGGATGATTAAGATATAACAGGTCCATTGATAGGTGACAACACCCCATTGAAAAGAGACAGATCTCCATACAGCAAATTTTATGAAGAAACTTATTGGAAACTCAAATTAGAGTACGAATTTCTGAATTAGAAAGAGATAAGATAAATGGTTAAAAAATAATGGGAAAGTAATAGAAAGATAATATAAAATATATGATTTTTAGTTATGCATTACTTAGAAAGCAAAATCTTTTTTTTCTGTTTGACTAACATATATATATTAATAATATAATTTATTACAAAAATCGTTAAGATGTTAAAGAGAAACTCCCATCGTCAATCTGACAATTAGTTAAGATATTCATCATTGACTAAAAATGATGAATCAGAGTTTAATCTAGGAAAATTTAGAGAGAGTGTCTATTCAAAGATGTAGCAATTAGGCAATTAAGAGTAATAGTCTTATGTGAAGGGTACTGTCTCAAAAACTGCTAAATCTTCATAAGCTTAAGAAATGAGGGGAAGGTATAAAACAGATTAAGTTTAGTGTTCCATCATTTGAAGATATTTTTAAAAAGATGTCTTCATACAAAGATAATTCACATAATATATTGAAACATGATGGATCTTTGAGGTCTAGCATATAATGCAAAATCGAGCAATTTGCAGAACCACCCCAGAGCAGATTATCCTAAAGATCAGTTGGGATGACTTTGCACATTTCTAATCGATTTGCCTCTCAAACTAAATTGGATTCTAAATAGCAATCGACAGGGAAGTTCACTTCAAGTTTTATGGAGAAGCCTGTCATTGCTTAACCGCTGAAAACAAGTCTTATCGATAAATTGCCATTAAAAGAACTATCTGATATTAGAAATAGACTTGAAGGGAGTACATAGAGTGAAGTATAATAACTGTCTAAGAATTATGTGTCTGAATTGGTGAAATTGGCACAAATCATAAATAAATAAGTGAGAAGATGCAAATTATGATATTATTAATATGTTATAATCTCATGTTAATGGAACCATAAATCAAGAGTATAAAAGAGTGGTAGAGAAATACTAGAGGTATTTGAATGAAAGATCTAAATTAAAACATCAATCTAATGATAAGTTAAGTGCAGCAGTCCGAAAGATTTATCTGAATCCTCTCCTTCCTTCATTATAATCTGATCATTAACAATCTACTAATCGAATACGGAAACGGCAATCTTCCTTGTTAAAAGAGCAATATTCGCATTTTAAGCAAGAATCTGTTGAGTAGATAAATGCAAATCTCCAATAATCAATTGCGAATCATAATTCAAACTCAGTACCAAAAAAGTAGAATCACTCACAAGCCAACCTTGAAACACCACAATAGCAAAGTTTTTTTATTGGTTTATACAAAAATTAGAGGATTGAAAATTAATGCAAAAACATTACCATTAAAGATTTGGTATAATTTAACAAAAATTCATAAGAACAATTATAAAATATAACACATCTTCCATAGTTGCAATAATAGGCATCAAATGAAATTAATTTAAGTCGATATTTTGTGAAAAAACCAAGGCCAAAGAAGATCTCTTTTGATGAAATCTCATTTTCTTATAAATGGGAAAGAGAAAGAGGAAACAATGTAGTGAGAATTGATAGATTATAAGTAGAAGAATTTTCAGAAAAAGTAGTAGAATATCTCTTAATGTAAGATATTATGAGATTATTCTTTTAAAATTCTAGTGTTCTATAATTGAAAGCAATAATGCTTGAACTATTTAAAGGAGTTTATTATGAAAGCACACTAAATTTTGAATCCATTACAGCATTCTTTACAACACAATAAATAACATATTTGGAAATATTTTATATAAAGTATTCAATCTCTTAGATCTTGATTAATGCTAAGTATAATTATATTTTCGTGGAAAGAGCTCTCAATTAATTTGAAGAATATCGTTATCTTTTGTAAAAACCAATTCCATTTATTACTAAATTATTCGATAATACATTTTACTCCAATGTTGTCAAAGGCATTATGATGAAACTATTGAAAAGTCCTGCTTACAATAAGTTCATGACTAACTAGAAATTTGAAAGCGAATCCTTCATATATGCAGTTAAAAATGGCTTATTTCCATATTTGGTTGGAGAATACGTAGGATTGCCTTTGCATGCAAGGGTTAAAGATGTCAAAGCTGAGCAATTCAGATAATAAATCTTATAACCATATATAAACTAGGTTTTTGTGATTCAAGTAAAAAATCTATTGAATGAACATTTTCTTGATGAGTTTTATATTAAAGAAGTAGAGAGGAGGTTACTATTTCCAAAGTAAGGTTAAGATTTACCAGATGAAACACATTTTCCTCTTTATTATATATGGTCTTATATACAATGTAAGAATACTCTTATACCATCTTATGATATCAGGGCCATGATGAAGATAATAAAGATTAATCCAAGCTAATTGGATTCAGATTCAGATGTATTCTCAGATAATATTAAATATTTGGAGTAATTCGAATAAATGAAAGAGGAATTGTAAATATTTAAATGATTATCATTGTTTTTTTTCAATTGTATATTATTCTACAGTTTTGATAAACTTCTTGTATTGGGTATTGTCTAAATTAGAGATGCCTTCATATGTGAATCCACATCGTAGAGCAACATTAGCACTTTTGACATTTTCTACTAAACAATGTATTATTAGAAGATCTAATCCAAGAACTTCGAAGGAGTGTTACAAGAGTAATTAGCAGGCTCTTGTGACTATTCCTTTGCCTTAAAATTATTCATCGACCCAATAGAATATCTGAGTATAATGAGATAAAATACTTCAGCTTAGCATGTGAAATTTTCGATACAGAAAGAGTGTAAACCAATTTAACCGCATGGTGTATTTTCATAGCATATTGTAAATCTTTTAAGTTCAAGATTTTAGAAATCACCATAGATTCTGAGAAGATATAGAAAATAATCATTTGTATTTTTAAGGTTGGGATAGCCCTCCCCAAAGCTTTCCAAATAAGCTTCGTTTTTTTGGATCATTTTGTAATCCTAGGCTATTCTGTTTTCAGTTAATGGCATGAGAGTTACCTATGATTTCATTTAAATGAGTGGATATGTGTTGCAAGAAATAATAATGAATAAAGATTAAGTTTAATTTATAATTAAAAAGTAGTTAAAATTGAATGGCAAGTGAAAGAATTCATAAGTATGATGATTCTAAAGGTGCAGTGTATTAAATTGATTGATTAGATTTTATTTAGAAATGCAAACAAAAGAATTGTTTTTCGAATAGTTATGGGAGTCCATTTTGTTTGGTGAAGAAATTCAATGATCAGAATATTTTGAAGGAGAGTAATAATAAGATGAACGTACGAGGAGATGAGAAATCCAGTTTAAATGATCGTCTTCAGAAATATAGATCTTAGGCATAGATGGCCTTAGATAAATTGGAGACTGGTGAATGATATGCTAATTTTAGGTAGATTACAAATACTAGAAGCAATTATTGATACGATAGATGTAATAGAAGTGTTAGGAAGAGGAAGAGTAAATGTAACATCGAATTTAAGTGCGAATGAAGAAAGCTTAGCAATTGTGATTATTTATTATATATTTTAATGGACCAAATTGAGCATAGAATATAATAATTACACCCTGATTCCTCAAGTGTGAAGGAAATAATAGATATTCTATCACAATATCATTAAATAACAACAGTATGTATTATTTGGGAAATACAATTCAATAGAGAGATTCTATACAAAAAGTAGTATTAACCTTAAAATCTTGTTAAGAATACTTCAGCCAATAAAATTACGATCATTACGGGGAAATGGAACTTAAGGTCTAGAATGTAATAGAAGATGTTCAACGATTAGATGTAGTAAAAATGAAGAAGTCCTTTACAAAGAAGATGTCAACAAAGTAACAATTAAGTGATAACTTGTTACTAGATCGATTCGATTATTGTCAGATAAATTGAGATTAGCATTACATTATTTGGAAACTGATTGGATTAGCAAGAATAATACATCATTCCAATATAAGTGGGCATCAATTAAAATGAAGAATATTTAGCAGTAGCAATGTTTAGTATTTTAGAGTAATGATGATGGACGTGAAGAAGTGGGATAAAAAATCACTTGAGTTATTGATCTGTAGAATATGTGAAAAAAAGGTACAAGCCCTCGAGATGAAAATACATTGTGAAGAATGTTAGAAAACTGCTGAGGCAAAGAAACGAATATTAGAATTGAATTTGGAAATGGCCAATCTTTGTGAAGCAGCTTATCAAGAAAAAAGAAATGCTTAAGTAAAACAAGCTCTAATAAAGTAAGATTTGATAATAGTTAGTAAAAATAAAAAGGTTTAAAAAAATACTAATAAATTCAGAAGAACTCTAACGTTCAATAGTGATGAACAGGAGAACGAATAAGAATTAATCAATATCAATAATGCTATGACTATTATTATTAATTATGCTGATAAAATAGTGAATTAATCTAATGATGATCCTAAGTGTAAGAATTATCTGACTAAATAGAAAATCTTGTCATCCTAAATGATCTCTCAAATGCAGACAATTATATTGAAAGTAATGAAGCCAAGTCCATTATTACACGAGTTCACAAAAGTATCCTTGATCGAATGGAATATTTCAAAAAATAGGAGGGTCATCATTAACAATATGATATGTCTGTCCAATTGTCCAAGATATAGGCTATCAAAAAATCCTTTGCCAAACAGAATTCTCTCTCCTTTCGCTAATCGAAGTTTTCTTATGTTTCTTAGTCTCCAAGAAATCGATAAGCAGATCCAATACTTGAATAGGAAGAAGGAGAAAGACTTAATTAGCCTAACATTCCCAAAAGAAGGGAATTCAAATTAAATACTTCAATTTTTAAGGTGAATGAAGGATGTGACAGTACGAGAATATCAACTAAGCCAGTAACAGCAAGTTTTATAAATGATCACACAGATTCTGATAGTATGGTATAGCCATTATCTTTTGATTCTGATGCTGGAGATAATAAAGTCCCATCTATCAAAGAAGAACTTAATAATTCTTCTTCAGAGGAATCAAGTTTATCTAATCCTTCCAATCAACTCAGAAGACAACTCTAAATCAAATAGAAAAAAAGAGTTTCTAATTTCCACTCCTAAGACATTCAATAAGCTATCACTCCAACTTCCTCTTCTTAATAACAAGTTTAAGTAACAAAGAAAAGCAAATTCAGCAGTAATGCTTCGAATAATAGTCCTCAAATGGTTTAGGAATAGATTGACCCTGTTCACACTGACAAGGGATATCACTCTGATTCCGATATGATCAAGACCAATTCTTCTGTATCAATTGAGTAGAAAAATGTTGGTATAAAGGATTTTGAATTCATAAAACCTTTGGGCAAGGGAGCCTATGGTTGGGTTTTCTAAGTGAAAAAGAAAGGGTCAGGAGATATGTATGCATTAAAGATAATAGATTGTGCTCAAAGAGTAATTATAATATTTATATATAGAATTTAGAAGCCTTCTTAGAATAACTAAAGGCAGAGAGAAACATTTTTGAAATACTCAACAGTCATTTCGTTGTGAAGGCTTTCTTTTCATTTGTACATGAACATTACTTATGCTTTGTCCAAGAATATATGGTGGGGGGTGATTTGGCTAGCATTCTGAAGACATACACAGCGTTAGATGAATTTTATGTGAGACATTATATGGCTGAAATAATATTGGCTTTGGAATATTTGAGAAATCAAAATATTGTACATAGAGATTTAAAACCAGAAAACATTCTATTGGACTCTCAAGGACATGCCAAATTGGCTGACTTTGGATTATCTGAAAAGGGTTTGAATAGCAGATTAAAAATGAAAAGAGAAAGTTAAGTGTTACCAGAGTGTATTTCTTAATAAGTTAATGATTCATCTGAATTTTATGAGCACATCAAAAAGGCTGAATCCATTTTCATTGAATCTAAGAATAGTGGCAATAAAAAGTAATTTATATTGTTCTAATATAGGATCATTGGTACTCCTGATTATATAGCACCTGAAATTATTCAAGGTGTGTCAGTAACCAATTATTCAGCTGATTATTGGAGTTTAGGTGTCATCATGTACGAAATGTTATGTGGAATAACACCTTTTAATGATGACACAGTAGAAAAGATATTTGAGAACATTCTCAATCTAAGAATTGAGTGGCCCAAATTAGGAGATGATGGAGAAGAATGTATTTCCTATGACTCTTACGATCTTCTTACACGTCTATTAGAATAAGATTACACAAAGAGGATTGGACATGTTTCGATTGACGAAATTAAATAGCACAAATTCTTTAAAGGTTATAAGTATCCTTATATATCATAGGTATTGAATGGAATACATTACTTAATAAACCAGGTGTCATAATCCCTGATTTGGATTAATCTTCAAGAGACACTGAGAAGATGGAACAATTCTTAGTTAAACTAACTAAACCCACCAAGGATTAGGAACATAAGAAACTAACCTAGCAGCTCAAGAATCAATTATAGAATTTAGAACGCATAGACCTATTGAAACAAAGAAGTGTGCAAGAGGCAGAGGAATATATGTATGTTGTTCTATTTACCATTTCTTTAGACAGACGATTGAAAGAGAATAAAGTTATATACAAAAATAGATTGATTAACTTACTTAATTTACTGCAAAGCTATATTCTTCACATATGAAAAATAAATGAATGAATTATATAATATAAGATAACTTGCCATATGATTAGTTTTCTGTTGTTTTGTATTGCCAATGCCATAGATGTTAGTATTTCAAATATGGATAGTGCTATAATAGATATCGTCTGGTGTGGTGCTCATAATAAGTCAAATGACAATGTACTCAATCGATCTCTAATTTATCTAGATCTTAGTTATGAGTTCAAAAGGAACAATCTATTTAAGCCAAGATAACGGAGATGATTGGTAGAAATTGGCAGAAGTATTCCATAGAAAAGGATTGCTTGTATTATAAGATGAAAATGAAAAAGTAGGAGTAGTAAATAAAATATAAAAAAGTCCCATAGACCCACAATTAATAATATTCCTAGGAACAGAATTTGTTAATTGGATATCTCCTGATTGTGGACAAACTATAAATGCAATTTATACAGGCAGATAAATGAGGGAATTTCAATTTCATCCTTCACGTAAAGATTGGATATTGGCATCTTCATGGTCAAAATGTTAAATGAAATAAAAAGATTGCTTTGTAACTAAGGACCTTATGGTTAGTAAAGATATGGGTTTAAATTGGGAAGTTATTGCTAAATATGTAAATTAATATACTTGGGGATTTAAAAGCCCTAATAATGATGTAATCCCAGAGTAAAGAATAATGATCACTTTGGAGCCAAATGGAAAAGGACACTAGTAATTATCGGGTTGGAACATGAAGACTCATTTATTTTATAGTGATGATTTTATGAAAACGAAAACGATGTTAGTAAATTAAGGCAATAAATTTCAATTAACCCCTAATCATATATTTGTAGCTTAAGTTATGAATTCTTCAAATTAAGAGGTAACATTACTTGTATCAGAATCTGATCAATATGAATACAATTTCAGATATGTCCAAATGCCAGACATACTTAAAGATCATAGTTACACTATAGTTGATTCCTAATATGGAGCCTTTATCAACATTAATCATCTAAAACCCAGTTCGATCATGGGTACAACTTACATATCAGATTCGACTGCTTCTAGATATAGAATCTCATTAAATTACACAGTGAGAACTGAAGAAGGGTAATGCGATTTTGAGAGAGTCTTGGGTTTGGAGGGAATTTATATTGCAAATGTTTATGCATCAGAGTAAGCAGAGCTATATTAATCTGAAATTGACGAGGACTCTCCAAGAATCAAAGAAAGTGATTTAAGTAAGTTCAAATAAACTAAAATTACTTTTGATAAAGGAAGTAGATGGTAACCATTGACACCACCTTAAGTTGATTCGGAAGGTAAAAAATTGTAATGTGATTCTAAATCTTGTTCTTTACATTTGCATTCAGTTTCTACAAAAATGTAATTCGGTCCATTTTATTCAACTAAAAATTCAATTGGTTTGATTTTAGGGACAGGAAACATTGGAAAATATTTAAGTTATAGACCTGATCAAGTGAATACTTACATGTCACGGGATGGGGGGTTAACATGGTTTGAAATAGCCAAGGGATCTCACATTTATGAAATTGGGGATCACGGAGGTGTTATAGTATTAGCAAGTGATCAATAAGCTACAAAAGTGCTGAAGTATTCATGGAATGAAGGATTGACTTGGGAAGTTTTTTAATTTAGCGAGCACCCAATTGAAATTACCAATATCATAACTGAACCCTCTAATATTGGTACTAGATTTATCATTTATGGCACTTCAGATTTATTCATAAATGAAGAAAATATTGAATAAGGTAATATTGTTAAAATTGATTTTTCTTAAATTCATGGTAGAGAATGCATAGGAGAAGACTCACCATCAAGTGAGAATAGTGATTATGAGTTATGGTCACCTACAGGTAAGATTAATCCAGATTGTTTAATGGGAATGAGAGTAGAATACGTAAGAAGAAAGAGGGATGCTAAATGTTTTAATGGAGAAGATTTACAAAGGTAACGCTCAATTCAATATTGTTAATGTACTGAAGAAGATTGGGAATGTGATCTCAATTTCCATAGAGAAAACTCTGATCCAAATGCAAAATGTATTCCATATGAACTTTATGAATAAAATTTTGAGGCTCCTGAAAATTGTGAAGACTATTATGAGGTTACTAGGGGTTATCGTAGAGTAGCAGGTAACAAATGTTAAGGTGGGGTTGAATATAATCCGGTCAGACTATTATGTCCTGGATTCAAATTTTGGAAATTCAGAAATGTAATTCAATATCATTATTTAGATTTGGGACTTTATGTTAATATGTATTTTTGCTGCTATCATATATTTTATATATAAGAATAGGCATCATTTCTCTAAGAGAAAGGATCATACAAAGGAATAATAGTAATCAGCAAGAGCATATGGATAAAAAATGGTTGAAAGGGGACTTGGATATAGGGAGTTTGATGAGGATTTAATTGAAGAGAATCAAAATGTGTGAATATATATCATTCTATCAGAAATATTGTTATTATATAATTCATATATAAACTCGTTTTAAATTAATTGTCAATTTAATTATTATGTTATTTTTATATATAATTCAACTCAAATATTAATAATTAATTGTTAAATATAAAATTATAATTCAAAATTCAAAGGACAACATGAACGAAAATGAAAATATCCTCCTTTCTGATAACAGTTTCAATTAATAAAAGTTTTGTATTACCCCATCAAAACCTGAAAGGAAAATAAAAGAAAACTACATTTTACAAACTCCTATAACTCCTAATGTACAAAGAACTTTATTCACTAATCATAAAAATCTGTCTGCTTCAAAGTTTATTATTGACGAATAATTGGTTGATTAGTAAATCTCTTAAATTGAAGTTGATTAAGCGGTCGATTTGATCTAAGAAATTTGCTTAAGATTTAATCTCACTTTTTCAAAATTTTCTATTGTTTCTTAAGATGTAATTAGACTCATCTATTTATTTAAAGAAATTAAAATGATTTGCACATATCCTATTGAAAAATTATACGATTTTTTAAATGTAGTTTAAATGAGATACCCAAACTCAATAAGTTTAGTAGTTTCATCATAGAAATTACCAAGCTTGTTATAAATCAATGACATATTCGAATTGAGATAGATAAAATAAGGTTTAGTGAACATTACATATCTATAATTATATCGTCGAGATTCAGATACAATAATGTAAATTTTAAGAAGTCTAAATGTGAAGCAAGCATTCTACTTTGACGATGTTGAATAATGTCGATATTTACTCTCTGATAATATTAAATAACATATAGTCTGCAACAGAGGAGTATTGCCTGCTACAAACATACAAGAATTAAGAAACTACCTCTCGATATAAACATCCTACATAGGGCCTACTTTAGACATTGGCCATATTTAAAGTGAATACAAACCAAATTACTAATTAAATAAAGTTATTTTTATGGATTCTGAAAGTTTTTCAAGAATGCTTACTAGATTAGAAGAATAAAATTTATAAAGTGTTGCTTTGAAATTTTCAAACAATAAAAACATCACAGCTTTCGAAGATTTCTGCATTAACAATCAGATCACTTGTAAATATCAAGCTATTTCTTCTTCTGCAGAATTGAAAACTTAATATGAAGTGTTAGTTCATGTAGATTAAGTTAACAGTTTGTAGGCTTATTTGAATGATTGTGCATTTTTGAACAAAGATTGCATAAGCATAGTTTATTTATCCAAAGAATAATATTTGCTAAAAAGGAAGTCTTTGTTCTTTCAATAAACAAGTTTAGAATTATTGGAAGCAATATATAATTAATTATGTACAAATTAAAATAAGGTCAATTTGAATCAGATTAAATAGTCATTTATGATTGATAATCCTATGAAATTAATGAATATGTTAGAAAAACATCAATTAATTCAAATAGATACAGTGATACCATTGAAATGTTCAGTATCTATTGATACAATGGCAGACACAAACTCAGAGTACATCAATTAATTAATAAAATACATTAAATTGCATAGTAGAAGAATAATATCCTTAAGAAAAGATGTCAGCACTATAAAGCATTTTGAAATAGATCTGGAAGATGTATCGAAATTCATGAATAAGCCGATAATTGAATTGTGTATTTAGATTGAATCAAAAAGCAAGGTATTTTTAGAACCTGAATTTTATGATTTTTTGATAAATTACTAGATTACTGATCATTAATTACATTTTTCAAATAATAATAAAATGAAGAATTAATTGTTTTAATGTGCATAGGATATAACTAAGATTAAATAATAGCAAATCTAAGAATTAGACATTTGGTTTTGTCTTGGTTAAATGTTAAAAATATCATCATTGTCTAAATGTGTGAATTACTATTCAAATTAATAAAAGTTTGCTGAAATTGTTGATAAATATTTTACAGCTGAAAATAAATTAACAGTAGGTGAACTATTTCAACATAATCATATAAAGTATATGCCAATCAAAACTATTGAAGGCTTGAGAGAAAAAACAAAAATAATTACAGACATCAGAAAAATCTATCAAACCATTTAAAAAGAGAATGACAGAGACATTTAACATAAAATACCTATAAATAGGAGAGTACATTACGAATTGATGAAACAGTATCTATCATATGATTTGGATCAACTCTCAGATTTAGTTAATTACTACATTGATTAATAGAATAAACAAACGTAGAGATATAGAGTAAAGGGATGGTTATTAGATTTACCAATTAAAAAAGTGAAGTATTGATGATATAATCATTATTTCTTTTATATATATATATATTTTAATAATGTCAAAGAATGTTAAACAGTTACTTTAAGATCCAAATTACACAGTGCCCCTTGAAGTAATCAAAAGAGAACTCAGTAAAATACCTGGAGGGGATGATGTATAAAATTAGATTTGAATTTAGAAATATAAAGAGATTCAATAAACATTATTGCCTTTGTTAATGGATGGAATAGAGGAATTATCAAAGGAATTGGAGACAATGATACAGAATCCGGAAAAGATTGATCCTGAAGAAAGAGAACGCTTTAATCCTTGCATTTATTTGGGGTATGTCAAGTTAATTATGTTTTATAGATAATATTTAATGAGAAACAATCCAAAGTAGTATTGATTAAATAATAATATATTAATTAAATATTTAATTTTATATGATTAGAAGAATCTTTTGGAATGTAAAGAATTCATTTTTTGGAGCAGGAATGCTTATTTTGATTCCAGTACAATTCATGTATTTCCCAGTTTTACTAGGAGTCCCAACATATGCTGCAACTGTATTGTAATCAGGTAATAATTAATCTTAAAATAGGCTTAACATATTATGACGAATATGATGGAGATGTCAATGAAGGAAATTATTATAAAACCAAGAGTGCATGATCATTATAAATCAAATAAATTATTCAAGCATTATTTACATCATTTATGTAATTGTTTTCTTATAGACATTCTAAATCAATCATTCATTTTTGTAAGTAATCAATTCGCGATTTATCCATATTAAACAAATCCCTCAGTAAATAATGTTACATGAATAAATGTCCTGTTCATTAAAGATTGATATAAAATTATTGCTCAAACACTAAAATAACATTTTTAATATATAATATATAATTGTAGATTGTTATGATTCATTTGTAAACCTTGTTAGATGTGTTTTTAAGCACTTTCCCTATATTCTATTATAAGGTAATAAGTTCTTATAAATATGCACTACTTAATTAAGTAGCTTCTGCTTACTAAACATCTTGGAGATGGTTTGAAATTCTGATTATTTCTGCAAGTGTTGCTCTTTCTGTTACTGCCTTATTTCTTTTCATATCAAGTAAATCTGACATAGGCTTGGATGAAGAGTATTATTCTTTTTTAGAGGATTAAACTTTGACCTTTTCCTTATTTATTGCAGAACCAAATGCACTTTGATAATTATTCTTTATTTAAATATCATCCAATGGATGATACTATTTCTGACTCGGAGAATAAATTGCTCTAGTTAAACCCATTTTAATAGGAGATTCTTATTTTGGAAATTTATTATCCATCAGATTTTTTAGATGGGTGGCAGATTATCTATGCGATAAGGGTTAATTAGAATTCTTTTCTTCTTGATTCTTAAAATTATAAAGTAATTCGCTTTTTTATATAAACTTCTGATTCTCAAATCCCTAGACTTTCGAATAAACCTTATCTCTAATGCCCTTTTTAACATCATTCCAATTTTATGAATCACTACTGCTCACTGGAATAGTAAATTGGGATGGTGAGTTTTATAGCTAATGTTTATGTATACTTTTACAGTTGTTTAAGAATATTTCATTTACAGTTAAAAAATATTTTTTATTATATTTAATAATTTTAAATTCTTCATCGTTTTTCAAAATTATCCAATATAATAATTGTGATAAAATTGACTTATCATAATGATGGTTACTTTTAATTATGAAACCATTCACTCATCATTGAGTATTATTATAACATTAAATGTTAATAATTAAAATTAGAATAAAACCATAGATTTTTAATAATTTTATATAAGTAATTGAGGAATTACAAAAAATGCTTGTACTTCTAGAATTATAAATATTTATAATGCTACTTTTGATATATACTTGATCACCTCTTGTTTAGTGAGTAGATTTTAGTCTTAATTCAAGAAGTACTATTTTTGGGAGTGTTTAAAGAGCTTTGAAAATGGGTTGTAATTATTTTATTAGATTTTATAAAATTGTTATCTAATATTTGGATAGTTAATCTTTTTACATTTGAGTAGTGATATTTGGAATATAAAAAGTTAAAGATAATTAATGCAGGAGGAATAATCTAAAAAAGTCGATCCTATGGAAGCATTCAGAAAAAAAGAAGATTATAGAGAGGCATGTCAGAAATTAGATGGTTTGCACTCCTAAAATAAGGAGAATGATGAAACTAAATATTTGATGCTATTCAAGAAATAAGAAACATCCAGAAAGGATTTGTGTGTAATAATAAGAGTATATAATGGAAATATGTTATGGATGTAAAAAATTGATAGAGCAGCATTAGATGAAATGATTTTAAAAACAGACATCAAAGGAACCTATTCATCCTTTTGTGAATTAATCAGATTTGCAATTAGTGAAAATTCATATGATTTTGTCCAATTCGAAGCCCAATTAGATATCGTTCTATACTTCTCGCTTCAAAGGCACGTTTAACTAAAAGGATAAATACCATTAGATTAAGGATTGCCAATAACAAATGATGAAGACACTAGAAAAATACAATTTTAATTTGTTTGTGATTTAGTCGATGTCTTAAAAGCTACTCAGTTATAATTTACAAAAGAAATTGAAGTCAATACAATTAGAAAGAAAAAAAATGAATAAATGATAGATGTTGAATAACCACCTCTCCAAAAGCCTCCTCCTCCACCTAAGAAAAACTTACTTACTATAGGCTAAGAGATTTTGACCACTCCAGAAGTAATATTACCAAGAAAAGGTCCTTATGGAATACCCTTTTATGGGAACCAATACGTATAATTTCCTTCAAATGCAGATTTAGTCAATCCAAATAAAAAAAAGAGAAAAACAAATGGGGGAAAAATTGATTGAAATTTAATATATATATATTTACGCATAATTATAATTATTACAAAATATGATCAATTAAAAATACTTTAATTAATTTAGAAAAGACTTAAATCGAATTATCAAAAATTGTAGTAATTATGGTACTCTTTTATGATATTAATACTTATTATGAGAATAAGAATATGAAATAAATTTTCGTTAGTTAAAATATTTTTATTCAAAGAATATATCAATCGTTATGCATATGATTAGGTCATACTAAAAATAGAAACATTAATGAAAGATACATATTATTGAGAAATTAATAATTAAACTTTTATAACATCATTAATATATAGTTATTTAAAAATAGGAATTAATATTCAATATAACAAATCATCTAGGATTCATATAAATTAACTTCATACTTATAATGAATGTACTTATATAACTAAATATTCATTAAAATTTATTGTATATTGATATTAACTATGATTAATTTTATTATTTTTAATTACTATTCTTAAGGCTTTTTCTCTAATTCAATGTAGAATAAGATTTTTTTAAGGTTCTTTCAAGTTATAGAGTAAAATATAATGAATACTTGTCATGTTTATTAAAGTAAAATGACAAAATTGCTATAATATAAACTATAATATCTATGTAGAAATACACATAGATTGTATTATTATTATAAATTATCTATATTTTCTAACAAGATTGTTTGGATAACAGATAATTGCTAATATCAATTGTTTTTCTAAGAAATAATGAATATGTGTATAAATATTGGTACGAATATATAGGTTTCAGTGAGTCAAATTCAATAAAACTACTGTTAGGACTAAGATAATTTGGATTGCAATCATAGCTATTACATAGGGCTTAGTTGTTGCTAAAAGCGGATAATGATCATCGTCTGTCATAGAGATTTTTTATTTATATTAATTGATTATTAAGCCCCTTACCCGTTTTTATGGAAATATTATTAATTTTATTGACATGAATAAGTTCATAACCATTGCTTTGATTGCCTTAGTAAGTGTTTAAGCCTTGGATATCGATTTCGCTCTCCTCTTGCAGGTATGAATTATGAATAGATTAAAAGACAGGATCACAATCAAATGATGCTGTTTAAGCCGTCTATGATTTATTGAATGATTTGAAAACCAGCAACATTGAAGCTCAAGGTGTTGCAGATGAAAAGAACATTTCAGATGAAGAAATTGGATAAGCAAGAATTGCTGCTCTTTCCAAAGTTAATGAATTAAATCAAAAAGCTTGGGCAAGTGCTAAGGCCAGAAGAGAACAAATTGGTGTTGAATACAGAGTACTTTGATTTAATAAATTTCAGGAAGCAACAGACTACATTGCATGGGCAACATAAAGATTAGCTGATATTGATAGAAGAGAAGTTGAACTTGAAGAATTGAGATGTTTCTCAAATGGATTGTTCGTCAGAGCTATCAAATAACATAATGATGCTTTGGGAGTCATCAAAATATTGAAGAATGATTTAAGGTATGATTGATATAATAACATCTAGCGGTTATTTAACAGGAGCACCATCATCAATGGTTGAATTGAAGGTTGAGAATGTTGCTGACAAATTAAAATAATACAGTCAATTGTTCAATCAAGATGCCATGTCCAAATTTGCTCAATTAGCTGCTGAATAAGCTTCTGGAAATGCTGAATTACACGCATTAGGAGAATCTGATGCTTCCACTAGTGGAGATAGACAACCAGGAGTTAACGTTGGATAACTAGTTTATAACGCTTTGAGTGACTTAGAAGATCAATTAAGATCTGCTCTTGCTGCCTTAGAACAAAATGAAATTGCTGGATATTATCAATTGGCTGATTGGTTGGCTGACTCTGAAGCTGAAAAGGTTCACCTTTAAGACGAAATCCAAAGAAAAACTTAACTCCAAGATAAGTTGGTTGTGGTAATGCTTTTCCTCTATAATTTTTTAGTAAGAATAAGCTGCTCTTGCTGTCTAAGCCAAGGCCAATTCAGTCTTAAAAGATTCATAGAATGCTATCAATGCTGCTACCGCCAGTCTATAAGAATTGAGAGATCTTTATGAAACTGAACTCAATAGAAGAAATGGTAATTAATAATTTCATTATTTTAGAGGAAAATGCTATTATTGATGAAGTCATTCACATCTTCAAATAGTAAGTTTTAGAAATGGCTAACTAAACCTCCTATGGCAAAAAGTGATTATGACATATAAAAATTATCAATTTAAACTGAAACAATTAGTCTCATCTTTTATATTAATAAATAATTATAGAAAAACAAACTTAAAAAATGGTTTGTAAATATTTTTAATGGTTTTTCACTTAGGTGATCCCCAAGAAATTGGTTGAACCTACTCAGTTGTTGCTTCAACCTTCCATTCATTATTGTTACTACTTGATTTCCAATCATTGTTTCCACTAGTTTTCCATTCATTATTTCCACTTGATTTCCATTCATTATTATTTCCACTAGTTTTCCAATCATTGTTATTTCCACTGGTCTTCCAGTCATTATTATTATTAGCACCTGACTTCCATTCATTGTTATTTCCACCAATCCTCCAATCATTATTATTACTACTTGACTTCCAGTCATTATTGTTCCCATTTCCTTGCTTATTATTCCAGTCCCCATTAGGATTACCTCCTCCATTCTTCTTGCCATCCTAATTCTATTTCCAATTATCTCCTCTTTAAAAGTTTCCTTTTCTACCATCTTTATTTTCCCAAGGTTTACTTCTATCATTGCCTCCATTTCTATCAAATCCACCTCTTCCATTTTCTTTATTGCCATAATCATTCCGTTAATTATCATTCCAACCCCCTTCTGTATTTCTCTTTTTAAATTTGTTATTTTGAAAATTATTATTTGACTCAAATTTTTAGTTGTAATTATTGTTTGGTTTATCATACTTTCCTGAATTCCAATCAATCTTCCCTTCAGGTTCCTTTTGCTTATTCTCAACGTTATTAAGAATAGCCTTCAGAATGTCTGTTATACTCTTGTTCTCAGATTCTTTGGCAAACTCATCTAAAATATCCAGCAAGGTTATTTTCTACAAACTTGCAAATAGCTTATCAGTTTAGAACTTTTGGTTTCCAGTTTTGTTCTTATCATCTTGTTATGACTCTGAAGGATAGGTTTTCTTTTTTATTGGCAACTAGTTTTCCATTTAAAAATAAATACTTTAAATTTAGTTAAATTAAATAATAATCATTTTTTAGATTTGGATTTGCTCTTCTTCTCTTTAGATTTAGACTTAGATTTTGATTTGGGTTTCTTTGGCTTCTTTTCTTTAGTTTCTGCCCCGGAATCCTTAGTCTTATTAACAGAAGTATCAGCAGTACTAGATTTTTTGACTTTTTATAACTGAGCCAACTCTTCTTTGGTGAATTACTTCTATCCATTGATCCAAATTCCTTTCTGCAATCTCTGATCAGGCCAAATCATCAAACCCTTACCATGCATAATTCCATTCTTCCATCCTCCTTTATATGTTCTACCATCTGGCCAACTGTACTCTCCATACCCTTGCCTTACATTGTTGACATATTCTCCTTTATATGATTTTCCTTCCCCCCATATAAACTCTCCTTAACCATGCATTTTCCCGTCCTTCCATTCTCCTTCATATCTTCTTCCATCAGGCCAAGTTTAAGTTCCTTTTCCGCAAATCTGTCCTTCTTTGAACATCCCTTCAAAAATACTGCCATCTACATACTCCAATCTACCCTTTCCATCCTTTTTACCAGCTTTGAATGCTCCTACATATACATTACCATCCCCTGTTTATTCTCTCCCTTCACCGCTCTATTAATATTATAACTATATCTACCTTTTAATTCTTAAGCCATTTACCTTCATATGATGAACCATCTTAATACACCAAGACTCCAACTCCTTCTCTTTCTCCATGAACAAATTCCCCTGCATAGTAATCACCATTCTAAAATATGTATCTACCATATCCTTAGAGAAAATCATTAAGCCATTATCCTTCATAAAAAGCCCCATTAGAAAATATTTATTTTCCAAATCCATGTCTTTTACCCATTTACCATGTACCTACATAAACATCTCCAGTATCAAGGATAATATATGGTCCTAACATTTCACAATTATTCATATCAACATTGATGTTTATAGGCTCCAATTAAGCTGATAATGCAACTACATGCTCATTTTCAATCTTTAAGATATCAGTGTTTGATGGCACTGCCTTTTCTAAACTAGGCTTATGATTTAGAACTTCTACTTCATTCTCAGGTACATTTTGTTATTAAGACTTGATGAATTATTATTATTAGTTGGGTGCAAAGGACATAATCATTTACTCTCCTCTTGAAGATTGAAGGATGATTTATCTTTCCTAAGGAGGGGGAGGTGCCTGTTATGCTTCTTCAGGATTATCATCTTCCAAAGAGATTGTATCTTCTTGATGTTATTAGAAGAGTGGATTATCAAGCACTACCTGTGATTTTGGTTATTCTGTTTTAGGAGATTGTTATACTAAATTTGGGTCCTCCTATTATTCTGCTTGAACTATTTCTTATTCCAATTCTAATGGTTCTTCTTCTAATTCTTCACATTCTGATTCTGCATCTTGTTTTGGAGTTGCTAATGGTGTAATTTCTGCACTATCAAATGCTTCATAAACCAATTCGACGTTTCCTTACAAATTCTATGGGGAAGGAAGAGGCTGCAATAGAACATCCTTTTCCCCTTTGGACAAGTAATCAACCAATTGCTTATTTGATTCCTATTATTTAGTTGGACTTTTGGTTTTTTCTTTTGAGGATTACCCTTGTGTAAAAGACCTTTCTTATTTTTTCTCAACTTCAAAAAGAGGAGGACTTGCTTGTTAGTTCTTATCTGATGGTTGAAAGTTAAGTGATCTTAACTCTACATCAAGATGTAAGTTAGATGACTCATTTTAAGGATCATATAAGTTTAACTATGAATGATTATGTAATATTTGTACCATTTACTGATGTATTTTTTAGTTTTCTAAGACCTATTGCCTTTATTTTTCTTCAGCCTCTAATTATCTTTTTAGCATACTTTCCTGCATATTATATATATATACCTCTCCGTTGTTTTGTCTTTGCCATTCCAATTCTTGTTGGGGATCCATGTAGACATGTCTATTTTCATAAAGTCTAATTTAATCCATGGTGTTGAATTCCAATTAATGCTATTGTCCATGTTAAACACAAGTTCCCATAATTATATAAATATTTTATAAACAGATATAGTATAAAAATTCAGTCATCCGAACTTTAATATTCTAATTTTCTCATGCTCTTATCAATAAATTGGTAAGCAATTCTATTACTTATGTTTGCTTTGTTTGTATCTTCTGTATTTAACAGTTAATGCTTTGAAGCTAATTTTTTTAATAATTAATTCTTTTGTTCTTCTTATTTATTTTTTTCTTTTTCCTCGAGACATTCAAACTTATTCAACTAGTCAATCATCTCTTACTTCATTTATTTAATGTCTGAATATTTAGCAGTTCGATGAATTAGTTCTAAGACTTCTTATTCATATCTTATAAACTATAATAAATCTCTACTCTAAAAGTTTATATTTAATTCTCCATTATCATAAAATTCATCTATATCCTTATTGTCTTAATTCTATTCCAAAGACTTCAAGAATTACAGGTTGATTTTATCATCTTCATTATCAGTAGCACTTTGTTTTCTCGGATGAGTTATCAATGGCAAACTAAGCCTGTTATTTAAGGGCGATTAAGTGCGTTTGAATGGAGATGCTTAATTTATATTCATATTTGTGAGTTTTGCAAGGGTTTCTTTCGCTTGTTGGAATTATTGATTAATTTCTTCGTCAAAAGAAGACTCTATTGAACTGTCATTTGAAAATGAGACTTCTAATTTGAAAGGAGATTCTTTTCTCTATTTTTTCAACTCAGATATTCTTATTTCCTTAGTTGACTAGGCTTAGTTGCTCCTAATTGAGGGTTATGGAGAGGTTGTTCTCGATAGAGCATCATTTAACTTTACTTTCAATTGATTAAATTGGTATTAGATTCTATCTTTCGGACTCTAATCCTATCTAATTCTTAATTCTGATCCTTTTCTTTGGCTATCTCTAAGAGGAATAGATAGACTTCCATAGTTTTTTTATTATTGATGTATGATTAAAGATCGAGAGATAGAAGGACGAGTATATTCAGAAGGTTTAATTTAAATCATTTTAATTATAAAAATGAAAGTCTAAATACAGATTAATATACATGATATCAAACTTAAGTACTTAGAAAAGTTTAAAATTTTGGGTTTGAGAGTCTACGAGCACCAATTTCCCAACATGATTTCTTTTATTATTACACTTGTTCTTCCATTTTTTTCATTTGCATCTAAAGCTATAATAATTATGGATTGAGTTCTTGAGAATGAACAGTTTTTTTTCTGCCCTGGGACTTCTTTAGTCTTTAGAATGATAAGAAATTCCGAGGCAAAGTTTATTTAGGAAAATCAGCAGTATTCCTATTCATCAACAACTCCTTTGACAGTTTAAAATCACAATATTATTTTACAGGAGTTGCTATTAAAAACTATTTCTGTGTTTAATTTATGCTCCTAACTCTGTTTCTTAAACATCTTATAGGAAAATCTGTTATAGTTGCTGCTGCTGTCTGTTTTGTTTAATTAGAATAACTGGTTTTTGTATTTGTTACTTTCTACTTTTCATCCTTGCCAGAATAAATTGTTGAACTTCGATACTATTGATTTGATTTAAAAAGTGTTTACTGTGGAGACAAATTAATTTCCTGCCAAGGACTTACATCTTCGACATCGAATTCATCTTCGATATAACATTATTACATGTAATTATAAATATTAAAAAATCAAGTTTGAATATCAACTGTTGATAGATAAACACTTCATTTGTTGTTACTCTCTTTCATAACTATCAAGTTTAATGAATAAAATATATATTATAAAAGCACTCATTTATTGATTAGTTTTTTATTAACTAGGCATCTAAGAGCATTTTATAAACCCATTTTATGGCCATGATCCAATTATTGTATATCATCTAAAAAGTGTAATTGTATCTTCATCCTATGAATTTCAAGATCTAGCACAATATATTTTAATTATTCTTATTGTAAAATAAATTTATTAAGGGTTTTATTATATATCGTTATTTCTTGATTGAGATGTAAATCGTTTAATATATATATATTATTTATTCAAATATTTCAAAATATCTTGCATCCTGCATTAAATTCGTGTTCATTAGCTTCATTTTCTATAATTACAATCTCCTCAATGAATTTCTTAGGTAATTCAACTAACTTAAAACCATCACATTTTACATCTATAACTTGGTTTATTAAACATGTCTAATGGTTCCTACTTGTATTGTGATTCAGGTAATTTTTAACCTGATAATTGATATTGTTATTATTAAGTATATACTGGAGTTGTTGGTCTATATACTTATTCATTTTTTATTGATTCGGCATGGATTGAAGGAGGATTTTTAGCTTTAATAGGCTCTACAGGTTTTTGGGTTTTGATTTGATGATCCGAAGGCATGATTGGCTCTTCAGTCTTTCTAGGTCCTACGCTTAAGGATTCATTTGGAAGAGGATAGTTTAAAGTAGTTCTATTCAGTTGTGTATCCAAAGTAATTCTATCAGGATTGTAAGGAGTATATTGAGTTTGACTAAGTTAAAAAAATGAATTACACAACTGATTAATTGGGTTATACTTATGGAATTGATCTATACGATGGTTGATTATCCTTTGGTTATTCGGGGATATTAAAATCATACTTCATTGGTTCAAATTTGTATTATTCAAACTTATCATAAGTTTTAGGTTATTCAAAAGTAGTTTTATATTTATCGAATGAATTCAGTTCATATTTTGTAAATGTGTTGTCTTATTTTGGTGGTTCGTACACAGATTTATTCTGATAGTTAAGTGAACTGCCTATAGGTTCTTGAACTTGAGTGATAAATATATTAAATACATGTTGTATTGTACGCTATGATAAATAGTTCAAGTACCTGACTAAATGTAAGATCCTGTACGACCAGCGTCTGGTTTTTTGTATTCAAAACTTTAGTAATTGAATTAAGTAATTGGCTATGTACTTACTTCTTAAGGTTTATAAGTTTGAACTGTTCTAAAATTGAGAGTGTCCGTTTCTGGTTTCCGATAATCAAAATTCTCTTAAGTAAATTAACGTGAATTTTAAGCTTTCCAAATTAACTAATAACATACAATTCAATTCATAGGAACCTTAAACCCCCAAAGTAAGCTAATTTTGGTATTATTATTTTTAATCTGTTTATTGTGGATCTGTGCTAGTATTTCTAATTGATCTTGTTAATCGCTTAGTCGGTTCTTGTTCTGTGCCTGTGTCAAAAATGGCTCTAGCTGTTCCCATCTTTTGGCTTGTAGCCATGGGACTTTGACTCCTACGATCTATCATATTGTTAATAATTAAAATATAATAATGATGCTAAGATTCATGACTTTCTATAGGTTTTCGAATGTTTCAACAGCAAGAGGGGCTCTCTTAAAAACAGTGTCCAAAGAGTATAAATACGAATTCCATCAATACGAATAAGAACCTACATTGATGAAACAGATCAAACATCTAGGATTTCAATTGATAGATGATCCTAAAACTAATAAAGTTATTCTAAAGAAAGAATTTCCAGCTGCAAAGATATCTATTGAATTCAGAGGTACACCTCCTCCTCTGGAAGGCAAAATGTAATAATTTTTAAAAACACTTTGTCATTAGAAAAATACCAAAGGAAGATTAATCCCTCTCTTAGCATCCCAAATACCAAGACTAAATCTAAGCTAAAACTTAAGAGAAGAAGGAAATCTATGATTTAGGAACTCTCTCTGTGGATTATACGGTCCTAATAGAATCTGAAAAAGGAGAAGCTGTAGCTTTTGAATGCAATACAAGTATAACTTGAAAGGAATGAACTACAGGTAACCAGACTACTTTCATAAATTACGTACAACCAGTCTATGATATCCAAGAGTACAGAACACAATCTAAATATCGTAAATTCATAACCGACTATTCAGGACCAGAAATTAATAAATTAGATGAAGTTAAAATAATCATAAATTTTATAGCAATTAAAGCAATCTTTCTATACTTACCTAGAAAGCTTTGGTATTAATTAATCATTTAATGCATTAATTGAGGCTTACTCCTTAGACAAAGAGTAAAGATCATACATGTAATTCTTGAAATCCATGGAAAAATTTTTAGCAATTTGATAAATTTTATGATTATTAATTATTCTTAATAATTGTTCCTAATATAATATTAATTAATATTAATAATATAATACGCATGTTGTTACCTTATGAGCACACAGGAAATAAAAAATCAAACATTCTACTGATTTTCTTACATGGATTTCCAGATTCAATGAGATTATGGGATTGTATCTATTTATTGCTAATTTAGAAACAATAACAGGAATTCAGAAATAGGATGTTCAAATACTTAACATATCTTATCCAAATTATCATCAATCCTAAAATTTAAAATTTGGATTAGACTTCCCAGAAGTAGTTAAGAGAATTAGATCCACTATAGAACATGTGGATAATGGATAGAATCTGAAAAAATTGTTGATCACTCATGATTGGGGAGCTTTCTATGGTTATCTTTATGACTAGAAATATCCACAAACAGTAGATGATATTATTGCTCTAGATGTAGGGGCATAAGTTGATCTGTCACTCAAACCAGGATTACTTATTGAATCCTACTAAATAACATTTGCCATGGCATTCTTATTAACACTGATACCTATCGTAGGAGAATTCTTTGGAACTCTTTTAGCTAAATTATATATGAAATTTATTCTAAGAATCCCAATTCCACAAAATTATACTGCCAGAATCAATTATCAATATTTCTATTTCTAAAAGAATTTGCTATTTAATTCCATTTTCAACAAGTCGAAGAAGTTCTTATATAGATATAAGCCTTCAGTCCCAGTTGTATTTATATATGGAGAGAAAAAACCTTTTCATTTTCATAGTGCTAGATGGCAATTGACTCTATCATAAAATGCAGATTCAGAATTTATTGGAGCCAAAACAGGACATTGGATCTAAGTCGAATAGGCTGATCTTGTTATCAATAAAATAATTGATAGAATAGCAAGATTAAAGAAATGAGTTTAACAATATTAAAAACAACAAATAATTTATCATATTATTATTAAAATTTAATATTTAATAGATTATAAATAAGATGATTGATTTATCAACAATTAACAATTCTTAATCCCATAATTTGTGGTTCAGGTTTAGGATCATAAAATTCAGAACCAAGCTTTGCTAATTCTTGAATATCTTTTTTAAAATCTCTCTTCTATTCCATCATATCAGCTTCTTCTACACAGATGTCAGTTATAATATTTTTAATTACCGGAGCAAGATAAGGTAATACTACTTTTTTAGTGACTGCTGGTCTTCTGATTTACTTAGCTTTTTCTAAGAATCCTCTTTTATCTTGGGCTTCTTTCATTTTCATTTTGACAACAGAATTCCCCCATTTTTAATTAAAGAAATTCATTTGTTATTATCGAAGACGATTTCTTAATTATTCAGCTTAATTATGGTAGTTCTTATAGTAAGTTTCATATGAGACCGTTGGTTTTTATTCAAATTATTCTAATTTTAAAGAAAGCCTGTCTTTGCGATAACTATCTCTCAGACTTTCATTGAATTCTGTTCTTACTCTTAAATCTTCATATTGGCTGATTTCCTAAAATAATTAAAGTTATGGATATTCCTTCATGTCAACATTTTTAAATTTATCTTTTAATATGGATGACAAATTGTCAACCTCTCTGCAAAGTTTGGGTTCGTATTTTTCGAGATTCAGATGAGTTTGAGCCTTTTATAATAGAGCTACCTTATTTCGATATTAAGTCTAAGGAGGTTTCTCTTCAAACTTGAAGTAAGCAGGGTATTCAGATTTCCATTTTTTGAGTTTTAGTTTAGTTTTAATGAGAGTTTATTAGCTTTCAAATAATGCTTATCTCTCTGGAGTTGGTTGTTCCTTGTTCATGTCTTTCAGTAAATCGGTGACTGTGAAAAATGTATCTAAGTTTTGAAAGTCTTTCATCCCTTCATCAAATCGTTCTTCTTTGTTTAATGATTAGATTCCAAGTTTTTAAGTTATCTTTTTAAACCTTTTGGATGTAGCTTTAGGCTGTTCTTTCTTAAATTCCATGTTAAAAATTGTAATAAAATTATGATAATAAAATTTAATATTCAATTGTTTCACTCAACATTTCTATGTTCATTGGATGTTTAAATATTTTCATATGATTGAATGATTTATTAAATTTTCTGTTTGTTGGCACTGATGTTTTATTTCCGTTATGTTTTTTATTACTACGAAGAATCTTTCATTCCAGGAAGAAAGTCCAAATAAGGAGATTAAAATCTAGCACTATCAAAATTTAACGTTGGTATATCTTCTTTTCTATTTCCTCTAACCTTCATGGACTCTCCTCTAAGCTTTCCATTTTTCCTATTTTTTCTATCCGGAGACTGTTTACCACTTCTGGTATTTACTTTGATTCTTTTAGATTCCTTGTATGATTTTTCCTCCTCCTCTTTGGATGTCTTCTGACTATTGTTCCTTCTAGCCACTGTTCCAACTTTGCTTCCTGTCCCAAATTTACTTCCTAGACCACTCCCTAATGATTAGTTCACAGGAGATCTATTATTAATATTGCTAAGAGGTTGTAAAGGTAAAATTTTAGGAGTTATTCCTCGATCAAATTCTGCTTCTTATAATTCTTGATTGAATGAAGATTTAAAGTTGCAGGCCTCCTCTTCGTCAGGTTCTTCCCATTAATGAGGAATTTCATTTCTTTAGGATAATTCTGACCCTATTGGACTAATGTTTTTTAAGAAATCAATTGGATTGAATTGAGGAGGTGGACTATTAGCATCCTCCTTAAATTAAATCAAATCACAATTAATATTTTCTTTTTGATTTTCATCAAAGTCTTGATTCTACATAAAGATCTCCTGTTCCTATAATTTATTGTTCTCTTCCTGATTTTACTTATTTTTCTAACTTGAATAGAATTGAGGTCTAGGCAAATTGGGTTTAGGAGATCTGTTGGTAACTTTAGAATGATACAATGCTTCTAATTTTACTCTCTAAACCTTTTTCTTCTTAAATTGATTGTCTTCGGGTTAAGTATCCATTTCAGTCTATTAATTTAAATTTTGCTTATTGTTATTCTACTCAGTATCTAGTGCCTAGTCAGAATCTAAAATTGGCAGTTCCTTTACATTTTCTATTATATCTAATTTGGTATCTTCAATTGTTCCAAGATTGGCCGATGTAATTCTGAGGATTTAGTGTTTGTTTTGTATCAAGTCATGAGTAGAATTATGGTTAAGAATGTTTAAATTGGATTGATCCTTACTCATTCCACTAATATTGACATGAGTATCATTCATTATATATTTCTATGGACTCTTGGAAATCAACATCAAAGGTTTATAAAATTCTGCCAAAATTTGCATTTCTGTATAGACTTAATCAGGTCCTTACAAGATCCATTTCTAGGTTAATCTCTTAGAATAGATAAAGCAGAATGAAACTCTTATAAGTTATTCAAAGAGTAATCCATAGAGCCAACTGAATGTAAATTCCCAATAAATGTCATTGATCTAAAATGACAATAAAAAGCTTAGACCAAAAAATGTTAAGCACCATTTTGGTTGAATGTTATGTTGCAACAAATTATTATAGGATATGAGATTAGGATAATAATTTTAAGTAGTTTTAATTATGTTCCCAATAAATTCTGATTATTACTCATCTCTTTATTTATCTATTTCTTCATTTACTTCCTGATTGGCAGCCCTATTTATTTTAAATAATTCCCTTAGTTTTTCAAGTTTTAAACAGGTTTCATGCATATGCTAATCAAGATTTTATTTTGGTTTATAAAATATACTAATCATCAAATTTAAACCGCTAAATATCACTAAACCTGCTATAAATACTCCCATATTTTATATTTTAAATGAAATGTAGGCTGATAATTAATAAAATATAAGTGGTAACAATAATAAATTCCAATGAAATTATTAGTTTCTACATGTAAATAATTGCCATTCTTTCTTGAAAAATGTCACAAAATGAAATAAATGAGTATAATTTAAAAGAGTATACTAAAGAAAGAACTTTTAAAGAAACCAAAATTATTAAATGATGTGTTCATTCCTTGGTGTGGAAATCGATTATTATTCATTATCCTATTCATTAAACTATGGCAAATCAGTGATCTGTTGATCTTTTAACACTTTTTCCCAAAATTGTTTTTTGTCTAATCAATCACAACATATTGTACTTTAACTATAATTGATTGGTGTTTGTTTTATAGGCATTTTTTTCTTAATCATCATATAACATATGAATATTAGGATATTCTCTACCATCATAAAAATAGCTGAATTCGAATACATTTCTCTTTTTTATTCAAATTTAAATTGCTTAATGAAATAAATATATATATCACATATTAACGATAATAAATCAAGAAATTAGAAAATAATAATTTATATACAATTTCAAATCATGAAACCCTAAAGTATTTCTATTGTGATATATCGAATTCAATAATGGATTAATTAGTGCTGCTAGATTTATAGAATGGGGTTAGGCGAGTTTTTTAAATTTGTCTTCTTATTCTTCTGTAATTAAAGATTTACAAGGTAAACTTAAAATATCTGTATGGGATTGAAGTATTGATTTATATACATAAATATAAGAAGACGATGAAGGAGGAGTATTAAATTTATCTTAAGTTCTCTATTTAAGAATAAAAACGACAATAATCAACAATCATTAGTTCTTTCTTAAAGATTTGCTAAATACATTTTCTATTATTTCATCATCATCTAAATATTCCCTAATTTTAATGGCCATCACTTTCACATAATAATTAAAAGTGTATTTTTATAACTTCAATAACTTTCGAATATATTTTGGTTTTTGATTTAATTCCTTTACCACCTATTTAAAATTGTTATGCTTCATATATATTTCATATTCTTAAATTGAATCTATATCTAAATAATGAAATTGTAGTTAATCAATGAAGCTATCTAACATTTTCCATTAGATTATTCTTTTGGATTCATTGATATTCTTTGGTGGGCTATTATGATTAGAAATAGTTAATTAATTTTAATTCACTTTTACATTGTATTTGTCCTTAGAAGTTTAAATAACAGACTGTCTGCAAAACCCAAAATGATTTTAATTAATTGATAATCTTGAAGTTCTGGTCATCATCTATGGGTTTTTTGGTACCAAATTTATGTTTTTCATGCTTTATTGATTTTCATTAATAGGATATAGTTATTCTTCATTGAGTGAATTAGTCTATATTTCACTTTATAGATTATCCTCTATCTAATCTATTCCATTGATTTCTTAATATTCCTTAATGTTATCAAAGGTTTCTTTTTGCAATACCAATGAATTCTTCTTTTTTAAAATTCCTCTTTTGAATGGCTACCTCTCTTAATATTAGGGATACAGTTCTTCCTTCTTTAACCTAGATTCCATATCTGGTTGATATGATAACATGGGGCATAGGTAAAATATGTGAGATATCTTTTTACAAAACTTACAACAGATCATAAGATCACTGTAATCATTGTATAACAAGATTTTATCTTTGATTTAGTGAAATTTTTCCTAATCTTTTTTAACATCCTGTAGTATCTTAAGAAAAGTCTCCCTCTTAATTTTAGCAATTATTGAGAAACCATTACTTATGGCAGACACTTTAGGATTGAAACCAGTAAAAAATTAAAACTCACCAAACACTTCTCCTTGTTTCAACTACTAAATATTCTATTGGCTTTACTCTTCCATAATATTTACAGAACCTTGATAAACATAATATCTGATGTAAAATAAATATGAATATTTACATTTCAATATTTTGATTGGTATCTTAATGATAAATGTATTCTCCAGGTGTGTAACTAGCTAATTCAATTTTATCAATCAATTCTGATTTGGTCCATTTGGTGAATTAGTCAAAGACTTTAATCTTCTACAAAATTCTGTTGTTAATATTCTGAGAGATTTCTTATTCAATTCCTTTTGGTAATTACTTCAATATTTAGATGGCATCTTTTTGAATTTCATTATACTCATTCTCAATCTGATATTTTAAATAATTCCTAACTTTATCCTAAATGTGATTGGATATATCATTCTTCTTCATGTACTAATTGAGAATGATGGCTCTCTTTCTAATGATATTTCAATAGCATACTTATAATTGACTTTCTTATCATTAATATTTTTGAGTATGATTCCAATCGAATTCATAGAATATGCAAAAACACAACTTGATAAAAACATAGCAATATCACAAAAAATCATTTCTGTCTAATTTTTTGGAGTGATATCACCATATCCAACAGTTACCATGGTCATAGTTGCCCAGTAGAATGAAGTACTATATTTAATCCAGATATCCTGATTTGATAATTCATAATATGTTATCCAGGATCCGTTTTCTTCTTAAAGCAAACCGCAATATAACCAACAACATGCGATAAAATGAGCAAAATAGTATATTGAAATAATTAAAGTGATGAGATCCAATAGATCGCTAGGAATAGAGAGTTAATATAATGTATCAATTAAATTATCGTATTATTATAATATCCTTCCAATAATGACTGCCAACAATATGAGCAACAGGATGGCTCCATTATTTTGTAAAAAGTTCTTGTTGAATGATATGTAAACACATATTATGATTTCTAGTGAATATAGAAATGATGATTGTTTAACAAAATTTTAAAATATAATTGATCGATCTTCTATAATCAGACCTTGTATTATGATTGCTCTATTGAGTGAGAATATGAGTTCGATTACAAGAAAGGCGATTATAAATAGAATAATATGAGCTTGATTATCATCTACATTAGTAAATACAGCCATAATGGAAATTATCCATAAAGCCATTAATTGAACAATGATGCTCATCATGTCAAAGATTTATGAAATTGGACTTGAGGGTGAAATAAGAGGGATTTATTTACTTTGATGGTTTCTTTCTATAAAATTGAAAAACGATTATACTTTTTGAGTCGTTCTAAACAACAGTGTTTGTATACTTTTCTTGCTTTTAAAACTGCTCCTATTATTTCTTAGGAAGTATATAAGCATTTAAGAATAGATTGGTCTTAAATCTTTACACAATCCCCATAGTTTTTGTGACTTTTAAAAATTTAACAATTTAAGAAGTTTGAGCTTTCGGTCTCAATGTTTATTGCAACTATAAAATATGTTATTTATCTAAAGTGTTGAAAGAATTTTAGTATGTAATCTTCTTCCTTTGCCAATTTTAAGGCGAGTTTTCTCTAAAGGGAGATAACAATTCTTCTGATTATAATGAAATATTGGATTCAGGTGTCTCTTTATAACAGACTTTAGCATTTGTAGTTTATTGTTTAGGTCCGAAAGATAAGTTAAAGTTATGAATCGCATTATCTTGCAACATTTAATTTTATTTTTTATAATATTATATCAAGCATAATTATAGGCTCGAGAGATTAAGAAATTACTTTTAGATTTGTACATATATAATGTATTCCTTAGGATATAAATATTATTAAAAATCACTTTATAATAATGACACTAGCAATAGACATCAAATCACTTGATAAAAAACTAATTTAGACTTTATTTGAGAAGGAAACAATAATATGAATTGATAATTTCTTAAGCATGGGCATTAGAGATGAAATTGGAAATAAAGGATTTTCTATTCTGACTTTGAAGGGGAATTTTCGCTTTGTTTCAATTATTCTATTAGTTCTAAATACAATTAGACTTCATAAACATTGATATCAGGCATATAAGAGATGAGTGGAATAACTAAAATATTATAATTACATAATTAAGGATTGTTTGATATTTGAAGTCATTGACTAGAAGACAATGTAATAATTTACCTTGAGTATAATAGTTGTGGCTAAGACGAGAAAACTTTTCACAGCAGCACTTAGTGTTTGAAGATAATGAATCTACTTCAGTTGAGTTAATTTTAAGATCAGAATCTTAAAAATTGTAAGATTGATACAATATACCAATAGATTTGTAAGTCATTATGTAATTAAGAAAATAAATAATCAAAAAGAGAATTTCAAATTTTGTGTCTTCAAAATATTGGAAAAGACTAATTGAATTTTAGTTCTGTAGTTAATTCCTTTATAATAAGAAAAAGAAAAAAGAATAATATTGCATTAAATGTATATCAAAGAATATTACCAAAAAAGCATTAGGTCTAAAACTTAAAAAAATTAGAGATATCATATAGTTTATGATTTAGAGATAGTGAATAGATAGTGTGCTCAATTAGGAACATTTAGTAAGAGAATGAGAGTTACTTGAGTAAATGCTAGAGATAATATAAGGATTGATGTAATTAAAGAAAGAAATGATCATAAACCTTATATGCCAACAAATAATCGGAAGTATCAATTCTTGGATAGAAAAGAATATTTATATTGAATTAATCACGAAAAATTAAAGGATGGTTCCATGCAACAATATGAATTCTCCTTATCAGTAGCTTTATTTACCAATGTCATTCTGATAACGCTTATATGAAAATATTTGACAAAAAAGGTTATTGAAACTAGAGAACATTGACTTATCTAATACCTTAGTAGTCAGTAAATTGGATGAAAAAGTATTGTCATTTTCTGTGAATACAAAGAAGATATTCTACTTAGTACAGTGAAGTAATGTAATAATTTAGTTATCACTGTAATTTAAATAATAAGTTTAATGCTGTAGAATTTAAGATAAATCATATTAAAATTGATAATCAGAGATGATGAGTAGGAAGATTAGTAGTGATAATTGATTGAATTAATATTAATAAATAAATAATATCATAATTCCCCAAATATTCTTGTTACTATTTTTTATTGAGGTCTACTCTTTAAAAATGACTTTTAGCCTTGCTTCTAATTATTGAAGCTCATTTAACTAGACATTTTTTTAGGACTAGATTCATTTGATTTATTAATGTTGGTATAAGGAAATCTTTCTGCTCTACTTGCATTTGGTGTATATAATTAATCTTTGATAAAATTGCTTCTTAGCTTTTTGTGACTATCGGGAGATTCAGCTTCTGTGTATAATTACAATTTAGGGAGTTCTATTTAACTATTTGTTCTTTTTATTTTGATGTTAGTATTAGATCCTTTTTTATAAGGATCGATGCATATAATTTATAGAGATTTTTGTTGTTGTTTCTGAGGAGAATAAGGAGGATTTGATTAAATTGGAAAGAAAAACTATGCTGTTTTATCAAAATCTATGGTTGAGCAAGTGTTCATAAATAATTATTTATTTCTTATTTATTATATATAAGCTAATTATTGAACAAGATATAGAAGAGTAAACATCTATAATAAATTGATGGATTTGATATTGTTAATATAATATTACTACTCCATTCATTGGTATTTTGGAAGTTCATTATCATAAATGAAACTATCGAACATTTCAAATCCATTTTGTCTTTGATCTTCAGGGACCATCTAATTTAAATAGATACGAATAACTTACATGTCCAGCTCCTCTTACGACGACGAACTTCAAGTAATTATATTAGGTGATCCAACCGGCCAAATCTAAATCAGTATTTCCCCATGGAGTCCAAGAATCCAATTCTTAGATTCCTGGTATCATATTAATAGATTATTCAGTATCTACAACACTGACGATAGCATCCTAATCACCAGAGTAGATTAAAATTCTGACTCCTGATTAACTTAAAATTGGAAGTATCTAGTAACTTCCGCTTTTACTGATATTGTAGGCTTGATTGATTTCCATATTGCAAGCAGACCAAAAGTAGGGTCTTTCTAAGATGTGTAATGCTTCTTGGACTTCAGCATTATTGTAATATTCAGTGATGGGTCCGAAATCAGAACAAGGAGCACCGCTATTTCCTACCTTCTAGAAGTTGTTTCCTTCATACCAAGACACATATGGGTATCTGATTTACTTGCCTGAATTAGTTTTTGGTTTCAAAAAGTCAGGAGTTGTATCATCTTTGCAATATCCATAAACATTATAAATATTAATGTTGGATCCTAGGCAGACTTCCTCAAATTGAGATTGTGCCAATAAACATTTGATAGAGTTTGGGCTCACACTGCATATTTTTCTAATTGTGTTTGTAGCAGTGGGAGGCATGAAATTTCTTCTAAGGAAGTACTCTTGTAAAGCTGACCACCTCTTCTATTAATCGGATACCAACAAACCATTTCCAATCAAGATACCCTCCAAAGGTATTTTTAGTGAGGCTGATTTATTTCCATCCACAATAGCTTTAGCTGTATATGGAATGTACATTCCTAATGAGTATTGAATTTTTAAGTACCTGCATATGATTCACCTGCAATGAAGAATTTGTTTCTTTGGAATTATTTGAATGCTTAAAACCAAGCCAATATAGCTTAGTAATTGTCTTGGCCAGAATTCTCATCATTGTATGCATATGAGTCATCTTTATTCAATGAGAATCCTACTCCTGCAGGTGACTCCAAGAATAAGAGGTTGGCTCTGGCATTCCAAGGATAAGGATTCTTCTTGAATTATCTATCATCATCAACCATCACAAATGGACCAATTTCTTCATTCAATCCCAATAATGAAGAGCATCCTGGTCCACCATTCAACCACAATACAACAGGATCAGTTGAAGGATTGCTTTGACTTTCAAGGAAAACATAATGCAATTATCTACATCATTATTCATCATACCTTAATCCTGTTCCAACTGGTAGATATCCTGAATAAGAATTAAAATTATAATCTCCCCATCCTGGAAATACGGTTTTATCAGTAAGAGGGTTAACAGCATATACTGTTCCAATGACAAATCCTGCGATTAATAATGACATCATTATTATTATTTTATTAAAATACTATCGATTCAAATATATCATTGTTTCATTACGATCATCATTCCGTAAGTAAACATAATTTATCTTTATGTTCACTAATTTTATCTTATTATTTTCTAATCATAATTTCCAAATTCCACTAAATTACTTTGTAATTATTTTGTTATGCATTTTTAAAATATAGAATTTTTTAGAATTGAACATCCACCTTCTCTTTTAAACTCTCACTCACCCTTCTCCACCAGAGTTATTTGAATAATTAATTAAATCTTAATACTAATTAATATTATTTGCCAAATGAAGAGAAAAACATACAAGAGGGAATATGAGGTCGAATCTATTGTAGATCGTAGATTTGATGAACAAACCAAATCCTATCTCTATTAGATCAAATGGAAGGGCTACCCACATTCTCAAAACACTTGGGAACCTATTGAACATTTATAAAATCCCCATGTGAAAACAATGGTGAAAGAGTTTGATTAAGCCAGAGAGACTGGTTCTTCCAAAAAATAAATTAATTTAGAACTCCTTAAACAATGTTTGCTAAGGAAACTCACAGAGTTTTTAATTAAAAATGCCCCTCAAGAAAATGATTTACAGGAAATTATTTTAAGTGATTTCGGCATGTCATCAAACGAAAACAACTCTAATTTTATAATGCCTAAATTTAAAGAGGATACCAAATAGACCAATAAAAAAATCAATCAATAGTTCTAAAATGCTATAAATTCTTTAAATTCCAATTCTTGAGTATAATTTTTAAACTTTATCGATAAATGTAATATATTTAATAAACAGAAATTATAAATTTAGTCCACTATAATCTCTATCTCATTTCCTTAATCTCTATTAATTAGACAGTTCAAATTATTCTAACAATTAGTACTCACTATATTAATAATGTAATATTTGCAATAATTAATTTATTTCTGAATTAAGAAATAAAATATTTTATAATATATGCAAGGAAAATCTCAGAGAGAAGTTGCTAGCCCAGTGGATCTCAACTCATCCTACATTACTTAATCTCAAAATTAGGTTATATTTAATGGATTGACTCTAAAACCAAATTCTCCGAGAACAGTTTTAGCATGCCAGAAATTAGGAATAGAAATGGGCATTTTCCAAATTAAGTAATAAGTTGCCCCACTTATCGTTTTAGAGATCTCAACCATTTTCGTGCGAATGATCATAGCAATGATGAAATAGTTCAAATAAGATATGAGCATTACATTAATAAAACTCATTGTAAAATTCAACAATTATTTTAGAACTATTGAATGAAATATTTTAGAAAAGAAAAGAAATCATACAAAAAAATAGATAACGCCAATTATAATGCGCGTCGATGGAGTCTCTCGAAAGATCGGTTTCTCTTAAATAAGGTTCTACTATCGATTAATTAGAGTATGTCATTCTAGTTTATTTATTATTCTAGACTGAAAAAATAAATGGATTATGCTTACAATAAGACATTATAATATTTATAATAATAGGATTTAGTTGAGGGGTCCATTCCATAGTCTCTAGGGGAATTTCAAGATGTTGCAGAATTAGAAGGAGGCCTCAATAAAGAATTGTCAAGATATAATAAACATAAAATTCAGAAAATAGTACTTAAATTAATTATTTAAGAGAGAAGCTCAAATTAAATTAGAAGAAGACAAAAAGAGAGTTGAGTTACTAGAGAAAATTCAGGAAAGAGATTAAAGAATAGTTCAAATTATGATTAAAAAATAATAAGAAATGAAAGAGAAATATAGTACGTCAAAGAAAGTTGAAAATAGAAGAATTGACACTCAGGAAATGGAAAGCAAATCTTAACCTAGAGATAATGAAGCACAAAAAAATCTATAGCAATAATAATCGTAAAAGTATATCAAGTATTAAGTGCTTACGAAATCAGAAGTAAAATGATATTTAAAGGGGAGGATTAAAAAGAAAAGAAAAAAAGAGAATAAGCTTTATAGAGAAAGGAAGAATTTGAAAAATAAATTGATATGGAATGCCAAATCCAAATGGCTAAGATATAATAAAAATTAGAGAACAGTGGAAAATTGCAAAAGGAATTAATTTAAAACAAAATAGAAAAAATAAAAGAGTAAAATCATAAGGAACAACAAATTATGAAACAACAAAAGTAACTTAAAGACAAGATATCACAAGATCAAATCAATCAGCTATTAGAAAAAATGGTGCAAAAAGAAAAAGACTTTTAGATTAACTAAAAATCAATTTAGAATGTAGAATAAGAAAAAAAATTAGAAATTAAATCAAAATAAAGGAAGATTAAATCTAATCAAGGAGACATTTTTAAAGATAGAGAGTAAATATAAATTATAGTTTTAGTGAAAAATTAAAATAATTGAATGAAAAGTTTTTGAAGGTCGAGTAATTTAACAGAATGAAAAAAGTAATTCAATTAATCAATTTAGGAAGAATAAGATAATAAAATCTTATTAAAATAAGAATTAAGAAAACTGAAAGAATAGGACAAACAGGACATTTTAGAAAGACAAAAAAGACAGAACGAATACAGAATGTTAGAAATCACAGAAAAATACAGATAAGTTGATGAAAAAAACTAATTAAAACAATATTAAAATGTAACATATAAATTTATTAAATTGTAGACTCTCTTATAATAGACATCGATGCACATTAGTAAGTAAGAAATATTAGAAAGAAATAGAATATATTCTCATTTATAGTAAATGAGTGATAATCTCTTCAATAAAAAAGTTAGAAAGCGAAAGTAATCAATCAAATGATTAAATTAGTTTAAGCCAATTAGAAAAAAATATTCTCACCATTAAGCCTAAAGTTAATAATCAAAAAGAGGATACAGAGTTCGAAGATCATACAAGATTATTAATAACCATGCTTCAAACATCAGATCCAGAAGAAACAATAAAAAATAAATTAAGTAGAAGACATAATTGATAAGTTTTTTTTTCCTTATTTATATTTATATCCAAGTAGTATTGGTCATTTCATATTATTGGATTGATGGGTATATACCTAAGTTATTATTATTTTTTTATTCATCTATGTAACCCATCGTTATTATCATTTATTGGTTCCAATAAAATATATAAATACTTTTACAAAACTCAATTTTTTAATATTTAAAAAATAAAGAATACATTTAATCAAACATAACATTTGTTAGTGGTTGGATCAAAATAACAGTTTAAAATCGGGTCATAGATTATTTTTACAAAATTTTCTTATTCTTTCCTATTCTCTAATATTAATGTAGTTTTCCCTTGTTTTGTGATTGTAGTACATCCTATAGGATTTTTTATTATAAATTCTTATTTTGAAGTATCTTAGTTTTCAATAGCATTAATTGCATTCATGATATTAATTAAATCTCCTTCTTCATTTTATTCTTTATTTTTTTCAATTTCCTTTGCTTTTTATTAATTATTATCTTATTCTATGATTTTTATGAGTTCATCTATATTTTTTAAATCAATTTCATCATTCTCCAAATTCTTATATTTTTTATCAACATTTAAAGATAAATCTAAAAATTCATTATCTTTATTTTATTTTGCCTTTTTCTAAGGTTTGCTCTTTACTTTTTATTCGCATTCCTTTACTTTTGATTCGCAGTCTGTTGAATTATTTTTGGGTTAAGGTTCTTGAATTTTTTATGGGTTTAATGTTAACTTTTATACTTTAGGAATATCATATTATATTTATTTAAGTTTAGCTTATTTAAGTGCATTAGCATTCAACTATTATTCTTAATTGCTATCCACAAACAGTTCCTATTCATTTTGAAATGAGATCAAGAAAGTTTTGGGGCTAGATTCAATTGGATATTGAAACTAGGACAACAACGATTCATTAAAGGTTTGCATTGTAAATATTCTTCGTATAGAGCAAGAACTCTAAACTAAGATTGATTCCAAACTTCTATAACTAGACCCTTTAAATTAGGATACAAATGAAGGCATTTGAATTAAGATGGTCACCCAATTATTATAGATTGACTATGATTGCAAAGGATAGGAGATAAAAAATGGTTTACATTCACTCTTTTTTAAAGAATTCAAAATTATTCTTCTTCTTGTAGATTTTGTATCAACTACAAATAATTCAAGATGTATAGAGTCTTTAAAGTATCCTTGAATTCCAATAATCGGATGAACCAAAGATAATTCAGAATCCTTTCCATGCGGCAATTTAACTTATTTCGTCATTAGTAGGTATGCTGTAATGAATTTAATCTTTACTTTTTAAGACTGAGTTATATTCATAAACAGAGGATTGAAGATCTATCAATTTAGAGTAATGTTTGAGTTTTTCTTTATTTCCATTTGAATTCTTAGCGTCTTTTGAATTATAGACTTCAAAAATTGGGGATTGATAACAATTTAAAAACATAAATAATAATTAACTGTCATTCTTCTTTAATTTAAGAAAGAATATAATGTTTGTAGCCTAATTTACGACTATATTCAATGGTTTTATGAATTGGAATGACTAAAAGAGCTGTACCCAATCCAATTCCTTTCTTATAAGCCATGGCTCTTAAAAATTTGATCCACAATGTTGGTCTTTGCTTTGAAAATTCAACGTTAGCATTGAGATATTCACTGACTATTCGAGCACTTAAAACCAATGGTATTGATAACAAAATTTAATATTGAAGTTTGCTCCATTGTTTTTTATCATATTCATCTTATTGGAATTAGAATAGTAGCACTTTGCCCATCATTTTTTTAAACTCTGATCTTTAATGATCTGTAAGGAATTGCAATCTTTCAGCAATATCTCTTTATGATAGATTATTTAATTATTCTCTTATCTCTCCCATAATTAAATTTATTAATAATATATTACATTTCCTTTCGCAGAACATAGATACTTACAAACATTAAAATTTAAATATTAATCATATTAAAATACTATCAAACTCTTCGTTTAGCAATTACTTATTAACAAAGAAACAAGGGAAAATAAGATCTCCATCAAAAATGATAGCTGCAAAATACCAAATATTATCATTTTTATATAATTTTTTTCGAAATTCAATTAATTAAATTTCCAAAAGCATCCAAAAATAAAGAAGAATTATGATCACAAACCTAATTATATTAAAAATTACCAAAGAGTTGCAGTTTCAAAATTATCAAACAATAAGACTGAATAAACTCCCCCAAATTCTAGAATAATTACTATACTTATCCTAATTTTATTATTTACAATAATTACCTTAATAATTAATTTTTTATTAGAAAGCAGTTTTTTGTGTTTGATTTCCTATCAACTTGAAAAAAGATTATCATCAAAAGTAAATTAACGAATATTAATAATTAAATCAATTCAAATCTTATGAAATCAATTAACACTACTAAATAAGCTATCCAAAATATTCTAGATAATGAATTGATGATCTATACAATTATAGTAATAACTATTTCATACAAACAATATTATATTTTTAGGAAATGATTATGTGATATCTTATTCGAATTATCCAACAACCAAAGTTATTACATAAATAACCAATAATATTAATAAAACGATAATCGATATTTCTTCATAAATAGTAAACAATTCTATGACCAAAAATATTCCTATAACTAATAAAGTAAAAAACTAGAGAGTTGCTAGCATTATCAAAAATCTCATTTGATTTTCTTGAATTGTGAGAATTTCATCAGGCAGAGAAGGATTCTTAATACCTCCTTCAACTACTGCATTTGCACTTATCATCGCTTTTTTAACTGTGTATTCAGTGTTCTTAGCAATTTTATGGATTAAGGGATTATAAGATGGAGCATTTGCCTTCAAAACATATTAAAATTTACATCAATGAGGCTATCTCTTTCATTCATAATTATAAATATAAAAAAATCATCATTCAAACAACTAATTTACATAATTTCTTAACACACTTGTGATAACTATTATAATTTTATTTCAAATTAATCCTTATTTTTATGGTACTAATTACATAGTAAAATTTCCGTAAAATAATTTTTATTAACCTAAGTATTCTATAAAATATACTTATTGATTTTTATACTTTACAAAATGAACTCTTTTAATTTACTTAATTGTTTATCAACAAAACAGATGCATTTATAAATAAATTTTATGATACTTGTAGACGTTTCAATTCCTCATAAATATTGGATTGATTAAAAGTAGATGAAATAATACTAAATTAAAAATGCAATGTTCCCTCTTGAGCAGATTCATATTTATATATAATGAAGATCAATATATTTTTTCATTATTATTCAAATGCATAATACTCATCATCAAAAATAAAAATATTTATATGTTCTAGAATTTACTCTATTACCTTTCTTATTTAAACTTTTTTAGCATTTTAAAGGTGTAATAATCTCTTCAGTAATACTTACAACATTCATCTTATTCATCATAATTGAGGGTCACAAATTTCTAAAGAATCTGATTTGTCAACATTTTAAGAATATATATCTATTTCTAGTGTATATTTCTTTGTTTTTTTGTGCCATTATTTTTTAATTCACCTTACAAGTCAATCATTTGATATTTTGTATTTAATTAGTAGAGCCTTCCTTTTTTTCTTGCTCTACCATTTCTAGCTTGTTAATTGCTTAATTTTAACTCCAATTTTGTTAAACCATTTTCTTATATCCTATCTTTAAGTGTTTCAATCTAATTCTGTTACTCTAATATTATCGTTTTCTATTGGATCTGTTTGATTTTCAATTACAGTATCTGCTAGCTTCTCTATATCTATCGTTTCCTTTATCATTTATTTTATTAATTACATAAATGAATATTGAAAATTAATAATAGCACTAATTGTAAAAGAGAATAAAGGAAAGGTTTGTTTACGAGGCCAAATTTTTAGTCGATTAATGGAGGTATTGGGTTATTAATGCAATAGATCTATTTTCGAACAAAGACACCTTTAAGATGGAAAAATGATCAAGTACACTCTCGACCAAGCTGCTGATATTGTAGGAATCTCAAGAAAAACTCTAGAGGATTATTATTATTGTCTGAAAAAAGCAGAGAAAATAAGTAAGCAATTTAACCTATAGAGTAGTTGATATAAATTAATTTATGAATTGTAAAATGGGAGTAATTCGAAGAATTATAAAAGAACATAAGAAGTAAACTGATGAGTAAAATTTAATGGATACAAACTAATTCTTCGCCTTAGAAGAAGAAAATAAAGAGCCAAGGAAAAATAGTTTTGAATACGATGATTGAGTAACAATGATAATATATATTTGTGTAAACACTATATAGTATTATTAAATGTAAATAATTACGTATTAATATACTTCATATTTCAATCACAATATAACTGTTATCCATTTAATGGGTCACTTCAAATTAATTATTGATTAGAATTGAATTGAATTTGGTTGATCTCAATATTAAACGAATTCATTCTAAATAAGTGTTATATCGCTCAAATATATATAACGGATTTTGTTTGGTTTGAAATTTCATTATGATATTTTCATAATTATCTATAAAATTATTTCATACAATGAAAATATATAAAATGGAGGAAATAAGTTTTACTCAAGTTTTATACAAATAAATTATATCAATATCTAAATTGATCATTTTCTAATTCAATAGAGTAGATAACTTATATATCATTATAGAAATTATTAATAAATCTTATAGTATAGTATTTCCGTATTCTATTAGGTCTAGTATCTACTCCAATCTATATAGATTAAAGTTATAAAGTTAGAAGAAGTGTTAATATTTAATTCAAATTAATACTAAATAAAATGGCTATCTGTTAAACATATGCTTGATGCTTATTTTATATTTAATTATATAAAATTGATATTCTAATTATGGCACAAAAATATTACAAATAATCTAATTTAATATTGATATGCATATATATTTAATCCAATAATGTTAATAAAGGCTTACGTAAACAAAATAAAGAGATTTCACTCTATAACGTTATAAATATATCATCAGTATATTTTTAGTAGAAACTATTTCCAACATTTTTTATAAAATATAGATGTAATTTTTTGATTAGAATCAATTAGATTGAATAGTTAATATGACATTAACATTTACGAGTAATCATTCTATTGAAGCAAATCTATATTTAGAACAGTTTGGTATATCAATATTATAGAATTATCATTTTCATAATCAGGACTAATAAAACTATCTTATTTATTGATAGGAATGAAAGGGGAGAGTGAAATGGAGATGGAAGAGATCATTTTGAATTTATAATATTCGTTAAAATAGCGAAATAAATTATTTGGGGTCATCAAAAATCCGTTTTTCAATAATTCCCTGTTATAAAAGGAAGACAATTGCAAAATTTATTTCATTATTAAAATGAAATCAATCGTCATTTTGGTTTTGGTTGCCACAGCCTTCGCCACAAACTTAGCTGCATTCGAAAAACTCGAAAAGAGCAAGCTCGGAAAGACATTGTTGAACACAATTGCCATCCAAATGCAAACAGGTGAACCACTTGAAAGAATCTTCTAAACCCTCTATGATTTGGAAGAAAGATACTAAAACGATTAAAGAGAAGATGATGCTGAAAACAAGGCCTTCTAAGGTGTCTGTGACGCTGACCTTGCTGGACTCAACTAAGAACTCGCCAACCTCGAATAAAAGGATACAGAATTATAAGCTAGACTTGACGAACTCCAACCAGTCCATGACTAAAAGGTCGGATAAAGAGTTGCCAAATTAGCTGAAAAGGCCCTCCTCTAATCAGTTATTGATGAAGCCACAGCCAAGAGATAATAAGAAAACACAGACTTTGAAGACTAAAGAGAAGAATTCACCTTCGTTTCAAGCGTCCTCGCTGAAGCAAGAAGACTCTTCACAGACAACTTATAAGCCCCAGCTTTCTTATAAAAGGGAGCTAGCGAAGCCGTCCACTATACCCCATAAGTCTTTGCCTAAGTCGCTTCACACTTGAACGCTGCTGCTCACAAGGCTGGATAAATGAAACACATCAGAACCTTCGGAAAAGCCATCAAACTTATGGCTTAATTGGCTGTCAAGGCTTAATAATATGCCAACTAAGAATTAACAGGAAGAATCATCCAATTGATCGACGACTTATAAAACTAATTATAATAAGCTTTCGATTTGGCCAGAAAGACTGAAGACTCAAAGAGATAAGCCTTTGAAGCCTACAACACCCTCTTAACCAGAGACATGAACAAGCTCAACTCCGCTATTGCCAACTTAGAAGCTGAAATCTAATCATTGGCTGACTAACTCGCTGCCACTCACAGCTCATAAGATGACAACACCGCCAGACATGAAGCTAAGACCTAATAAAGAGATGACAGAAGAGCTGAATGCTAATAAGCTGCTTATGAATACTAATAAAGAAGATCCGCCAGAGATGCTGACAGACAAACTGTTTCTGACTTGATTGGTCACTTGAACACCAACATGAGAGACTTAAAGGAATACATCGCCATGAGAGTTGCTGCTGGTGATACTGATTTGGGATAATGAGTATATAACAATATACCTATTTTTACATAACAGCTTTCCATATTTGTATCTTCTAATTTTCAAATATAAATAATAAATTAAATTTAACAAATAACACTCTAGTTAATTGGCGACATGTACACAATGTTCAAAAACAGTAACGTTTATTTTATTATTGCTTATTATCTCATTCTATTTTTCGATATTCAAATAAGCCTTCACATTATTAGGTAACAATTTTCCACTCTCCTCTTGTTTTAAATTACTTATCTTAGCTAAATATAAGCATTGTTCTAATACCTTTTATGGTTGGACAGTCAAAATCATCTTCGATAGTAATTGCAGATATTATAAAAATATACAAAACTTTCATTAATAGTGCCTTCAAATTTGTCAAGCCAAAATATAAAATTAGTATGGCCTAATGATTGCTTTATAGAGTAATCGAAAATTTATTAATCTAATTAATTAAATTAAATGAAAATAGATTTCTATTAGCTCAAAAATTATTTGATTATTATTTAGTTACATTACTTAAAGATGTTTTTTATATCTCTCAGTTATTTTATAAATATTAAAATGATTAAAAATATTAATAACTTAAATATCTATAAGTTTATATAAATAAATTTCATTTATAACCATTCGATGATAATAAATAATTAATTTAAAAATAAATAATAATAGATTACTTTTTGAATATAAGTCATCGTTTCAAACCACTTAAATTATTCAATTATGTTACTTTCTAAGGGTTGAATCCATTTTATCCTTTTACAATATTTTAAAAATAGTTCTATTATACTTAATTTTTTTAAAGTATTGGTTATGTTTAAGGTTGTTCAAATAAATTACCTCCCCTAACAATATTCTATTTTGGCTCTTCTATTTATAATGGTTGAGATTAGTTTATGTTTGCAAAATTATTGGCTTGCTTTTCTGGATTCTTTTAAGCAAATGGAATTGAAACAGAAGAACTAAACCTTGCTTTTGGAGCTTGTTAAGTATTCTATGAAATGAATTATTGTGGAGGAACTTATTATTTTTGAACATTTTAGTCTTATGTCAAACCTGAAGTTTATTTTTATTTAACTTCCATATTTGCCTTAATTTGTAAGGAATTGAATTAAAAAGGTTTTACAATATTTGATGGTTGGTTATTTTAGAATTAGAATTTAGTTAAATCAGAACTTTACAGCATGCTTGAATTTTTTGGGGCTATTTAACTTTAACGATTTACCTAGCTGACTAAATTATTTTAGATTTTGCTGTTGGAATCCAAATATTATTATTATTATTATTATTATTATTATTATTATTATTATTATTATTATTATTATTATTATTATTATTATTATTATTATTATTATTATTATTATTATTATTATTATTATTATTATTATTATTATTATTATTATTATTATTATTATTATTATTATTATTATTATTATTATTATTATTATTATTATTATTATTATTATTATTATTATTATTATTATTATTATTATTATTATTATTATTATTATTATTATTATTATTATTATTATTATTATTATTATTATTATTATTATTATTATTATTATTATTATTATTATTATTATTATTATTATTATTATTATTATTATTATTATTATTATTATTATTATTATTATTATTATTATTATTATTATTATTATTATTATTATTATTATTATTATTATTATTATTATTATTATTATTATTATTATTATTATTATTATTATTATTATTATTATTATTATTATTATTATTATTATTATTATTATTATTATTATTATTATTATTATTATTATTATTATTATTATTATTATTATTATTATTATTATTATTATTATTATTATTATTATTATTATTATTATTATTATTATTATTATTATTATTATTATTATTATTATTATTATTATTATTATTATTATTATTATTATTATTATTATTATTATTATTATTATTATTATTATTATTATTATTATTATTATTATTATTATTATTATTATTATTATTATTATTATTAAAGTTATTAAGGATTAGGTAAGATCACAGATGCTTAGGCTTCTGGTTTTTGAACCATTTTATTGGTATTTGGTCTTGGTAATTGAAAACCAGAAATTGGTTCCTTTTTAGGAACTAGTACTGAATTTTGCTATCCTGAAATGATTTGGGACTTTCCTGAGTTTTAAACTTGAAATCTGTTAACATTTTGAGACTATCCTCTTAAATCTGAAATAACTTTGTAAATGTCATATCGTTTATTAGAATCTATTTGAAGCATATTTAGGAGAAGAGTTTTGTATTTCCTTTCTAAAGGCAAATTAGTATTAATTTTACTGTCAATTTCTTATTAAGTTGTTAACTGTATTTTCCTATAAACTTCCTCTTCGCTATAACCTATTTTAAATAATGAAATACCATTGAACAACGGAATATTGGTCATTAATTCATATATCATAGCTCCAAAAGCCCATATATCAACTTTTGATGTGTATGCACTACCTTTATTGGTTCTGCTCAATTATTCCGGAGCTAGATAGTATGCAGTACCAATAGCCTAAGTTTCAAGTACACTAACATTTTTTATTGTGCCAAAATCACAAATTTTATATAGATCTTATTAATTACCTGTCAAGTCTTATTTCTAAAATATTAATATATTTTCAGGCTTCATATCTCTATGAGCATAACCCAGATCATGAATTTCTTTTAATCCATTTCCTATTTCTTTCATTATAAACCTTATATCAGCTGGATTTATTGTACCTTTGGACTTAATTCTATCATAGAGAGATTCTGTGCAGTATTCCATTACTACATAATAATTATTGTTTATATATTCTATTTCGAAAATTTTAATTAAGTTTTTAAATTCTTTTCCTTTCATTTTGGTTAGCATCTCTTTCTCATTTTCATTCATTTATTCTTGTATCTTTACAGCTACTATTTATTTTGTTTATTAGTTTTAGCATTTTAAAACAATACCAAAAGAACCCTTCCCAAGTTCTTCTTAAATTTCATAAGTTGTTTACTTTATGGCTATGAACTTTTATTCACTATTCATTTTCTATTAAAGTATAATAATTTAAATATTATTAATCATGAATGTTTCTGATAATTGTTTATCATAAATTATTGATAAAATGTCATTGAAATCAGTGTATTTATAAACATCTATTCTTAATCTTTATATTCATAATTATTTTCTAAAATAGTATTATTTAAATTAAATCGTTAAAATAAGAACTTGAATAATGTATTCCCATTAAAAACAATTAATCGACATCAGTAAAATAAAATTAATAGATAGATTCATTAATTCAAACAATAGAGAATTAATTTAGAAAGAATGAAGAAATGTTTTAAACAATATCATTATAAATTCCCTGTGACATTGAGAGGATTGATGCCTAATTATTCATTTAAGAAATGAGAATATCATTAAAATAGCCAAAATCAAATGTTGAAATCTTAATGAAAAAATGTTAATCGATGATTGATAAATTATTGGATGAAGAATTCAATTTGGATAGATTGATGTCTAAATTGAGATCAAAAAAAAGAAGAAATAATAAAGCATCTACAGGAAACGTGTTACAACAAATTGATGAAAACACTCTTAAGGAAATTCAAACAATTAGTAAATGTTAAGTTGCCATTAAAAATGAAGAAAAAAAAGTTATCGAGAAATAAGAAAAATAAGAGAAAGAAACAACAAAAAGAAATACAGAAGTAGATCCTTTTGAGAAATTAGTTAATATAAATATGCAGATTGAATAATGTCTTGGTAATAAAGTATAACTTAACATAGAGTTATTATCAAATTAAACTAAGATGGAAAATTAGAGTGATGTGGAAGTGAAAATCAATAATTTGGAGGAGTAGATTTATAAGTTGACTGAGAATAGAGTATATAATGATGAAAATGTAGAGGTGTACATAGTGTAAAAAACTAATAAGAAAAGAATGCCTAATTTACAAATTAATTATTGATTTTATTTAATATATTCTTTTTTGTTTTTATTTAAATATTGGATATGCAATTATACAGTCTAACTTTACAAAAAAGCACAGGAATACAAAAAGCCATATACGGAAATTTCTCAGGACCAAAAGCCTAAGAGATTGTTGTATCAAAAGTAAAGCACATTGAGCTTCTGAAGATAAATGATAGCAAGTATAATGATGTTATATGATGTTTAGTGGTAAATTAGAGACAATAGCATCATAAGAAGTATTTGGAATAATACGTTCAATCCATTCATTCAGATTTCCTGGAGTAAATATTTTAATAAAATTGTAGAACAATAGAGATAATTTGGTTATTGGTAGTGATTCAGGTCGGGTAGTAGTGTTGGGTTTTGATGGGTAGAAAAACATGTTTGTAAAAGTGCATTAAGAAACTTATGGGAAAACCGGATGCAGAAGGATAGTGCCTGGCTAATACCTGGCATGTGATCCAAAAGGAAGAGCCTTTATGATTAGTGCAGTAGAAAAACATAAATTTGTATATATATTAACTAGAGAAAATGAAAAAATAACAATTTCTTCCCCTTTAGAGGCACCAAAGTCACATACTATTGTGTTTGATATTGTAGGGTTAGATGCTGGATATGATAATGCTTAATTTGCAGCTATAGAATCTGATTATGGGGATTGGTAAGACAAGGACAGTGCAGTTTGCACAGGCATATAAACAAAATTCTTAACAATATATGAAATGGATTTTGGATTAAATACAGTGAGAAGACAAAGATCAGATCCTATTCACATTTCATCTCATTCTCTATTAATGGTTCCCAATGCACCTGATGGACCAGGAGGTGTGATAGTGTTATGTGAAGATTTCTTGCATTATAGAGGGCCAAAGAATTAAGAGATGAAAGTGCCATATCCCAAGAATCAGGGAATGCCTGCTGATAGGGGAGCTATGATAAGTTCATTTGGATTTTATAAATAAAAAGTAATAATCATTAAATATATATCTTAGTCATCCTTTTTATATTTGTTATAATCAGAGTATGGTGATTTATTTGAATTATCATTACAATTCACTAAAGATGAAGTTCATTCAATAAGAATGATCTACTTTGATACTATTCCAGTAGCCAATAGTTTGTGCTTGATGAGAAGCAAACACCTATTTGCAGCTTGTGAAAAGGGAAATCATTGTTTCTATAAATACTAGAGAGAGGAGACAAGCACAAACATTATCTGTACTGATTCTAGCATGGCTTTGGAAGAATAAATATTTTTTAAGCCTTAAAAGCTTAAGCATTTGTCACTGTTATAGGAACTTAATAATTTTAGTTGTATTAGTGATTTAAAGGTGGCTGATTTAGCAAAGGAAGGTAATCCATAAATTTATATTTGTTGTGCTGCTGGTAATAGATCAACTTTGAGAGTTCTAAGACATGGTTTAGAAATTACACAATTGGCTAATACTAATTTGTAAGCTAAGCCATTAGGAATTTGGACTTTAAAAGAGAGGTATGAGGATCCAGTTCATAAATACATAGTGATTTCATACATCAATAAAACTTTAGTTTTGAAAATTGGTGAGAAGGTGGAGCAAGTTCATGATACAGGATTAGAAGGAACTAAATAAACAATTCATGTTGGAACTTTGATTGATGATTCATAAATTCAAATTTTGACGAATGGATATAGACACATTAGAAAGAATAAACCCCCTACCGATTATATTATTGATGGCAAAGTTATTAAAGGAGTTTCAAATGAGAAATAAGTAGCATTTGCTTTGGCAGGAGGTGACGTTTACTATTTTGAATTGGATACTACAAGTGTTTCAGGAAATTTGATAGAGATTACAAAAGATCAAATGGATAATGAAATTAAAGCATTAGAATTGGGCCCTATTGAGGAGGGGAGACAAAGGTGCAAGTTTTTATGCGTGGCTTTGAGTGATTAAACAATCAGGTTGTTGAGTTTAGAGCCTGAATCTTGTTTTGAAAGAGGAGCCATGTAAGCGTTGCCCAGTGAGGCTGAAAGCTTATGCATGATGGAAATGGCCTCTGAGTAGGAAGGTTAATAAAGTTTTACAAAATAGTTATTTTTATTTATAGGTTTGAATAATGGACTCTTAATGAGAACTTCAGTTGATTAATTGTCAGGAGGTTTGTCTGATACAAGAACAAGATATTTAGGAACGAAGCCTGTGAAATGTCTGAGGATTACAGCCAATTAATAATAAGCTATGTTGGCATTGTCGTCTAGATCATGGTTGTGTTATAATAATAGTGGTCGCATATTCATGTAGCCATTATCTTATGATTATTTGGATTATGCTTCGGCTTTTCTTGCTAAGGAATTTTAAGGTATTGTTGGTACTAATTAAAGTACTTTAAGAATCATCATGCCAGAGAGATTTGGTGAAATATTTAATTAGTAGTCATTAGATTTGACATATTCACCTAGGAAGATGATTTTTCATGAACCTAGCAAAGCAATATTCATAATTGAATCAGACAACCGATCCTACAACAATATTTAATAAAAGGTTTAGGAAGTGTATTAGACTGAGGAGTTGCCAGAATAATGGAATCAGATTCAAGCTGAACAATATAAATGGGCATCTTTGATTCGAATAGTTGATGCTACTAAATTGGAAACTGTTAATGTTCATCAATTCTATGAGAATTAACACGCCTGTTCAATCTGTTATATTTAATTTGCTGGTTATCAAGAATAATACATTTGCGTTGGCACAGTGAAGGATCTTGTGAATGAGCCATCCAGAAAATTCAGCCATGGATTCATTCACACCTTTGTTTATGATAATAAGACTTTAAAATTAAAGCACTCAACACAAATTGATGAAATTCCATACGCATTAGCAGCTTGGAGAGGAAGATTATTAGTTGGAGCTGGATGCAATCTAAGAGTATATGAAATGGGAAATCAAAGAATTTTGAAGAAGGCAGAAATCAAAAACCTGAACTCTTTTATCACTTCAATTATGGTCAAAGAAGATAGAATCTATGTAGCAGAAGTGGCTGATTCCATTCATCTCCTTAGATATAATATAAGAGATCAAACCTTCATGGAATTGGCTGATGATATCCTACCAAGATATGTAACTGCAAGTACTGTATTAGATTATCACACTGTTATTGCAGGGGATAAATTTGAAAATATTTTTGTTAGCAGAGTACCATTAGACATTGATGAGGAACAAGAAGAACATCCATATGAATACAAGATGAAGATGGATTAAGGTTGTATGAATGGAGCTCCTTTCAAAATGGATTAAATTTGCAATTTTTATGTAGGTGAAGTCATCACCAGTCTTTAAAAAATTGCCTTAGTGTCTACCAGTTCAGAAGTGGTTGTTTATGGAACATCCATGGGATCGATTGCTGCACTTTATCCATTTGACAATAAAGAAGATATTGATTTCTTCCTCCATCTTGAAATGTATCTTAGAGTTGAACATCAACCTCTTTCTGGAAGAGATCATATGTAATTTAGATCTGCCTATGGGCCTTGTAAAGTAAATATTCTATATAACATTTTTATAGTCTATCATTGATGGAGATTTGTGCGATCAATTTGGAAATATGTAATATAACAAATAAAGAACTGTAGCAGAAGAATTTGATAGGACTCCCGCTGACATTATAAAAAAACTTGAAGACATTAGAAATAAAATTTTATGAATATTTTAATTATACAATAAAATTTAACAACACATTATTCAATTCTCATTTATTCTTTTTTATTTGGATATGCATTGATATTTTGTAGAGATTGTTGGTAAAAATATGAGAATATGAGTGGGTCTAAAAACTACTTATAAACATCGTTTATCTATTAAATTCAAGATATTGAGATTTATAATTTTAGAGTGGGTAAGTGAAACAGACTAAAGCATAATATAGTATTATTTAATATATTTTCATACACTTTTATTTAATGATAAATATCGTAAATACTTTTCATCATTATTCTAGTTCCCGTTAAGTCTATTATTAACAGCCAAAGGATCAGATGTGGTATATATTAAGGAATGATTAGAATAGGTAATTGAAGTTAAAGCTGGAGATACATATGATGGTAAATTAGAATTATTAGATAAATTTATGAATGTGAAATTAACCAATGTTAAACATACATCAAAAGTAATTGTTTCCCTTATTATCTTTAACAGGATGGAAATTCATTTCATGGAATCAAAGAATTGCTAATTAAAGGAAATTCGATTAAGTATTTTAGATTGGTATGAATAGTAATATTGATATTTAAGAATCCTGATGCTGAGAAAAAGGCTTAAGAGGAAGCTGAGATATGTAATTTTGCAATTTAAAATAGACGAATAGCAATAATAGCAAAAATAATAAAAGCAAAATGAATAAAAATAATAAAGAAAAGCTCAAAATTAAAAGTCGCGTGGAAAGTCTTATCCTTAAAAGCAGCCTCAATAGAGAAGATGAGTTATTTGTTATATTATTATCAAATACAAATAAAAATAAGAACATTAACTTTCAATCGAATTCCCCATTATTATCAATATTATCGATAAGTGCTTATTCCACTTGAATTTAATCGTCATCTCCTCCTGCACTTTCAATCAAATTATTATTGTCATCCTATTATTGCATTTACTCATCTGACACAGAACCCCTAATGAAATATAATTGATTATTCTTACATACAACAAGTTTGAACATTCCAATCTTTTGACACTTGAAAATTGAGAACGCTTCTTCCTATTTATATAGCAAGGTTCTTATTCATATCAACTGACACTTAGGTTGGATTTTTCATTAATACCAATGTTCCAAACTTAGACTATTGATCTTCAATAAAAAATTAAGCTATATCAATTAAAATGTAATTTACAATTAGAATATTTGATTATTGCATGCAATCTTGAAACCGAAATATCAGTAATACGAACATCAGAATCATGACCTCTTCCTAATTTTATAAACTTCTTTTATGAAAAACTAATGATGTGTGTTCCTTTGCTTTAATTTCTATCTCTGCTCAAAATCTCTAGGGTTAAATAGGGAGGTTCTGGTTTAGGGAGTACAATTGTTTCATAAATTCTGTTTTAATATTTGATTCTATCTTTTCATAAATTTTAATATTTACTAGGAATGGGAGCTTTGCAGACTTCACATTCGAATTATTTCCATTAAAAAGAAACCGAGAATTTAGTGGTTTTTGGTTGTAATTTATTAAGCAGCCAAGTTTACAAACATATCAAATGGATAAATTTTACTGACCCTTAGCACTTGCAACAATCAATCAAAGGATTATTTAAATCTGTTTAAGCATCGTTATAACATATCCTACATTATGGTTCTTCCGCTTAACTCTATTCATCTTCCTATGTGTGAATGTTCATGAGGTTTAAACTTTTATCAGATACAAATTTCTATAATTCTGGTTCTATGGGCAACTCCTAATTATTGGGGTTGGCACTTGAACAACTGATCTCTCGAATTCTAAATCGAACTCTTCCCAACTTTATATAATCATTTTATTTCAAGGAATAACCCTATCAAGCATAGTGTAATAAATTAACTGCTTAATCATTTTTTTGACTCTTTAATGATTTAACTACAACCCAAGGACTAAAATCAGATAAACCTTCAGTTTCCTCTGATATTTATTGCTAGTATATAGATTCAATAAAATATTTAGTTATCTAACGATTTATTCTTATGAGTTCCTGTACATCTGATTAGTTTTGATATTACTAAAAGTAATTCAATAAAATTTATATATTACTAACAGCTCATCCTTCGTTTAAATAACTCTTATGGCTTCCTTTTATCTGATAAATATCACTTTCAATTATTATAATAAATACTTTTTGACGAATTGGTTTTTAATTACCCTTTTATCACATTTTTATTTTCATAATCGAACAAACCATGAGAATCTCGACTCCATGTAAAGTGTTTTATTTCTCTAATGATACTTTACTATTATTTACAATGATAATGCTATTTAATTAGCATTTCTAACATCATCCTAATTTGAAACACAAGTACCCATATTTACTTTATAAAGTAATTATTTATATATATTAAATGAATTCCTATTTTAAATCATTCATCTGCATTTTCATCCTATCCGTCCTCTCCTCCTTCTCCTACTAGTTTTTTATATTATTTCTAATAAGAATTGAGTTTCTTCTCCAAAGTCGCTCTCTCATCATATAATCGATCTAATTCATTGGTTCCAACAGCTGCTCCTGATGGACTAGCATTCTCCTTCAGAGCATTCATTCTTTCCTTATACCTTCCTTGTCTAACCATTACTATAAATCAGTTATTATTAAAATTACCATAATTATCTTCCCATCCTCTTTCTGAGTTTTTATTATTGGGTTCTTCTGCTTTAGTTTCTTTTCTTTTTTTATTATTTACAGTTTTTAGCACAATTAATTGTCGTTTTGGACATTTATCAGCTCCATCTCCAATCAAATAGTTCTATGGACATTATATGCCATCTCCATCTAGTTAGACACAACTAATAATTATGTGCGGTTAATCTTCACACCATCCACAAGCTGTATCTTTTACACATGACTTTCCTTAAAAATATAAATACATCGCAATCAACATATCTAGCACATTCTCCAGCACAATATAAATAATTATAAAAATTGCACATTGTATAAAATGGAGCTATATTATCACCTGCTACACATTTTTCTTCCATACTGCACCAACCACATTTAGCATTTTTAGTACATGCAGCGCAATCTTTAAATTCTAAACATTCATCAGTTTTTTCATTAGTTGGCATATTATATTTCAAAGATTCTATTTAAACATTAATATCTGAAAGTCTTTTAGTGATTTTTTCTATTTATTCTTCTAAAACTACTTTTGATAATTATTTTGCCATATAGATTTATTCATCTTATTTTGTTGCCTCACATTCCGTGTCATCTTCTTATTCTTAATTATTTTCATTTGAATTTTCTTCTAACTCTATATCTCCGTGTAATTCTTAATATAACTTTTTTGCTTCATCCATTCCATCTCCATCTTAACATTTAATTTGTATTAAAACGAATAAGCAAATTATTATTAATTTAAACATTATTTATCTAATAATCATAGATCTATTCATTTATATTGTTTCACTTTAGAATTTCGATTTATACACTAAGTCTTCCTTGGATGAAGTAACTCGGTTTAATATTTAAGTGAATAGCAATTTCTTATGTATGAAATTTTCAGACCTATTATAGTATGTTGACATTTAGACGAAAACCGATAAATAAAATTTAGTAATTCATTTGAAAAGTGATAATGATTATCATAATTAGAGTTCTATAAATGAATAGAAGGATATAAGTATTTAAATCTTTATAAGCAAATCCATAAAAAATTAACTTACTGATTCTTTATCAAAAAATAAGATAAATGAAAAAAATATAAAATACTAATATTATTTTATTTAAGCAAATACAATAATAGTCAAATAGACTTTATCAAATTTTTCTAATAATTGATTTATTGATTATTATAAAGTATAGAAAAATGATTTATTAATCAATTACTATTCTCAATTATTCATCATTAAATTTGTTACATTATCTTATTGTAATCTTCACAACCTTTTCTTAATGAATTAATCCAACTAATAGGAGCTCTGGAAGCCACATAGTTGACTAAGCTCTATTATAAAATACATATATCTTACTTTTGGAATATCCCCCTTGACATCATTATTTGAACAAAAATACAATCGACTTCCTCCAGGTATAGATTCTAAAATGTAACCTGAAATCAAGGTTTCTGCTCTGATATGCCCTTTGAATTTAGGGGCCTTGTTGTGATCTACACTAAAATATAAAAGACAGGTTTTTCCTGGCTTTGGAAAATCGTATTTCAATATTCTTTTCTAACAAAACTCTCTGTTATCTACACAAGGTGGGCTTTTAACATAGTAATAAATGATGTCTACAATAGCAGATTCTCTCTCCAAAACTTAAAAACTTAATAAAATTTTATCCCATTTCTATCTATACTTTTCATTATGAATAGCTTTCAATAATATATCTATAGAAATTCCTTATAAATCACTATGGCCTTTAACAAACACTGCAGGATTTCCAGGCTTGAAAGTTTTGTAAATGATTAAATTTTCTTTTTTTAATATAATTTCCCATCCATCAATAGGTTCTTCAATGAGTCCAACTAATAAATTAAACTTTTCTTCGAGCTCGGCTGATAGTTAATATGTTCTATCTGAATTTATTTAGTTCTCTTCCGCTTATACTGTCCCTCTATGAAATTATTGGTGTTATTTGGTATGCTCCAATTATAAACATAGAATTTATTGCAATTAGGTCTATTAAATCAAATTTTCTGGTATACATTGGGATCCTCTGTTTTCTGTTTGTTCATAGGCATTATGTTGAGATTATTAAAGTGGTTATTATGGTTATTATTATAATTAATTCTATTGAATAATTAATTGAGATTATTATTTTGAGAGAATTTTTTGGTCATTTTTATCATCATAGGATTTTGCCCTTGCTCTTACTGAATTTTTCATTATTAACGGAACTTAAGCTCGAAACTCTTAATCTACATCTTCATTTATTGATACCATGTCTCCTTAGCTTTTCCTTCTTTAATTACTTTTTGATGGTGATATTTGATCTATATTTTGTTTCTATTATCTATAATTTTATATTTATAAAAATTTTTCCAAATCTTCAATTTTAACTTTTTGATTGAGCTTAGCTGCAAACATTTTGATAAATTCAATTGATAGCTGTTAATCAAAATAACTTTATTAACACTTTAATACTATTTTATTAATTTATAATTTTTTGATTTTTTTAATCAATAATTAGATTACATCATTTTTTTCAAATGATCTTTCATCTTTAAATAGTGTTAGAAAAGGAATTAAAACATCTGATACTGTTTCATTTAAAACAAATGATATCTAAACATTACATTATAATAATAAGTATTACTTCATAATTACTAAATTTTGAATATATTATCTTTTATTCAATTATTTGAATGTATTCCTTACTCAATTTATAACTGAGACACAAAGCATAGATTGATTATTCTTTAGATAATTGCTCTCTTATTTTGTCTAGTAAAGTAGAAGATTCTTTTTGAAATTTTTTATCAAAATACTTGTAATGCAATAGAGGTTTGATCTCAGTTAAAATTCTCTAAACACAAAACCTCTGTAAGTTGATGTTATTCATATACTTGATCATAATCAATTTACCCTAAATTATCAAAATGAAGTTTACCCATTTTAGTAAGCATTTTACTCTGATAACAAAGATATCAAATTCAGTTAAATTTATCCCTTTTGTAGCAATTTTTTTTGAGATCTTCCTTCCTAAGTACCTTCCCAAAATGATGCCTATAGCTCCTCCGCCTATTGCTCCTAAAAAGGTAAATCCAAGGGCCAAAAAGCCAATCACTCCAAAAACTGTCATCCCTAATATAGTCCTAATTTAGTCTTATAAGTTACCCTAAGTTTTAGTTATTCCCAAGTGAAATATTAGTGAAGATGGTTCTATGTTCTAGTTTTTATTAATTATTTAGTCCATATATAGGCAAAAAAGTGGCATCACTCAATAATTTATCCATTAATTCTTTAAGCTCCAGAGGATTATGAATTTTTTTTAAATACAAATTTACAAGTGAAGATAAGGATTTTGGATTTTATAATCTCATGTTAATCATATAATTTAAATTATTATATATTTAATAAAATTTCGGTATGAATTGTGAATAAAGAAATAATTGTTAAATTTCAAATATTATTTTTCTGTTTTGATTAGCCTAATATAAACATTCTGAGTAGTAATTTTTATTATGAATTCTAAAAGAGTGGCGAACAACTACTAGAGATAAATACTGTGAAATCAATATAAGAATGATAAAGACAAATTAGTGAGACAATCTTTGCACTAACTCAATTTGTAATGAAAATAAAAAAATTACTTCCAAGTTAATTATATAATTATTTAATTTATCATAAATTAAATGTCTAGATAAGTAATCAGATTGCCAGCTGAAGTAAATAGAATACTTTATGTAAGAAATTTACCATATAAAATTACATCTGAAGAAATGTATGATATTTTTGGAAAATTCGGAGCTATAAGATAAATTCGAAAGTAATTCATCTTGGTTAGAATATTTTAGAGGGACTCATGGAGATAAAAAAGGAACTGCTTTTGTCGTTTACGAGGATATTTATGATGCAAAAAATGCTTTTGATAATTTATCTGGTTTTAATGTTGCTGGAAGGTATATTGATTATTATTTATTAATTCTTATTTAGATATTTAATTGTGTTATATTATTAACCTTAAAAGATGTAAGAGAGGCAAGACCTTGAGTTTTAGAGAAAGTAAATTGAAAAACTTCGTGAATAATAGCGATAATAATAGTAATGAATTTTATAATGAATTAATAATTTACAGATATTATTAATGATGAACTTGATCCTATTCTCGGAGAATTTACATCTCAAACGTTGACGTCTTCAAGTATAATAAACTCTCCTCTCAAGCTTATAAGGCAGTCTAATGTGATAGAGATTCAAAATGTTCACACCAAGTATAAAAGAGTAATTCAAGAAACTATATAAAAAATAATTCTTGAAATTGAGAAATACTATCAATAACTTATAGAAAGAAATTAAGCTATTAATTTTAAACTTTATCAGAGAATAGCTGAATAAACATCAAATATCTAATAACTGTAAGACATAGTGAACTAACTGACTTTAGATAATCTGCAATTTAGGAATAAATAATATGAAGAAGAGATCACGCAAGAATTCTATGATCCTTAATAGTATACAATAAGGTAGTAAAAAAAAGAATTATTGGAATTATATGACTTAAATGATCAATTATAAAATAAATTAAAAAGATAAGAAAGTGTAAATAGTTAATGGCATGATACAATAAAGAGATAGAATTCATAATTACTTTTTTATGAAAAAAAGGTTACAGAATAAGATTAATTGATAGCTGATTTGAAAACACAGATATCAGAACTTTAAAAGTAAAATACTGAATTACTATTACAGTTCAATACTATTTCGAAATAGTCCTAAAAATGCATTGATCGATAGAATCACCATGAAAGAAATGATATACATTCAAGCAAAGGCAAGTATTCAACTTTGAATTAAAATGAAACCATAGAAACCTAATAATAATCAAATAAAATAGCAAGCTAATTAAAGAATATATATACAACCGATCAAGAAACTACTACTTAGCCCTCTTAGAAATGCATCCTATAAAAAAGGTAGAAACTAATTTTACAATCTTTGGAATACTAAAATTGTAGTGACTTTGAGATCAGTGTTAAAAACAGATAATATTACTAAAATACAATTAAAAAAACAGAATTATTAGATATTTCTGATATCATCAAGCCAAAGTTCTAAAAAAAACCTTAAATCTTAGATGATTTATACTTATACTCAAACAGATAGAGAAATAGTAGTGTCGATCATTATTATGAGCCACCAAAATAATACAGGTTTAACGTAAAGCAGACGTTATAATCGCCTTTAAGTTAAAGGAAGGGTCATTTTTCAAAGAAAAACAGACTTTGTACATTAGAATGATGTTTTATTGTGCTTATTGTTTAAAGAATAAAATAAAATTTTATTTAATCTTATTTTTATAATTTAATGAATTTCTATTTCTTTATTTAATATGCAGTTGAAGCAGAAGCAAAGCTTGAGGAAATCAGGATACTCTTAGCAAGCTAGAACAATTTTGAGCCATTTACAAGTAAAATAATTATAACAAAATTAGCATACAAAAGATTAGATTAGCCAAGAACCGGAGGATTGAGACCGGAAAACATCTTTGAATTTTTATATGACAACGAAATTTAAGTGGATTAAAATGAACTTGATTATATTTTCAAGGTTTTAGATGAAGATTCTGATGGTTTAGTAACTTATTAGGAGTATTATTGTCACATAAATAATTAGCTTCAAGAATGCGATTTTACCTAAGATGAATGATTAAGTTAAAGATTAAGCTTTAAATCATAAGAGTTATGATCTTCCTGTAGATATGTAATTACCAAAAGAGATCGAAACATAATTGTCATAATTTTTTAATTAGATAAAATAAAATTATTTGTAAATTATATTATTATTTCTTAGATAATATTAGTAAATACAAGAAAAAATTGACTTGAATTAATTGGATATTTATGATAATGATAATTAAATAACAGTTGATTCCTTGAAGAATTGGTTGTAATAATAAGGAGAAGATATCAGCAATGAAATCCTTGAGAATTTTGTTGCTATTATTTAAGGATAACAACAATAGCTCTAAAATTTATTAGATCAAATTTATACAGAAAATTAAGAGGAACAAGAATAGAAAGTAGAAGAAAATGTTGATTAAGAATAATAAAATGAACATTAAGAATAAGCTCTACAAGAAGAGGAATTGGAATAGCCACAATAAAAAGATACAGATTAAGATTTAAATGATACCTAAAATAATCAATAAGAACAATAGTCATAAGAAATTGAATACAAATCTTTGGATTACAAAAATCAAAAAAATGACTCTTATGATGATATTGATTATCAAATTCAATAACTAAAGAATAAGATAAAAAAATTAGAAGTTGTTTTAGGATAGAAAAATACATCTCCTATAGGATCACTATTGAAGAATGAATACAATAGAGAGTTATTAAACTTCTCAAGAATGAATTATCAAAGAAAATTCAATCCATCCTCTCCAACACAGAAGAATGATTTGATAAGATAATAATTAAGGTTAGACGAAGAAATAAAATTAGAAGAAATAAAATAAAAAATCCTAATAACATAAATAAATAATTCAGCCAAAATTAATTCTTCTGGATTTTATTCAAATAGATTGTAAAAGTAATTAAATAAATTTATGTTTTAGTCAAATATTCCAAAGTCCCCTTAATTAATCAAAATCAAAGTATATATCTGATAATTCTGGAAATAAAGTAAGATTATTTATGATTTTTATAGTATATTGGCAGTAATAGAAAGCAGTATCCAAATTTCTTCTAGAAATCAATTAATTTTAGCAATAGAAAATTTTGAAATATATAAATAATATTGTTTTTTAATTTTATTAATCTCATTTTTCATCAGGTGTTGGAAAACTCTTTATATCAAGAACAAATCCCTCACCTGATTATTCGTATTGATTCCCATTTGAACTATAATACTAATTATAATGAACTTGTTATGAATCCCTTTATCCAATCTAAAATATAGCTCTATTTTAGTTGTTTCTATTTCTTTATTATCCGTATTAATTATTATAATTATTATATTGATATCTATTATTGTTGTTATTTTAAACGTAATGTTATTGATTATTCCATTATTACGATGGTTGATTGGGTTGAGTAGGCTTGTAAGCTTTAGTTTGATCAACTGCTGAAGGTTCCATTGCTTTTAACTTATCCAAGGTTCCTTATAATATCAATTGCAAATTGTTTTAGTATTATTCCAAATATATCCACTTTCCAGGAGAACCCCATGAAATCATGAGACTGGGTTTTAAATAATTTTACGAATACCAAATATCCATATTTTTGGTTGGAAACCCTCCTTAAGTCTAAATAAAAAATCCAAATTACTTTGTTTGATTTATCAATATAAAACCATAATGATTCATTAATGTCTTTGTTGTGTAATTGAGCTTGAATAGAAAATGGCGAAGTTTTAATTTATTCGTTCTTAAAAAGAACAGAAGGCAACTAATCTACAGTTTTAGAGTTCTCATTATTGTTATTAAAACCCAAAAGTTAATTTAATTCATCATCACTAATACAGGCTTCTTTAACTACTTCTGCTGGTTTATTATTATTATTTTAGATTTAGTTAGTTAATTGTCGTTTCTCTATATCCTCAACTGTCAGGATATTATGATTGATTTCCACAGGAGTTGATTAGGGTTCAATATTTGTAGAAAAGAGTTCAAAGAGTTTTTATTTAGTTTCGATAGCAGCTTATGATTATTTTAATTCTTATTCTCTTTTTTCTCTGTACTTCTATTTTTCGATTTCTATACTATTAATAGCTTCTTGTTAAATTTGAAATTCTTATATCTTTTATCTTTTTTCTTCCTGTTTTTTCTCAAATGTACCATGATCTTTTTGATATTGTTCCCTTCTTTATTAAATTTCATTTTCTATATCATTTAATTAAAAAGGGGCATTGAATTATGAGTCTTGCATCCATTGAGGTTCTTCTTCGTCACTGTGATTGCAATGTGATGTCTAAGAAATAGGTTTGAATGGTTTAGTTGCAAATAATTATGGTATTTTTTTGGTCAGGTGGACGATGTCTTCAGGAGGTTATAAATATTCTCGATAAGCTGAAAGTAATAATTTTGCATCATAAACATTATTTTAGGGCTAACATATTTATTATTTCTCTAATAATAATTATAGGATAAATACATTCATATTCCACTCTCTTATTATCATTTTAATAATGTTATCGATTGTTGTAATATTTTTTGTTTCTTGAAAATCCATCGTAATTGTTATTATTTGACTATGACTAATTAATTATTCAATTACTTTTCTATATGGTTAAGAATCCTTTTTTTATTCCTATTGATCCTTAGCAATATACTAAACTTGGTAATGATATGATTTCGACATTCTTTATATTTTATTCTTTTTTTTAAATATAATTAGAATTGCTAATTAAAATTTTATTCATTTCATTCTCCTTTTTGTATATTAGTCATTATTCCTATATTGCTAAAAATTTTGCAATTCAAATATATTCTTAACTACTTCATATCACATAGTTTAGCAAATATTAATTAAAGAAAATCTAAAACTTTTACTTCTTTTTAATTTTTGAAATGAATATTTCAGAATATAATTTAGACATTTCTATATCTCAAATTGTAATTTTTGGATTATAAAACTGCAAAAATAATTATTCAAACAGGTGCATAAAATTACTTATTAAAATATTGAACTAATACAAAAATTAATTAGCCAATATTGTATATATGTTAAATAGCTTTAACAATTGCAATATGGAATTTCTAATTAACATAAATTACTATTTCATCAAATTATTATATCTTTAAAATTAGACTGAAATTTAGTCAAATTACTGAATAGATTTTACAACTTAAAATTAAGAATAAATTCAAAAATGTTAATTGTAACCAAAAGGAAAGATAATATTGACTACAAAGTGCCACAAAATTTATACCCATAATTTAACGCAAATCTAGAGTGGTCTAAAATCATAACTATTAAAATATTGTTCAAACTAAATTATTAATAAACTTAAGAAGAAAAAATAATCATTTTAGCTTAAAAATAAGCTATTAAATTCGTTTATCCTAATGTTATTACTTTAACAATATATGCTAATGAGAGGAATTTTTAGTAATAAAATATATGGAAGATTCATAAAGCTTATTGATGCAAAATTTAGTTTAAGAGAATAAAATAGTGAATATAAATGTGTTATAAATTTCAAAGTACATAGACAAACATGGAAGAATATTAATATAATTGAGAAGAATATCTGGTTTGTAAATTTAAAATGCACCCTTTATTTGATAACTCAGTCATTTTTGTTTATAATATTGACAATTAAAGTTAAGAAGAATTAAAATTACGTTTTGATTAATTTGTTGATTGTAATTTATTAAATATAATTTTTTTATAATTAATACCTATTACTACTAGTATCTTAGATTATATTTTAATGATTATTTTAAAGTGAGAACAGCCAATTAACATTTATAGCAGATAAATAAATTTTAACGTAATTTCTTATTATGAACTAATAGGAGAAAAGTTAATTATGTAAAATATAGACTGAATTTATTTTATTAATAAAAATAATATAATATTTAACTCCAATGAATGCTGATGATTTAAGAAATAAACTGAATGAATTAAATAAGAAGCAGGCTGACATTCTAACGAAAAGAAAGGCAATAATAAATGAGATCAAAAACTTCTCATTTCAGTATATTAATTAGCTATATTAATTAGAAAATAAGATAACAAAAAGGTTAAATTAAATAATGGAAAGGAATAGGTATAAATAATTGTATTGATTGTTTAGAAGGTATTTCAAATAAATCTTGTGGGTGCAAAGGAAGAACGCGCAGAAAAGTAAAAGTAGCTTGATGAACAAGTACCCACAACCTTGAAAGAGAAGGATAAGCGTTTAGCAAAATTCTTATTAGGAAACCATCTCTAGAAGGCGAAATAAGACTTGATGGGTGAGAAATAAAAAGTATTTCTACTCTCCCCTATTATTTAGTTGGATAAATAGATTGAAATAAATAAGAGATTAGATGATAAGGATAAATAGGATATTTAGACTCTGAAAGAGGATTAAAATGTAATTGTTCTTTGATAAATTTTTCAGAAGAAGAAGAGTTCATTAGTCAATGAAAGAAAGTAATTAGAGCGAGAGCTGGCTGCAGATGAATATAAAAGATAAGTATTGAGTTATGCTATTTTAGGTTCTATTACTTGAACTATAAATTAAAATAATGAGAGATTTTTTTATTACTAAGTAAATTATTTGATGATCCTTTTAGAACATACCCTCATATTTTATGGCAGCCAGCTAAAACCAATGAGGGTATGAATCCTCTAAAAGAATATAGCACTGAAAAGTTCAATGTAAATTATTGGTTCTAGGAGTATAGGAAATGGAGAAAGATTTGAAGGAGTAACTGTTGAGTGCTTACACTAATTTCACTGAATCGCAATATTAGAAATTGAAGGAATAATAAGTTTAATAGGAGCATGAGAGTTCGTAATCGGAAAGTGAGGAGTCTTAAGAAAAACAGAAGGAAGAAGGGTAAGAATGATGAAAAATTATAGGTAATAACATATTAGATTTAGTTTAAATAATAATATATCACTGACATTATTATAATAAATTATATATCCAAAAAAAGGGTATTCAATCCATTAATTATAAAAATGTCCAGTTAATTTGTAAATATTTTTACGATGTTAATATTTAATTTTTACAAAAAAAAGTTTATAATGATAAGTAATCTGAGAAGTTAGGATAGTGTTTAAATGTCTATGATGCAATAGCCATATTCTTTCTAAAATGTTTATCATAGCTTTGATGGTAATGATTAGAGAATAAAGGTAAATTAAAAATAATAATGTAGATAAATTAGCTCTAAATTATTTAACATAAATTCATTAAGTGTCTAAACAATCTCATTAGACATTAAAATAATAAAAAGAAATCGAATATCATTATCTTGCCCAACCAAAATAATTAGCTATATGTATAAATGGCTTCTAAAATAATAGGTTATCTTTTAGGACGATAAAATCTTAAGAAAAATTAAAGTCCAAGAATCTAATGATAGTACTTTCATGTCATTTCCTAGAAATCAATTTCCTCTTATCTAATGTAACATTTAAAAAAATGAATAGATTAACCTTATCCTCAGTTTTATGCGAATTATCCATAAGAATAGTATCAAGCCTTGTAATACTAAATAACAAATCCAATCTTATAATCCTAAGATAGATTTTTAAGCTAACCAAAGCCAGTATAATCAAGTCAGCATTTTCGAACTTCTGATTTTTAGTTTTTTGGTTCTCATGATGATTCTGAATCTATCGAACCTGATTAAGCCGAAAAGGATAGTAAAGAATAAAAAAATACTTATTTTAAATTAAAGAGTAAGATCAAAAAAGGAAAAGTAAATGATACTAAAAATATCACTAAAAATTTTTCTAAAGCAATCATTAGCTATATTATATAAAATAAAGATATAGGATTAAAAATAATGAATTGTGAATAATTTGAAGAATTTGTGAGTGTGTTAAAGGATAAGAAGAATCAAATGACTAACATTAAACAACTTAGAGAACTTTGGGTTGAAACTAATTAAGAGAAAAGTCAACAATTTAATAAAGCATTTCGAATTTTTAGGTAATATATAATATAAAATAATGTATAGTGAATATTTTCTAAAACAATAATCAGTATCCTACATTTACAATTCAAGAATAGCAAACACCGGATGGCATCTAAAATACAGATATAATTTACTAAGAGCTCTTAAAGAACCAGAAAATTTTAAATATATAAAAGATATTTGAAATATAAAATTTTAATATATCTTATATTTTATTTATTTCTTATTTTCATACATGTTTACTTAAGGCAGCTTTAACTGATTTAGCAATATTTGATTAATCCTTTTTTTCATCCTCAGTATTAGTTTATTGTTATTATTAAGGCTTTTGAGTGTATTTCAATAGAACATTTCCAGTAGGCGCTTATTGTTAACTAATTACATTAATAAGGAAGATTACTTTTATTGTAGCTTTTTGAATTAAACACTTGGAGAGACAAATTAATTCATATTTGGAGATTCTTGAATAATAATAATTAAATACCCTCGCATGCAACAGTTCTTCCTGTAATAACTGGAGTTCTCATGATCATTTACTAGTCTTTATTCTATACTTCTTTCATCTTATTAGTCGCCTGCATAACTGGAGATTTAATGGGTGAATTGGTTAATTGATTAATTCTAAGCATATCAAATTTTGCTGCCCTAAATGAATAGTTTAGTTTAAATACTATTCATTGATTTATTAGATTCTAACATTTAGCCCTGGTTTATCATCGATATCCCCAATATTTCCATCATCTTCCTATGCTGCATTAACAGTCTTCTCACATAATGCAACAAATTCATATTTCAAGGCATCTGTAGCTGTTATTCTTTTCTGAGGCAAAGGCTCCAACATATGTTTTAGCAATTCAAAAGCTGGTGGTGGTACAACATCAAACACTGGACTTTTAAAATTGATTTTAGCTTCCTTGTTTTATTAGACTATTGTGTTATAACTTCTTCCAGGAAACCCTGGCTTTCCAGTTAATAATATGTGGAAGACTAGTCCAAGAGAATAAATATCACAAACACTATCATAAGTTGTTGACATATCGGTAATATTGATAACTTCTGGAGCCACAAATCCAGGAGTACCACATCTGCAATAAAGATATACTGGCAGATTTACAAAAGTAGCTAACCCAAAATCGGCTATCACAACTGAATTGATATCGCTATTTTCGTTAATAAATAATAATATTATACTTCTATTCTTTAAATAAAATGTTTTCTAATTTTAAATCTCTATGCATAATATTCTTAGAATGCATATGTGCCAATCCTTCCAAAAGTCCTCTCATAATAGCTTGAATTTGTTTGTTTGTTAAGATTACTTTCTTTTTCATTATCTCATATAATTATCCTCCTTATAACAATTCTAATCCCATATATAAAGAATTCTGAGTTTCATAAACCTCGTATAATTTCATAATATTAGGGTGATCGAGTTCTCTCATTATTGTTATTTCATTAATTAAACCCTCCTTTAAAATTATAATAATAATAGAATACCTTTCCATTTTCTTCTGCATAAACTGCGCTTTTTGAAAATGCTTTGATAGCCATTTATTATCCATCTTCAATTCGTTCGGCCAAATAAACACTTGCAAAATTGCCCTTTCCTATCTTTTTGAAAACTTTGAACATGTGATGAAATCCCATCTGATTGATTTTCTATCCGAAATATTTTCGAAATGTTTTTAAAATCTCTTAATCACCAGTGAAATCCCAAAATTTTTCTGTATTCTCGCTTTACAATCTTATATGCAAAATGTCACCTAGAGTTTGTACGTCCTCAGGCTTGACAATATCAGCCCTTGTAGATGCAGGAGTGTTAGGAGTTGATTTTTTTTAAGATGCATTGGCTTTCAAAACAGGTGCATCTCTAAATATTTCAAATCTGGTAGTAAAATCCAAAGGGAGTAATTTATGAACATGCTTACTTTTGTCCTTTTCAATATAACTTCAATTACTTTGAATAATAATATATGTTTATCAGTTATTACTAAATGTCTTTCGTGTTACTTCTTTCCTAATTTAGTGACTGTGGCTTCAAATTTAGGTTTAGGGAATGCGAAATCCTAAGGCACAGCTTACCATAATGGTCCTTGTCCAACTTATGTTTATTATTATTACATATAATTAAATATAAAGCAACCTAAATTAGATTTCTATATAATTAAGTAAAGCCAATTAAAATATATATAACTAATTAAACTCATTGTTTATAAGATTATTTGGTATCGCATCTAGTCCAATTATTTGATATTTACATACTTTTTTATTTAAAATTATATTTGCTTATAACATAACTAAATTATTTTCTTAATTTAAATTATTAAATATGAGAATTAAATTGTTTAGAAGCAATATTCAAACTTTATTAACACAAATTTTACAAGGAAACAGATTTAGAAGAGGTTTAATCTAAATTTAATTAGGTTAGACATTTAAATAGAACACACCTTAAATAAAATGAGAAAAATGGTGATTACACCAAAAATGAATAATATTTACTCATCAAATTTGTTATATTGACACTAAATACTCTAACTTAGTGAAGGCATCTCGAAAAACAATTTTGTCATCATTTTTGGAAAAAAATTTAATTGTTTTTTAATATCCATCCTATAATTCATAGTATATTTCAAAATATTTTTCTTCTTGTTGCTTTAAATCAGTAATAGCATTTATTGGAATTCTTTTGTATTTCTTTTTCTCTGTCTCTTGAACAAACAATGACTTGATTATATTGGATACAAGCTTGGTAATTCCAACTTTTTTTGCTTATTTTTAATTAAATGTATAATAAAGATCAAAGTAATCTATGCCTAAAATGACATCAATTAACTACTCTTTGTCTACCCTTATCAAGTTAAATTCTTAATAACTATATAATAAAGGCATCTTCTCTACAGTTGCCAATTACATAAAGTTTATAGATAAGAAGCCACATGAATTCGAGCCTCTCATGTTCTCATGAATTGTATTATTTTATGTTCTCCCAATATTTGCCATTGAAACCTCTTCTTAGGAATCTAGAAGAATATTTTTGGTTCTTTAAATAATAACTAACCAATGAATAGGTAATTAGTTAATAGGAAACTTTTCATTTAATTCCCCAAAATCGTAATTTACACATGAAAATTTCAAACTTAGGTAGTAATCATTTTTTAAATACTTTTTACTAACTTTTCTATTCAATTCTACTAAACAATCCCCTAAGGTTCCTTTTTTATTTACTTTAATATGATAAAAGATTAATGATTGAGGGTCTTCTATTAATAAAATAATTGATTCAGGATTAGATATAAAGGTTTATTTTATGGTTTAAAAATCTAATCCAAAATTAGTAGTAGCAGGCAATAACTCGACCATTTTATAAAATAATTGAGATTCAAGATCTATTTCTGGTCTTTCTAAAGATTCCTCCTCTAATATAATGCTATCATTATCAAAATTCTCGTCATTATTATATGTGTATTTTGTTGGACTCAAGTCTTAACCAACCAATTTGTATGCTAAGGTAAAATTCTAATATTCGAACTTAGACTTGTCACTTTTAGGATCGGCAGCAAATCGTTTCAAAGCTAATACAATAAATTCAGCAGCTCTGATTGATTCATCAACAGAAATAACTTATTAATATTGTGTTCCAAAGTATTTGACCTGAATTTGGATTGAAAAATTCTATTAATAGATATTTAATTATTTTGTAAATTCTGATTTTTTTTAAACTTAAGAAGATTTTATTTTCTTCAAGGTTTCTGAATCATTTTTATTCGAATCATTCTCATCAATTGCAAAACCAGTTGTAGTAGTTTTGCATTTTTTATAATTTTATTTTCTGGTTGCTGATGTATATTATTTTTTTGGTGTATAATTAATTTATTGAACTTCTTCTAATTTTTCAAGTTTTATCAATGAAAAATCAACAGGATCTCGCTTTTGCTATTAAATAAATGGACTTTCTCCAACAGATTATTAAAGTACAAACTCTGAAATGTCTGTGTTGCTTGGTAAATTATAGTTTTAGTAGTCAATTTATTGCACATTTTCCAATTATTTGGCAAGCCAATCATTATCAATAAAGACACTCGTTGTGTTAGATTGAAATGAGTAGGGAGTTGCTAAAGAGTTATCAATATTGAATAAATTCATAATTGTTATTTATATTTTATATATAAATCCACTAAATATTCTAATTTATTGTATGCATTCATTATAGTTTTCTATTGCAGATCTAATTTCGATTTCTCTTAGTTTAAATCTATTCCAAAAGTAAGTTATTTTTTGTAGTTTTGGCTTTTCTCATAAACTATTATCAGATAAAAATCTTTTGTCATTTCAACTTTTTATATTTTATTTAAAGGCAATCTCCTATAATCTTTTTGTATTACTGGCTCTTCAAATAAAATTTAAGAAATTGATTTACAAAATTTTCCTAGAGTAAATTATCTTTATCTCTCTTAGGTGTAAGTATAATACAAATCGAAATAATCAATTCCTAAAATCACATTATTTTTAAATTATTTATCAATTTTTAATAATTAATACTCTTAATACGAATATAAGGTTCGAACTTTATCTGTGCTCTCAGATGTTTTGCCTTCCTCTTGTAAAAATCTCTATGATTTATTTGCACTTTTTGAGAAGATAGTATCTTTATTGATATTCATTGTAAAACTATCGTTACATTATCTTAATGAACGAGTGGCTTCAGTCTGAAATTTTTAAGTGAGTATCAAGTAATGTATTGGTAATTTACTTATAGGTATCTTTAAATTAATTGGTTCCGTACCCATGTGAATACAAGGATATTTTAAGACGAGATTATAATCAGCACTTCTAAATTTCTTATTTGCTTTTCTGCCTAATTCTGTAAATAATTCCTCAATCAATTAATTCGGACAGATTTTCATATGAAATCTGGCTTGACTGATAGGTTCCTCAATAAGAATAAGAATGTGATTTGGATGTTATTGATGCAACATCTTAACCATTTGCAAATCAATATCTAACTATTTTGGATCTAATACTGGTACAATATCAACAGATTTATAATAACGCATCGGAGATTCTAAATCAATTTAAATAATTTTGTCATCAATGTCATCAGCTAATAATGAAATTTCAGCCTATGAAATTGGTTTCTAATCAAAATCTATTTAATTTAAACTTTCTCTTCTTGATTTCATCATGTCTTCCAGAGAGCCAAAACTTTTGTATCTTTAGATTGGTCGACGATATGAAATTTCATCCAAATCCTACTAATCATCCTACCCCTCAATTTAATAAGCTAAACTGTAATTTGGAAATTCATACAAAGATTAATCTAATTTGCTATCATTTTGGAACTATGCTAAAGCTAAAACAATAAATTCTGCAGCCAGCATGTCTTAGTCAATCACCAGGACTTTCGTGATTGTAGATCGAAAATAACGAACCTGAATTGGTTTCTACTATTACCTTAAATTTGTAAGAAACATTCCAGAAAAATTGGATCTCTTGATTTTTATTTTTTCAAATGAAGTCTCAATAATTTAGTTGTTTTTTTTCACGAAATATTTATCTGCCTTTTAAGTGTTATGCTTATGTATTGATTATCCAATCAAAATCGTGGTTTAACATCTCTTTACTAATCTCTTTTTATACTATGACGCCTTGGTCTATTTAATTTGAGACTCGCATATGCTATTTGATTTCTATTCTGAAGTCTAAGCCACTTTCTCTTAACAATCCTTCTAGATAGAAGCTTCAACTTGTGATTAATGAGCGGAGTCATTATTTTGTTTTTCATTATCTAAATCTAAAAAGTTAGTTTTCTCTGATCTTAAAGGACTGCTAAATTATTAATCTGACTCAGAAGATTAAGTGTCTGTTTAAATGGATATAGATAAAGCAGAGAAATTATAATTTTCCATTATTAAATATAATATTAATTTAAGAATGAAGAACAAAAAATTCAACCTAATTCCATTTACACTACTGAAAAATATCACTCTTATATGTTTTCAGAGTATATAATTTCATAGCCAAATTAGATTGTATTATTTAATATTCTACACTGAATCTTAATTCTTAATGAGTGAACCAATTTACTTGGGATCATATTTATGCATATCTGGTTTCTGGTGATTTTTCAGTTATTTGAGAGCATATTAACTTGAGGGGAAATATTATTGTTTCTTAACAGTATTTTACAATTGATAATATAATTAAATTTTAAATTTAAACCAGATGGATAAATACAAAAAAATAAGAGTAGTTGGAAAAGGTATTATGATAAAATAAATCAGGTAGTTTTGGATATGCTCTTCTAGCCTAGGCATTGTCAAATAAGAAAAATTATATAATAAAAGTATCAAATGATTTAAATTAGATTATTGACATATCTAAGATGGACAGAAAATAAAGAGAGGAAGCATTAAATGAAGTTCATGTATTGAAGGCCATGAGGCATCCCTATATTATTACATATAGAGAATCATTTATGGAGAAAAAGTATTATTTTTTATTGAAACCTTTGATAGATGTCTATGTATAGTAATGGATTATGCCGATGGAGGTGATTTGTACGGTAAAATAGCAAAACAAAAAGAACTTGGAATACTCTTTTCGGAAGAACAAATACTAGATTGGTTTGTTTAGATGGCATTGGCTATGAATCACATACATGAGAGGAAGATTTTGCATCGTGATTTGAAAACTTAAAATATATTCCTCACAAGCAAAAATGATGTGAAAATAGGGGATTTTGGTATTGCACGTGTTCTCTAGCACACATATGATTGTGCCAAAACAGCAATAGGGACCCCATACTATTTAAGCCCAGAAATATGCTAAGAAAAACCTTACAATCAAAAATCTGACATCTGGTCGCTTGGTTGCATCTTGTATGAATTAACTACCTTGAATCATGCATTTGATGCATTGTCTATGAAAGAATTGGTTTTAAAAATATTAAGAGGAACTTATCCTCCAATACCATCACAATATTCTTCAGAATTATAATCTTTAATAGCTGATATGCTGATTAAGGATCCATCAAAGAGACCAAGTATAAAGAGAATTTTGGAGAGAGATTTCTTAAAATAAAGAATAGGAAGTTTATTAGTCTCAACACTGAATAGACATGAATTATAGGAGTTGACTGAAATAAAACCTACTGAAAATCTGTAACATATATAATCTTATAGTTAGTTTTATATAACCTTAATAAACAGCATAATAATTTATTTTATAATAAAAACAGTTTGAATAAAATAAGATATCTCAAAATCAGAGTTAAAATAATTCCCCTATTACCTCAAGATAGATTATTCAAACAGTAGCTAGTAAGAAACCTTCACCCAAAAAGGATAACAGCAAAGTAGAGTTAAAATCATTGTTTAATAGGCAAAATTCACCTTTGCAATCAATAAATTAAAATTATTCTATACAATAATAACAAATTTATTCTTAATAATAATAGTAACAACTTATGGATGAAAAATTTGAAAAACCTCATTCATTTGCTAGTGTAGTTAGTTAGAAGGAAAATCAATAATAGTAGCAGCCTCCTAAATAATAATAAAATATAGAATTATTAAATAAATTTTATTTAAAAGACAATACAAACATTGTTAGATTACAAAGTAAGAGTCCAATTTTGCAGGAACAAAAAAGAAAAGAATCTATAGTAAGTTTGGTAAGAGAAGATGACAGTTTTGAGCAATAATAAGGTTATAAGTTCCTTATCAAAGACATGAGGAAATGTTTGGATAAAAAATAATCGAAGGAAGAGGAAGAATCAATCATTGTTGACAATTTCAAAATAGTTCCTTAGTAATTTTATCAGTAATATATTTATAGATTTCTTAATCAATAAAAATAATTTTAAGTTCCTGGAACCTCTGAAAGAGATACTATCGGCTATAAGATAGAAGCTCTCAGATATTATTTGGAATAGCAAATGGGTTTAGACACTTTCATGAAAGCTTATCAGACTTTAGAGAATAGTTAAGAAAGTGAATAATTGAAATAAGCAAATTAATTACTAAATTAAGAATTAAGGAAATACATACCATTAATAATCTAATTAATAGTTTGTGAAGATTCATATTATTGATCTATAGTATTCAAATTCAAAAAATTATAAGGATTTCTCATTTCTGTGATTAAGTACAATTGAAAATATTGTCCTCTTCTTGAATAATAGCGTGTGAGATATAAAGATTTAGCATTTTCTAAATGAAAATGGAATAAATTAATTACAATCTTCAAATTTGGATTAATAAGCATTCTTTGGCCTTACTTTGAAGCCGACACTGGTTATTTCAAGGGAATGGGGATAATAATTTTATTGTATGAGGATGAATCTTGAGTTTCTAAAGGAGTATTTTCATAATCTTCTATCTGAATTATTATAAATATAAATTACCTTAATATATTTTCTGGGTGATGGTTCTAATGATTCATTTGATTTAGCAATATCTGTTAATCTTAATGAATCATATAATTCATCTATTGTAGGTGTTAAGAATTATGACATTGTTACTGGTAAAAGGATGATATTATATTAATTAAAAATATAAATAATTAATGATAACAAACATATTATAATATAAAAGGAATCAAAACAGCACCCAGGATATATTTTTTATAACTAATTGGAGGTATAAATAATCATATGTGAATGTTTAAAATCATAAGAACTATTTTGAGATCTTCATCCAAATGTTTTATGATAAGAGGTTAAATTAAATAGCAAAAAATGCATTTAAAATAATGGTTGGAAGTTATTTGCAATAGATTTGTATAAAATATTGGTTTAATGATACTTTTAAATATATTTCATATCATAATATATTTAGAAGATTTGTATTTGTATGTGTTATTAGAAGAAAATGTAATGATAGAAAATTATACAATTTATGTGTTAGAATAATAAGTACAAGCAGCGAAGAATTCTACATTTAAATATTGGCTGAAATTTATGATATCTTTATATTTAATACTAGTATTGGTGAAGCATTTAGGAGTGTAATTAAGTTTGCAAAGCTTGTGATTCTATAAATTGACAATTGTTGATTATCAGTTATTAGAGAATTAATAGTTGAAATTAAGATTAACTTTACTATTTGATTGTGATGATATAAATGAGGGCAGAGACAATGAGAATGAGATTTAATTTAGGAATAAATAAGGAATAAATTGTCAAATTTAAGCAAATAGTATATTAATGAATTGGATGAGAGCGATGAAATTTTAAGATTAATATAAATTTTAATATATTATCAATAATTATATATATAAATAAAAAATAGAAATAGGTAGAAAATGTCCTTGAAAGACTTTTAGATTTTGTAAGAACTAGGTAAAATTTGTAATGATGTTAGGTGAGGGAGCATATTCGAAAGTGTATAAAGTAAGAAGAATAGCAGATGGTTTCGAATACGCTTTAAAGAAAGTGAAACTACAATCATTATCAGACAAAGAGAAATAAAACGCATTGAATGAAGTTAGAATATTAGCTAGTGTCAGACACGCCAATGTAATTTAGTATAAGGAGGCATTTTTAGAAGAATCTACTCAGAGTTTGTGGTATAACCTATTGTTTCTAAATAGTATTGTAATGGAGTACGCAGATGATGGAGATTTATTCTAAAAGATTGTTGAGTGCTAGAAAAAAGGAATGCTGATGGCTGAAAAGGACATTTGGAACTACTTTACATAAGTAATTCATCCATCTACTTTAAGATAGTTAAGGGATTGAAGGCATTGCACGATATGAAGATATATCATCGAGACTTGAAATCAGCTAATGTCTTCATGAATGTAGATGGAACTGTTAAATTGGGAGATATGAATGTATCTAAAGTGGCTAAAAAAATACTATTATACACTTAAACCGGAACCCCTTATTATGCATCTCCTGAGGTGTGGAAGGATCAGCCTTATGATTCCAAATCCGATATCTGGTCATTAGGTTGTGTTCTTTATGAGATGACAACATTAAAACCTCCATTCAGAGCAGAAGATATGAACGGTCTTTACAAGAAAGTTGTTAGAGGCTATTATCCAAAAATACCAACTATATATAGTTAAGATCTAAGCAATGTTATTAGAGCTTTACTCTAAGTCTAACCTCATTTGAGACCATCTTGTGATAAAATCTTACAACTATCAGCAGTTATCAATAGAATGGATGATAAGGTTCTGATTGAAGAAGAAGGGGCCAAATTCTTATTATAGACTATTCGAGTCCCCAGAGTCATGCATTATCTAACTGATAGATTACCTAAGCCTAATTATGCACCTGTAAAAATGATGAGAATTGATAAGAATCAGTTCATTCAAACTTTGGCTGTTTAAAAATCAAGCTAAGATAATGTTGAGGATCCTTTAACCAATTCAAACGTTGAACATTTGCCTAGGATTGGTCGTAGAGTAGATGATTCTTAGATCTAATCATATGATGCTTCATCTGTTATTAGTAAAAAATAGAATAAAGTTGATGAATCGTACATTTTACCTAAACCTTCATTAGAAATAGCATCGTAGGGTTCTAAAAACAGTGAGAAACTCAATCTCATTCACTAGATTTATGCTGGCAATCCTGTTAAAGTTGTTAAGAAAACAAAAAAACCTATGAAACCAGAAATTCAGATACTATAATAAAAGCTAGTATAGAAGAAACTAGATATCGAAGGTGAACCAAAGCCTTTACTAATTAAAAAGTATATCATACCTTATAATCTAAAGTGTTAAACATCAATAAGAGGAAAAATCTCCATCTCCATTTTTGCCTGCTCTTCCTGCTATTTCTAAAGAGAAAAGAATCATGAAAGACAACAATGAGGATGAACAATTAAAAAGGATTAAACAGACTGAGGAATAAATATAAATGCTAAAAGAAAAATAATTAAAATAAAAAAGAAAATATTAACTTAGAAATTCAGAGAAATGATTATTCTTATATTAAAAATATCAATTGTAATCATTTACATTATTTTGCTTGCTATTTTTGTTTATTAAGAGGTGATAAATATTATCCAATATATTACATGTATGTGTTTTTGAGTTATTCTTTTATTGTTGGAGATTAAGATCTTTGAGATTTGTTGAATTCAGGTGGAGCATTTATAGGTTTAGGAGATTGAGATCTTTGTTTTTTATCAAAATCTGCTTTAATCCCAGAAGGTCTAATATTTTCTAATTCCTCTAAAGCTCTCTTCACAGGACTCATCTCAGCATCCCAATTGCGTTTATAGGTATATCCTTGAAAATACTTTTTATTCAAATTAGTTCCATTCTTTTCTTAATCTGACTCTTCTAGATTATGAATCACATGTTTCCAAGGTTCTTTCTCTTCAAACTTATCAAAATTAGAAGTCAGTTTCTTTTTATCAGGAATATATGGAGGCCTTTGATTTCTAATATTATTAAAATCAATCCCACTAAAAAAAGGATGTCTTTTTATCTTATTAGCATCTCCTAATCTATCATTGACATCCGTCATCAATTTGGTTATTAAATCATAGCATTAAAGAGATACTTTTGGATTATTTGGAAATTTGAAATGGTTCTTCCATCTTAAAATCTTCTAACACGTTTTTTATGGAGTATCACTGTAAAAAGGAGGATATCCAATAACCATTTCAAATAATATTACTCCTACGCTCCACCAATCAACCAATTAGTTGTAACCATTTTAAGAAAAAACTTCTGGGGCTATATAATCAGGTGTTCCTACAGTGGAATATGCTAATTATCTTCTCTACTCATTTCTTGATTTCTTTTAATCCACAGCAGTGTTATTCATACTATAAGGTACTGCCATATCATAATGTTACCCTAAATGTTTACAAAGACCAAAATCTGATAATTTTAAATGGCCTTGTGCATCAATCAATATATTATCTGGTTTTAGATCTCGATGGATATAATTCATATTATGGATTTCCTCAACAGCTAAAACTAACTCAGCTATATAGAATTTTGCTTCTCTTTCTGGAATGATGTCCTTTTTAATCAGCAAAGTCATAAGATCTCCTCCACTTAAAAATTCCATTACCAAATACAAATTTTCATCATCTTAAAATGAAGACTTCAGTTCTACTATCCATTAACATTTTGATGAAACCAAAATATCTCTTTCAGCTCTAACATGTCCTAATTAATTTTTGAATAACATTTCTTTTTTCTTCATTTTTTTAATTGCAACTATCTCATTTGTGTCTTTCTATCTACAAACCCTCACTTCTCCAAATGCTCCTCTCCCAATTATGGCAATAGATTCAAAATCCTCTACTGTTATTTTTTATCTCCTAAAATATCTTAAAATTATATTAACTTCTTTCTTAATTGCATAGCTTCCTTGTGTTGTATTTCCTTTTTTATCAATTCTTATTCTATAGGTGTAAAATTTAAATTTTTTAATGTTTCTTACAATTACTACCAATTTTCCATTTTCTCTTTCTCATTCGTAATTAAACTTTAATATTTTCTCTCAATGTAAGCTTTGCATGCAGCAACTCTATCTTTTGTTTGGTTACTAATTTTGATTTCTGCCATATTAGTATTAACTACAGTATTTATCTGTAAAATAAATAAAAATATATAAATAACTCATAATCTAAACCAAAATGTTGTTTTAGGTTGTAATCCTTTCTATGAATTATTTGTGAATGATTTAAATTATTTATTGGCATACTTTCTATCCTAAAATTAATATGCATATTATTGTAAAGATATTCTATCTAATGATCTACTTGATTATGAATTATTTTTCCTATTATGTGACCATCTTTACTCATAATCTCTTTATGATTTACGCTAAGGATACACTGATTAATAATCAAATAATATCTGAGGATTTGATGATTGTCTCCTTTGAGTATTTGGTTTCCCCAATTTCAAAGTATTTAAGTAGCTATCGAAATCCTTTCTTATTTTTGGACTAGAATTTCTAGCATTTAATTTTGTACTAAATAAAGTACTGATTCTCTTTTATAAATTTCTTAATTTGTCTTATTGAGCATCTGCTTTATTTTTCAAGAGAAATGAGGTTTTTGGAGGTGATATTTTCTTAGTTTGGATAAAAGTTTCTAAGTAATTCAATTAATTATATTATTATTTAGGAGGTGAATAGTTTTAAGTGAATTAATTAATTTAGAAATCACCTTAAATATTGATATATTTCCTTGGTGAGCTTCCTGATGCATTTGATTTAAATAGTTCTGAAAATTATTAAGCTGATTTTTATCCAGAGGAATTGAAAACTTAATCTTCTACTTTTACATAACTTTTTTGGTCTTAAAATTTTTACTAAATTGAAGCCTGCTATACTTATTCATCAACTTAAATCCAGTTCTTCTCAAACTCTTACAAGGTGATTGCACCTGTTTTTGATACATTCAAATAATCAAACAATTATTAGATCACTCTATTATCATACAAATCATATACTCTTCTGATTAAATGCCGTGATTTTATATCAACTCTAATTTGAGATCATCTAATTCAATTTTTTGAGAATCATTCTAATCAATATCAACAAAAGCAGCACTAATCTTTGCATACTTTTATTGTAGATTACCTTTAATAGTTTTCCAAAGGTTTAGCAATTCAATTTAATCCATAATAAAATTTTATTTCTATTTTAATTATTCAAGTAAATTAGAAAATTGTTACTGATGAAATTGTATTGAGCTTTTATGATATTTCGTAATATTGAAACATAAGAAGTTAATTGAATCTCATTAAATTTTAACAAAAATTACATTTACTATTCATATCTATATATAGATTCTCTATAAGTGTTTCTAACTTTTGAGCTTGGAAAATCAGATTTTAATTACGCTTTTATTTAATTATTATAAGATAAATAAAATTAAATAATTACCATCGTCTTTCTTTATTCAACTATGGAAATTATACCAGTCGAAACTAAAAAACGAATTCATGAGTTTTCTTATGCTCAAAAGGTGTCCAATTAAATTTCTCCTGATAAGTCCCATATAAAACTTAATGAATCCTTATTTAAAGCTCAAATACTGGAAAAATAATCTTGCACATTAATCAGGAATATTTAAAAAGACCTTCTTATGAAAATCAAAAAATACGATTCCTTATTGCAGAAAAACAACTTTTAAAAAAATATATCAAGTTCCTAACCAACTTCCCCTCCAATTAGGAAAAATAATGAAGAAAATTAAGAACTTACTTAACTGTAATATCAAATTAAACCAAAAGGGGAAAAACTTTTAACTGAAATTGTTCATAAAACCACTCAAAATGATCTTCGCCGAGAATCCCTTCCTATTAAAAAATTAGATGTTAAATTATCCTATTTTTCAGAAGAAAAGCCTTTATTTTCTGCTTAGGATATTTCTCCTATCAAATAAGAACAACACAGTAATACACTTTGCTTAAGAAGAAACACTACTCAAAATATTACTACACCCCAATAAAAAAAATCATCAGTCACAGATGTTTTAGGTAGCTACGCAAAACTTCATACAAGTAAATCAGCATCCAAAAAGAAGCCTAATTTAATCGAATTTAAAAACTAAATTTAATGTACAAAAGAAACAAAAGATATAAAATAAAATGATGTTAAAAAAATTTAATCAGGAAATAAAAAACAGAGTGAAACTACAGATTATACATTTAGACCGAAAAAAAATGAAGTGCCAATAGATAAGTAAAATAGAACAAGGAAGAATTAAAAATAAAAGTAGAGTATTGATCTCTGTGTCAATACAGATTTGAAGGAAATTATTCACATTATTAATGACTTAGATTTATTTAATAATAGGTTAAAAAAGAAGTCATGATGAGAATTAATTTTGAATATAGACTATTTATTTATTAAATGACAAATCATTATTTAATCTACTTAAAAGGCTATTATAAATATCATTTATGAAGTAATAATTCTTTTTATTTGAGTATTGCATATTCTGAAACAATCTATTTCAACCATTTCCAAACCTATTTTAACTGAGGTGGTGCTGGGAATTGCACTTTGGAATGAAAGCTCATAAACATTTAAATTAGAGATTCAATGAATTTCTATTCAGAAGATCTCTTTGTACTAATAATTTAATAATTAAGATTTACGGTTCTAAATTTTGGCATTAATTCTTGGATATATCCTATTCTAATTTCAAAATTTCTTTGCGAAATTCAATGTTTTGTTTCTATAATATTCCATTGTTAATTAATTCTTAATGATGTTTTTCACTAATTATTTGTAATTCCAGAAGCAACTCCTCTTATTTTTATTTTTGCTTTTTATTTTCCTAATTCTGCTCTTCAACTTGTTATTGAAAACTAATTAGTAATTCTTCAATATTTTAAATTTGTTCTGTCAACTTTTTTAATTTTAGGTCTTATAATTAGCAATTCTGGCATTTAGTGACATGCTTTGATCTGGCAAAAGTAACTTTCTTTTGGTGAAAATTTTCCCCTGTTTAGCTTGCAGTGGGCTATGAACATACGCTTCCTTCAGGGTCTGCATCTTTATAATTCATGAGCGATCAATTAATTAAATTTAATAAAGATAAATATATTTATACCATAGAAGTCTAAAAATTATCATTGTTTTTTGAAGTTCAGTCAATTCAAACACAAATATTATGCATACCAATTAATATAGTAACAAAAAATCAAATATAATTCATTTTAGATGCTAAATCATCTTTAGTCATAGCGTCTTTACCCTTGCTTGCATCTGAGATGAATTCAAGGATATCAGATTCACTAATCTGAATATCAAGATATTAACCAAAGACATTTTTAATTTCAGCCAATCCAATTTTACGATCTCTACAGTAATAAATAGTTATTTTACTTTTTAACAAATAAATCGAAGATTTCATCCATCTCCTCATCTCTACCCTTATTCTCAAACCATCTTCTTTAAATTAAATGCATCACATCTTTCAATGAAAAACTATCTCGTTGTCTATGAAAAAAATTCAAATAATATAAAGTTATACTCATCAACAACATCATGAATTTCCTCTTCTATATCCTTAACAGTTTTATTAATAAAAGCAAAATTGCCTAGAATTGATCGCAAGCTTTATCGATTAATGTGACCAGACCTTTAAGGATCATAAAAGTTGAAGCAATCTCTGATTTCAGATTCCTAATTTCAAACTTGATCCATACCATATCATCTGGAAGTTTCTAAACTACTTATTATTTTGAACTTTTCGTATTGTTCTTAGGGTTTTACTGGGGCTATTGCTTTTTTTTATCGAGTTTCATCCTGTTGAATAATTCAAAAAAATTAACAAATTAATAACAATTTGATATAATTTAAGAAAGGAATTTAAATATCTCATTAGAAGTAATTGAATGATGTAGAAATCAATGTGGTTTAAATTAAGATGGTTAATTTATAGAGATGTTGTTGTTGTTGATTTTTTACTTATAATTTATGAATATTAATATTAAAGTAGAAAATTAATTATAGTAATGAATTAGTTGCTACAATTATAATACATATCATTATGCTCTAGAGTGCTATAAGAATTGGAAAATCACACAGGGATTAAAGATAAGGTGTTGGCAGAATATATAATAGATTTAGGTAGGTAAAGCAAGGATGAGAAAGAATTTAAATAAAAATTGGATGCTGCCAAAGCTGATTTTACAGATTAATTTACGAATTCTTTATTCAATATCATCAAGAAGATGTCTCCTTAAGAAAAAAAGTAAGTGGAACAGCCACCATAAGTAGAATAGGTTGTAAAAGAACAGAAATTCCCAGGATTAGCATTACCAAATCGTGAAGTAGTTTAATTAGAGGACATGGAAGAATAATCAAGATCAAGGTCATTATCAAAAAATAAGAAGAAGAAGAAGGATAAGAAAAAGAAGAAGGACAAAAATAAGGACAAGGATAAAGAAAAGGAAAGAGATAAAGAAAAGGAGAAGGAGAAAAAAGATAAGAAAGAATCATCTGCATCACCATAGAGGACTCATAGAGATATAGAAAAAGGACATATTTATGAGGGTATAGTAACAAAGGTGTAGGATTTTGGAGTTTTTGTGTAGATAGCAGGTTTTAAAGGTAGAAAGGAAGGTTTAGTCCACATTTCCAATATAAGAGAGAAAAGAGTGACCAATCCTTTTGATATTTTGAAAAGAAATTAGAAAGTGTTTGTGAAAGTGATTAGTATTGTGAATGAGAAGATTGCATTGTCAATGAGGGATGTAGATTAAAATACTGGTTAAGAGATAGAAAAGAAAGCTAAAGCAATGAATGAATATGATCAAGTGATTAAATAATAGGAGTAGAGTAAGGATAATAATAGATATGGAGCAATAACAGGAGTCAAATTGGATTTAGCCTAGGATGCTTGTAAAAAGAAAGCTAAGAGAATAGCATCTCCAGATTTATGGGAAAAGACTAGATTGGAATACAATTCAAAGTTGGTTCGTTAGATAGACAATAAAGCTATAGTAGAAGATTCAGAGTCAGAAGGTTTCGTTTCAGATTCAGAAGATTTAGAAATAGATATGAATGATTATGAACCTCCCTTTTTAAAGGGATAAACAACTAAAGCAGGGATAAATTTATCACCAATAAGAGTTGTGAAAAACCCAGAAGGAACATTGTAAAGAGAAGCATTACATGCTTAATAGTTGGCAAGAGAAAGAAGAGAAATGAGAGAATAATAATAAAGAGCAATAAATGAGTAGAATAGAGACAAATACAGAGAGGATCCTTTAGCTTAGATTTCAGGAAATATGAATTAGATGTAAGTAGAAATTCCTGAGTGGAAGAAAGAAGCCATGTTCAAATCAAGTGTAAGAAATAGAACACATATGAGTATCAAAGAGTGGAGAGAATCTTTACCAATTTATAATTTCAAGAATGAATTGTTGGCTGCTATAAAAGAGAATCGTATTCTAATAGTAATAGGAGAAACAGGCAGTGGCAAAACAACTCAGATCACATAATATTTGATGGAAGCTGGATATGGTAGAAATGGAATGAAGATCGGTTGCACTTAACCTAGAAGAGTGGCAGCAATGTCAGTGGCAAAAAGAGTGGCTGAAGAAATGGGAGTGTAACTAGGAGATGAAGTAGGCTATGCAATTAGATTTGAAGATTGCACAGGTCCCAATACAATTATTAAATATATGACAGATGGAATGTTATTGAGAGAAGCATTGATAGATAAAGATATGAGTCAATATAGTGTTATTATGTTAGATGAAGCTCATGAGAGAACTATTAATACTGATGTTCTCTTTGGATTATTAAAATAAGTTGTAGCTAAAAGAAATGATTTCACATTAATTGTAACATCAGCTACTTTAGATGCTGAAAAGTTTTCATCCTATTTTTTTAATTGCAAAATATTTAGAATTCCAGGACGTAATTTTCCTGTTGAGGTGTTTTTCACAAATGAACCTGAAGAAGACTATTTAGAAGCTGCCTAATTGTGTGTCATTTAGATTCATTTAGAAGAACCAGCTGGTGATATTCTATTGTTTTTAACAGGACAAGAAGAAATAGACACAGCATGTTAAGTGCTACATGAGAGAATGAAGAAGTTAGGTCCAGATGCCCCTGAATTGATTATTTTACCAGTTTATTCTGCTCTACCCACAGAATTGCAACAAAAGATTTTTGACCCAGCCCCTGCAGGAGCCAGGAAGATAGTTATTGCTACTAATATTGCAGAAGCATCAATCACTATTGATGGAATTTACTACGTGGTTGACCCAGGGTTCTCTAAAATCAAGGTATATAATCCAAAACTGGGTATGGATTCCTTAATTATTGCTCCAATCAGTCAGGCATCTGCATAATAAAGAGCTGGAAGAGCAGGTAGAACTGGTCCAGGAAAATGCTATAGATTGTATACTGAATCAGCATTTAATACAGAAATGCTACCTACTTCAGTACCTGAAATATAAAGAACTAATTTAGCAAATACAATTTTATTATTGAAGGCTATGGGAATACATGATCTTTTGAATTTTGACTTTATGGATCCCCCACCTGTTCAAACTATGATTGCAGCCATGGAATAATTGTATGCATTGGGAGCTTTGGATGATGAAGGATTGTTAACAAAAGTAGGCAGGAAGATGGCAGAATTCCCTTTGGAACCACCACAAGCTAAAATGTTATTGACTGCAGTTGATTTGGGATGTGTAGATGAAATCATTACAATTATAGCTATGTTATCAGAACCAAACATCTTCTACAGACCTAAAGACAGATAACAATTAGCAGATTAGAAAAAGGCCAGATTTCATAGACCAGAAGGAGATCATTTGACATTGTTAACAGTTTATGAGCATTGGAAGAAAAACAACTTTAGTAATGTGTGGTGTCATGAAAATTATATCTAAGCAAGATCTATGAGGAGGGCTTAAGATGTTAGGAAACAATTATTATAAATTATGGAAAGATATAAATTTTAAATTACTTCTTGCGGTAAAGACTTCTGGAAAATCAGAAAAGCTATTACTGCTGGTTATTTCTTCCATGTTGCTAAGAAAGTATGAACATATTCTCATTTTAGGATCAAGCAGAAGGTTATAAAACTTTATCTGATAATCAATAAGTCTATATCCATCCTAGTAGTGCCTTGTTCAACAAAGGACCTCTCTGGTGTGTATATCATGAGTTAGTCATGACATCTAAAGAATATATGAGAGAAGTATGTGAAATAGGTATCAGATCATTTTTACATGCCTTTTAGAACCTAGATGGTTAATTGAAGTCGCTGAAAATTATTTCAAGGCTCACAATCAAATGGGATAACTCTCAAAAACAAAGAAATCAGAGAAACTGGATCCATTAAGCTGCAAATTTGGAGATGCAAATGCATGGAGACTAAGTAAGCGTAAAGGTTGATATTAATATTATAATTAATATTATTTATTTCATGCTCAATATCCAATGTATAATCCTTAACTAAATAGAACAAAGTGACTAACCTGAATTTCCTTATAATAGCAGAAGAGCGAGTCATTTAATTATGTAATAAGTTACAACTACAAAATCTTAAAAACTATAAGTCCTTGATTTAAAGAGAGGAGAGAAGAAAAATTCATTAATGCATTGCTTTCGTTTATTAAAGGCATCAATAGATGATGATAATTTTAATTTAATTCCAACAGAAAAGCAGATCTAAAGCAAGAAAATTATAAATCTAAAACCATTGAAGAATGTGATTGAAAAAATAGCCTTAATGAGATAATAAGATTAACCAAGAAGAAAATCTGTATACGGAGATACATTTGGTTAATTGACAGCAAAATAATAATCGAATCTACCAACTTAAATTTAATAACATCGTTAAATTGATGGTTAAAGATTTGCCCTGTAAAGTTTTGCAGGCATATTAGAAAGAAAAAAATAAAAAAGAACTTCACTAAAGCCCAGTTTACTAAGGAAACTATCTAAATAAGATACAATTGTTGGTAGTAATTCTTATTATTTTAGAATATGATAATATGGAGAGACCTCCTTCATGTAAAACTCCTCCAAAATAAATTATTATTAAATCCATTCATAAAACTTAAATGGAAATAGTAAAAGAAAAATATTTCAAAGTTTAAGATTTTAAGATGATTTAATTTTTATCCGGAAAATCTCAATAATTAAAAGTGTAAATCAATGGCAATAAAGCTCTCAATCTTAATCTCTAAACAACAACTCAACAATCTTCTTCTATTATAGCCAATCGAAGAATATCAACCTTATTTCCAACACTCCCAATCAATAAAATTAGCAGATGCATAACTAACCCTCTTGAAAATAAAATTGATCCTCAATTAAGTAGTAGATCAATGCATCAGTAAAATACCCCCTATCTCACATAAAATTTAAAACTCACCAAAAAAATACAAATAGGACTCAAAAATTTATCTCACCCTTTATAACGATTAAGTTATCATTTATGATTACATGATGTTAATTATTTACTATAGAGTAACAATTTTAGACTAAATTAACTCACATTCTATAATTCAGCTGATTGCTGAAGTATTTTTATCATTAAACTTTGATAAATTTTAAGTTAATTCAAATTTATTAGGAATTACCATCAAAGTTTTTGTTTGGTTTTTCTATTTTTTGAATGATTACCTTAAATGTTGTTTTGTTATTATATTCATTTTTCTTTATTTTTCAAAGTTTATAAGAAGTACGAACTCAACCAAAGCCTTCTAGCATAATCGGATAAAATTATAGCTGTACATGAATAACATACAATCTGGTATAGAATCTTAAGCTAAACCCTTTTACTACAATCCAAAAGATCTTTAATATATTAATTGACTTTCAAATAGTTTTCCATTATAATGCCTTTATAATTAAAACAGATTAATAAATTCGTGTTATATGATTGAGAATTTGTGAAATTTTACTATAAATAATATTTTTATTTTAATAAATTTAATTAATAATTAATAACTTTAAGCATTTAAATTTTTTATCATTATCTCTGCATGAAGGACGAGAATTTATGATCAGAAGTTATCAGACTTCACTTAACACTTTAATTTATTGGATATAAATTTAAATTATTAATATAATAAAATGATTTCAAAAGATAATTATACATGTCCAATTTGTTTAGGGGTTTTTGTCGATCCTTGCAAATTACAATGTAACCATACTTTTTGCTTATCTTGCCTCCTTGAATTAGTTGATTTCAATTTTATTCGATATAAGTGTCCAATGTGTAGAATTGAGTTTTTGAATGATAAAGGTCCTTTTAAAATTGATGAGGAAATTTCACACATAGTTTAAACTTGTTTCAAAGAAGAATTTTAAAAAAGAAAAGAGGAAATTAAGCTCAAATAAGAAGTGGATCAAAAAGAAATGAAAATTAAAATTAACTATGGCAACACTTATCGCTATATTGAAGAGGAAAAAACTAATAAGCACTTATGGACTGTTTATGTAACCTTGGATTATGTAAACTAACTTGATTAAACTCCTTTAAACTCTCTGATATTAATAGAGTTAGTTGAAAAAGTAAAATTTACATTGGACGAAACATTTTATCCCGATGTTATAGTAGTCAAAAGTCCCCCCTTTCAACTTACGCGCAAAGGGTGGGATGTTTTTAGTATACCAATAGAAATCACTTTTAAACCACAATATAAACTTGATCCCATTAAATTTGAGCATCATCTCGTTTTTGAATAGGATGGGATTAAGAAATGTTAAATCAGCAAAATCAATGCAGAAAATATTAAAAAACAATTGGATGCCTAAAAATCAGATCAAAACTAAAAAATAGTTTAAACTAAACAAATTTGGAAAGTATGATGTTTGATTTAATCTTTTTAAAATATTATTGTAAATGGGATTTTTAATTTATATAAGAATGATCCATTACTATTATCAAAATAATCAATAAGCTTTTTTCAAGAAACATTTTTTTTTTATAGTTTCTGTTTTTATTATTCTTTAAACTCTTTGATTTTTTTATCAAAGATACTTAATTATCTCATTTATTTTTCCTTTTCCTCCTCATCCTCTTTTTTTTACTAATATTAAAAATTGAAGTTATATATATAATCCCCGGAGAGTTCTGTTGTTTTATGGCTTTTGGCTTTTTCAATATTTACTTAGATACCCTTGTCTTCAGTTAATAATTTATGTGAAACTCTTTGTTTTTGTGAACTGATATTTTTGTTTTTATTTTGCCTGCCTNTTGAGAATTTGTGAAATTTTACTATAAATAATATTTTTATTTTAATAAATTTAATTAATAATTAATAACTTTAAGCATTTAAATTTTTTATCATTATCTCTGCATGAAGGACGAGAATTTATGATCAGAAGTTATCAGACTTCACTTAACACTTTAATTTATTGGATATAAATTTAAATTATTAATATAATAAAATGATTTCAAAAGATAATTATACATGTCCAATTTGTTTAGGGGTTTTTGTCGATCCTTGCAAATTACAATGTAACCATACTTTTTGCTTATCTTGCCTCCTTGAATTAGTTGATTTCAATTTTATTCGATATAAGTGTCCAATGTGTAGAATTGAGTTTTTGAATGATAAAGGTCCTTTTAAAATTGATGAGGAAATTTCACACATAGTTTAAACTTGTTTCAAAGAAGAATTTTAAAAAAGAAAAGAGGAAATTAAGCTCAAATAAGAAGTGGATCAAAAAGAAATGAAAATTAAAATTAACTATGGCAACACTTATCGCTATATTGAAGAGGAAAAAACTAATAAGCACTTATGGACTGTTTATGTAACCTTGGATTATGTAAACTAACTTGATTAAACTCCTTTAAACTCTCTGATATTAATAGAGTTAGTTGAAAAAGTAAAATTTACATTGGACGAAACATTTTATCCCGATGTTATAGTAGTCAAAAGTCCCCCCTTTCAACTTACGCGCAAAGGGTGGGATGTTTTTAGTATACCAATAGAAATCACTTTTAAACCACAATATAAACTTGATCCCATTAAATTTGAGCATCATCTCGTTTTTGAATAGGATGGGATTAAGAAATGTTAAATCAGCAAAATCAATGCAGAAAATATTAAAAAACAATTGGATGCCTAAAAATCAGATCAAAACTAAAAAATAGTTTAAACTAAACAAATTTGGAAAGTATGATGTTTGATTTAATCTTTTTAAAATATTATTGTAAATGGGATTTTTAATTTATATAAGAATGATCCATTACTATTATCAAAATAATCAATAAGCTTTTTTCAAGAAACATTTTTTTTTTATAGTTTCTGTTTTTATTATTCTTTAAACTCTTTGATTTTTTTATCAAAGATACTTAATTATCTCATTTATTTTTCCTTTTCCTCCTCATCCTCTTTTTTTTACTAATATTAAAAATTGAAGTTATATATATAATCCCCGGAGAGTTCTGTTGTTTTATGGCTTTTGGCTTTTTCAATATTTACTTAGATACCCTTGTCTTCAGTTAATAATTTATGTGAAACTCTTTGTTTTTGTGAACTGATATTTTTGTTTTTATTTTGCCTGCCTGTAATTTAAATTTGATCATTGGATATGTTACTCTTGAAACAACTCAAATCAGCTTTTTAGCCATCATGGCTGCGAGTTGAATATTGGGCAGGTACATTTAAAATAGATTATTCTTTTTAATGTTCTTTGATGGCTGGTAAGGATAGAGGTTTTTTATCCACGTGAATGCCTTAGATTAATGATTTGTTCTGAGCCAATAAATGTTAGTAAGACTCAAATATTCCTTATTTCTTCTTAAACCCTTTTGTCTTATATTCATTCAGATATCTTGGAATATAGATGTCCTTCTATTTTACAATATATTCAGGTCTTTCAACTGAATCAATGGTTTATATTAAAGGGTTATAGATTTGTAGAGGAGGTAATTTTTTAGTTATGTAATAAGTTGGTTTATCATTTTGTATTAATGCATCTTAGTGTAGGGGACTATTAAATTATCGATTGTTTGGAAGATGACTTTAACTCTCATACCTCATGATGTCCTTTCCTCTCCTAGTAGGTTAAGGTTCTCTATTCTCAAGAAATTTAAGCATTTTTTTATTAAAAATTATGAAATCGTACACTGAAAATTTAAAGGAGCCAGTGAGATCGGGTTAAAAAGTAGAAGAGACAGTATTTCAATATTATATAGTGATTATCTGTTTGATTCAAAGTATATTATTAATTATAATATTAATTAATTGAATGAGTTAAAAGAGATTGCCTTCGGTATTTGAAATATTTATACAAAGGGCAAATAAGATAGACACATTTAAGCGATAAAGAAGTACCAAGAATATGAAAACAGCAAGACGAGCTAGGCTAAATTGAATGACATGATCAAGGTGAAATGAAATTTAATTATTAGGGGACTAAAACAATTTAATTATTGCCAAAGCCAGGGGAGTTTGTGACAGTTGCTTCAGACAAGTAATCGAATTAGTAGCCATACATGGATATCCCAATTAAGGATTTATTAGATGGCACTAAAACGTTTACAGAATTGAAACTGCAAAGCATAGAAAGACAAGCTTAGAGATAGATGAAGAAACCTAGGGAGAAGGATAGATTTGATGAAGGAGTTTTGAGAAGAGATGATTTAAAACCGCCACAAAGTGAATTGGATGAAGTATTGATATATGTATTAACATTAAGTTTGGAGTGGAGCGAGGAGTCTAGCCAAAATTCACCTAAAACATCAGAGAAATAATGAAAAATTAGCATAAAGAGATGTTGGCTCCTTCTGAATAATTGATTAAAGATTTGCAAGAGAAGAGATTGCCTTAAATTTAACATTCCCATTCTCAAAAGATTGTTCGTCCGATTTCAGCCAATTTTGTTATTAAGGCCTTGAATATTGGAGATGAAAAGTTGGAGAATTCCAAAGGAATACAATAACAGTTATTTCAGACTAAGAGAAGTTAATTGTAATCTGCAAAGCCTAGAAATTTGTATGTGCCCCATTTCCCAGAAGAAATTAAGCATTTGACTGGATATCAAACTATTAAATTAAAAGCAGATGACTTTATATAAACATACACAGAGGAGTATTTGAAAGAAAAGGAGGAAAAGATGTTGAAGAAACACTTTCAAGTTTCTGCTGTTGATCCAAGATTACAATCACCTTACATGAGAGTATTAATATTATATTAATAATAATAGGTCAATCCTAATACAGGGTAAATCATTAGAGAAAAGTAGGATGAATTAGGAGAATTAGAATTAACAAAACATAGGGAAAGGCTATTTATGGCATAGCCTTTTGAGATGAAGCAAATCTTTTTACCTTTAGATTACTATTATATGGAGGATGAGTCAGGTGATGAGTTAATCGAATAGTATAAGGAGAAGGACGGGAAGTGCTTTGGATTTTCAAAGTGGTTTGATACAAGTGGGAACTTTACTTGGGAGGAATGCTTGGTTGAAAAGTATATTTATGATGCTGACATGTATGAGATAAGGTTTCTAAAATACAATAAGACTAAATAAGTAACTAGAGTGAATCTTAGATTTAAACGAGAGAGTGAGGCATATTTCAAACAACAATTAGAAATAGCAGATTATTATAGAAAAAGAAGTGAAGTGTTTATTAAGTATAATTACATGATAGATAAAATGGATGATCCAACATCATAGATCTTGGAAGATTAATTAATGAGAATTCAATTATTTGCAATGGGAATCTATTTTAAACTGGGATCTGTCAGAGATCCTATTGCATTTTATAAATTAGACCCATCAATTAAGTTTAATTTCAAAAGATATTTGATTCCCAAATAATTAAGTAGAATAGATTAAGGTCCAAAAGATTTGTGTAAGTTGAAGAAATATAGATATGATTTATTGGTGGAACTCTCAGAAGAGGTTAAGAAGTAATTTATCAGAGCCAATCATGAAATTTAATTTAAAAGGATGTTGCCATATCATGAAGAGAAGAAAGCCATTTTTAAGGGGTATTTGCCAGAAGAATTATTCGAGCCAAAACATGTAGAAGCCAGATTTCCAGCATACGGCATAGGGTAGCAGAAGTTTATTGAATTGTTTACTTATATGAAAAAGAATCTGCATTAAGCTATTTAAGAGAAAAATAAGGCTTTATAAGATGCCAACATGAATTTGATTAAGTTGGAAGAATAACATCTGTTTTGTCAAAATTATCTGGAACCTTAAGATCTTCATGAATTGGACAAGGATATGAAGTTTAAGATTGCTGATGCCATTAGGGATTTGAAGACTAGAATGTATGATGTTCATTATTTGATTATGGAAATGATTGAGGTCGAAGTTAAACAATTGAAGGTTATAGAGGAAGAAAGACTCAGATTGATTGTTCTTGAAGCTGAAAGACTCAAAATCCAAGAGCAAGGTTTAATGAGTGAGACACTTAAACTATTGCAATAATTTCAAAAGTTGATTAACATCAAATTTGAACGATCTGGATTGGAAATGTGGTAAAGAAGCATAGCAAGATTCATCTCGTATCTCAGAATTGATGTTGATCCAAATGTACCACCTTTGCAATAAATCTATCAATATGCAAAGGATAGAGAATATCGAGTCTTTAATGATAATTTACTAATCAATATAGAGATCAAAGTATAAGGGCTTTAATTGATTCTTGAACCTAACCCTGAAGAAATTAAGAGATCTTTAAATAATTACGTTTGGCTAGCAATCAAAGAATTGACTACAGTTCCTTGTATGAGAAGTAGAGAAATAGAATCTGCAAGAGAAGATATGATCATGCATATCTTTACAGGCATTGATGATGTTGAGATACTCAATAATAAATAACTTGTTCAATAATATTTGGATTAAAACTTTACTCTGTTTAATGTATACTTTGAGAAATTAAATGAATTTGAATCTATCTTGGATTATGACATTGAGAAGAGATTAAAGAAAGGATCATTTGAAGAATATGCTAAGGAACTAGATAAGTTAATTATGATTAGAGAGGATATGTAAAAGTATATGTTTAAGAAAAAATTGAAATTAGGATTTTATTATTTGAATGTAGAACAATATCAACAACTGTGTGAGGATAGGTTGAGGAAAGCCTCGGATAGTTTGTACGAAAATTTAATTTAAAAGATTACTAAGGAGAACTTGAAGATTGAGGGTGAGATTAAGTAGATGATATAAAAACTAACTGAAGAGCCTAAGAATCTTGAGGAGATGGATGCATTGAGAACCTATGCCAAAGACCAATTGAAAGAAGAATTGGTGATATTGAGTAAGAAAATAAATAAAGTGATGGAGAAGATGACTCTGATGGAGAAGATGAATTATAAGATAAGTTATTAGAATTTTGAAAAGACTTGGAACATTTATGGAATGCCATTGAAATTAATGAGGAAACAGGAAAAATGTTTGAAAAGGCTATAGAATAATGAAAAGAAATTCTAAGAAGATTTGATGACATAGTAGGGAGAGTTGATTGGGGAAATAAATTACATTAGCAAGGAATTGAATGAATTGATCAATGAGGAAGATATCAATTAGATAAATCAGATTGCCAATAGGTTCGCAGATTTGGGGGAGAAGATGGAGAGAGCAATAGAGGAGGCAGACATAATAAATAGAAGAGAGGCCATTTTGAAGTGGAAATTGACTGACTATTAAGAAGTCGATAAGATAAAGAAATTATTCACTCCTTATTATAAGGTATGGGCCTTGGGCAGAGATTATTACTTCAAGATTCCACCTGCTTTGAGTGGACCATTAAATAACATAGACCGAGATTAACTAACTCAGGATGTAACAGAAGCTTGGACTGAATTATTTAAGTTGGAGAAGACCACATTTAAAATAATCCCTCATATGTATTAGGTAACGATGGCTATCAGAAAATTGTATGAAGATTTCAAGCCATACTTACCATTAATCAATGATTTAAGAAATCCAGCTTTAAAGAAGCAGCATTGGGTTAGCTTAACGGCATTATTAAAATTGGATGATGATCCCAACTTCTCATTGAATACTCTATTGGAGAAGGGAGTGATGGACTTGAAGGAGGAAATAAGGGAAATAAGTGAAACTGCATCTAAGTAGAGTTCATTTGAAAGATCAATCAATAAGATGAAGAGTGAATGGAAGAATATCAAATTCGAGTTAATTCAGTTTAGAGATACTGACACTCACATCTTGAAAAGTGTAGAGCCAATTTTAGATAAATTAGATGAGGATATAACCAAGATGATGAGTATAGCAAGTTCTCCATTTGTGGCATTTTTATTACAGGAGGTTAATTCTTGGAAGGCCTAATTATTTAGAGCACAAGAGATGATTGAATTATGGTGTAAAACTTAAAAGTCATGGTAGTACTTGTAACCAATCTTTTACTCTGAAGACATTATTCGAGAAATGCCTAAAGAAGGTAACAAGTATTCAGTGGTTGATAAAATGTGGAGAGCATTAATGTTGGCTACTTTCTAATAACCCTTAGTGATGGAAGCATGTTTCCAGAATAGAATGAAGGAGAACTTCGTATTTATGATTGAATAGTTGGATTAAGTGATCAAAAGCTTGAATGATTTCTTGAATAGGAAGAGAACTGCGTTTCCAAGATTCTTCTTTTTGTCTAACGAGGAACTTCTGTAGATATTAGCATAGGCAAGAGAGCCAAGAGCTGTGCAAAGACATTTATAGAAATGTTTCGAGGGGATCAATGAAATTACATTTTAGGATAATATGTTGATAACTCATATGATTAGTAGTACATAGGAAATAATTAAGTTGATTACTGATGTGAATCCATTAAATACAGAACAAGCAGTTAGAGGAGTTGAGGATTGGTTATATGAAGTTTAATAGTCGATGAAATTAACAATCAAAACTCTCATTCCTTAGGCTGTTCAAATAGTGTCCACTAATACATTAGATAAATCCATAGTCTAGATTCCCGCTCAATTGTGTGTATTGGCTCATGAGATTATATTTACTAATATGGTTACTTAATTTATTTCTGATTACGAGAAGGATGCCACTTCTATTGACAAGTGCATTCAATAAGCTAACAAAGTATTGATGAGTACAGTCTAATTATTGCACC